CGAAACTTCTTTATCTGGTGCATCTTCGATGGTGGGTTTCGGTGGCCATTTGGCATTTTTACCAAACCAAAAGTCACCGGTTTCCCAGTTGATCATCGGATTGAGGCGTTTAAGCCACGGCATGCCGAGAAGTATGTTTTCTTTGCCAATGCCGGTCAAGAGGAAGCGAGTAAGTGTCTTCCTTCCTCCGATTTTCATCATCTTCCAGGTGCAATGAGTAATGGTACCCATTTGATTTGGTGTGCCATCTGCATTCATGACTGTAATCGGTTTCGGTAATTCCCATCTGATGAAATCGTTTTCTTCCGCAAAACAAATGTTCATGAACGTTTCGGCTGCACCGGAATTGATCAAGGCTTCTGTTGTAACGTCTTCCTTCTCTCCCAACGAAATATTCACAGTGATTGAATTTCCACTAGTGTTACAAATAACGAGGGGAGATACGGTAAGATGCGACGGTCCATGCATTACTAATGGCCGTCGTCTCAAAAACCCAATTGGGTTCGTTCTTCGTCAGTCATGTCGTTGAAGACGTTTCGCACATAGGCGATCTGTTCCTCTCTGGTTTCTTCCTTCGACGTCTCCTTCTTCTGTGCGAGGTCTTCTCGCATCTTCTTGATCCATGTGATCGTGTCTGTGTCTAACCCGGGCTGTATCATTCTAGCACGGGTGAAACTTCCAGACTGGGGGTGAAATTGTCTGTCATTGGCTATATGGCCCTTCTTTCTGCATAGGAAACATAATCCTTCTTTCATTCTCTTCTGTCGCTCGTCTGGGGATAAGCGCGAGATATTGACACGATCAACATCCATCGCGTTTGGATCCTTTGCAGAAGCCGAGTAGTAGGGACGATGGACAGACCGGCCCTTTCCTCGTGTCGTCGTAGTGGCTCCTCGCTTGAAGATCTGAGCAGATCTCCATTGGTTATCAAACCGCGAGGCGTATTCATACCACTTGTCAAGTGTCTTGGGCATGCTTTCCATCCCATATATCCTTTGTCGGAGTGGGTCGTTAAGTCCCCACTTGAAATACTCGATATTTCCGGCATCTTCTAGTTTCGCCTTGGATTCAAGCGATCGGAATTCGGCAATGTAGTCGTCCGCAGTACGAGTTCCTTGCTTGATGTTACGCAGCAAGGTACGAGCGGTTTCTTCAATATTTTCATCGCCAAATGCTTTGTTCACACTTGCAATGAAGTCTCTCCAACTCCCATAAGAAAGGAAGTCATCATTGGTGAGTTCCGTTTCTATGAAGCTCTGTGCCCATGATCCTGCTGTTCCTCCTTGCATGTGCGATAGCACGAATGCGATCTTCTGATTGTCCTCCTGGTAGACATGGCTATTTCCGGCCATGTAGTTCTTGCATTGGTTTATAAATTCCCTAAGCTTCGAACGGTCTGAACCGTTGAAGATCTCGGGTTTTCTAAAACCAAGTTCCTTCTGGCTAACATGGTGACGTCCTTCATCTATGGTAACTGTAGCCATCGGTGGTATGTAATCAGGTACAATTGGTGCAAGAGTCGGTTGGGGTACAGGATTCTGGGCAGGGAGGTTCCAAGGGGCGTCTGGTCTTTCTCCTGGATAGGAGGTCGTTATACCGCTGTCTGCGATGTGCTGGAGCACTATTCCACCAAGATTATGGGGAAGTGTCCTTTCAAATTCCTCTGGGGAGTAGTCGAAGTTGTGATTGTCTGGCCTGATGAATACAGGCCTTCCTCCTATAAAATGTGCGTTTCGTTCTGTGCTCCACTCCGCTTGGGATGGGAGGTGCTCGCGGTACTGCTCTGGAAGAGCGGTCGGGTTGATGTAGTTAAAATCCAGCATGGATAAATTCTTCTGTGTGGCCTATGTCTACACGTAGACTGCACACTGTCCTTAACTAAGTGGGTTCGTTCGTCGTCGGCTAACAAGCCCGTAGAGTGTCTTCTGTCTTCAAACTGATACACCTATTTGCTGATTGCTCGAGTGATTACCTCAGCCTCCTCGGCCTATTGGTCTCTCGGACAGACCCCTCTCCGAAGATGAGTGATCAGTCTATCCCTTCAGCTACCTCGATTACAGAGTAATCTCAAACGGTGCTTTAGCAATCGAATCGGGTGTATCGTTCAGTCTTCAAGGTTCGGTCCGGTCGGTAGTTCGTTGTTAGACTCTAGGAAGTCACAGAGAGTAATAAGATCTCGGCCTAATGTTACGCGGCAGCGAAACACGAGCGTCAAGTCGAGTTGTCACGAGACAAGGTCTTAGTCTAAGACACAAGTCCGTTCAAGTGACACTTCTGGCGATGTCCTCGCACTGAAGGTCGATCAGAGTTCGTTCTTATGACTCGTAGTAGCTGTCTGCTACTAACGGTCGATTTCAGTCAAAGGCAAGTGAAAAGCTGGTTTAATGGTAACCAGGTCGAGATGGAGATCCAGCTCGACAAGGTCGTCTACTTATACAAAAGGTATCCGCAGTACTACGCAGTAATGCGAGATCGTTCATTGGCTAGATAAGGTGAAACAATACCTGGGCAAGGTAACAGCGAGGAAGTAATATGTATGAGAAAGCTGAGTAAGGTCGTGAGAGATAATCAGTACTAATGGGGATAACGAGTCGTGTATCAGAACGAGGTAAAGATGAGGCGTACATGCACGTCTTGCATGCGCGATAAGAAGAAGGTCCGGAGTTGGATCCGGTGTAACCCTAGACTAGGGGTTCTGGACATCTGGGTAAAGAATTGGAGGTTGCGCTCCAATGAGTCACGTGTTGGATCACGTGGTCTGGTAACGTAAAGGGAACAAGGAAAAGAAAAAGAAAAGACGCGCCACAAGTGGGGAGCGTTGTAACAATGGGTGGCACCGCTGGCAGAAGGTAGTGCTGGAGCTTGATGGGGACTCGGAGCTCACTGAGGGGATGTAAATTTGAGGACTGTAAATCTGTCGGTCAGCCCATCAGCAAAACCCAACTTTTACTTAAAAGGGTACTTAAATGACTTAAATGGACTTATGGTCCTTATTTAAGGATATAAGGTCAAAAAGGGCATGCATATTACATGAGTGTCTGAAATCAGACTTATTGATACTTATTTGAAGACTTATCGCCTTAGATAAGGGTTGTAAGACCAAAAAGTCAAAATAGCTCTGCAAGAAAAGTTGGGTTTTGCTGATGCCACGCATTCGTGGGGGGCTGCGGCATGGTTCCCTGCGAGATTCAGCCCCCACTCCAGCTTGCTTCGGGCCGCCAGATTTACAGTCCTGATGGGCGCATTTATAGTCCAGCAGGGCGCTTGTGGGGCCTCCCCCTTTGGGTGACGCCAGGGTGCCTGTCTGTTCTCCCTGACCCTCCCTACTGAACGTGCCCCTCCTTCCTGGCCCTCCCTAGCCTTGGAAAAGGGCGGATATATTTGACGTGCGCACCGCGCACCCTCCCACCACGGTTTTTGCCTGCTTCTCCCGCGCTGCTCCCTCTCACGCCCCCCTTGCGCCCTGCCCTTCATGTCGTGGCCTTCAGTTCACAGGGTCCTTCTCGGCACTGTTTTGCAGGTTCAGCAGGTTTGGCTCGCGCATGACGTTTCCAGGCTTAGGCGCTGGTGGACTGTCAATTTGGCAGTAATCAGCCTTTCTTAGTGTTTTTGGTGCTACTACATAGTCATAAGTTGACACTCTTGGTACTCTCTTGAAGTGTTGCTCTAGTGTACAGTACTGTACAAGTACTGTATGTCCTTTTCTTGTTCTACATACTGCTTGGACAATGTTGACATTTTCTGTGTGTTTAATGTTGCAGTACAAACAGTGATGTCAGTTATAAGGGATTATCTTTAGTGCATATAAGTTACAAATAAGGATTAAATCTGGGTTTAATAAGCAGGTCATGTACAAGGATAATCTACCAAGATTATCCCTAGCAGGCTAAGCCGAAGATAATCCAAACCACTGAGATTATCTTTAACAGGCTGAGCCGAAGATAATCCAAACCACCGAGATTATCTTTAGCAGGCTGAGCTGAAGATAATCCTGTCTATCAAGTGGGATCATCTCAGGTTGGATTATAGCAAACAGGATTATTCAGTACAAGATTATCTCAACTAAGATCATCTCCATTACAGATTATCTCAGAATAATCTATTGCTTACCCGCTCACATTGACTCGTGGCAAACTACCCATGCTCCGATTATCTCAGAATAATCCATCACTTACCTGCTCACATTGACTCATCCCAAACTACCCGTGCTCCAATCAAGCTCATGCCGCTGCTTCATCCGTGCTTGCTCTTGCTACCCACGGCAGTAGTAACCCCCTTGAGCTTTGTCAGGCAGAGTAAGCACTCATTGCACATCCTGACATCAGCCAACGATGCACCTGACTGTAGTCGAGCTTTTCCCCATCCACATCCTTTCTTGCTTTGCTGAAAGTCACCTCACACTCTGCAGCCTTCCTTCCGTACATCCTTGCCTTTTTCATCGCATATGCCCGAGCCCCCCTCTCCATGCCTTCCTTCTCCCCTACATTCCACCATGCCCCATCCATGCGCCGCCAAGCACGTATCATCTGTCGAAACTCTTCATGTAATTTGTTGACCTCTTTGTCGTGGCAGTGTTTGTTGGCACGTGCGCGGAACCACTCCACTCATTCCGCTGCAGGTGAAGCAAATGATTAATATATTTGTTTGCTTAACCACCTCAATAAAATTGACTCACCTTCACTGCTCCAAGCAGTGACATCCTGCGCCATCATTCCCGGTGGAGCGACATTCCAAAACCATGTGCACACCTCCTTGCTATCTCCAAGGGAGTGAGCTACCTGTAGATTTTTAATGGTCAAGTCTTTCTTGAGATCGATCGCACGGAGGGTGTTGTCATCATTGTCGATCCTGAGCTTGATTAACTGTTGTCAGTTGTGGTTATATCGTCGCGCGAGACTCCGGCTATGTTCAGCCGCATTCTGAATCATCTTCTATGCTCGCGTGTTGTCCTTCTGCCCCCGCGCATGCTTAGTCTTGTCACTGAGGAATGCACCTTGATGTCATAGTGATTCCTTGATGGCGCTGAGGAGATCATGTGCCAGCCCAATCCGAATGCGTTTCTCGAAACTCGCCAGAATCTCCAACACGAATGCCTTGCGCTCACCGCTGCTGAAGTCAGAAGGAAGGGCCAGGGCTTCCGATTCTGGCCGGCCATGCATTTCATCGTCCTCATCATCCTCAACCTCCTCTGCATCCGGCAGTTCAACTTTCGGCATGAAGGTCACTTGCTGTCAACACCACTTGTCCAAGTCATGTCACAAGCCACAGCATTCAGATTTCAGGCTCGTGGACTCGGTGGCAGATATATCGTCACCATCATTGTGCCTTCCCAACTGTGCCTGCAACACCAGCCTGTGCAGATGTAAGATCATTGGAATGGAGAAATGGAGAGACATGTACTGCCTCTGTTCCAGCTGCAGAGCAGTTTTCAGGAACTGCGCAGCACCCAATGGGGCCTTGCTCACCGTGAGATCCATCTGGTGTTCCTCAGGCTGCACCTCAATCTTAGCTAACTCTTGATATGCGCGACCGGCACTCGGAACTGAAATGGTGAGAGTTTAGCACAAAATATGGATGTGTGCACATACTTTTTGCATCGTTCAATGTGTAGATGCTCTCTACTTGTTTTCCTTTCTGCTTGGGGTTCACATCCATGGCCTCCCACCTCGCAACTTTCTCTGAGCCAGCAACTTCGGTCAAAGCATCGTACAGCTGAGCCTTGCATTCCTGCCCCTTGAAACCCTCACCGAGTTTGCGTGTGAGAAAAGTCCCTGTTACACAGCGTTAGCATGATTCTGTGAGCTACAACTGGGAGAACGCACCAACGTTCTCCACTTTCTGCCAGTTCCAATAGTTGTGGATGTCGTTCAGAACGTCGTGATGATGGCCCGCTCCCATCTCATGCATACTGAGTCTGGCCTGGTTGTGCTCAGCCCACGGATGCTTGACACTCTCTCCATGTGTGAGTCTGATGCCCCACGTGTAACACAGTGCATACAAGACTTGGCAAACTTCCTTGTGGGTGAGCATGTGCAATTTGGATAATAGCATCTGGATCTGATTGACCAGGGGTATGAGATGCAGGAACCGTGCCCCAAACTGCTTGAATATGTTGACCTTGTAGATGCAGGCGATGTCATAAGTAAATATAATATGCAGCAGTTCGTCCAGGCCAGTCAGAGCACCGGTGAGGGCAAAGTCCATGTGGCCAAACCTAAAGTTGTGGGTGAGTGCGATGACATGCTGCGCGGTGTTGAAAGTACCTCTCTCCCTTCTGTAGGTCTACCATCGCCCCTGGGCAGAAGCAGCCATGCCGTATGCATATGACAGCGACCACGCCACTGACTTCGAGGTTGCGAAATTTCCCCGGGCACTGTGCCCGCGCCACTTTGAACCCACTACATGTTTCTGGCTGTCTTCCCAGTGAGGGATCGCACCATTGAACACACAGGCTGACACACTGCAGGCTCTGCCTCGATAGACTCCATATACCATGTCATTTTGTCTGGATGTACGAAGTACCCCTGTCCTAATCCCAGGCTGACATCGTTCGGGTCATCGTGCTTTCGCTTTTTTTGCAAGCCGTGATTCCCATCACCGCCGAGCTCACATGCGTGTATATATCTAGAGACAGCTGAATGCTAGGAAAGAGAGTATAGAATGAGTAAACACTTACGCGAGTGAAGCGAGAGTGTCCTTCCAATCTCGGGGCATATTCATGCACGGGCAGGTAAAACAAGGTACCATGAGGGATTGAGGATCGTGATTTGGAAGTACCAAACCATGGAAGTTGCCCGCATGCTTCATCATTGTGAGATGATGCCAAATTTGACTGATAATATTAAACTCCCTGTATCGATTCTGATGAGTGTCAGTGATCCTCGTCGCAGCACCGGCGACAAAAATGCTTACCTTTACCGTCTGTGGTGCTGAATTGTTCGACAGTCTTCTAAGGGCGTAGATGTAATTGTACGCCCCCTTCTTCGACGTCAACATGTGCATGTGCCACTCTTTCAGGAGCGGCACAGTGAATGCACTTTCCGGGTGATCCAACGTCGCTGGGAACAACCCAGCATGCAACATTTGAAAAATGCGACCTGGTGCACCGAGGCAATGGCACCAGTGCGTCCTGACTTTGTGAACCCCGTTCATGCGAGTAACGACCAATTTGGACGGGGAGACATAGTCCACCACATAGGGGCAGCATGCTCCGTAATGCCCTAGGCACAGCCTGTATCCCAGTGTCGACAAATCGACTTTATCGAAGAACTCGCCGTTCCAAACATCGATCCAGTGGAAAGGATCGTGGCGATGATCGTTCACAATACACTTCAGGGTACCCTTTATCCCTAGCTCTTAGCAACAAGATCTTCTATAGTATGTCATAGCTAAGAGCTTCTTAAGTGTCAGACTGACCATGGTACCTATTATGTCCCAGGGCATTCTGTGGCATTGCCCAGGGCATAGATAGGGTAGTGGCTGGGCATATGGGATGATTATTATGTGGGATATCCTACTAGGCTAGGACATTAATTGTTTATCCCAGTATTACTGGTTGTCCCATGGTGTCAGGGGTACATAAGGATGTCCCACTGTTAGCAGAAGATGTATTTTAGGCTGTATATTTGTTGTTTCATCTTTTCATCTACTGCCATATTATATAAAATATAATTACATAGTGCGGTAAATCAGTGCTTTATTAACACTTTATATAAAAATGGGACATTCCATTTTAAGGATATCCCATTTTAAGGACATCCTAAAATGTGATTTATTTGTATGCTGACAGCTATTCAGGCTATTATTTGTCTGAATATATCTGTTAGACTACTATAATTACCTAAAGACCTATACTAGTCATTGTATTATTAAGATTGGAGAGTAACAGGTTCTTAAATGAGATATCCCATCCTATAGCATAATGTCCCAGAGTATAAGAAGTCATTGGGTATGTGTTTGTGAATGCAACTTTACTGCAATCTTAGGTCAAATGTCTTCCTTGCTTTATTCAGGTACATTCTATAGTAGCAGACTTAACTAAGGTGTCTCTTATTTGCTAGTGTATAAGTAGACTAAGTTACTGTGTTTCTTCTGGTTATTAATGAAAGTTATAGAATATTCAGGTTGGATGCAATATACTAAAGGTGACATCACGTCAATTTGAACATTGCATCAGAAAAGATACAATTACTTTTGAAACAGGAAAATAAGAACTGTTGTTTGGCCTGTTATAGTTGTTATTTGATCTAATGAACATGTTATACATACCACTAATAGTAATTAGTATTATAACACTGCAGGTGAATATAAAACTTAGTATGGGATATCCCACTATTTGTGGATCTCCCATCTCATTTGAAGTATCAGTAAAGCACTGGTTTATTGTACTATGTAATTAAGGTTTATACAGTATGGCAGTAGATGAAAATATGAAACAACAAATATACAACAGCTTAAAAATACATCTTCTGCTAACAGTGGGACATCCTTATGTACCCCTGACACCATGGGACAACCAGTAATACTGGGATAAACAATTAATGTCCTAGCCTAGTAGGATATCCCACATAATAATCATCCCATATGCCCAGCCACTACCCTATCTATGCCCTGGGCAATGCCACAGAATGCCCTGGGACATAATAGGTACCATGGTCAGTCTGACACTTAAGAAGCTCTTAGCTATGACATACTATAGAAGATCTTGTTGCTAAGAGCTAGGGATAAAGGGTACCCTGAAGTGCACGATACACTCCGCACAGAGTGCAGCGGACTGGAAGCAGTCTCGGCATCGTGTCGCTGAGGGTGCCCCATACACACAGAGGCTGGGGATGTTCGCATGAGCTTCTGTGGCCAAAAGGACCATGAGCAGATCACGAAAATGGGGCTTTCATCCCATGAACACCCTGGAGACACCATTCTGCAGTAGTACACATAAGAAATCAAAGGAGTAGCATGCACATATACGACTTACCTTGACACGATCCTCCATAGCTTCCGCCTCAGCAGAAGCAATGTCATTCATCGCGACATCGGGACCATCAGTCAGTGCCGATGAGGGCCCCGCCTCGGGGAGCGACTCATCATCAATCGATAAAAGCTTGCGCTTTTTGGGTGGAGTCCCAGAGTCAAATACAATGCCAGTGCTGGACAGGAAATGGCGGCCATCACTGTCGAGTCCCATCTTCTTGGAGACAAGGGCTACCTTGCACCGAGGTGATTGGAAAGTAATTCCTTTTGCTTTAGCCATCGGTCGATGCATCGTTGAACGACTATTAACCATGCAGGTTAGACGCGTTTCTCGAGAAGACACAACAACTTACCTGACAGTGCAAAGAGACTGAGGCTCATTGTGTCCGGTCCAGTCGTGAGGCCCCAAAATATTCGACTTGGTTCGCAATGCCTCGCCCGGATCTCTCAGCTTGTGGATTGCCTGCCACAGAAGTCCCAAGTTGGGGTGATCAAGTAGCTACGGAAAAGTACATACTACGGGCCTAAGATCTATCGGAACCAATCTAACAATTTGCCCTGCAGCCTGACACATCCCGGAGGGATATCCGGTACATCCCAAGATGAGCCACTGCAGGACAACTTGGGATGAGAAATGTAATCTGCGAAGGGAACAGCAAACCACTCACCAAAGTGAATTTGGGCACAACAACGGCCTCACAAACTTTTGAACACATAGTGTAAGTGAACGGGATGATATTGAAGGTTGAGACAACGAGGAAGAAGAAAAAAACTCACCTGCCAGAGTCAGTGATACCCTACGTTGTCGATATCTCTACGTCCACTCAACCGCTGGTAATACCAGCAGAAGCAGACACATACCGAGGTCTCACAATGGCTGTATGACCATCAGAGCACCACGGTGCTTGAGGAGGGAGGGCAGAAAGTCGGGGAGATGAGGCTTGATGCTTGAGGTGCAAGCTTGGGGAGAGAAGGGCTTGAGGCTGGAGGAGACTTGAGATTTGGCTAAGTCTCGCGCTGATAATCGTATTCGTGTGGAGCTCAAACCCATCAACCAAAATGGTAGGCCATATACAGCGCTCGACAAACTCTGATAAGTGGAGTGTAAACTACAAGAGATCAGCCGCGGATAATCCCTTGTCTTATCCATCATCCATCGTCATCCTCATAGCCTACCACTTCCTCTCTGTGAGTTCAGTCTCACAAGTTCTTGTTTTCTTCGTTTCTCCTCAAGTCCAGGGTGTGAACGGGAGGCATACGCCTTTTGAATGCCTCTGAGAATGACAGCTGCGCGTGAAGAGACGTTGTTCTCTTTGCCTGGCTGGTGGTCAGCAAGATCTCAAGACCTCAAGACCTTGGGCAGGCGACCGACTGAACGCTGTGTTTGCGACGCAGCTATCCCATTTTCTCATAAGTTCCTGAACTATTGGTGTGCTCGATTGCAGCTGCATCCCCGTGGCAGTAAGTGTCTCAGACTTTGAGCTACATCTTGTAGTTCAAAGTACTCGAGTGATTCTCTCACTAATTTTTTTGCGCGTTCGTATGTAGGCTATTACTTGTATACCGGTCTTGCTGTGTTGGTGTGTGAGCAACCTCAGGTCTCGCTTTTTTTTCGCTGAGGTTTCCTGAGGTACGCCGACCAGAGCTCAGAGTTTGTTTTACTCTGACTATGTGTTCTCACTGAAACAGAGGATGTCTATGAGACATGGATGCAGACATGGGTGTGAGGCGAACGCAGGACCAGGACAATGGGCAAGGGGTCGATCAGGTGAAACTTTTCCTCAACCTTCTGCCTGTCATGGGCACTGAGCGATCTCATACCTTACACCAGCACGCAGTGGAAATCGTTCCAGGCCATCAGCCTCCCAAACCAGCAATGACCCAATGTCGTGAGCATTGACACTGCCGACTGCGTCGTCATCTCAGCAGGCAATCGATGACAGAAATCGTTCCAGGCCATCAGCCTCCCAGACCAGCAATGATCTAACGTCGCAAGCATTGGCGCTGCCGACCGCGTCATCATCTCACTTCAGGGTACCTCCTATCCCTGGCTCTTAGCCTCAATATAATCTACTGTTTGTTGTGGCTAAGAGCCCCTCAGGGGGTGGTCTGACCATGGGATTTGTGGATGGCCTACTGGCCTTGTGGGATATCCCACAGTTGAGAAGGTCCTGATATGGGAGCTACTTATTAGTACTATCTGAAGTGACTCATGGGCTTTAGATCTTCCCTGTTATATAGGTTCTCTCATGGACCTCCCTTGTATTATTACTAGTCAAAGGGTGCCAGGGGGTATTTTGGACCTCCTGTAGTTTGGTATTTTTCACTTTCTGGCTTATAGCTTATTATATGATAGATACTTTGCTCCTGGATTTCTTCTTACTATGCATGCTAAACCTATATTTCTAAGGCTGTAAATGTATATTGAGCATTTCACAAATGTAGACTGGCATTTGATTATGATATATAAGTGTCTTTCTAAGTATGTTGAGACATCTTGCTAGAGTATATCTTTCAAGTATGTAGAGTTACAGTTCTTCTAAATGTCATTCCAGACCTTCTTGAATAACTGACTTGTCAATGCAGGAATAAATTATATATTTTGTACTATATCATATAATAGAAGCTGCTATCATAGACTACCAGATCTTCTGCCTGATAGAGAATGAACTTTCCAAGATCTCTACTAGTATGATGGACCTCCTGTCTGACAGAGAATGGACTTTTCAAGATCTTTCTTTAGTATGATGGACCTCCCATCGCATACAGAATGGGCCTCCCAAGATTCTGATTTTACTTAATGTATCTCCCATTTTACAGAAAATGGACCTCCTAAGGCCTCTATTTTCAACTGTGGACCTCCTGTACCATATAAAATGGACCTTCCAAGGTCCTAATTTTGTGCAATAAACCTCCCAAAATATACTTCAGGATGTTTAAGGTCTCTAGCAATCACCCTAAATTTCTAAATTCACCCATATTTTTAGAAATACTATATTGCTGTTACTAGTATGTACAGCAAGTTTATTAGGTTATACATTAACTGAAACAGGCCAAATAATAGTGCTTGTTATCGCATCTTAAAAGATATTTGACACTTTCTGTTATAATGCCTAAGCTAACCTCATATAACATTTATTATATAGCATCTGATGTGAACATTCTATAACTTTCATTAACTGAGTTAAGAGACAATGTAACCCAGTGTGTCTATATACTAGTAGAGAAGATAAGATTCTGCCTATAAGAATGTAGTAAAGAGAGAAGCAAGGTATTTAGTCCAACAGTCTGAAAAAGTTGTACTTACAGCAGATGCATTCACTGCACAACATTCTCTTCCAAAGAGGATAATAGGACAGATCTATAGTTCTCCCAATATCCTAATCTAACAGGATGTCCCATTAATATACAGGGATGTCCCATTAATATACAGAAATGTCTCATTATTGCATCATGTAAAGAAATGTTCTTTGGTACAGATAGTTGTATAGACTGTTGGACTAAATGCCTTGCTTCTCTCTTTACTAGAGACCTTAAACATCCTGAAGTATATTTTGGGAGGTCCATTGCACAAAATTAGGATCTTAGGAGGTCCATTTTATATGATACAGGAGGTCCACAGTTTAAAATAGAGGTTTTAGGAGGTCCATTCTCTGTAGGATAGGCGAATTTAAAAACTTAATATGACTGCTGCTAGAGACCTTAGACATTCTGAAGTAGTATTTTGGGAGGTTTATTGCACAAAATTAGGACCTTGGAAGGTCCATTTTATATGGTACAGGAGGTCCACAGTTGAAAATAGAGGCCTTAGGAGGTCCATTTTCTGTAAAATGGGAGATACATTAAGTAAAATCAGAATCTTGGGAGGCCCATTCTGTATGCGATGGGAGGTCCATCATACTAAAGAAAGATCTTGAAAAGTCCATTCTCTGTCAGACAGGAGGTCCATCATACTAGTAGAGATCTTGGAAAGTTCATTCTCTATCAGGCAGAAGATCTGGTAGTCTATGATAGCAGCTTCTATTATATGATATAGTACAAAATATATAATTTATTCCTGCATTGACAAGTCAGTTATTCAAGAAGGTCTGGAATGACATTTAGAAGAACTGTAACTCTACATACTTGAAAGATATACTCTAGCAAGATGTCTCAACATACTTAGAAAGACACTTATATATCATAATCAAATGCCAGTCTACATTTGTGAAATGCTCAATATACATTTACAGCCTTAGAAATATAGGTTTAGCATGCATAGTAAGAAGAAATCCAGGAGCAAAGTATCTATCATATAATAAGCTATAAGCCAGAAAGTGAAAAATACCAAACTACAGGAGGTCCAAAATACCCCCTGGCACCCTTTGACTAGTAATAATACAAGGGAGGTCCATGAGAGAACCTATATAACAGGGAAGATCTAAAGCCCATGAGTCACTTCAGATAGTACTAATAAGTAGCTCCCATATCAGGACCTTCTCAACTGTGGGATATCCCACAAGGCCAGTAGGCCATCCACAAATCCCATGGTCAGACCACCCCCTGAGGGGCTCTTAGCCACAACAAACAGTAGATTATATTGAGGCTAAGAGCCAGGGATAGGAGGTACCCTGAAGTGCATCATCTCAGCAGGTGATCGTTGACGGAGAGGGCGAGCTAGCTGATAGGCAGAACTTACAATGCGCTAGCAGCTGTTTCTGATCATCCGAAACAGTAACGAATGAATTGAAGGCGTTCAACGGCATTTTGGCCGCAGACTTTCCACTGCGTGAGGAGGGTGTGATTACCACTCCGAACGCGACTTACATACCTGAGTTCCTGGTCATACGTGATGGGCAAATTGTCATGAGGCAGGATGGCCAATGGGGGCCTCAAGAATACTCGAGGTGGCTGCAGATGTATGACTGCAAGGTCATCCACCACATGTGCATCCCGACTTTGCAGAGCATGGTGGAGGCGGATGTGATGGTGCTGTGGGATAAGATATGGGTATGGGAATGGGAGGTGGACACCACATGCGGCGTGCCCGAGCTGGGCTTCCTGGTGGAGGACAAGCTGAAAGAACTCACCGAGACGGCCCTGCATGTGACACACAGATTCAAACACAAGCTTGGCGAATAGTGCAGAGCAGGGGTATACCCCTGGGTACTTTGAGCTGTACCCCTACCCTTACCCTCCAAGGGTACATACCCTTCACCAGGGGTAAGAGTATGGGTAAGGGTACCAAACCCTGAGGGTATACCCCTCAATATCTGCCTTACTTAAGAAAACAACATCATAGACATTAAGTTTAAGGCTTGTTATAGCCTTCTTTTTTCTTTGAAGCTTCTGTAGACATATTTTAAGGCTGTATCTAGACTATACTTAGGCTTTAGTCACCATACAATTACTGCTTACATTATATATACTATATGCAGTGATACCCTCCAGGGGTACAAGAGTCTGAAAGTTCATACCCCTACCCTTACCCTCCAATACCCTTACCCCTTACCCTTGAGGGTTATCCATACCCCTGCTCTGCACTATTGGCGATATGGTCTCAGAGAAGAACAAAGCCGGCATGCAGCTCCTGCTGATGCTCACGCAATGCCTTGACCGTCTTCATCTCTTACCGACCTCTTGCAATCACACGATCGTGCTGGGTGCACATGTGCAATGCCTCACCCTCAAGTTGTGGGGGTACGTGAACTACTACTCAGTCATTGTCAGTCGCCTTGAGACCCCAACTCTGCACGGGAGTGCAGATTGGGACATATTACCGGTCCGTGGTGCATTCACGAATGACGTGAGTGTCACGCAGTCATTGTTCTGCATCGGCGTGCTGTTTCGGTTCATCCAGATGAAGACCGACAAGATGAGGATTAAGAAGTGGGCATTCCCTGTGCCTATCAGCAATGAGCTAAGCCTCGAAATGTCATGGTCGTGCCTTCTCAGGAACGAGACCAATCTCGCGGGGATCTTGAACTGCCCAGGAGATTGGCCCTCGAGGATGCTGCACGAGGCTACCAATGCTGTCTGTGATGTGCAGCTGCCACCTTTGAAAGGCGCGTCCGAAAGCTCAAGTGCTGAGCAGCCCCCACAGAAGAAGCAAAAGAATGACAAACAGCTGTCCGTTCAGCAAGGTGATGGCAATGTCAAGTCGCAGGCCTCGCACTCTGTGGCAGAGTCCTCCAAGAAGTCCAAGCAGTCGCATTGTGGCATGCGAGGAAAAAAGAATCACCACGTCGAAGGTTCTAGCATGGAGACATCACAGCCTGCCCATCTATCTTTGGTGCATGAGTGCAGCACATTAATCGGTGCTGCATGGAACACCGCACTCTCAGCTGTGCCGCCTTTAGCAGCTCCTGCACGGGTGGCAACGTACTTCTTCCCTCCACCTTTCATGCTTGGGTGCTCCAGTGACAAGCTTAGGTGGTATCTGCACAATTTCGTGCGGATCCACAGATTTTGTCATCAACGTATTCTAGATCCAACAATCGGCGGCCTCCCACTGAAGATAGTGAAATGGTGTGATGCGTTGTGGGGGGATTACAGCCTGGACGAGGCAGTGGATGGTGGCAGTGCAATCACAGTGAGCAGAAGTGTCGATGCCTCTGTAGAGGGTGAGATGGGGGTGACTGAGGGCCCAATCCGCACGAGTGATGCCACGGGCCCCATGTCACAAGTGAATTCTGCGAGTAAGACTGGCTCTGCGAAAAAGGTGAAGGATAGGCATGAGCGACAGCAGAATATTCACCATCTCTTCACTGCGACCGGCCGCATGAGCTCCTACATCGAGACTGCGCAACCGCATTTCGGCATGGACTTAATTTCAGTGGATGACGTAGATGAGCTGTGCGAGAAGCTGTTGTGGGAGGTTCACGAGACCAACTGGCATTGTGAGCTGCATGCATTGGATGCTCATCTATTGGACATGAGCAAGTGGAGCTCCATGCACCACTGGGAACGTGAGGCGCAACTCGCGAAAGTGTGGGACAAGCGGGACTCTGGCTCAGGTCTAACGTTCACACCATGTTGGAACTCACACGATGTTGTCTTCTGCTGGGTGCGTGCTCCTGCGCAGGGATGGCTGCCGTGCAAAAAATTCTTGGCCGCTTTTATTGCTGTTATGCAGCGATGGCCAGAACTTCCGGAAGGCTTACGACTGGATGCGCGCAAGGTCCTCGCCTATGAGGCGGACAAATACAATCTCTTGCAAGAGAACATCGTCCGATTCTATGTGACTACATTTGTGCATCACTTCCACCATCTGCCCATCACACCCATCCAATATGCTTAGTCCGCCATTCGTGTTTGCTCGCAGATTGTTGTTTTGTATATCGTTGTATGAATGACATGTTCGCATTTTTGCATGTTCAATACTTCTCGAGTGATTTTTCTTTCCCAATGATCTTACTGTGTTGAGTTGTGCTCGGAATCACGGTAAGTAGTTATGTTGCATGCTATACTCTCTCGTGCTCATTGCTCTCTCCCGTAGGCTTTCAGTTTGCACGCAATGCCCCTCCCCGATAGATCTGCAATAGCGAAACAGGTCAAGTAGTTATGTTGTGTGCTAGATCTTTGTTACTCATTGCTGTCTCCCATAGGCTTTCAGCTCACGTGCAACGCCCCTCCCCGATAGATCTGCAGTAGTGGATGGCTCGACACTGTTTGTGTACGTATATTTGCTCAAAAACTTACAGTATAAAATGCCAGCCATGAATGCACTGACCTTCAGCTCCAGAATATGGCTCCCATTTTCACTGATCCTCACGTCAAAACCATCATCGACAGCTTCCTGCCTCGGCGTGATGTCCTGGTCTCGTCCTTGATAACGTGTGCCATCCAGCCCGATGAACGCCACGCCGTCATGGTGAGCTATGGCGTTAACAATGTGGACAACCTCGGCATGCTCTTCGAGACTGTAAGCATGGTTCAAAATCTTGCTACTGAATAGTTTCTTACCTTTGCCCAGTGTCGTGTGACTCCGAAATGTGCCCGCCATCTCAAGCGGCTCCGAGCGCAAATGACGACGGCCAATATGGTGCAATGCCATGAGGATGTCGCTGCACTTCGCCCGCGCCCCATACTCGGTGGTGCGGCCTATTTGCACTCTGACAGCCCCAAGTCTGAGGCGACGATGCTGCTGACAAGCCCCATGGTTGACACCAGCTTGCCGCCAAGTTCTCCCATCATGTCGCCAGCCTTGCATCACCGTGGGCATCCTCCATTGGACTCTGGCAATGTCTCAGTGCTTGTGGTGTGCAAGGTAAGTCTTATCTAGTGTTTGATGCCAAGCATGCTAATGCTCTATTCAGAGATCAGACATTCCTCTCATTATTCCAGCACGGGGAATACTTTGCCACGATTACCTCGAATTCACCTTCAAGCAGAGTTTTATCGAGACCATGCTCGTCGATGACGCATGAGGCTTATCACCCTACCAGTGCTACTGCCCTCACCTGCGTAAGTTTACAGATTATCCGAAGCACGCCGACAAGCAGTACTTGCTACCCAGGGATCCCCATCTACCACGAGAAGGGGAGCACGTGGCATCCGACTGAAGCTCAGATCTCTAACATACAGGCTGCAGTGAGCACGCATCTCTCTGCGCTCCTGGCTACCATGGACACGTTCGTGAAGAGCGATCCCAACACTTCATCATCCTCTTTGTCCGGCTCTCGGTATATCCCCTCAACTCCTTCGACTAGCGGGAACTCCAAGGCCGGGGGTAGCCTGAGCTCCAGCACACGTGTGGGCAAGCACGCATTATCACCGAACATGGAGATGGAGAGGAGGAGATCGAAATGGATGGACAACAGCAAGGTGCATGAGGTGACAGACTACGATATAGAGCTGACGGACGATGAGGTGGAGGCAGAGATTGTGCCTAATGATGACATTCCGGGTGAGGTCATCGAGATTGTCGAAGGCAAAGAGATCTACTACATAATGTAGACTGACCTAATTTGGAATAGCTCACCCAACCGGAGTCTCAACAGGAAGATAGATATTACTTTTTGAATGGGGAAGTGTCCGTGTAGTTCAACCTGGTGAGATCAAATCTGCGTGCATTCAATCTGAAGATCCTCCACTTAGCATCAGCACATTCTTAGTGGTAACGCAGCCAATAACACTATATTTTGCATATCGCGAGGCTAAACTAACAAGTCCGATCAGGGTTACCATGTCTCAGGTGCAGTGTTATCGGAAGAGCCGGTATATCCACTAGGAATGTTTAAAGATCACAACCGTGGAATGCTGGTGAGTTAATCTCACCTCGTTGTATCAGAAGTGCGCTGACGATGCCAGCAACCTCGCTCGACGATAGTAAATGCATTAGTTGGAAGCCGGGCGAGCTCAGCATACTCGATGAAAAACATGCGGAGTATCAGGTGTTCAAACTCGGCAGCGTGCAAAGAAAGGAACTCCTCGATGTTATGGCAGAGGCATTACAGAAGGCCTCTCCTCGCCTTCAGAACATGCAACTATTGACAGTTCGTAAGGTGAGTGTCACTCTCATCAGTATTTCATTCAAATATGCTAAGGAATTGACATACAGAAGGTTCTGCACTTCTTCAAGAATGATAGGGTTCGGAAGATTCAAGGTGACGGACGTGTTCCTCCCAACACACGCATGCTATTTTCTATGTGCATCCGTCACGATGGTGCCAGCGCATTGTGGGTGAATTCTGAGGAGAGGTGGAAGGTATGAAACGCGTCGCTGGAACGCGAGAAGGCGAGCGGCACAGTGAATGATGGCAACTGCCTGGGACTTATCTCCTCACTCAAGGCCTCACTTTTCAAGAAGCTGCCAGCGGAGGAGCAGAAGGAGTGGGCCGAGAAAGCGGATGTGCTGCGCAAGGAGGAGGAAAATATGAGCCTCGATGAGGCCATCGCCGTGTAAGTCCAGAGCACATTTTTGGTATTGTCGAAGCTCATCAGTGACGGCAGCAACCAGGAGACCCTCTTCGTCACAGTGGCCATGGGTCTGAAGGCCTTGATTGGAAGGTGAACGCGGGCAAGCCAGTGAGAATGTCGGCTTCCATGTGAAGATGGTCTATAAACCCCGAGATGGAGCTACTCATTTCACTTGGTAAGTTCACACCCTTGTTTGTATTATCTCATTCTCATGTCATTCTCAGCATGAACGTTATGCTGAATCAAGAATCGGGACACTTTTCAACATTCGAAGGGGGTAGCGAAGCTGAACGCTTGCGGTGGATGCACTTTGCGGAGCAAGTGTTTTGTAAGTTTTAGGCTGTGCATTCACCTGGGTCTCTAAACCTTACAGTAGTACCCGCAGCTGTCAACCGAAAGGCTGACAACGTGACTGGCAAGCCCGTTCTTCTACAAATGGAGGATGACTGGACCCCCGTGCGCGTGAGAAAGACTCTCAAGGAATACTTGAAAGGTTTATGGGGTATGTACTTCTCATTTTGAAATATGTTTTATCGTACTAACTATGTGAAATAGACTTTTCTCACCATCCAGTCATGGATCCTCCCGATCTCCCGTGGAATGAGCTCAATGATCTCATGTGCGACGTGATGCCCGAGATGTGGTGTGGATCTCTCGGGGATCCAGAGAAGATGAAGGCCGCAGAAGTCATGGCCCTTTACCTTCAGATGCACGACTGTCAGGATACCGCTGTGGCCTTGCACTTCATGGTACACCCTGAAGACATCAAAGGTCGCAAGAATGTCAATATTCTAGGCGAATCGTCCCATGGCGGCCACATCATAGTTCTTGAGTCAGAAGAGGATGATGATGACGATGATAGTGTAGTCGTCCTCTCCCCATCGCACAGGAAACTTAACCTTATGAAGTCGAAGGGCGCTCGTGTGTCGAAGGAGAACAAACGCTGAAGTGACCATGAGCACAGTGAGAGAGAGCACGAGGGCGAGCGTGAACATGGCGTTGATGGACAGCACCACGATGACGATGGAGGACAGCATGACAGTGTCGATGGTGGACATGATGACAATGACGATGGAGGACAGCGCGATGACATCAATGGAGGACAGATGAGGAGGGGACGGAGGTGCAACCAACCTCCACGGTGCATGCTCCATTGTGTAACCACTATCTGTCACTAATAGAATACCAACAGTGAGCCGCCTGAGTCTGCATTGACCACTAAGGGTGCACACAATGATGACGATGACGGAGGACATCACAACAGCGATGATGGAGGACAGCGCGATGATGACGATGTCAGTGCCGGTCAGCTCAACAGTGATACAAATGCGGAAGGCAAGGATGATCCGGACGTGCACCCCAAGGACAGGTGGGATGACAAGAAGGTAGCAAAGGCAGCGAAGATGAGGAGGGGATGGAGGCGCAAACAACCTCCACAATGCATGCTCCATTGTGTAACTGCTTTATTTGTCACTAATAGAATACCTACAGTGAGCCTTAGTCTGCATCAAACGTGAAGGGTGGCGGTCGGGCTCCAGCAAAGAAACCTCGGTACGTTATCATTACTTATTTTACACACTTTCTCATTGTATCTACAGTGTCGCAGGCAGTGTTGCCGGTGAGAAGTGACTAACACGGGCTGCGACTCTGCCGTGCAAGTCTACCCGTATCGCTATCCCTACTGAACGCAAGAGATTCTCGAAGTAAGGCCGATGTAAGGTTCAGTCGCATTTTCTCCACGCATGCCTTTACTATTATTCTTCGGTGTCGTTCTGTTGTTTCATGATTGAGATAATCCTTAGATAATCCCTTACAAACCCCCACTCATCCTTTGTTGATCCTTATGCTATTTATACAGGATAATCCTTAGATAATCCCTTACAACACCTGCTCATCTTCCTTCAATTCTTATGATGTTTAACAGTGGATAATCTGCTGGTATGAGTTGTGTTAGTTACATTAGTGGAGATTATACAAGAGGATGATCTCTTGGATTATCATTCTCTTTTACAAGTTGAGGGATCATATATAGCAGATAATCATAGGATTATCCATGTCTAATCCTACTATGTACAGCATGTTAGGAGGGTTAAAGCACCCTAAGTGATTTGAGATAATCCAAGGATAATCTCAGTAGATTATTCTTGTACATGACCTGCTTATTAAACCTGGATTTTATCCTTAATTGTAACTTATAAGCACTAAAGATTATCCTTTATAACTGACAATGATGGTATAAAAGGAACAACTGTCTTTCCTGCAGGTAACTAAAGGCTGTATCTATGAGCCTAGGACAATGAAGGCTTGCTCATGTAGTTTTTGATTACTGTAACTACCACACCACCTGTACTTGTACTATATGTATTGATCATACACCCTTGCTCAAAAACTGTGAGCACCCAGTCAGAGTTGGGGACTGGTGCGAGCGCCGCTACGATCCGTATCTGATACGAACTGGGATGTTTCCGTAATTACGATACGGTTGCGAGCCCTAGTTGGGATAGCTTGCTCTTCAAGCAAGAATGTAGGTACGTAGGGTGCTTGTCCTAATCAAGGAGTACTTACCGTCACTTCTCACCAACCTTTCATATTGTGGTTCCAGGTGCTTCTCCCCGCTGGGGCAGTGGAAGATCAACCATTGTTCTTGGCAAAGAATAAGTGTGTTACTGAAATTTTGAAAAAACACACGGGACATAACACCACTTCAATAAACACTCGCATGATACGGCAGTGCCTCTTCACTGTCAACAGGTTCACTTCTAGAGTCTGACACATACGCAACATCACTTCTCCCACGTTGGAGTTCTGACTTCCGTGAACTTCATCAGGAAAACCCAACTTTCTCTTATGGACTTATTTAGACTTTTGGGTCTGACAACCCTTATTTAAGGCCATAAGTGTTCAAATAAGTCGAATTTCAGACACTCAGGGAATATGCCTTAGGCCCTTTATGTCCTTATGTCCTTAAATAAGGATCATAAGTCCATTTAAGTTATTTAAGTGTCCTTTTAAGGAAAAGTGGGGTTTTCCTGATGTTTCGGAGACAACTAGAGTTGAACTAGAGTGTCATATCCACGAGGCACAATTGGCTACAAACTCCGAGTCTGAATCGCCTGGGTCCTTGAGTACTGTTGCAATTTGTGGCATGTTCTCACCTCATCTGAAGTATATATAACCATCCTTGAACTACAGTAGAGAGTCTTTCAGTCTTTCAACTACTGCCACTGCCTTTTACATCAGGAAAACCCAACTTTCTCTTAGGGACTTATTTAGACTTTTGGATCTGACAACCCTTATTTAAGGCCATAAGTGTTCAAATAAGTTGAATTTCAGACACTCACACCTGTCCCTGGCATACTGATATATCAAGTATGGTCACAAGAATAAGGGACTGATACATTGACGGTGATAACTACTACAGGCTCTGATACATCATTCTGTGGTCCTCAACAGTCCCTTCTATGCCATGTTTGTTCTCCCTTAGGTGGCTGACATCCTCCCGGTCCTCCCTGCTTGTCCGCTGTTTTGGTAGATCTGGTAGGATGTCGGGATCTCATAGATCTCTAAGATTCGGTCTGGATCGTGCGAGAAAATCTCACCTTCCTGTCGCGCCCTGTCGCACCGCCCGCCTTCATTCTGTCATAGATTTGTTATTCAGTTCTATATGTCGCAACAGGTTTCCATTTAGAGAATGTCACACAAAAATCAACATATTTGTACAAAAATATCAACAGAGCACAATGCTACATGTTATACCATTCAGCCACCAAGGAACATCTTCTGAGTGTCTGGGGAGACCTGCAAAAAGGGGTACAACTGCTGGAAGCTATGGGCAGAAATCCGCGGACCTGTCTGATATTAACCTGCTAAAGGGCAGATGCCGGAATGGTACCCACGAGAGAAGCGGACATGCTAGCTTATGTGTGCGGTGGAAGAATGTCCATAGGTCCAATCACCAGACCCATTTCCGGAAGGGTAACCTCGGCAGAATCCACAGCTACGGTAACGTCGCCTCCCGCCTGCAGCCAGGCAGGCACACAGTGCCATACAGACTTGCAGTGATCTCTCATAGACTCCCAGATTTTTGCTTGATGGTATGCATATGCAGTGGCACCTTCTAAATGTTCAGGCGATCGTGCTGGAATCGTGTCAATTTGCTCCATCCACCACCACCACATCCAATCATGAAAACTGATGACTCTCCACATCTCCTCAGGTAACTGGTAGCATTCCTCAATCCAGCGATAAGCCTGAGCACGGGCATTGCACCACTTGATATGGAGCTCTGAAGAAATCTGAAAGCTTTCAGATCATTCATCAACAGAGAAATGGAACGACGAACCTTCATTGACACCGGCGTCCGTCGTGCTGGTGTCCCCCACACCATGTGTCCACCATATCCAAGGCAGCTTCTTGCAGCTCTGGGTCTCACCCAATCCAGCCTCCGTCATTCCCCACATGTCTTCCTCTTGCAGCAGGGCCAAGCTGTGGGGTCTTGAAGGTTCGTTGAGCAAGACGGACAGTGAATTGATTGCATTGAAGGCACCACAATAGCGGGCTGCGTCTGCATTGACTTTCTCCTGAATATGCGCGATGGATGTCTTTGCTCGCATGAGGTATCGTTGTCCATGAACAAAATGGTCCTTGAATTTGTACATATGCATATGCAGCCATAGATGCCATCGCAGATCTTCTAAGGCGTCATGTGCTTGGGCAATCTGCAGATGCAATTCATATGTCTGAAGGTGAGAGTCACAAGGTGTCACTGCGGGCAGTTCCAATGGCAAATAGAGTGTCATATCCTGCGTGAAAACCTCCTTAGCGGCAGCAGCCACAGCTCGCGTGCGCAGAGCCACGGTAGCAGGGATATAGAGCTGCTGGATGTATGTCCAAGCCTCTATCTTGCGACGTAGTGCATTTCACCGCTCAATCATCTTGGCACATTGGAGATCTGTGGAATGTGCCCCGAGGGTCACTATGTCGTGCCGAAGGTGATATCTAAGATGAATGTATGAGAACAGGAGCTGAATTACAATAACTGGTGCTTACTGCTGTTCCTGGAGCTCGATTCCGGCCATTATCATCACGCTTGGGGATACCAGGTCATGCACCATCCCACTTTGCACACCATTCTCTAACTCCACAGCCTCCTCATTGGCTAACTGCAGGTGCACAGCCACTTGAGTCACCGCTGAATGTGTATGAATGTCAGACAGACATTGCACACCGCAATTGAACTACTTACTAGGACAGGTCGCAACAACAGGGTTCAGTTTGGATGAGTCCTTCTCCCATGTTTTGACAGTGTTTCTCCATAAGTTCCAATCCTCCAGCACCATCGCATCGTTAAGTTCTGCAAATGCCAAGACTTGTTTATTGTGCTCAGGTAATGCAGCTTTAATCTTCACCAAAAAAAGTGTGGCTTCACATTTATTAGCCTGGAGATATTCAAAGGATCTTGATACAGCACTCACGCATTCCGCAAACTTTTCTCCAATTATAATCTGTGAACGCATCATCCAGGAAATTGCATCGTGAACCGGGGCCTATCTCCTTTGTACTTGAGGAATATAGGTTCGAGTCTGAATATGGTCGCTCGACACCCTCACCGTCCATCTCACCAACATGCAAGGTGTGGTGAAATGAGTAATTATCTTGGCATGACTTCTGATGGGCATTGATATGGAATTTCGGGATTAGGAAGACAAAGTCGTGATCATCTTTCTTGAATGGGCAAGATTTGTAGAGCTGGTACCATTTCCACAAGTTTTTATGCCACTGACAAGCGATGTCATAGGAGATGACAACATCCTTTGATGGGACATTGGCCAAGGTCGAGAAGAACATGTAATCCATGTTGACATACCTGCACAATGATCAGCACCAGAATATAGACCACCATGAACATTAGCTTACCATTCTCCCTTCTGGAGATCACTGACACTGCAAGGCAGCCTCATATCATGCCGTGTACACGTCACGGCACCGACACCACTTGCAGCTGTACCTGTGACCGAGCCCCTCATATTGGCTAACTTGACAGCATCATGGTTGTTGCACATACTCTGCTCTTCCGTCACAAGAGAGTCGTATATGCTGAGGTATTCCTTGTATGCCCTTTCCTCTACGAAGTAGGCGTAGCCGTGATTCAGCCCGGGATCAACACTGTCTGAGGAAACCTTCTTGCATTTGAGGCGGAAATTTGCGTTGAGCCCAATAAACAGCTGGTACAACCATCTACCATTAGGTAAATTATCAGGCTGTGATAGGCAAGATGAATGATTGAGAACTCACTTCTCATTCTCTGGAGCTTCCTCCCAGTCTGGACGCAAATTCTTTCCAGGGTGGGGACAGGCCGGGCAAAGAACCACGCAAGACCCAGGAGTGGTCGCTCGCACACCACCTGGATCATGGCCCCGACCAGCTCGCTTCAGCATCTTCAGGTGCCACCACATATGCATAATACGCATGAAGGCAGGGTAGCGATCCTACACCTCATTAGCAATGTAGAGAATTGTAGATTGGCATGCAATGTACCTTGGGCGTTCGTACGCCAGTCAGTATTATTAGTGAGCCGGGCAAGACTCTGGTAGAACTCGTAGCCAGATGTCTTCGACTGAGTAGTCAGCAGGTGCGCATATCAGCATAGATGGAAAGTAGCAGCAGTCTTGGGGTTTGTTGACGTGGCTGGAAATAGCTGTGCACGAAGGAGTTGCACAGCGTGCACTTTAGCTGTCTCGCAGCTGCAAAAATCCAGGCCGATTTCATGTATCCCATTAGTATTTAGCACCAGGAAATCATCCCCTGTGGCTCGCACAGGCAGATGACATCGGTGCTCGAATCTATAAGTGAGTCCATGACCCAGTTGGACTCGTAATCTAAGATTTTTCAATGAGTTTGGTTGGAAGTGGGATCCAGTCCAAGTCTGTATTTCGCAAGCAAGCGATCAGCTACACCTCATTAAAAGAATGGTAAAGCCGATGCACCTGCACACAATGAAAAGGTGTGCGCTTGTGGAAATTGACTTCACATGTACAGCAGTAAATGGCGAGGTCGAAGCAGTCCTGGCTGCGAACCATGGCTGAGCCTTCCTCGCAAAATTGGCACCACCCAGAGTCATAGCCGCAGCGCCCCTCCAAGCACAGCATTTCGGACAGATAATTGTCAATCTCTGGGATCTATTCCCGGAGAGGATTATCCTAATGACCCAATATCAAAAAGCCGCCAGAGAGGAAATAGCAGAGACTTACTCCTGCACCATGCCGACAAGGCTTACATGCAAGCAAATTCTTAATGTCTTCTAGATATTGAGGGTCCAGGTCAAAAATATCGATGTCCTCATCATCGTCTATGATAGCAGTGTTTGTCGTTCCACAGAGCTCGGAAAAATCAAATGATGGGGTGCTCTGGGCACCCGTATTCATAGTGGAAGCGGTGTAGAAAGACATTCTGGTGAAAACTTTGTTGCCTCCAGACACGTACTCTGTGTGATGTACAATGTCCTGCAAATAGTGGATGTTGTTGTTGGTGCCATCAGCATCGCCATCCAAGACAATGTACTCCTCGCAATTTAGGGCTCATTTCTTCTTCAGCATTATGGAGACAGCTGCATGGCAGAAAGACTTCAAGTGCGTCCAATATTTCATTTTGTTGATAAGTCTGGCAGAACATAGAGGGGCACGCAGAAAAAATGAGCGTCGAGAAAAGAAATGGTGCCGGCTGTTGCTAAAAAAAAGTCTATCGGATGGGTATTCTTGCTGTGTGACAGTGCATGGTGTCAGAGACCCCTACTGATGTTACAAATAATGTACAGCAAATCCGGAAGATGCGCTAGTGACCAGGGCTTGATATATCATACTCCCGTTGCGAACTTCAGCTGTGCACTAAACCTTGGCATTTGGGTAACATCCAAAAGTCGTCAACAAGAATCTATAGTCAGTCAGCCAGATGCCCGACCTCATTGTATACACACTTGGATGATGGAGTGACTTGAATAAGGGCCAAAGATTTCAGGTGCAGCATGCAGCTGTCAGGATAGGCTTGAGCTAAATGCACAGTTGAGCATCTATTGAGTTCCAACAAGACTAGCCAATCGCAGGACACCGCTAAGTATCACCCTAAAACTCCATATGACATTTACATTATCAGATACCTTTACATATCTGCCTCGGACGACTGCGCACATATGACGTTCAGCCTGCAAAGCCACTACATTCTTGACTATACATTACTCTACTGACCTTATTCACTGTTGCACCCTAAACCCGATGCATGCTTCCAGCCTGGCCAATGTCATGTTCTCGACCTCATGCAATGCCAACCTCCCCGCCTGATGCAGTCGCTCCCACCACCCATACTCCCGACCTAGAGTGACGTCGTGCTCCCAACCTTACGGTCGCATCGCCCACTCTCAACATCGCACACCTTCGCACTACCTCGGGAAAATATCACTCCGCCTCAGCCTGGCATAACATCGCTCTCTCGTCGTGATGCAACATCACTCTCTACACGTACCACACCTTCGCACTACCCTGGTGAAATGTCACTCCACTATCAACCTGGGGCAACATCTATCCTCATCGACAAATCTCAGCCTAGTGTAACATCGCTCTCTCGACGTGGCACAGTGTCACCCTCGACATGGACCATGACATCGCTGTCTCCATCTGAAGTGACATTGTGTCACTCTCTCCGAATTGCACACCCTCGCAGCCTAAATGAGTCTCAATCAGTAAACTGGCATACAGGACAACACATCCTTTTCAGATTGGATGTGCAGTATATATCTTCTCAGTCCCCAAGTACTTACATCACGAAGCCGGCACACAACTGACACGTTGCTACTACCATATGTCAGATCTGAGACGCCGCGACAGAACCACCATCAGGCAAGTAGACATTACTTACCTCATAGTCATCCACAATCTGCAAGATGTCAATGACACCACGAGAGCCTTCCCTGAATGACGAAACCCTGAGTAACATCAGTCCGCATAACATGGAGCCAAAAAAAAAATTAACATACGTGCATCATATCTCAGCTACAACCAGCGAGCTGCCATGGCCACCGACAACAACACCTGTCGCCATTCTGTTAGAACACAGTAGGACAAACCAACCGATGACCACTTACCTCGATCAGAGCTCAGAGCAAGAGACCAACCGACGTGCATCATATCTCAGCTGCAACGAGCTGCCGCGGCCACCGACAACAACACCTGTCACCATTCTATTAGAACATGCAAGAACAAACCAACCAACGAATACTCACCTCGATCAGAGCCTGAAGCAAGAGACCAACCAATGAAGACATACCTTGAGGGACAAGAGGGCCCTCCCAGTGAAAAGTGGGCAATGATAACCACCGGTCATGATGGTCATGAAGAGAGAAGGGATACAAAGGAGGACAGTCTGATATAGTACCTGGATGAAGGTTCAAACTCTGCCAAATCATGTGAAGACCTTTTCACGTGCCCCAATCAAATGACCAATCAGCAAGTGGATAAGTGTCCTACTGAAATTCTGTCCAAACCAATCTAGGTGGCTCGAACGGATGAGAAGTCACAAGCTGTTAGAATTTATTGTGGATGAGTTGGTAGGTTACTAGTGTATGTAACACTAGCAACTATAAGTACTTGACTGATAATAGTGGTGCAGAACAGAGATTGTGAGTAAGGCCAATCGTGACGCTCAAGTACGAAGTCCCAATCCATCTAGATCTGTGGCGTGAGGTTTCTGTGCTCTTCGCTGCCGTCCCTCATGATTGCCTTCTGCTGTCCAGGTTTCTGGAGTAGAACTCATCGATCATATATTCTGTGTCTACACTACCGCATATTCATACACTGGAATGGTAATCCTCCATCACGGTGCGCCTCGTTATACGCAAAGATCCCTCTGCACCTGATGTCTAATTCCTTGCTGAGGCAACAGATTATCTTCGCCCCCCATTCCAAATACAGCTCCCCCAACTCATCTTCTCATGTGCTGTCACTGGCGCTCCTCCATGCTGCGATCCGCGTGCAGAGCTCCTGTCGTGCACACTCAGCTCTGGCGTCCCACCCCTCTTCCTCCTGCCAGCTCTCGTAGTGGCGCTCCTGTCCCCGTGCGACCATCTGGTCCCACTGGAACAGATGGATCTGTTTCACTATGCCTCGCAAAAGCTTCAAGGTCCAGGTGTGGCTCGGAGGGTCAAAGGTGTATGGATGCGTCCATAAACTGAGGTGGGGGCTTTCCGCAATGACTGATCAAAACTTCAGTGGGAAGTCATGACGCGCATATTGCATGAAGATCGGCAGCATGTCAGGGAGTGACTCAGTGAATGGTGTGGTGTAGAGTTCCTCGCATGCAATGTATTGCCATCAGTTTTGTTGACTCCTTGTGCTGTGGCCTCTATACATGGTGTGAGATTCTGTGTAGTATAGCAATGATCCTTGCGTACTTAGCTGACTTATTGTATACTTGTTTTTGCTTATGGATGGCGCTTTTTTTAGCATTCTGTGTGAAGTACTTAGCACGCCATCCCATCAAAAGAGGTTCAGAGTGAGGCCTGGACTGCCAAAACCCCGGAATTTGAAGTATATTTCAATGCTCTTACACGTGTTTCGCAAAAAAGTATGCATTTTATAAAATCACATCGCGATTGTCCATAAACGACGCAGGAGTGAGGGATATAGAATGATGATGGAGAACGTAAGTACAGCGGCTGTAGTATGCAAGAGTATTTACTTGCATATTGGCACTACCAAGAAGTCAGTCAGGTGAATATTCAAGACAAAAAGACAACATCAACTGGAGCCCGACCCTGCCACACATTGACACGATGTCAACAGCACCCATCAAACCACCTGCACAGTGCCATGGGTGAGGGCGGTGTTGAAGGTGCTGATGGCCGCAGTGTACGTAGGGTGCCTCTTGCAGAATGCACCCGAAACACCATGCATGTATGCAGCAACAAGGCTCCTGGATGAGACATGAGTAAATATTAACACAATGTGACAAAGGAACTTACCAGTCGGTGTAAACTCTGATGATGCATCCACGGGTGATGCAATAGAACGGTGCAATGTTATTCAGCTGAGCCGGATATGGGAGATCAACTCCCGATGCGGCTGCAAAGCCAGGGGGTATATCAAATCCAGGAGCCACTAGAGGAACACCAGGAACTGCCAGACCAATGACACCCACTGGAGCAATGACCACAGGAGCGGCAGGGCTGACAGGGATGGCAGGGCCAGGAGCGGTGACTGTGGGAGTGGCAGGGGCATGGGGAGCGATGACTACAGGAGCGGCAGGGGCAGGGGGAGCAACGACTGTGGGAGCGGCAGGGCCAGCAGGAGCAATGGCAGTGGGAACAGCTGGAAGGACACCTGTGTTTGCAGGTGCAGTGAACACCGGCGCAGCAGCAGCAGGAGTGGCAACGATGGGAGCAGCGACGGTGGCAGTGGGAGCAGCGACAGCCACGGGGTGCAAGTCGATGTCCTCTTCATCGGAGTCCATGATGAACTCGCTGTTATTGTCAACAGGGTGGGTCATTCCCCTGTCTCCAAGGGCCATGACAAGCTCAGTGACGAGCTCAGCATTGTCTGTTAGAAGGTTAGTACTTACACATGCTTAAGGATGAACTTATGACTTACTGTGCCTGGGTTGTCGACATTAACAGAAGTTATCTGTTGACAAATCAGCATCATCTTGTGAGCAATGTTCGAGGTACGTACTGCTTTCATATGCAATGACCCATGCCAGAGTGTATTCCAAAGCGAGTCGGATCGCCGTCCAATCGTATCCGGAAGTCGTATCGCAGGTTTGGGCTTCTGGAGGTGATTGGGGAACCTTCATCAGTGCAGAGATGAGACTAGTGAGAGAGACAAGAGACAAGAGAGGTGAGTGCAGAACTACCGACATCGACGAGTTGGCCACTATTATATAACGTTCAGGACAGGGACATTCGGTTAGCCCAATCAAGGCATTGTTGAACAGCTCCGTCCAGCATCAACTCATCAGGGCACTTCATGCGGTGTCATGCACGCCACTTAACCTACAACTGCCACCCACCACGCATCAAGTACATGCTCGCAAAGTCACTTAACCTCAATGTATTCAGCCCCAGCTCATGGACGCACATCAAATACTTGTCCAGTATGTCTTTTCCCACCTCTTGTCTTCATGAGCTCACCATCTGATGGCACTTCATGATGGCTCCACCGACATGGGCCAACACTACAGAGTTAGAGTGGCTGCAAGAACAGTTGCCACGCTTCCTTGACCATCAGAAGTGCAAGAAACTACAGACCTTCTACAGAACGTTGTTCACCGAATGGGACACACAGTTCCAGGAGTGTGCCCATCTGTTTCCGGCCATCAATCCGATGGTGCAGCTGACACCAGAACAAGATGCAGAGCTGACACAGGCCATCGCGAAGCAGCAGAAGGTGTGTTCATACTAACACCCAATTAGAATGAATCTGACATGGATATAGCAACTGTATAACTGGTATAACAATCGCAAATCAAAGGGATGCTCTGCTGACAAGACCGCGGCCTCCATCCTCAAAAACTTCATTCCGAAGGGTGCTGTCCTGGTCAAGCATCTTCCACAAGTTGTCGAAGCATACTCACACAAGTATTACAAGGAGAAGATCAAGAAGGACATCGACTCGGAGATCAAGGAGAAGAACCTCAAAAAGGGTGAGGCACTGCCCATCGTCCGGTGTTTGACACAGGCAGCATATGATGCAGAGACGCCCGAAGTTAAGGCAGAGATCATTGCAGATGTGGAGCGAAAGAAGGCAGAGCGTGAGGCTGAGGAGGTGCAGACTGAGGAGGCGCATTTGCAGGGTGAGTATTCTCCCGCAGAATACCAAAAGTACGTTTTACATTCAACTCTCTCCATGCTGCTCACCTCACGTAAATTCACAGAATGCTGGACTGTATGCCGGCTGCATTCGATCAATTTCTTGGTGCAATGTCGAAGTCGACCGGTTGGCGATTCTCAGTATTCGGGGGAGGACCTAGTCCCGAAGATGGAGGGAACCTCCGGTCGATGGTGTAAGTCATTATCTCTTCGTGCTTACAAGGCTATACTAATGACACATTAGGTTCCACTCCGGGGACAGTTCAAGTGCACTTAAGTTTAGTGACACCATACCTGACTTTGAAATGCAGTTCATGGAGCCGTTCGGACAGTTTATGGCGATGTCATATCGTGAGTTTTGCGTGTCCTCTTTATGTTCAGCATCGACTAACTTGGATATCAGCTCTGGCTGACCATCAAAGGCATGCACTCTCTTCATCGCTCACTCCAGGCTCATCAGAGCCACCTCCGGAGGTGATCACGCTCAATCTTGAGGACCTCCGCTACACGATGGAAGACAGTCCCGATGCTGAGGACCCTATTACTCGTGGTCAGGCATCCTCAGGCCCATCGCCCAGCCAGGATCAGGGCACACCAGTGTCCGACACTGCATCGGCAGATGTCAGCAATGCTCACATGCCTGTCACAACAGTGGGACCACCACCGTCATCTGAGGATGGGCGTCCTCCCACAACTGTTAACGATGCTCTCCAGTCTTCATTGGCTCCTTCACCTTCCATCCCTGGTCCTGCTTCACCCGTTCCTGCATCTTCCCATTCCCAAAACCATCTATCCGCATCTGCAGATGCCGCACTGCCATGGGCACCAAACCTGGCAGCCTGGCAGTTCGACATCCCGGCACCTGCATTCGACCTGGACACAGACCTCCAGCCAATCTCTCTTGACAATGCCATGCTTGGCATCGAACTGGATTGGATGGTTCCCATCAGTCCTGTGACAGGTGCACTCAATTTCCAGCCTCTCATGCACGTTGATGCACCATCAGGTCCCGGTAGCAGTCAGCTGAACGTTGCTGACCCTGGCGTATCATCATCGAATACTGATCCAACCTGCTCTCCTATGTCTGCATTGCGCTCTCCCTCATACCCCCAGTTACTGCCGGAAGCCCCATCTTCCCCTCTAGTTCAATCCACACCCTCGTCGACATTGCCATCTGGCTGCCTCATCTCCAGGAGCTGGATCTGTTCCATCCTTGTCGCTGCATGAATCATCTTCGATATCACCATCTCTGGCTGATCTGACTGCATCTTTGTTGTCTCTGGCTGCCAACTTGCCCTCTTTTTCAGATGAATCTGCACCTACACCATTGACTGTCCTCCCTGTACTGACAACCGCTGCTCCATCGGCACGCATAGAGGTGGCCAGCTCGGCTGCAGATGAAGATGCGACTCCAGTACCAGTGCACAAGCGCTGTCCAGCTACTCGGAAGCACCTTAACTCTGTCCTTCCAGCACTAACAGAAGCAGCAAATGCGGAAATGGAGTCTGGTACTCCGTCTTCTAAATCAGGCCATCCTGCTCGAATGCGCGTTGCACCCAAGCAGGCCAATGCCAATTGGTCCCGCAGTGGGAAGCAGCAACCCATCGTTGCTGCAGGATGAGAGAATAGAGAATCTGAGCCCGCAACATTGCGCAGAGGGAAACGGGTTGCAGATGGGCAGCACAGGTATGTACAGTTGGTTATTCATAGTGTTGATGGTACTGACGTGTATGTCTCAGTGGGCCGGTGATGAAGAGAAAAAGGTAAATGCATGACACAAGTGAGATAGCGAGCGCAAGTAACATAGCTTTGGCGATGGTAACAGTCCTTCTTGGTGATTTCACTACTGTTCGTAGTTTAGTACGTCTTCAAGTAGATACTTTCAAGAAAGAATATATACATTTGCCGACCGTGCTCATTGTAAAAAGGCATGCAACTTTGAGTAATTCACGCAAGGCAGATGTGCCTACAGTCATACTTAGTAAAATTCTCAGGAGGCTGATGTATCAATCTTCGGTAGATACAACAGGCACAGGACACTTAGCACGGCAGGCCATGCGTGATACATTAAAATACAATGACTACCACTAGCTGATACATCATCCTTTGTACCATAACTTGTTTACAAACTTCAAACCGTGAAGACATTACATAGCCGGCATTGAGCAGACTGCCTACGGTCCGGCAGGAACAAACACAGTGAACACACCTAAGAATGAATGACAGGCGCACAGCATACACGAGAGAGACAGTTAGGGTACAGTTTAGGAGCAGGATAGCGGAGCCAACGAGCAGGAGCAAAAAGCGGCAGCCAATTATGAGAAGAGGCGACGGCCAATTAAGAGAAGAGGCGGCGGCCAATTATGGTAAGAGGCGGCGGCGAAGGAACCGGCGGGACCAGATCCATATCTAAGATTACAGAAGCCTCATTGTGAGATCAGATCATCGATAGATCCAGGGGACCGGGCCACGCAGCCGAAGCTATCCAGAAGAGGAAGAGCAGATTGATTTGTCATACGCGCAGGCTGATATATCAGAACCTGTAAGCTCGAGCCCATTGTGGCTACTACTGCTGTTGTATCAGGTATGAGTTAAACTTATCATTCTTTGATATATCAATATGACATATAGGCCTGACACTCAGGGAATATGCCTTATGCCCTTTTTGTCCTTATGTCCTTAAATAAGGACCATAAGTCCATTTAAGTTATTTAAGTGTCCTCTTAAGGAAAAGTGGGGTTTTCCTGATGTACAATCCTAGTACACCCTCCGAACGACTGCCCGAAATATGCCACCACGCGCAAAGGGTTCTGAAGGACGGTCTAATGCTCCTGTACTTCCGGTGAGTTCCTTAATCATTTCCACAACAGAATAACATCAATAGCGCATCAGTGCTATAGACCATTACGGCGACTCGCCCCAGTTTGGAGACACAACGGGAACCCCCGGAGAGGGTCACCGTAGATCCGTCGAAGCTCGGACACAATGCAGCTGTGAAAGCGAAGGGAGCTCCCAAACGCGAACAGAAAGCCACGCTGAGAAATGAGCTCTTTAAAGAAATTGGAATCGAGGCGTGGTTTAAAGAAAATGCTATCCCGTACGATTTTACACCCACGAAGAAGAGTTCTAGGAATAATTTCCTCACAGCTAGGTCAGTCTAACACTTCTAGAAAGGTTCATGAATCACGAGCTAATCCATCCGGAAGTAATGTGTCTCAGAGCCAATTGGAGAAGGTGTACCGTTGGACATTCTTCAAGGGACGTGCTGGAGAATCAGCACCCTTGAGACTCGTCATGGACAATATCGAGGCAATTCTCTTGGATAGAAAGAGTCACTGCGTTTTTGCCCTTATGTCTGGGTGCAAGATACCCCCATGGATACGTGGTATAACTAGGACCTGGGCTACGCCGCATAGTTCTGCATATCAACCCCCAAGCTGGGTTACCAAGCTTCAAGTGTATCTTTCACTGTGCGATCCCCTGTAGTGAACAAGGTGATACGTTGGCTATGCCGCGCAGCACGTAGTCACTAGCAGTCTAGAAGCTACAGCATACACTTCCTAGGCTACAAGAAATATCAAACTTCAGCTATATTGGCGATGCTCCATGGCTACCATCAACAACACCCGTCTATTCCATTATATACTAATAGTAGATACTCCTGATGCGCTCACATCCCCTACTGCATACCTAATCACACCTGCAACAGAATAGACTTTGCATGTCGATCTTCCGATGGGGTTTGCGACGCAGTCTGTTTCTCACATACCTGTCACGAGAGGTGTCAATGGAGCATCCCAACTTTGGACAAACACAAGAATTGTAGAGCACATCGCATGTTCAGCCATGACCCGAGAGACCAAGAGCATGCAGAGACCATGTCATGGAGATAGAAGGCAACGCAGCACTCCTCGCTCTTAAGGTGACGGCGACGGCACGCCAGAAATATGTTTAGACAGCGGTCAACGGGCCAGTGAATCTGTGGATGGAAGGGCGCGGAACCAGCACGTAGTGTACGCCAGGTGAACTTGACCTTGGACACGATGATGCGCTTGGGCCGATGGAGGCCTGAACTTAGCACTAGTTATATGTACGTCAAGCTTGAAATCGCTACGTGGAATAGCCAATGTAGCTGGTGCAAGGTACACCAGAAAGCCTGTATAGAAAGGAGCACAGTGATGTAGTATAGCTCACGTAGCAGATGGTCGTAGATAAGTGAGATCGTGCACCAAATGCGATGCATAAGCTATGTGGGCTAGCACACATCTTTCACATCAAGATTTATGACATAGCAGTGGGGGTCACAGCTATGTTCGCTATCTGCCCTACTCCGCCTATCTTCACATTGCGACTTCGGCTACCCATCAAACTATGTATTCTATCTGGCGTAGCCTATTCGTAGCAGACCCCCTACTAGAACGGCGAAAACACAGTGAGTGTCGCCCGCAGCGGCATCATCAAGATACCGGACGTGTGGCTCGCAGTAAGACATATTATTATATTGTCTGCATTTATTGAAACCATACATGCAGGATACAAACATCGGGATTGATAACCCGAGCCCATTTCAAATGCTCCGTAAAGCCCTGCTTTTCTACCTAGAGTATGCCAACAAGGAACATATCAAGTATCAAGGTTCACATAAAACCACGCCTCCTCCCTTTGACCTCAAAGGCAACCAGGGTACCAGTGATAAGTCAACACTAGATCTGTCCCTCTATGATTCAGACAATGTGCATGCTTCTGGAGCTCTAAGCATAGAGTGGACCATGTTGAAGCTTCTCGCATTCCCCGGTGCTCCAAACACAATCTCGGAGATGGACGTAGAACGCCACATTGGCTCTATTCTTACAGGAATATTCAATGTTCGAGGATGCACCAGATATTCGTGAGTCTTCCGCTTTATTAACGGTGTCAGTTTCTTCATACACACCGCAGGTCCACTACCTTAAAATATCCGACTATACTGGGTTGCTTTGGCTCCTACCCGCGGCCTCACACTGCCTGTCAGATCTCGGCTGAACAACTACCAGGGATCAAGTTCTGTCGTCCCCTTGTACTTGCAGGAGAGGCGAAAAAGCAGCAAAATTATGTGCCTCAAGAAGATGCTCCATCAGGCAGTGCCAATCCGCATGGTAAGCCGCAGGTAAGGTTACCGCGGCCAGCGTCACAACTTGCGTGGGCGTTCCAGCCTGCACTAGAGCTGTTCATCGTGGAACTGATCACCAAATACAAAAATCCCGGTGGAAAGACTTGTAAGGAAGAATGGGATGTGCGTCTTTGTTCCCCAATATTGCCATCGTTGTCTGGTTTGACATTTACGTGATTCCACAGCCACTGGCATACGCACCAATCCCTAGTCATATGGTTGTATTTGGCATCGTATACGACAAGGACGGCCTCGTCATCTATTCCTATTCGCCCACCTACAAAGTTTTGGATGGCAAGGTGGAGTGGATGTTTGAATGTCGGCAGGTTTCAACTGAATATGAAGATTGCTTCAATGGCGACTATACAGTCTACAAGCGAGCGCAACTGTTTCGAGCATTGCTCGCTGTCGTCACTTGGAGTGACCAGTTGACAACGCAGTGGGTGAATGATCTGTCACTTCCCCCGATAATAGCTGCTCTGGACAAGAAATGGGAGTCCGTAGCCTTTTGATAATTGCTTACCCATTCCTGTGTCTGTTATGATTGTATTCGTGTACGGGTAAACTTGCAATACATTGTGGCGTTGTTGTGACGGCCCATCCTAGGTTAGTACTTGAACGAGCTTCACCATCATGCCTCAGGAAAGACTTGATGTTCGCTCTGCATGTTCTCCTCACTTGCGAAGGTCCTTCGTCGAAGCCCCGACTCTGAAGACACTCTACATTACGGGAGTAGACTGTAGTATGCACATTACTGGCTGGTAGTTGATACCTCGAGCTCGGTTACCGTCTCTTACTCCTCACTTATCACCGGCTCTCCGTTTTACTGCTGCTGTGACAGTGAGTCTTATGACCGGTTCGCCTTTTCACTATCCTGGCAGACCTTCTGAACATTGCTTCTGTGTGCCATGGGCTCCGAAGGACTATCTAAGGCTGCTAGCCTATCGGTGAGTCACCAGTGACTTGCAGTAATTAACTTGCTCGACTGAATAGCATCAAGACCTTATCGCGCAGTGTGATCACTGGCCCCAGCGAGGACATGCTGGCTCTCCCGGAGCGGGTCATCGTAGATCAGTCGAAGCTTGGATATAAAGAAGCTTCCGAAACGAAAGGAGTTTTCCCGTGGCAGGTGGTGCAGTCGGAGCGGAGGAATGCACTTTCCGAAGAAGTTGGGATGAAGATGTGGTTTGAAGATAACGGTATCCCATACAACACTCAACCTACGATGAAGGGTTCGGGGTATCTTACAGCCAGGTTAGTCCAACACTTTTGATATATCCATGAATCGCGAGCCAATCTGTCCGGAAGTAATGTGTCTCAGAGCCAATTGGAACAGGTGTACAATTGGAAGTTCTACAGCAATTACATTGGGGACTCCAGTCAACGGATCGGCCAACTCGTTACAGACCATATTGAAAGACTTCTCATCGTACGAGCAAGTTCTGCGCGCAGCGGCATCATCAAGATACCAAAAGAGTGGTGTACGGTAAGACATATGACAATGTTGTCTGCTTTTATTGAATCCATGCATCCAGGATACAAATGTCGAAGTTAATGAAGCAAGCCCATCCCAAATACTTCGTAAGGCCCTGCGTCTCTACACAGAGTATGCCAATGAGGAACATATCAACAATGAGATGCCCTTGCCCCCTCCCTTTGATCTCACAGGTGACCAGAGCTCAAGCGCGGAGCCAGTGCTGGTAACGCTAGATCTGAGCTTGTATGATTCGCACAATGCACACTCGTCTCGAGCTCTAAGCATGGAGTGGACCATACTGAAGCTTCTCGCATTCCCTGGCACTCAGGACTCAATCTCGGAGATGGACGTAGAACGCCACATTGGCTCTATTCTTACGGGATTATTCAATATTCGAGGATGCACCAGATATTCGTGAGTTGTCCGCTTTATTGACAATGTCAGTTTCTTCATACACACTGCAGGTCGACTGCTTTGAAATATCCTACTGCATTCGCCTGCTTTGGCTCCTACCCACGGCCTGATGCCGCCTGTCAGATCTCAGGTAAAGAACTGCCGACCATCAAGTTCTGTCGCCCCCTCGTACTTGCAGGGGAGGCAAAAAGGCGGCCAAGTCCAGTACTTCAAGAAGTTGCTCCGTCAGGCAGTGCCATTCCGTCCGACGAGTCACCGGTAAGGTTACCGCGGCCAGCATCACAGCTCGCCTGGGCGTTTCAGCCCACGCTGGAGTTGTTCATCGTTGATTTGGTGACTAAATACAGAAACCCCGATGGAAAGACTTGGAAGAAAGAATGGAATGTGCGTCTTTGTTCCACAATATTGCTATCCTCATCTCATTTAACATTTCATGCCATTCCACAGCCACTGGCAAAGGCAAAGGCGGCGATTCCCGGTCAGATGGTTGTATTTGGCATCATATACGACAAGAACGGCATCGTCATCTATTCCTACGCTCCCACCTACAAGGTTTCAAATGGCAAGGTGAACTGGGGTTTTGAGTGTCGGCAAGTTTCAACTGAACACGAGCACTGCTTTAATGGCGAGTACTCGGTTTACAAGCGAGCGCTGCTTCTTCGAGCATTACTTGCCATTGTCAGTTGGAGCGATCAGTTGGCGGCAAAGTGGGCTCATGATCTGACCCTTCCTCCGATAATAGCTGAACTGGACGAGAAATGGGGGTCTGTTGCCTTTTGATGATTGCTTATCCATTTCTGTGTCTGTTATGATTGTATTCGTGTACGATACAGTAGTATGACGAGTAAAGCAATACTTTGTGGCGTTGTTGTGACATCCAAGGTTGACACTAGTACTTGGACGAGCTTGAGTCACTCACCATCATGCCGCAAGATCCGCTGGAGTACCAACAGTGGATTCAGGAAAGACTTGATGTTCGCTCTGTTTTTCTGGCATGTTCTCCTTACTCGCGAAGGTCCTTCATCGGAGCCCCGACTCTGAAAATGCTGTATGTACATAACCGGGGGAACTGGCTGGTAGCTGATACCTCGAGCTCGGCTACCGTCGCTCACTCACTTATTACCTCTCCGATTTGTGACGGTGAGTCTCACGACCGGTTCGCCTTTTCACTGTCCTAGCAGACCTTTTGAATAATGCTTCCATGTTCTAAAGCACGGTCTAAGGCTGCTAACCTATCGGTGAGTCACTAGTCGCTTACAGTAATTGACTCGCTCGACTGAATAATATCAACACCCCATCGTGCAGTGTGAAGACCTGCCCGATTGAGGACATGCTAGCTCTCCCGGAGCGGGTCATTGTAGATCACTGGCAGTCTAAACACAGATATAAGGAAGTTCCGGAATCGAAAGGTACTTTGTCATGGCCAGCACAATTTGAGCAGAGAAATGCGCTCTTTGGGGAGGTTCGGATCCAGAATTGGTTGGAGGACATTGGCATCCCATATGATATGAAACGGAGGGTGAAAAGTTCGAGAAAGAGCTATCTTACAGCCAGGTTGGTCTAACACTTTGGATAGATTCTTGAATCACGAGCTGATGTATCCGGAAGTAATGTATCCCAGAGCCAATTGGAGAAGGTGTACAGGTGGTCGTTCTATAACTCTCACGTTGGGGACTCGAGTCGAGGGACCGGGTCTCTTGTTACACGCCATATTAACAAGCTTCTAATGGGAGAAACAAGTATTGCATGCAGCAGTAGCATCAAGATATCGGAAGAGTGGCTTGGAGTAAGACATATCACGAAGTTGTCTGCATGTATTGAAACCTGCATCCAGGATACAAACCTCGGAGTTAATGAAGTGGGCCCATCTCAAATGCTCAGTAAAGCCCTACTCCTCTACCTAGAGTACGCCAATGAGGAACATATCACGCGTCAGAGCCCACAGAATCCCCAGCCTCCTCTCTTTGATCTCAGCGCTGACCAGACCGCAAGCGCAGGGCCAGCGCTAGATCTACGCTTGTATGATTCGCACAACGCGCATTCTTCTAGAGTTCTAAGCATGGAGACGACCGTGTTGAAGCTTCTCGCATTCCCCGGCATTCAAAACACAATCTCGGAGATGGACGTAGAACGCCAAATTGGCTCTATTCTTACAGGAATATTCAACATTCGAGGATGCACGACATATTCGTGAGTTGTCCACTTTATTGACAGTGTCAGTTTCTTTATACACATTGCAGGTCTACTGCTTTGAAGTATCCTACGATACTGGGTTGCTTTGGCTCCTACTCACGGCCCGACGTTGCTTGTCAGATCTCGGTTGAACGACTACCAGGGATCAAGTTTTGTCGTCCTCTTGTACTTGCAGGGGAGGCTAGAAGGCCACAAAATCGTGTGCCTCAAAAAGATGCTCCGTCAGGCAGTGCCACTCCGTCCGACGAGTCACCAGTAAGGTTACCGCGGCCAGCATTAAAGCTTGCTTGGGCATTTCAGCCCACACTGGAGTTGTTCATCATGGATTTAATAACCAGATACGGAAATCCGAGCGAAAATACTTGGAAGAAAGAATGGGATGTGCGTCCTTGTTCCACAATATTACTAGCCTTGTCTTGTTTAACATTTCATGCATTCCGCAGCCACTGGCGAATGCAGCGATTCCCAGTCACATGGTTGTGTTTGGCATCGTATACGACAAGAACGGTATCGTCGTCTATTCCTATGCTCCCACCTACAGCGTTTCAAACGGCAAGGTGAAGTGGGGTTTCGAATGTCGGCAAGTTTCCCCTGAACACGAGTATTGCTTTAATGGCGAGTACTCGGTTTACAAGCGAGCGCTACTTCTTCGAGCGTTACTTGCTATCGTTGGTTGGAGTGAGCAGTTGGCAACAAAGTGGGCCCATGATCTATCGCTCCCTGCGATAGTAGCTGCTCTGGACGAGAAATGGGAGTCGGTAGCCATCTAATGATTGCTTATACATTCTTCTGCCTCTCATGATCAAGTTATTCCAGTAGTGATGACTGGTTCGATAGTAGTGTTGGCAAATCGGTAGCGTTGTTATGAGATGCACTTAAACGAGCCTGACACGGCTGAAGCAAGATGAGGGCAGCATCACTATACGAGACCTGCTGGATTAATGGGCACAGAACGCACCGGTGGTAGTCTGATATAGCCTGAGATCGAGGAGGTACCCAGCACAAACCTCAAAAAGAGACGCATGCGTGCTGTCTACGTCGCGAAGAAGGAATGAAATCTGCGTCCAGGCTGTACACGGCCCAGCGAGAAGGTTAGAGGGACGGGAAAAAGCCGAGCGATTAAAAATGGTCTGCGCGGGTAGGAGAAGGCGGCAAGCGCGCATTGGCATAAAACCACGAGAGGTTGCGAGTAAAGCATGGCAGGCATCCGGCAAAGATCAGGGATAAATACGGAGACAAGTGTCGAAGAGAAATCGGGTGGAGAGCGAGAACAGTGGCGGGAGAAAACAACAGAATGTTGAAGTGAGAAGCTTAGCAGTGAATATGAGCAAGGGTACACAGCTTCAGGGCAGTACACAGTTCCAATGGAATTTTATGATACTTCGCTAATCGTACCGGCACCCGCTAGACAAATGGAGAAAGGAACATCACTTCGAGAGCATCATCTGGGGGTACAGGTCCGCCTGAGCAATTTCGACAAGCTGAGGGTACGGCAGAAATTACCTTCACGAATTCTGACACAGCACTGTCAGTTCATGCAAGAATATATAGCAAGCGCAACATAGACGTACCGTCATAGTTGATCTGACCGTCGCCATCAACATCAGCCTCACGGATCATCTCATCAACCTCGTTGTCAGACAGTTTCTCCCCTGGACAGAAATTCGGTCAGTCGGACGTTCACCATACGATAGATCAGGACTAGGAATTATCCCCATAGACGTCGTCGCCAATATCCCAGAATTTTGGAGTTTTTGGGCCCACGTTTCGCAAAAACTTGCCCCGGCAACGACGTTCAAGGAAATAATTGAAGGTTCTGATGGAAATTACTCAGGGTACACACCGAGGTTGGTCATGACATGTCGCAGCTCGGCTGCGCTGATGTAGCCATTACCGTCCTTGTCGAACACCTTGAACGCCTCCTTGATCTCTTCCTCGCTGTCCGTGTCGCGCATCTTGCGGGCCATCATGGTGAGGAATTCGGGGAAATCGATGGTGCCGTTCCCGTCGGCGTCGACCTCGTTGATCATGTCCTGCAGCTCCGCCTCGGTAGGGTTTTGCCCGAGTGAGCGCATCACGGTGCCGAGCTCCTTGGTAGTGATTGTGCCGTCACCATCTGCGGTGGGCATAGGGAGGGGGTCAGTCTTTCCGTCGAGAAAGACACGCAATCGCACGCGTGATTTGACGAGACGGTCAAGGGTATAGACGCACCCTTGTCGAACAGCGAGAAAGCCTCCTTAAACTCTGAGGACGTGTCACTACACAAAAACACGGTAGACAGCACCTGAACGCGTACCAGAAATCTGCTCTGCAAAGAAAGGATCGTTCAGCATCTCCTCCCTCAACCTACGTCGTACGATAACATACCTTCGGACTGATAGACAGAGCAGGTCGTCAGCAACGGATAGGGCAAGGGGCAATCGCACGACGCACCAACTGATCGGCCATCGCGCAGGTGGTGGTAAAAGGAGAGTCTTAGGGTGTTGCTGCTGAAGATGGTGGTATAAGAAGGGGAAAGAGGGCGTTGCGATTGCAGGAGCTGTACGATGCGGTGAAGGACCACTTCAGTGGCTATATTGATGCTACATCTCGGCAATCGCCATGCTAATTCATAGATCTTCCTCCTATCGTCCCTAAGTAACGACTTCTCGCATTCCAGAAAGATGAAGGAAAATTTCATCATACATAGGATTAGATTTTCGAGCTCTCAGGAGGTATGTATAGAGTAAGGGAGTCGCGAGTCCGTCAATCCCACTCATCGTCATCTTCTTCTTCCTCGTCGCTATCTCCCAACTTCTTATTTCGCTCCAGTAGCGCGGCAGCAAGAGCAGCGGTCAAGTCCCCTCCGCCTCCGCCTCCGCTTCCGCCAGATGGGGCGGGTTCTTCAGAGGCAGGCGGGGACGTAGATCTCGCTGCCCCAGCTGAGTCACTCCGATGACGGAGTATATGGACGCCTGCGCCCTGGATCGACGCCAAGAGGGCATCTCGTCCCTGCTGAGGTGCAGGAAGGGGAGCAGAACCTCCACCGCCAGGCGGAGGTGGAGGTGGAGGGGGCGGAGGGGCACCTCCAGGGGGAGGGGGAGGGGGAGGCGGTGGAGGGCCGCCTGCGACTGGAGGTGGAGGAGGTGGAGGCGGTGGAGGCGGTGGCGGTGCTCCGTGTCCAGCGGGAGGTGGAGGAGGTGGGGGTGGGGGAGGCGCGCCGTGTCCAGCGGGAGGTGGAGGCGGAGGCGGTGGTGGTGGCGCCCCTCCAGTGGGTGGAGCCGGGCGAGCAGGAGGAGGGGCGGGAGGTGCAGCTGAAGGCCGAGAAGGCGGAGGAAGTGGTGCCGGTGGTACTGGGGCCGGACGAGGGGGCGGAGGAGTAGGAGCAGAGGGAACAGAAGGAGCAGAGAAAACAGGGGGAGCAGGGGGAACAGCGGCCACAGGGGGAGCAGGGGCCGCAGGGACAGGGGGAGTAGGTGGCCGACTTCGAGGGGGTGGAGGGCGCGGAGCCGCGAATGACGGCCGAGCCGGTGGAGGTACCGTAGGAGGCGCGGGTGGGGGCACTGTAGGAGCCGCCGGAGGTTGAGGAGAAGGCGGCGGAACACTACGAGGAAATGGCGGCGCACGCGACGGCGGTGCAGGAGGAGGTGCGGACGGAGCCGGGGGTGGTGTGAACGTAATACTCTCCTGCTTCTCGTGCAACGTGCGTCGCGGCGCCGGTGGTGGCGGAGGTTTCTTCTTGGCTTGAGGAACTGGAGGCGCTACATTTTTCTGCGCGTCGCGGACGAAGTCCTTAATAAAGTCCATGTTCTGCTCCAGCACATCGCGCGACACGCCTTGACCCTCAAGCTGACTGAGAAAATCCTGCCACGACGGGTCGACATTTGTTGAGGTGAAGCCCTTCTGAGCATCATACCCCATGTGTGCAACATGTTTAAAAGAGCCTGCGGTGGGGCCGGAAATCATGGACTTGTCGATCTTTCCGCCCTTCACTGTTTTCTTTTTACTTGAAGACTTGGACTTCTCTGTAGAACGAGAGAATTCAGTGCATACAAATGAGAGGTTAACATGGGTCACACCTCCGCCCATCTTCCGGCCCGTGAGCTTCTTGAAGAACGTCTTCGCTTCATTTTCGTCAGAAAACGCAACCCCAATCATGCATTCCTACATGGCCACAAGGTCAGTACGCATAGTGCCTATCAGTGAGCCACTCACATCACCAGCGAATGTGTGGAAGAATGGCCTGTCCTGGAAGTAGTCGAAACCCTCGTAGAGTTCATGCTCCCACATCACTCCTCGCGTTCCTATCAGATCCACCATTCGAAGGTAGAATGCATTGCGACTGTTATCCTTGACTATCACCAGTCCACCCTGCAATCCTGCATAGGACCATGAGTCGGGCTGGGGATATGCATAGTATATCCGTGCGAGAGCCGCATAGGATATCTTGTTGAAGGAGTTAGGTACGGCAGCCTTGATCTTTGACTTGTCGTCGCTGGATAAGGTCGTTTGAGCGGGCATTCCTGTCAACCAGATTCCTGTACACAGCGCAAGGGACATGCACCGGCAGATTCCGAGACACAGGGTAGGGGGAGGGGGGGGGCCTCCGAGGCCCTTAACCGGAAATTATATATATATATTTAAAACCTGCATAAAATATCCTAAGCACCATGTCGGTCGGAAGGGGCCAGCAGTCTCACGAATATAAGTTGTGGTGAGCACAGTCCTTTAAGCTTTAATTGTTTTCATTACTCTAACACCAACATCTCAAATCTTTAGCTGTTACCCTCGAGTCCCACGGGCGAGCCATCTACCTATCAGCTGGACGGTCCTGATCTAGCGTTGCGGGCTCAACCTGTGACCAACCGGTTGGATATTCCTATTGATCCTAAGCTTCTACCTGAGAGCGAAAAGGATTTGGACATCGACATAGCAACCCAGCACTCGACGGAGCCAGTAAACTCGGACTCCCACGAGGAGACGTTCTGCTGGTGTCAAGGTCCTGAATCGGGAGAGGCAGTACATCTGGCTGTAAGCAATGGGTGTGTTGACTTATCATTATTTTTCGTCATTGCATCTCACGTCCGCGTTATCCTGCTGTCAGTACCACTTTGAATGTGTTGACCTCCTGGAGCCACCGAAAGGCCCATGGTTTTGCATGGATGAATGCCATGCAAAATATCAGAAATCTCATGCGCACAAGAAAAGGAGAACAATGTATTGATCCGCGTGTAGTTACAGAGCTATATTGATAGTATATGCATCGAAAAACCTTTGTCTCTACTCTCCACGCGAAAACATACAGAAACCTTCCATATATGGACCGTGGGAAATTCCCACGGGGGGAGGGGGGGGGGGTCTCAAGGGTGCTTAACCGGATTTTCTGACCCTGTGTCTTAAATCCGATTTATGCATGCCCCTTGACACAGCGCGAAGAAAACAACCCAGCTTGACAGTCACCTGAGCTGCGCAAGTTGGAGGACTTGGGATACCCGTTATGGTGGTCGATAACCCCTTATTGGAGATATTTCCAAATTAATCATTAGTACTTCCACTTCAAGTTATTGAGGCGCCTCCCAGGAGCATCACACTTGTGGATCGCGACAGTAATAGGTATCAGATGCTAGACATTAAAAAACGAGCAGGATGGTGATTCAGCTGCGGAGTATCCCAGGGATTAGCCGCAACGAAAGTAAGTTATTTGAATCATCGATCGGAACATTGCAAGTTGAGAAGTGCAAGCTTCAAGCCCAAGACCGAGAAGGAAAGTACTCATCGGAGGAATTTCTGCTGGATGGCTGTACAATCCCTGACATGGACTTCCGAGCGTGACCACTGGCTCCACACAAATAGGCGGAACGAAGAATTGGCAGTAGCATGGCTGGTACGATTGACAATTCGAGGATTACGCGAAAACAAAAGAAAGCGTTCAGTGCAAAAAAACAGTATTCGACCGTTGTATCACCTCATCGTCGTCGCAATATGATCATTCTGCATTCAAGCCCTTCACGAACTCAAGAGCGAGCCTAGGACTGCGAAGGGACATGTCAGCTCGAATGAAAAATATTAGTTCCCACCCTTACCTGTCAGCCGGCTTCACGGGCATCTTCTTGTCCACGAGCTTCCCACCTTTCTCGAAGATAAAATGGCTACGCTTCGTCTTGCCACCCTCCCCTGCTCCCAAAGCGCTAATTAAGACTCGCTTTGAGTCCGAAAGGAGATCATAAGGCAATTCTTTCTGTGGATGCAGAACATCGGCAAGGTAATCAATGAAAAATCAGGGTATTTCACGGCGCACCTTAGTCTGCCACTTTGTCTGCGCAGTAGGACTGTCGGCACTTAAGCAGTAAACGTCAAAGTTGTGCGACGTAAAATCGGGGTAGATATCTCGGAATCCACATGCTTGGGTGGTGCAACCCGCTAGAACCAGATACAAGCTCCATCATCGTCGGTGTGAAGGGTGTGTGCGGCCACAACTCACGGGTATCAGCCTTGGGTACAAGGAACAAGATAACACCCTTCTCCGAGGCCATGGTTGACACTTCTACATCTTCGCCTTTCTCATTCTTTAGAACGAGAGACGGCAAAGAGTCTCCGATATCAATATGCGCTAGGGCTGGAGATTTGAAGAGACAAATGAGTAAAGCACGTCTTCAACATTCGTGCTGTCCGCACCTTGAGCAGCCTCTGGTGCGTCAGATGCTTCAGTAGCAGCCTCTTCAGCCTTGTTCTATAATGACACCGTTAGTTTGAGCATGAACGGGCGAGTGTAGGAAATTATGGAAGCATTCGTAACGTAGAAAGCCAACAATTCCTCCGAATCATGTATACCTTTTTCAACACTGGGCTGTCATCGTCGTGCTGCTCAGCAGTCCTCTTGTTCGATTTCTCCCCAACCTTCTTGGCAGGCTCATTGACCTCGGCCTTAGGCTGCGAGGAAATTCTGGTTGACCGTCTCGTCGGTTCAGAGGATCCTGCAGAAGACTTGGAAGCCCGAGGTGGCATTCTAGCGAAGTGTGGATGGATGAAGAGAGTGCGTGTACCTGGTGCGCTACAGCGGACTGTAAGTGGGTGCCAGTGACCACGCGCAAGCTAACACCGCGTCTGACTCCTCTCCCACTTCCTCTCAGCAGAGAGTAGTATACAGAGCCCGGATGACGTGCGCAGGACGGCTTCACGCCACGCCGAATCATGTCCGCCAAAATCATCGGATTGTGTTTGTGGACGCTCGAGACAAACCGAAACCGTTCGAACGACCTCAATATCGAGTTCTTCGAGATGGAAGGTCGCCAACTAATCATCACCAGTACTAAACTATGCACTATTAGCGAATCTACACTTTACTGGATGGCAAACGTGATCAGTAAGCGTAGATGTGTCTACGGTGATAGGTCCTGCGTCCTGCACACGGAATAGAAGTATAAGCAATAGCACGGAATGGGTATGCTGAGCTAAGAATGTGTCAATGAGGGTAATAATAAGATGCGGGGATATCCATGGGGTCAGGACAGAGCGTACATGTGCAGAGATGGGTCTGGAGAATTCAAGTGAACCGGCGATACTATGCAGATTATTGTTATCAGTAGTAACGAAAAGCTAACTGCTCGAGGACATACTGAGGAGACAAAAATGTTTGGCGCTTCAGTCAGAATCTTTTGGGCTAGACGACAACGTTCTGCCCAACAACGACCTCTTCTGAGCGCTCGCAACAGCCGGACTGGTGCCTCCAGGGCTGATTGGGGAATTCTCAGCAGTCGGCGAAGCATCACCTGAGTTTGTCGTCGACGAGGAAGATCGTGAGCGGCGTATGTATGGGCGCGGAGGAAGCTTGAGGTCAAAGCTCTTTCCGTCTTGAGGCGACGCAGGCAATGGGGTTGGTTCAGGTGGAATTTCTGTACCGAAATCGTCGACAACAGCTCTTGGAGGCGGCCGTTCGACCATGGCTTCCAACAGCTACGACAAAAGACATCATGAATTCTCACACGCACAGGAAGACCTAGATGGTTACTTACCTCTCTGCGCAGTTCCTCTCCGTCGTATTCGCCCTCCATTTCCTCGGGTCCGAGTAGGACCGTTCCCTTTCGGAAGACTTCGCCCTCTTCTTCTACCCAGCTTCTCGATCTGTTTCTGAGCGTGATCAGCAACAAACGGTCGCATACGTATACATGCACGCACAAGTCCGTAGGGGAGAGCGCGTCCTCGGTGTCTGCTCGCAGTATATGGTGTCCTTCACCTTCCTCGTCGTCAGACTCCGAGATCAAGAATGTTGGCGTAAGGACTTTTTCAGGTTCCTCTGGTTCAGGCTGAGCGCGACCCTTGCCTTTATCCACCCGCGGTGTCAATGGAACGTCATCGTTATCATCCTCCAACGCACCATCCTCCGGACCACCTGTTGCATGGCCGCTACCATTCAAACCTGCTCCAACACCATTCCGCGCGGTAGTATCGATGTGGATACCGAGTCCGCGCAATGAAAGGGTGGACGGTTGAGTTAGACACCGTTTCAATAAGCCCGATAGCTCATCATTGAGCACCAACAGCTCCTCCAGCCGAGTAGCCTCGGTAGTCACTTCAATCGTAGCCACGAGAAGCCTCTGCACCTCCCTCGCCCGGTCAGTGAGATACGGTAAATCGTCTGGAATGGAAGCAACGGATGTTGACGAAGACGAAGGCGAACGAGCAAGAACCTCTTCCAATTGGCTCTTACAAGAGCGCGCTCGAGCAACGAGGTCAGACTGGGTCTGTTCCGTGGAAGTCAAGTCAGTTGGGTCCCGTGCAGACACAGGCGAAGCTTCAACATGCTCATCGACCTTTTTCTTGTCGTCCTGCCGGATAAGTTTCGCCAACTCGCTTTCTTCGATCATGCCCCATAAGCCCTTGGCTTGCCCACGCCCACTCGAACCATCCGTATTCGCAGCTTGATGGATCTTTTCCGCCTCTTCTGTATTTCGGACACAAGAGTTCAGGATATCACGACACATCCTACGGCAGAGGATATTCAACCATCAAGTACAGCGAGAACGGCGGGGAAACTGACCGAGCCATTTCCTCGTCTGCTGGAGGGATGTTCAAGTCTAAACATCGCATTGTATGATTCGCTTTGAGACCCGAACTGAGTGCCATGACACCTGCGAGGTCCAAGTTGTTCAAAGTCAGATCAAGATGAAGAAGGGACGTTGATTCTGGCAGAAACTCGGCAAGAGCGATTGCCCCCGCGGAGGTCATATTCGTAGACGAAAGGAATAACCGCTTCAGGGCATCATTCAGCGTGAACGCAGTCCGAAGAGACTGTATCTGAAAAAACATCACAACTCAACATCAAAGGAAGGCGCATAGAAAGTATAACAAACCCCTTCCAACCCAGGACCGCAGCATGGATTTTTGCTTAGGTCCAGCGTCTCGAGACACGAGTTATATTTCTGACAAACGGATATGGTCAGTGAAGAACAATCACGTAGGATTATTTCTACCAATGCTTCGGCGATCGAGATCAAGCCTTGTATATCTAGCTTGTTCTCGCTCAGATTCAGTACCTTGAGCGTCCGATTGCGCTTCAGAACTTGCGCGATATAGGCGATACCATTCTAATCTCGTATGTGACAAACTATCAAAATCGAGTATGCAGAAGCTACTCACTCTGATATCATTGCCCCTCAAATCCAACGTCCTCAACGCCCCTAGCCGTGGGAGAGTATCTAATGCTCGCACTTTATCCAACAGTGCAGCACTGGGGCCATGATCATAATGTTGCGGCATCGCTGACCCGTTGACAATAGAAATTGTTGACGAGTTAGGAGAGATAGGATATCTTGCTGTTACACCCCCTTGCGCAGATGTTGCAATGATTGGAACCTGCTGACCATTGGGTGAAAGCGGATTAGGGTAACTCAGATGCGAAGGTGCTGTAGGAGCCCGTCGTGCACGAGGCACATAGGGTGTATATGTAGTCTGCGGAGCTGTAGAAGGATGACGTGGTGGAGGAAGGACTGGACCTGTGCGCAGAGGCGGTGTGACCGTTCTATCGGGATTTGGGAGAGACACTTGCGGAGATGACGGTGTTTGGGGTGGTGATAGAAATATGGAGGAAGAATTTGGGCTAATTGTTATCGGAGACGAAGGGCCAGAATTTCCATTCGTCGTAGGTATCCGATCGGGGTAATCCCTAATCATGAGGGCAAGGGCTACTGCACCCGTGGCGTTAATACGGTTGTGTCGCAGAGAGATATTCCGTAGTGACGACTTCCGCACTACATTAGCTACGAATAACGCATTGATTCTCACTGTTACAAACACAGAGGAACTCGATAAAGCTTACCGAGCGCGTCCAGTGCCGCAGGCTTCAGTGAACAGTCGTCCAACCGAAGAGAGACAAGGCCAGGATTGGGAGCTACCGGCAATGCAGCCGCGATGTATTCAACAGATCTCTTGTCCAGTGTATTCTGTGACAGATCTAAGAATTGCAAGCACCTCGTCTTCTCGACAGCATATAAGCGTGATAACATATAACAGACACAATGAAACACACCTTCAGAACATATGCACCAATCAAGCGGAATGCCGAAGCCTTCAGTCGCCTATTAGAGGCGACAGAGAGGAATGTCAGGCTGTCTGGAATGAGAAGAGCATGCAGCATGGGTTTTAAAACCTAAAGACCGCCCATCAACGCAGTGTATGCTTGGCAGTAAGGAATACACTGACATGCTCATCCAAATCGCATTCCTTGAACACAAGTTTCCGAAGTCCCCATTCGATGGTGAAGACGTCGGACAAAACTGAAGCTGATCCCACAGTAAGCTGTACTCCCGAAAGATCAACAGTACGCGGATGACTGCCTGCGGCATGCTGCTTCATGCTGGAAGTCAATCTCGCCCAATATCAGAGTGATGTGCGAACTCACTTTAAACGCAGCGGAGATGCCTGCATCGGGTTTTTCCTCTCTGCCTGCACAGCACTCCCTATAGAATGATTCCACCTTGTCGAGGCTCCACCAATCTTCAGAGCTGTTGGCGTCTGGACCCGAAGGACTTCCTCGAACGATCCGACGTCTCCGCTCCGCTTCGCGCTCCTCAATCGACCTCTTCTCTTCCTTGAGGGTCGGGGTTGAAGGAGGATTTGCAGCAGATATTGGATATACCGTCGTCATCTCAGGGAGTATAAAATGAGCTCGTTTGAGCGCTGTTGCCTCATCGTTACTCGTGCTAGTTTGTTGCTGTGTAGGAAGTAGCTTCGAGAGTCGCGCGAGCGAGAAGAACGGCTGCTGAGGTGGAGGAGGACGCTTCAGGATAGACTTCCCAGGCGTTGGGATGGTTACTGCAGACGATGAGGGCGACGGGGAGAGCATGTCTGCAGCATCTCAGTGTTCCAGTCTTGAGTTGCAGATGAGTTGCAGAAGCTCACGAAAAGCAATCACAAGTGATCGTGCGCCAATAATACCGGCTTCTATTCATTTTGTAATAACAGTAAGATTGTTCTAACTGGTCAATAATCAGGGGCTAATCCCACATTGATCGGGGAATTTCTCACGCTTACAATCGTCGATCTTGGCAGCTTCCACTCAACTTTCTTCATGCTTGTACGGTACCTGAGCTCAGACACGGTATAAGTGCTTCTTGGTGTCAGGAAGGGCAAAGGGTAAATGGCACTCTCGTTCCCTTAATCGAGTAAGGTGCAAGCCTGCATTGCAGGACATAACGTAGGCATTTATGATAACGAGTGACCGACTGGGGAGATATAATGTAACGAGACTAGATGATTTTATGGCTACACTGAGTAGGAGATGGCCTCACTTCAGAACACGTCCATATACTGTGAGCAGGTGGCATACAGCCTGACCCACCTATCGCCGTTCCACTGGCGAATTCTAGCCCACCCGTCGTGAGGAGACACACGTTCAATCCAAATTCTGCAATGATTTTGTTATGACGGTGGGCCATTGAAAACGAAGCTGACGATACTCACAGTACAGAACATAAGGCAAAATCTGCGTAGCTAATATCGTGCCCCATGACTACGATGCCATTACCGTCCGGCGGTGAATTTCTCTCGAGAATGCTGGCAAGGAAGTCAAACTGCTCCTTGACCGCTCTCCACGCTTGTTCCTTCTGTGAGGGAGACAATTGCACAGGCAGGGGCGGCGCGGGACCCGCATTGCCGCGAAAATGCGCCTGACTGCGCTCAGGCAATGTCTGGTGTGTCAGAGGCACGAATATAGGGAGCAAGGGCTTCACAAAAATTTCTTGAAGATGGTGAACGAAAAGGCTCTGCACAGCGCGTGAACCCTCGGGGAAAATGGGACGCGCAGGATAGGTCGTTTCGAGATATTCTGCGATGGTGGTGGCATTGGACAAAACGACAGGGGATGTCACAGATCGCAGAGGGTCTACGATGACAGGAAGAATGTATACTGGTCTGCCGTCACGTCGCAGCGACGTTGGGGGTGCGCCTATAGAGCGCAATGTGGCTTCGACATCGGAAAAATCGATCCAAGTCGTGCGATAGTGCAGCCGTTTATAATTCAAAATGAAGCTGAAGAGGAAGGGTGAGCACCGGGAAGCATTGGACTGTAAAGATTATACTCACCGAATCCGCCAAATATTTGGAGCCCATGGCTGTGGAATAGTAGAAGGAACATCGTACAAGGTAATCATAGGCTGGGACATCTCACGGTTCGAGGAAAGCCAGTCGTGGCCCTAAATAAATCTGGGGATCGCGGTGACGGTACATAAACCGAATAAGACACTTATAACGACCGCATGTGCCCAAGCAGGCGGTCGAAATGATGGGATTGTTACGGAATCACCTAGCTCTCTGCCGCACAGTCAGAAACCACCGGAGATGTTGACGAGATAGGCAGATCCCTAGGACAGCCCGGTGCGAGACGTCAGAGCAGGGATCCGGCGATTTCTGAACAGATAATTGGTCTGCAAGCGCGTTGAATCTAGAATCCGAATACCTCCTTGAGTCATTGGGAGTATTGAACAGCAGAACAGCCACCCCCATACAGCCTCAACGCGGCTGGATAATTGACGGTGCAGAGTTTCGGTCGAACCGTCACGGTGTTTCCATGGCTTTACTAAAATTCTGTGGCCATTCAATAACGACACATCCTGTAACCAATGGAGCGACTAGGCTTTAGCAGGATGTAGTTCACAAATTCGAGCGTCAATGCGTTCTATTGAGCTCCGCACGGCCTTCAACTTCTTACGTCCGTGACACGTGTTTCCAAATATGGATATGTGAAGTAGTTCAACATGGCCGCATCGCCACCTCTGGCACTCAACCGCAAAAGTGATAAGCTCGGGCTGTCTTCCGTTGGTCTTCCGAATCGTAAGACGCTCTGCGTACAATGATGCGCACGAATGAAAGCCCTCTCTTTGCTATCTGAATACGATGGAGACCGTTAGATGCGTGAGTCAGGGTGTCAGGGTCACCAATTCTGACATGTGAAGACGGGTACGCATGTCAGAATCTGTGATACTACATTCTCACCTTATTAGCTTACCGGAGGCAGTGTAATTGGACTGGATCGTTGATTATTCTCAAACAAAGAATTCAAATTAGACGAAAACACCGGGCCAGCAAAGACTGTACTGGGGCCAGATCCAGTACCAGTACTGTACCACATCCATGTCCAATATCTGCAAAGACCATATCAGGTGTCCTACCATGTCTTGCCGAAGCATATGCTTCTGCGGGGCCGTTATGCCTCAAGGACAGTCATCGAGGAGCTATTGCAGTGACGTTGGTTGCAGTCTATGTGAGTCACAGAGGCGAGGCTTAATCCTTCTTGAATACGATTCCCATTCCTCCCTGCACATCACTTCGCAGATCCGAGGAATTCTATGTAGGAATTCGAATCAGGTGCCCCCACTCGTCATTTGATGGACACCGGCAGTATGTCGCATCGTCGAGCGGTCAGTTCTATCCAGAATTCAGCCATTACAAATTAAAAAGATACAAATTTCGGGCTCTGGTGATGTCAGTGCTAGTGAGCCCCAAATTTTTGATGTGGCGCACTATGCCATGCGACCTCCCAATTGCAATTCCGTCGGTTCGCACTACTCTCGTCAACAGCCACTATGGAGCTCCATGAACTCCCAAGATAAAGATCGAAATGGGCAATTTTCCCGCAATGGTGCCCCTGTGCATGCATGATATTTTTACCTCATCGGCGCTGTTCTGGGGGAGTATGGCTGGCCAGTATCCTGGTAGGCGCGCAGCGCCCACCTGCTCTTCTTTTTTTATTGATTGGAACGTCGAGGATGACTATATCCAGCGCCTGTGTTGATTTCCATCTCATGCGCTAGCGGTGAGATCCGACTGTAGCCCAAACTCCCCGGGAGCTGGACGCGATGCGGAACCGCTGGCTGCACACCTTGTCTCTTACCTACGAATTATGCCTTTAACAGCCTATGCACCGTCTGCTACTGCATACTCCGTCCAAACTTTGACCCAACAGATGTATCGCCTCTTGATAGCAGTCTCAGCGTCTCATCCCGCAACAGCGGGATGCTAACGGAGGACACGGGAACGTGTCAAAAAAATTAGCCGGGGTGCATAGGGGGCCGGCCCATCGCCTACGACGCAGCCTCAATCGAGCGAGGAGCATAGTTGAATTGCCTTTGTCCTCCAGTGTCCCACTTGCGACCGCCATCCACTTTGCTTGAAATCGTCTTTCTTTGAAATGACTACCTGTTCCCCCACGGCACAACTTCTGGTCGCGACCTGGGCGGATACCGCAAATGTCCTAGGCCAGCTTGTTGGAAGCCCCGCTTGCGACTGCGAGCAAGGTAAATAGCACTTTCTTCCCGTGCTCTATTGTACATTGACAGCATCGGCCGCGTGCAGGAGCTCAAGATGCTGTAATTTATGCCGCCGCCATGTCACTCGTCGGAATAATAGTCGCGCTTGAGATAGGTGCTGGAAGTCGGGCAACTCACCCAACAACATTATGCCTGAGAAGGGGGGAAATGTTACGCAGGAATGTGTGTTGCTATAGTCAATGCAGAGGCACCGCTACGCTCAACCCCTCCACTTCCCGGCCGCGCTCCTTTGACGGTGGCCACACACTCGCCTCTACGCACGTCCTCAGCCTCACATCACGTCGTTTTGAGGTCGTGTGCACCCCGGCGATGATATCCAGAAATGCCGCGTAGTGGAGAGAGCCTCGCTGCCCACGCACTCTGGTGGCCTGAGATGCTTTCAGCGTCGTGGGCGGCGTATCGGACGTCGTGCGCTTCACGTCAAGGTTCCGGTGGGCGGTTGCAAAGGCGTTTCACGAGCGGCCAGTGTCTAGTTTGTTGACGTCCCGCAACACCTTAATGTGGGCGCATCAGTTCTGCCCAGAATTGCTCCGCTGTCGTAGCGCAGGGCCGCTGAAGCCTCAACCCCTCGAGCGGCTATCTGGACCTGCGCTCAAGTGAAACAAGAGGATCGGGAGGCGGGGCCCCAGGCGTTTATCCAAATCCCCTTGAAGACTCCGCAGGATGCGTGGCTGAGAGAGCATGTGGTCGTCGCGTACGGAGGTGTGCCTATATGTGTGAGCTATAAATTTCCACTGTGCGGTAGAATAAGCTGCTGATACCGAAGAATATGCAGACGCATTACTGCAATTTCCACAGGGTCTGCTGTCTATTAAAGACTTGCTTACGGTGAATCAACTCTGAGTATTGTGGACGATAAGGCTGATTGAAAGCGGGAGGTCCGGAATATTCACCGTTAGAATTCGGCTGATTATTATTGGGCTACGATGAAATCATTCCCCACACGCTACTTTCCCTGACACTCATTACAAGCATTCTGTGATAGTAGTTGGTGAACGCCGTGGCAAATTCGATCTGGTCCTGGAGGCCCGCTCGATCTCGGATACACGCATCCCTTGGCTTGAACGGGTTACAAAGTTCGAATAGCCGCTCGTCACAATGAATTTCTGGATTTCCGAGGTCAAGCACGCAACGACATTATCTCGTTGGATAATTTGAACGTGTGCCATTGCGGGTGCATGATCATTGCAGCGAGGTTCGTACATCGGTGTTTATTCTTGGGTAACTCAGACAACATACATGCATTCATTTCAGCCAGCACCCACGATCCTAAACTATCTACCCAACGAACACAGGATGAACCTTGCTATTGGTAGGATGCATTCTCCTGGTTTCACGACTTTCTCAACTCATGATCGTTTAGTATCTGCTGGCCAATGGGAGTCACTTGCCGAGTCCTTCGTGCGCGAATTTCAACCACAAAAATGATAGCTTGGAGAGAAGCATGCATACAGATCTAGAGGTACGGTCGAGGCTTTGGAATTCTTCTGTAGATATCGAAGCAATTGGTGTGAGCCCCGTAACGGGCATCTACACAGTCCAGAGTGCCTGTCACTATGTTTGGGAGTCCACCCGGAGTAAAATCTTTTACGCACGTTCTTTGCAAGTTCTGGTCTCGCTCTGCTGCGCGGTAGACACCACATATAAGCCCTTACCTACTTATAATCAGCTGCTGATACTTAATTTGACGAGTAGAGAAAGTTCCTCCCGACTCATCGGCCGACCAACGATTATCTGTCGAAAGCGTTGTATACACTCGATAAAGTTCCGCATGCATCCGGTTCACGTCCAACGATCCATCATCCCGACCACCAAAGCCCAAGCTTGGAAGTTCTGGCAATTTCATGGGAATCTCGGCGCGTTTTCCAGACTCACCTCCTCAGCCAATGCACGTGCACGGATATCAACGGGGTCGGAACATGAGAAAGCAACGGTGAAAGAGTGAGTAAGAAAGTGATTGCGACCACGGGCGAGGAGGATGTGTGAGATGAATTGACAGAGGACATGCACGGTCCATCGATGGTGGGAGCGAGGTGGGAGCGAGTTCCCCAAGAGCGCAAGGACATTAGCCCAAAGGTCGCACGGGCCGATGACGACGATATCACTCAGCAGCCCCTCTTCTTCAGCGTACAGGTCTCTTCTTCCTAAACCACCACCATCTTCTCCGAAAAAATGACCACGTCCCTCGACTACCTCAAACAAACCGGCACCGTCGTCGTCTCCGACTCCGGTGACTTCGAGAGTGGGCACATCGCGTGCTGATCATCGGAGATATTCATCTAAAGATCGGTATTCGTAGGCATTGACGTCTACAAGCCGCAGGATGCCACGACGAACCCATCGCTCATCCTCGCGGCTACAAGCAAGCCCGGATACGCTCGTCTAATTGACAACGCCGTCAAGTACGGCAAGAGCAAGGGCGGTAATGTCGAGCGGCAGGCCGCCGTGGCAATGGACAGACTCGTGAGTTGATCGAAATTGATCCTTACAGCGCATTCAACGTGCTCGTTATAGCTGGTTGAATTCGGCAAGGAGATCCTGGCCATTATTCCCGGCCGTGTTTCAACCGAGGTCGATGCGCGCCTCTCCTTCGACAAGGAGGGCACCAAGGCCAAGGCCAAGGAACTTATCGCACTCTATAAGTCCGTCGGCATCTCAAAGGAGCGCGTCTTGATCAAGATCGCCTCCACCTGGGAAGGCATCCAGGCTGCCCGCGAGCTCGAGCGCGACGACGGCATTCACTGCAACCTGACGCTACTCTTCGGTTTCGGTCAGGCTGTTGCCTGTGCGGAGGCTGGTGTCACTCTCATCTCACCGTTTGTCGGCCGTGTAAGTGCTAGTTGTGTCATATCAGGTCTGGCAAACTCATTTTTTCCCCAGATCCTTGACTGGCACAAGAAGAACAAGCCCGGCCCTTCCTACGAGGGCGCTCAGGATCCTGGTGTCCAGTCGGTGCGGAAGATTTTCAACTATTACAAGCAGCACGGCTACAAGACGATTGTTATGGGTGCTTCCTTCCGTAACGTGCGTTTTGATCGTAGTGCGGTATTGCATCGATACCAACTATGATGTCACTCCAGATTGGCGAGATCAAAGAGCTGGCTGGTGTTGACTTCTTGACTATCGCGCCCGCCCTGCTCGAGCAGCTCAAGAATGAGACCACCCCCGTCCCCAAGAAGCTTGATGCCCACGCTGGTGCGTAATCTCATCTTTTCGTTGATAGAGTGCCTGCCGACAGTGATTCTTCTCGTACCTCAGCCGCGAAAGCTCAGGCCTTGCCCAAGGTCTCGTACGTCGACAACGAGCCCGAGTTCCGCTGGGTACTTCTCCAGGACTCAATGGCTTTCGACAAGCTGCACGAGGGCATCAAGAAGTTCGCCGAGGATGGTGAGACGCTCAAGGAGCTCCTGCGCAAGAAGATTGCCGCTTAAGCGGCTTGACTTGCTGGAAGGAGCGATGAGAAAGAATCATTTGGTACGTACGAATCCTGCTTTAAATATCAGAGTACACTGCAATACCAAGTATTAGATGTGCAAATGTATCTCCCCGTAGTCTCGATGTTTTTTAATGCACAAATGTACAGTTTTATCGCGTATCTGTTGTGCCATCAGCGGAGGCGGCGTCAACATTCACAACCCACCGTTCCACCACTGGACGACATTTCTCCGTCTTCTTCTCTAGCTCTTCCATCTCCAGCTTTTGGAATTCCTGGTCCCCAGACGTTGTCGGAGACTCATTAGAGTCATTAGAGTCTTCGTAATCGAAAAGATGATCTGAAAAATCCACGGATAAGCGGTCAGAAGGCGGAGCAGTGGGCTCCAAGTATTCGGACTCGTGCATTGCTTCGGACAGCGCAATGGCGGCGGGCCAGGTGATACCGTCCCAGAGGGAGAGAAGTGCCAAAGCCACCTTGAACCTCCCTGCGCACCAGGCCTGGAGATCTGGCGGGGTCAAATCCAGCGGCAGAGGGTTGAAGGGCAATGTGTCGACAACGCAGGAGAGGTAGGACCACTGATCAGAGCCGTCGCTAGCGCTGTCTACGAAGGGCATATGGGCGACGAGACGGATGCTGCCGGCGTCGTACATCACGCCGAATAGTATCATCTAGTCGGGCACGCGGCGGAACGCGTCCTCCAGGGGCTCCGAGCCGTTGTCTCTCGGGTGTTCTTGTTCGCAGCGGAGGTACCAGTTCTAGAGGTGAGCGCTCAAGCTGGGGTGTACCGAGAGTGCTAGATCATTCAGCAGTTCTTGCAAGTTGGCCGGTCTGTCTGACCGAGGGTCAGTGCTGCTTTGCCATCGTGCTGGGCCCTTGATGCCAATTACAACTGCAGGATGGACTAGGCTGATACGAAGCAAGGAGTCTCTTTGTACGCTCGACCATCCCGATGGTCTAATAGGATGCAGGAGCAATGCAAAATCTGGCTCGGAAACATTCCCTCCAGCGATTTCGGGGGGAAATTCGGATTTCGGGTTACTGCATCTACCTTAGCATTCTCAGATAGGATCAGGGTAGACAATACTGACCACGTCCTTGGACGGTACGATCGATACCTACCCTGGGGTCACAAACGAAGGAATCCGCAACATCGACCTCTTTATACCTGCCGTGACGTCGCAGAACCGACAGCAGGAAGTCAGGTTCAGAGGAGGTCGGATCGAAGTGCCGACGAACAATCTCCTCGTGAAATAAGAATGTCACTTTCTCAGAGATGAGTTGCAGCCACAGCATAAGCCCCCACGTTGCGAGATTTTCCGTACTATTCGTTGCGCTAATAGGTTCGGGCTGTAAAGACAATGCGTTGAAAATTATGTACAAGAACGTAGGCGAAGACTCGTCAGGAATTTGGATCGTGTGCACACCAATTACCTGTTCCAGAAGTGCAAGTTGCGGCGCACAAGCTGAGGATATACATGGCTCAACCAAGGTCAATGAGTGGATGCCTTCCCGTAGGATTTGGAGCACTTCTAAATCACAAAGCGGACTGCGAAACACCCCACTGTGTCGGAACAGCAGGATTTGTGAAACCGTAGCGTCGCAACATGATGATGATCAAACCAAGTTCTAGAGGGTCGGAGGACGAGCGGCAGCATGATGTAAGCAATATGCAGCACCAAATATAGGCAAAGATGGGCATTGCGAGTGGGCGGAGATCGAAATCATCGTTTAGAGAGACGTTTAGAATCTGGAAGGGGGGGTCGACCCCCCCTTCCAGATATAAGGTTTACAAAGAGCTCACCTTGCTCTCACGGTATGCGGAGATCAATTTGCCGACGTGCCGGCCAGATTTAGAGACGAAATTTAGTTTAGAACGTTTCTAAACGGCTACGGGAAGGCATCCAGTCACCGGCGCGCTGAAGGGGCATGACGTCTGAGCCACGTGATGTGGTCGTGTCTTGGAGAGTAAGTACTTGACGCGGACGGCTTCCATTTTGTTTGCTTGGAACATGTCTTTATCACTCCCGTCTGATAGTTCTGGGCGACACACGGCGCCCGTGGATGAGAAGGAAGCTGCAGCCGGCGCGTTTGCTCGTTCGAATCCCCCCAGCTCATCTTCGCGTTGGGACATGCTGCCGCCTTGGATTTCGTCGAATCTGCGGTCGCGGAGATCTTTGAAGACATTGGCGCGATGCTGGCTTGCATCTTGGGTCTGTTTTGTAATATTACTTCCCGATAAATCGCTCAGAACCCTGGGCAACACGTAGGCCTAGGTGCTACTTGAGCTCACCGCGCGACCCTCTGACTCTCGAGTGCAGCGCATTTTTTGCCCTGCTAGGTAGCGTATTCATACCTGCGAACATGCCGATCCAGATATTTGTCTTTGTGAGTGCCCCCGTCGATCTCGGAAAGTGATCCGTCTGTTGAGTGGGACCAAGTCGTTATCCACGTTGGTAATCGGCGTACTGCTCGGATGGGGTTTTGGTGCTGCAGCCATGCGCGCCGCTCTTGCTTCGCGTAATCAGCTTTTGCTCAAGCAGACACTGCAGACGGAGGAGCAAAGGTTTGTGTTCAACCATAGATGCCTATACTCGCACCTGACACAGTTGACAGTGTCGCCGGATTGGCTAATCCAGACGCTATGTTCCAAGCCAGCATTTTCGAAGGTATTTTCCTCGATACACGGTGGGTTTCTGGGCGACTGCCGTCGATTTTAGCTTACAATTGGTTCTCCCAGCTCATCCATCGTGTTCGGGTGCTTCCTCGGTTTCTCCTCCTTCCTGTTTGCCCTCCTCCGCGTCTACGTACCCAAATTGATCCTCATGAGCATTTTCGCGTCGATCGCCATGGACATTTACTGCGTGAGTGCTCGGATCAGAAACTATTTACCGAAGTGTGCGTCTTACGCCGGGTGCGCTGCAGAGCTTCGGACCGCTCTTCCCGTTCGCGCAGTACACGATCTTGAATTCGATGCTGACCTCTCTAGCGTGCTACGTTGCGACGGGCTTGGTCGTGATCGTGTTGCTGTTCCCAGAGACATTGAATCACGCGCACCTCTCGTCTACTTCGGTGCTGCTGGGCAAAATGAAGAGCATCATCCAGATGCAAGACGAGGTGTTGAATGGCGTGCCTGCGAACCCTGCCGCCGCGTCTGCTTTATCATCGAAGAACATCACTGCGAGGGACGGCATGATTGCCATGTTCCAGCAGTGTGCGTGTTTTCGTGTGCTTTTCGCAAATTTTCTGTACTGACAATGCAGTGTCCCAGTGTCAGCGCAGCTGAAGTTCATCAACTCCGAGATCAGTTGGGGTAAGTGGAATGGAGACGACATTAAGGCGCTGGACAAGCCCATGATGATGATGGTCAGCAGATTATGTGCGTTGTTCGTTTTGTTTTGATCTCCTGTTACTGAGGCGTTCGCGGACATAGCGGCCCTGAGCTCCTTCGCGAAGATGGTGGGCCATCCAATGGCGTCACCTTCAGAGAAAGTCTCGCTGGACGGGTCGGTGTCAGAGTCTTCTGGTGGTGCAGGCGGCTCGGGCGGCGTGGGCGACACCCCGCTCCTCCGACAGATGCAGGAGCGCTTTCGTTCCGCAGAGGCAGAACACGGCGTCGGGCTCTCGGATGTACTTCCTGTACTGAAAAACGCCACAGCGGAACTCCGAGAAGGGTGCGCAGACAGCCTCACAGCACTTCAGTCCCTCGTCGAGTGCGTGAACACGAAACGGTACGCACGAGACAATGTCGCAGACGCGGCCGATAAGTTGCGCGAGCTCGAAGAGTCGTGCGAGCACCTGAGATACGCGATCGGCGAATTTAAAGAGACGAAGCGTTCACTTCTAGTCGAGCCGTTCCAGCCCATGCTGCAGAAGACCAGTCCGCGGGAGGATGTGCCCCTACGATCGTTGTACATCATGTACGTCTTTGCCGCGAACCTCATGGTGGTGGCCAACGCGATCCTTTCTTTGGTGGAGGCTGTCGCGGCAACGGCACGCAAACGGCAGAGAAACCATCTATGGATGCCCAAGGGTCTTCGTGCTATCGCCAAGATCCTCACCTCAAAGCGCGATGCCGTTGACCAGGCTATGGGTATGGAAGAGAACCCACCGGAGGAGGAAGATTCGCGTCAGAAAGAGGATTGGTCTTATAGTAAGTTTTGAGTGGACCGTACCGCTTAGGAATTAGTGTCGATGGTTTCTTGCAGAACTCGATCCTGACAGTCTTCCCCCAAAGAACATCGTCCAGCGATTTGCGAATTTCATTCATACAGCCTACCAGTGGGCCAAGACTGCTGAGGCCAGGGTACATCACACACCTCTTTAAAGTGCATAATTGCCGTTTCTCACATTAGCACTTTACCAGTTCGTTTTCAAGTACGTCGTTGTGACTATCGCGCTGTGGCTTCCAGCTGTGTTCAAATCGAGTGCACGTGCGTCCACTTGTACAATGACCTTCCGGACCCTTGTTTCTCAATATTCTTCGCATCAGATTTCTACTACGTTCAGAAGGGCATATGGTATGTCTATCGTGCGTTTGTTAGTCGGTTGCCTAAGCTAACGTCCATTCAGGGCATTGATCATGGCACAAACGACTTTGAGCATCTATGCTTCGGATCAGATGTTCAAGTCAGTATTGCATCCTGGCATGGTTCTATCGCAGTGCTGAAACGAACGATGGATCGCTCCAGCTACGCGATGCGTCTCCTTGGAACTTTCATAGGAGCAGTTTACGGCTTGTTGAACTGGTACATCGGTATCGTATACTTCTCGCGGCTGCAATCAGAGCTTTCCATTGAACGGCGTATTCTCTGAAGGATCCGCTGATGGAAACGGAAGCCCGTACGGCATGGCTGCGAGTGTCGCCGTCTTCCTCGTGCCTCTTGTATTCTTCAGAATCTTTGCCCCTCCTCACTATCTTCCTGCGGTCATGTTAGCCGGAGTGAGTGATCTCACTGGTTTACGGGCATGATATCTCACAAGCTGCAGGCAACATGGGTTCTGGTCGTCGGATACTCTTGGATCGATGGGCACTTGCTCGTCTTTGGCAACGCCGGTATTGGATGGTCTATTGCCTGGCGGAGATGGGTATTAGTCATGATTGGTGCGCAATCTCGCTCCTTGTGCTACCGGTATTGACCAGAAGGTCACGCATAGGTTGTGTTGCGTCGTTCATCGTGATGATGTTCCCGCCGACCTCAGGTCGCGTTGCGGTCCGGTTGCGCAATGCTTCCACCATTTCGGGGCTCTCCTACATTTACGGTCATCTCATGTCGGCGTGGATCCGTGACGCGGAGATGAGCGAAGGCGAGGAGAATGGTCTCGCAGGCACGAGTAAATCAGATTGGTTACCCGTGTTTCGCGAGAAATTCCTCAGTGCGGCCGACCAAGTCAGAGCGTTGAGGGCACAGACTGCTATAGCCAAATGGGAGGGAACCACACGTGGCAAGTGGCCTTTCGACGACTATATGAATTTGGCCGATGTGCAGTCAGACATGGTCGCCAATCTCGCTTTGGTGAGCAATCAGTGCAGCTCTCATGGCCTTATTCGTCGCTGATGATTCTCCAGCTTGGCGGCGCGCTCTATGAGCTAGATGACAAGACCAGAATAGCATTCTTGCACACGACGAAGGTCGTCAACCCATATTTTGTGTGTATTCGTATCACTCGCGCATGGCAAACTAGTAATGACATGTCTCTTCATACCTTTAGATCAGTGACGTGCTGTCCACTTTCATGCTGGTGTCACAGTCGCTTCGCACTGGAGAGCCACTGCATCAAGCTCAGTACCAAAATCTCCTCGATCGAGTACACTACCATGGAGACATGTCGCACCCGACTTTCGACAACGAAGATGTGAAAGCCGCAGAACGTCTACAGTCTATCACAAGCTACGAGTATATATATTACGCGACCGCGATAGTCTCTGTCTTCCAACTGCTTGGGGTAAGTCGGCAGTTGTGCATGCGCCCTCATCGTTCTCACTTAGTCATTGGTAGAACCTTCACGAACTGCGCAGGATCACGACGAGATTGTGCGGCGAGGTCCAGTTTGAAGGGTTTGAGCAGTGGAGACGGAAGCATGAGAGTGCAGTTAACGCCGTCTAAATTATTCCCGATCTTCATTTCTTGAGTTTTTCACTTCACTCTTCCTGTATTATCCGTGGTCCCTGAAGGTCGATCATCCTTCGATTTTTGTGGATGGAAGCCTCAGACCTAATCAGACGGAGAGTTGAGAAGATATTGCCAGGATGACAGCGTTAGTATCCCCGATTCAGATCTTTTGATCGTCTCGCCGACGGCTTGATTTGTCAGCAAAGTATGTTCTCCCCAAGCTCACAAACGTTTATCGAAGTTGACGCCGGGATCACCGCTGAAATCATCTGTCTCAGGATGCTCTGGTTGTGGCTCTTTACATTCCTTTTACTGTTCGCCATCCATGTCCGTGCACTCTATCTGGTTTCTGAAGGTCAAACGGTACTCGATGCCGAACCGCTTGCGGAGGAAGGCGTCTTGAGTTCTTTCGTTGCTCAACCTGCGCGAGGCTGGACTGTGGAAGACATACTTGATGCGGCAGAGGTCGGCGTTGGCACTCCTCTGAATAGTGGATACTGATCATGGTTTATCGCGCATTCAGACAGCAAATGCGGATGTATGGCATGTTAGCCCGTCCCACGTTGATGTCTACTTCTCCACTATCAGGAATTACCATGAGTCGCAGCTCAAAGCTGCTAATCTTTCAGAGTCCACACGAATAATCGACAGGTCTCTCTTGTCTGCAACGCCTTATCCAACCTCTGCTCCGTCGTGGAACCTCTCTTCTCTCTCTAATACAACCTTTCATGCGTCGTATCATCCTTTGTATGAAGTGGAGAACTTTATGGAAGAGCTAGCAACGCTGAACCCGCATCTTGTGCAACTAGCCAACTTGGGACATTCGGCAGAGGGTCGAGAGATGTTTGCTATCAAGATTTCTCGGGACACGCTCAGTCAAAAAAGCGGATCGTCGGCCCAGGGTAAGGCCAAGACTGGGATCGTGGTCACAGGTGCGCAACACGCACGGGAGGTTCGTGTTCTCTAGATTTTCCCACTGAGAAGATGTACTAAGCTAGATCGCCCAATGCACGACTTCGGTTCGCAGTGGGTCGCCACGTCCACAGCGCTGTACCTTGCCCATGCACTCGTTGCCAGTGCTGCCGAACCATACGCCATGTCTTCTCTTCTTGATGACCATGTGAGAATTCAAACCTCGTGCTGATTTGAACCAGAGCGCCGTACGGCCGCCCTCTCGTGTGTCTTCTACATTCATCCATGTACCCTGGATGTCGTTGTGTTTTTGTGCTCTGAACCGATGCAATGCCAATAGGAGTTCTATATCATTCCTCTTCCCAACCCCGATGGGTACGCGTACACATGGGAGCACGATCGTCTTTGGTGAGTCCGGTCATTCCGAATATTATATTACTTATCTCTCCTAAATCTTATACATCTAACGTGTACATCCTTGACCAGGTACAAGAATCGCCAGATACTGGGGCCTAACGAGAAATGTGTAGGGTTGGACATGAACAGGCAAGGCATTCCGCTCGACGTATTACTATCTGCACTCACTAGGTGATTTCTTAGAAACTGGGTATGTGCTCCACCACGCCTCTCTGATCACGCGAAATCCTTGTTTTCGTCGTATTGACTTTTGCGCTTCTTTTATATGTCGCTCCTCTATAGGGTCACAAGTGGAAGCCGACGGCACGGTTTCCGCGACTGAAGGCGGCGGACCCTTCCACCTCCAACTCTCGCGGCGGCATCGACCCGTGCACACAGTGGTATCCCGGTCACAGACCCTTCCAGTCACCAGAGGTTAACAACATCGCGAACTACATTACGACCCTCCCTGCACTGCAAGTGTATATCGATCTCAGGAGCTATGGACAGATGTGTACGTCGTCCAGTGTTGACGGAACTCCCCTGGTGCGGCTCTCGCTGATGCAGGATGGGGTTATGGCCAGTGTCCGCGCCGTTCTCATACTCATGCAAAAAGATGCCGAAGGATGCGGAGAACCTGAGCGAGGCGGCTCTTGGCGCCACAAGGGCGATTAAGCTGGTGCATGGCACCACGTTCACCGTATGTCCACTCCATAGAGATAGGGCATCGTTGCGCTGAAGACATATACCTACCTAGACCGGCGGCCTTTGCTCTATGCTGTACAAGTGCGCCCTGTTCATCCACCCTTCCAGGGATCAGTCTTTAATGTTTTGGCCACAGGGCACCTGGGAACGTCGTCGATTGGACGTACGCAAAAGCAGGCGTCCCGTACTCCTACGCCGTGCATCTCAGGGACACAGGGACTGTGGGTTCTCCACTGCTTCCATGTTTGCAATGCAATATGCTCACCGCGAGCACACAGTACGGCTTCTCGCTCCCCGCCGAATGGATCCGCCCCGTCGGCGAAGAGACGGCCAGCATGATCCAATTCCTCGCGGAGTTCACTCCCGGCGGAAGAAAATGTGCGCTGCCACTTCACCCACAACCTGAGTGCTCTGCTGACGATCTCTTGTCTGCCGCAGAGCTGCCTGTTTAGCAGCATTATGTTGTCGCTTGCTTTCGTGGATAGCTCTCTGATCCGGTCTGATACCTATACTGTTCTCTTCTGTGTACGATAACGTTGTATGTGGTTTATCAGGCTGCTGCCTTGATTGTATTCACGTCGAATGAATGACCGAAGAGCATCTGTTGACACATTTACTTGGCCTGCTAATTCCTCAGGCTGACCCCCGCTCCGTCTGGTGACCGAATGCATATCATCAATATCTCGGCACGATACACCGTGCAACTGGACACCTTACGAGGCTATATCTACTACTATAGGGGGTATGCAAAACATATGTGAGCTAGTAACTGAACACCGAGCCGACCGTCCGTAAATAAGTTGCTACATAGGAGATGTGGAAAATAAGTGAGATTGAACACTAGCGAGAGCACATCCCGGTACATGTAAGTACAAGTCCGCAGAATCAAGATCCAGGAAAATGCTGAGCGACACTCACAAGCAGCGACCGCAGGATAAGGAGTTGGCGATGCACACATCGAATGGCGAGTAAGGTACAGCGGTCTGACGCGTCGGTCGTCTGCTACAGGTGAGAAGATAATCTGGGCAGCACTCCGCAGAGATGCTACCAGGCCGCACTCTGGTACGAGCGGTCATCTCCCCGGGTCGCTCTGTGCATCATCCTCGACCTCCGGATCCATCCGTCCTAACACCTCCCCCGATGCGACGCTCATGCCCGAGCGCGCGCTTCCCGTCGACGCAAACCGGGGCCGCACATACGCCGGGGGCACCCTCGCCGCATCCACATTGATGCCCACCCGCTCGGGGCCACCCTCGCTACCGACGTCCACAGGGTTCACCGGCGATCGTGTGTGTGTACTGCCGCCGCGAGCGCGAATGCTGTCCCCGCGCTCTCGCCGTCGCCCGCCGAGCCCCTGCAAGCTCGCCATGAATGTCTCGTTCATCTGCCGCAGGCGCTCGTCCACCGCGGACTCCGTCGTCAGCATCGGCTCGTTCAAGGAGAGAGAGCGCGTGCGCTGGACGACACTGGGCAGGGTCTCGTGCGGGCCCTCCGGGATGTCGGGGCTGTGTGGGGAGCGTGCAGGCGAAGAAGACGCGCTCTGCTCCCGCAGACCGCCGAGCGGCTTCCGCGCGTCGATGTCCTGCACGAACGCGGAGATATCGTCGTCGTCCGTGTTTGTGCTCAAAAATGAGGGGCTCTGGGTGCGCATGATAAATGATCAGCACACGCGGGGAAAACGTGGTGGGTGTGCAGATACTTACCGCCACTCGCTCGCCTTCCTTGGCACCGCTCCCCGCGCTCCCCTCGCTGCCTACGCCGCCCGTTGCGGCATACCGATGTCCAAAACTGCTCGAGTACCTCTTCCCCGTCAGCCTCGGTGACCCCTCCAAAATAACTCCCTCTACAGACGTTAGTGAGCGCCCACCCAGACTCGATGGCGCATAAGGCGGAGACGACCGGGGCAGTGGGACAGGCGATGGTGGTGCCTTACTCCCCGAACGCTGCGGGACGTGAGCACGGGATGAAGTTGGTGATGTATGTGCGGGCCTAGAGGGCAAGGATGGCCCGCCGGAAGACAAGGGCGAGTGTTGTCGCAGCGATGGTGATGGGGAGTGTAGAGAGGGAGAGCCAGATGACAGCGTCGAAGACTTGAACGGGTTCACAGGGTTGATAGGACGCCGAATCGGAACTGGCCCCGGAGAGGGTATGAAATCCTGAATAGGGATGAGAGTCAGACGCGTGGCACACGCCAGAACGAGTCAGAAAACACGTACGCTGCCTCTTCCGGTGCCGAGGCTTTCCTTCCTGAGTCGCGCAGCGAGTGCAGACACGGGGGGGATGTCGTCCCTTGAGCCCGTAGACGCCGCACCTTGACGCGATGACGACGCGTCTGACACCGCAGAAGTCGACCCTGCAGCGCCCGTATTTGACAGCCGCCGCATTGGCAGAAGGCCAACATTCTGCGAGCGCGGACTACTCCCACCGAGTCCAGATAGTCCGGACAAGGACGTGGTGCGCGAATGCATCGAAGGCGGGACGACGAAACGGTCCGCCACAGATGAAGGCGGGGAGCGAGGGAGAGACATACGGACGGGTAAACTGCCCGGGGAACCCGACAGGGAGTCACGCTGCTGGTTCTTGACAAGGGTCGGCGTAAAATCTGGTCCTTCATCCAGCGAGAGGAACCGCGAAGACAAGAGCGACTCCAGTTCGTCCAGCTGGAAGTTGGGCGAAGTGAGGTACGTGACAGACAGTGACAGAGTGCCCACTGGGTGGGTAACTGGCGTGAAATCATGCGAGTCTTTCGATAGTCGCGGAGATGTCTGTGCAAGAGGCGTGTCTGGAGTATGGTCAGGTATACTGATCCGAATCTGAGCAACGTGGCTTACCAAACCCCAAAATGCCCTCCGCGCCTCTGTCTTCGTCGATGCCCTGGACGCGCAATTGGATGCTGAAATTGCCATTCCGGTTGCCTCCAACACGGGTACGTAAACGTCTGGACAACTTCCACGCAGGCAGGATACGAAGCAAAGTAAACACACTCCGAAACAGCGGAATGGCTTGCTTGTACATGGTAGGGAGCGCGACATCGGCACCATACCGATGCTGAGAGTCATTCTGCGTGAAGATGATATCCCATGACTCTAGGAGGATATACCTGGGGGTCGGGTCGATGCGAACGCGAGATGAGTCAGGCGCGAGATAGACTAGTACTTGGTTGTTTGTCAACTCGGGGACAACCAAAAGAACTTGTAGACGGAACGGCGGTAATGAGTGCGCGGAAGAAACGGAGCGATAGATGCGAGTATGTTCCTTGAAGAGTTCTGTGTCCGGAGTCTCGAGATTGAACTGCGAGGAATTCAGTGGTGTTAAACGCGACTGAGCATCAATCAAACGCACCCAGATATCCCCCCGAGCCTGCGCTGTCGGCTGAACCGTTGCCCTGGCATGATTGACGACGAGAATAAGCTTAGTGTAGAACCTGTAAGCCACCTTGTCGGACTTGTCACTGGACATGGCAGGGCACGGAATAGTCGTTCAGAAAGTAGAGCAGCACTGCTGAACAGACATCAGGACTGACTTGGCGGAAGATATACCGAGCGCAAGCTGTGGTGGTGGTCGTGTGTATCGCACGAGCGCACTGGATATGGCCCTTATGGCCAGACAACTCGATCTGGCACTCACTCAACCGATGCAGTACTTCTCTAGCGCCCTTTCTTATCTTCCTTTTTCGGAGTTTTAACATTTGTTATGTGAACTACATGGCGTTGTGATGCACTACTAGCCGATGGGCCTACTTTGACGCGTCGGTCAATTAGCTGGCTGTCCATGTCAATCCTTGCAGCGCTATATGCACAGACGACGGTCCCTTGTTCCCTCGATGGCCCGCGTAGTGTTCAAGATGCGGCACTTGCCGGTATGAAAACGGCACAGGCGTGCATTGGACAGTCGAGTCACTCCAATCACCTCGAGTTGTGGTCTCGAGGTGCAGCATAAATGTGAGTGTTGGAATTCGAGTCATTCCTGCTAAATTCGGTCTCTAGAAATGCCTGCACGGATAGGCCCATCGGCGCTGTGACTTCGCCTCGGATGAAACCTAGTGATGAAGCTGCTGACCGCTGTTAGGCGGAATACTTATCAAGCTTCTGCTGGAACCACGGTTCGCCCCTGCAGATAACATGCAGCTTCGACATGCGGAGAGAGTACTGGCACGTCTTGCAAGCAGCGCCTCTATTTTTCGTAATGGTATTGCATGGTATTGCAAGGTCTGCTTCTATCTGGTGTCTCACGTTCATACCTCAGGCCCAGTGGCAGATGGAGCATCCGAAGGTAAATGCTTATCTTGCCCTGACGTCTGCCTATAATCTCTCACCCGAAAGGGCGTGATCGTCGATCTGCGTCCATTGGTCAATACCGCCATATGACGGTCTAGATTTTGCTGGCGAAAAGGAGCTCTCAGATTGGCCATCCCCACAATACCTACTGGACAACACAACTACGCGATATACGTACACGCCGTGCCGCATTAACCTTCTCTGGACATAGAGTTGGTGGATATCGGCTACATCATGGTCACCAAAACCTTGGTGTAGATGAAGCGGGCCTGAAGCACGAACCGCTAGGTGGTTCACGGCTGGCGCAGCAAGAACCACCACCCAATCCCTGCGGTCCACCCGGCAGACGCCGACGAAGGGCCCCTTCCAGGTAGTAAAACGTTCTCCACGCGGTGCCACCACCCCCGCGGAATGAACAACGTCTCGCCTTCTCGAAGCACGCAGCTTAACGCCGTTAGGGAGAGCGCATCAACCAAGCGCGTAGGACACGAGTCGGTGAGGATGTCAAATTGCAGGTTTGAGCCACCGCTGCGAGGTCGCAGCTGCAGATCTATGGCCGAGGTGTTGCGCAGAGACGCATGTCCGTCTGCACGCCTCACGAATTCGGAGACTGATGGGGGCAAAAGCGTGAGGTGCTTCGCGTGTGTGAGAGGATCGGACGATGCGTGCAGGTGGTAGAGATTCATGTAGGGGTCGTAATGTAGCGGAGTGATCTGTTGCATATTGTAAGCTGTGCTTGGAATTGAATTTTTGGAGACTTTTTACCGCGCCAGTAGGCCCGACGAAGAAACTTGTCTGATATAAATCTGCGTGGTTACCTGAGAGCAGGGGCTCTAGGATAGGCGGTGGTCTCACAAGCTGCTTGACCGCAGGAATCTTTGTCGTGCACTCATGAAGATCATTCCTTCCAAGCTGAAGTTACTACGTTACCTCGTCAGTCCCTCGCCACTGCGCGAGATACACCTGCTGGCCGCCAACTTTACCTCCGCTCCCACCATTGCTTTCCAGCCAGTCCAGGTACTGGCCCAGCCGCATGGGCATGCGGTCGAATGCGCCGGGCGCAGTGTCGTCGTAGCGCCCCAGCTCGACGTCGACTAGTCTGTCGTCTCCATTACGTAGAGCACGAAGGAGACCAGCGCTGCGGCTAGAATTACTTTCGGAGGGCCCCGAAGGGCGTGCCAAGATAAGAGGAGTTGACTCTGAGGACGAGGCGAAAGACAGGAAATGCTCGGGACTTCCAGCTAATGATGCGGCTGCGAGAGGCACTGGGCGCGTCGATATGGTGCTGATACTTCGGGGGCTACATAATTTACAGGGACTTGATAGCAGCACTCTGTGCACTGAGGGCAAAAGCAATCCAGCTGAGGGAGTGTTATGAAACATGTGCGGCAGCTGCACGCATAGCATCGTGACATCGATCGCAGCCTTGCACATCCACACTCACAGGCAAGACCGAGTCCACACGCTTTTTTGTTGTTGCTATCACCATTGTGCTTATGCTGGTGTCTGAGCTTAGCAGTCAATATTACCTCCATTAGGCTTTTCTAAACTGGAGACGTTGTATTATCCATGGCTGTATCATGTAGTTCCGTCGATTCTCGCCGAGGCAAGTGACGGTGCGCGAGGAATAGTGCAATACATCGGACTGATGGCATATCATTTTCTTTTCCGAGAGGTTGCTTATCGGTGATTAACGCGTAAGACGCGATCAGCATGCTCTGTTTTTTTTACACAACCTGTCAGGTCGTGGAAGTTCGCATGCCACAGAGCAAGAGAAATCTGGCAAGTTGAAGTTACAGCCACACGTCGGGATGACACGAGAAGATGATGAACGATTCCTTGTACGTTGTTCCTGGATAGATTTTTTCTCTGCTGAAGATGTGGCCCGTTCAAAATTCGCGGAAGACGCGTATACGCCACTATTTTGTTGCAGTCTCAGCTCGATCTCCTGGTGATAACTGGTACAAGATAGTGGTGTACTACTTCTCACCGTGCCAATGGCCCTGGACGCCCCTCCCCCATCGTCACTTCTAATAATGATTCACTCTATTTACAAGAAGGTGACGAACCAAAGATGCGACCACATGACAAAGGAATGTAAGTACAGGAGGATACTCTTATTATGACTGCACCTGATGCTCGACATGTTAGGTCCATCCCTGCCTGTGCTCCAAAGGAAATCACTTCCGCCCATTGTTGCCATGATCTTCTGCACTCGAAACTCGAGGTCTAATCTATCTAATTTTGCAGTGGAAAACTACTCGACTGACGGTGAATTCAATGCGTTCTCGGATGCACGGGACGTATATCTTAATTCAACGAACCCGAGGCTCGTTGGTTTTGTTCTCGTCGACATCCCCACCTCCACGCACACACGCCCAACCCACCAGCCTATCAAATATCACAGTGGGATACTTCATGGTTGACTATGAATTTGACGCACTCTTGGATGCGATGAGCAAGCCTCCTTGTTTGTAGTGTGTTTCTTCGCCAGAACCGCGGGACTCATCGTCTTTGTTCAGCCTGCTGGTCGTAGCTCCATCCTCGATCGCCAGCCCTAGCTATTGCAACAGCCCCGTCGAGCCGGAAGCTTTCTGCCCGTGGGAGTGGTCCATACCTACCTCACACTTCCTCACAAGCAAGGGACAGCATGGTCGGATACTGCATGTTGCCCTCTTCCTTCTCCAGACCTGGAAACTACTTACAGGGCCTTCCTACCAAGATGCCGCTCCCCGTGTCTTTTTGGGCAGGGACTTCACTATGATCCTGTTCAGAATATGTTCCTCCAGAGTGAGTGCTTGGGCAATTATATGATAATTATTACGAACAGTTTCCCACATTCGTTATTATAAGCAACGGAATACTTCGAACGGGCCTACATTGAGTAAGCAGTTTATGTTTCCATTTCGACTCCCCACGCTGACTTCAACTCCCTCACAGGTTTCATAAGGCACTTGACGCTCGCACAGACGAGCCGTGTCATCGTCGTCGCTGGCCACCATCGAGCTTGACAGGCAGCAACCCAGGCGCGTTCAGCCCGCTCGGCGGCGTGCGTCGAGGCGAGAGATGGAATCTCAGTGCAACAAATGTAGAGGGCCGCCAGTACCGGTGATGTCACTTGCCCAGGTGCACAGGCATCAAGATGAGCATCGAGGATTACCTCAACACCGCAAATGCAGTGAACACACTGGCAAAATGCCCGTGGCACGGGTGCGGCAGTACGACATTTTCCACAGTACTCACTTTTCGCAGAGGAGTGCACGTCCGCGTCCTCCCCCATTACAGTGCATCGGTCAAACGGTGGTCTAGCGGCATGGATAAAAATCGCCTTCCCGCCCGTGTATTGGCGTATCGCTTTCGTCTGTGAAACTGTTTGCTCCTGAGAACGTTGGAGGCCCTCGATAGCTCAGTTGGAAGAGCGCGAGACTGTAATTGGATATTTATCTTGAGGTCGCTGGTTCGATCCCGGCTCGAGGGAAGTTTTTGGTACTCCTTTGCTTTTGCAAAGGAATCTTAGCCTACAACTCATGTAGTTCGGCCCCTACCTCAAGTTCGTACAGTGGTTCAGTGACGTTCAAAATTCCGCACTCTCTGTGAGGTTTCCTGCAGTGTAAGAATGTTTCAAATCACTCGTGAAGCGCAAGTCCCGAGGGAATTGGTACCTGCATTAGATTCATCGTTATTGGTATTGTCCGAGACGCAGTTGACTTTCCTGCATGCACTCGTCTCACCAGACGACCAAGAGCTACGGCGGAAGATCCTCGCGGTGCAGAAAGGGTGCGTTGCATACCCATTATGTGCAGGATAGATGATCTGATCAGTGGTCTGCGTGAAGAGCATAGTACGCTCCGTCTCTGCTGATGTTTGGAGTATAACTGATATCAACCCGTCGTCAGCGAGAGATACCCATACCCTTGTATACGTAGCTTTCATCATGTGAGCCTCATGGCGTCGGCAAATCCTGTGTACTCAGCGGTGCTCAACGCAGGAAGATCCGGCAACACGATCTTCCTTGATATCGGGTGCTGCAGTGAGTACACACGTCCCCTACTCTCAGAGCACAGGTCTGATTTTCATCTCGCAGTGGGCACCGACGTGCGCAAGCTCGCATTCGACGGTTACCCCGCCCCACAGATTCTCGGGTGCGACCTCCGACAGGAGTATATCGACGATGGCTACAAGCTCTACCAGGACGCCGCGACCTGCCCCATCCACTTCTTTACCTCCGACATATTCAGCGTGCCCGTATCCTTCGACGCGCGCACTCCAGGATCTGCAGACATCTCAACCGTTACGGAGCTTGTTCAACTACAGGGCACAGTGATGCACATCTACACGGGCGCGCTATTCCACTTGTTCGATGAGACAACGCAGTACGCAATTGCTCTCCGTGTGGCCGCGTTGCTCAAGCATGAGCCCGGTGCCATCGTGTTTGGGCGGCACTCTGGTCTCGAGCACGAGGGCATGATCGACGACCACCTTGGCAGGTGCGCAGCGTGCTTGCTGCTCTGCTTAACATGTACCGGTTGCTCATGATGCATAATGCATGTATAGAACTCGCTACGGGCACTCCACGACATCCTGGCCATTATTGTGGAAGAAGGTTTTCGCAGAGGCGGAAGGGGCGGAATTTGCGGAGACACGCGTCGTCACGGAGGTCAAGCGTGAAGAGCACCCGTACAGCTTAAGCAGACAACGTGGACAGCACATGCTCATCTGGAGCGTCAGGATTCTATGACGCTTCCTGAGATGCATTCAGGCAGACGACAAACTCGGGGTCGCATATAGCTGCCGCGATAGCAGAGCTTGCACTGATGGTCTCCGGTCTCGGACGTAACGATGGTGTCAAAAGCATTGGCGAGACAGGAGGGGCGTTCTTGATCCACGTTTTCGCTCATACACAATTGTTTCTGATCGCGGAGGTGGCACGGCCCAAACTAGAATGGTTAACTCGGACTGCATCATATGTACACGTTTGATAGAGGCCAGCTATCATATACGCATAGACGAGATATCGATACATACATACATGCATGGATATTATACATGAGGACCTGTGTAGTTAAATATCAGCAGCTGTCAATCAACCGACCACAACCCGAGGCCACATCCGAGTCAACGCATATGGCGTCCACAGGAAGCCGGCACACTTGATGGCCCACCATTATGCGCCGTCGGAAATACATTACTCGGGCCTCCAACATGCACAGCCCTGGCGAATGCACGCGAGACATCAGAAGGGGAAACATCAAAGACATCTGCGCACCCATCAGCAGCGGCAACCCATCACAAGTCTTGCCCTTCATCCACAGGGCCGCGAAACATCCACTCCAAACTCGGGGTCATCTCGCTGGCCGCAAATAGACCCTCGAAGAACCCATTAAAATCTTGCACGTACACACGATCCCATAATTCTGCCCCCAGTACTAGCTTGTGTTTCATCATTTCGCGAGGACACTTAAGTTTGGGTATCCAGCTGCAGTCTCCCCCTACCAGTTCTATGCGATGCCAGCGGATGAGCATGCCAAAGGACATGCACGTCGCAGTAGGCGCCACGTCTGCAAGGTGGCTCCTAATCAATTTATGTTGCTTCCGAAGATTGAAGTCCAGTGGGGAGTGCCCATAAACGGGGTTGGAGAAGAAAATTAGATGAAGCGATCTGAGGGGTGGAATACCTGCCCATTGGTGACATAGAATCTGGAAAGACTTGATCACCGCGGGGGTACAGTAGAATATAAGACTTGACATACCGGAATCTGTTGCATAGTGAGATCGGGACCAAAATGTAAGCTAAGTATCCTGAGACGAGGCACATATTCCTTGAAGGTTTGTTGAGCTTGGGCGAAGGTGTAGTAGGAGATAGATAATGTCGTGATATCAGCAGTGGATTGTTTCAGTGAATTCAAGACGCTGTGCGCGGTCTGCACGTCGCGGGAGAACCCGAGCTGAAGGTGCAATATTTCGACCGGTCTCCCGGGTACCAGTTTGAGGAGCAGCTCCGGAGGGCCATCGATAGACCGCAAATGTTTCAAAGCCGTTGCTGGTAGTGTGAATACCTGCGCATTACAGGTATTTTCGAGTACAAGTCGGGTCAGATGTGGAGTACGTTTTAGCAAGCGACATAGTTCTGCAGTGGGGCACGCCCATTCAGTGACGCCAAGAAGGTACAACTCCTGAACGGCGTAATCCAGATGTTCAGCAAGGAAGTCGCGAACGAGATGCCATTCGTCCGTACGTAGCGCCTGCAGAATCGTGGGACCCGTACAGGCACGAATAATGGGGAAGTACGGCGAAGCGTCGTAGTTACCACGTAACGCGAAGTGTGTCAATCGTGGATGGACGGGAGGGAAGATATGCTCCTGCGGTAAGAGGTCAAAGAAGCTGTCGCGTATGCTGACCTAAGCTCGTCAGCCCGACGATGGTATCAATGATACTTAGCGAGATCCTCGAGTTCGACAATTCGAGCGATGTGAGACGGGTAAGCAGCGTTATCGTCTGCGGCATCTTCGCCCAAAAGGCTGGGATAGGCTCTCTTGAAGCGTGGTTCCATTCGTGGAACCTACAACTTCTGACATAGCTTCCAATCTCGGTGCTCCTAAGGTCCCCTTTTCGGAGGTCGTTAAACCATGTCCAGCGAGAAGGAGTCTCCATCGATATATTGAGCTGCTTGAATAGACGCGGCAAACACACGGAGTGAAAGAAGCGACAAACGAGACAGAGATTTGACAGGATGGTTTTATATTCCGGCTCTGTGACATCCAGCGGAATCTGGAAATGGTCAAACACTTCGAGGTATATCTCGTTGGGTATTATCGATAGGTTTCTATTGCCGTCACGGCGCTCTGGAGCTGCAAGGCGAGTGAGCTAGCCTAAGGGCGTGAGGCTTGAGCAAATCTCACTCACTGGACCATTTCATCAACTCCATTCTAGCGTACAGGAAATGTTTGCTTTAGACAGCCTGAGCTTGATCTCTGCACAAGAGCTGGTAGTGATTTCACGGCACGGGAGTAGGCGTGGGCACTAAGCTCCGAAGCCTTGACGGCGTCGAGACTCACAACCTCCGAAATATTGGTTCAGGATGATGGCAGAACCGGAAAATTTTTCGCTGCTCACTGTTCTCGACGGCGAAGCCAATGATAAAGACGGTGAACGGCAAGTTGAAGTACCTGATTGAACGTAAGATTATCAAAACCTAACCCTATTCCGGCTTGGTACGGCAACATGTGGCGAAAGGTTAACTTTCAGATCATGTTCAAATGTTACAGATAGATGCTTTTGCTAAACAGTTCGTGGCCACTCTCGCTCCACAAATGCTTTCCAGTACAACCTTCCGTGCATGCATTCCATGCGGCATCGAGAGACAAATATCTACTTCGTGGCCTCGACGTAGCGGCGCTCAGCCTCCTTGAAGTTGATGACGTTCCAAATCGCGTTCAGATACTAGAAGAGTATGGTCGGAGTCAATACACGATCCATTGATTATAACAAAGTAAACTTACGTCAGGCTTCACGTTGAGGTACTGCAAGTAGAAGGCCTGGAAGAAGGGAGTGCATAAGCAATCCGCGGTTCAAACCATTTTACACCTGAACGAGTGGACGCACATGCTCCCAGATGTCAATGCCAATGATAGGGAGGTGAGCTGGAATCATGAGAATCAGACACGATCAGTACACAGCAGAAGCACGATCACTGACAGAGGAGAGGATCTTGGTTGGCAGTGGTGACAATCTCAAGCTTCTTCGTGTTCGGGTTGTAGCCGAGCCAACCCCAGCCGGAGCCCTGGATAGCAGCAGTGGTAGTGTTCAATTTCTTCTTCAGCGCTGTGAGGTATCGGGGTCAGAGTACACGCTGCTCAGGGGTTCCGTATCGCGGAAGTGTACTGACCGTCCAACCCGCCGAAGTCAGCACCAATGGCATCTTTAAGCGGACCAGCAGAAAGCTGTCCACCACCCTGGGAGGCGGGTACAAGGTTCTTCCAGAACAGAGAGTGGTTAATGTGTCCTGCAAGCGCGTCGCCGCATTAGCGACGCGCTAGCACTTCAGATAGGAGAATTGGCAGAGATGTTACGCACCACCGCCATTGAACTTGAGCGCAGGTTGGAGCTTGATTTGCTCCTTGGGCGAGTGCGCCTTGGCGTAGCTCTCCTCGGCTGCATTCAGACCGTTAACGTATGCCTGATGGTGCTTCGTGTGGTGCAGCTTCATGATCTGGCCAGAAATATGCGGCTCGAGTGCCTGCAAATGGGAACCGCAATCGCGCATGAGGAAAATACAAACTATAAAACACCTCTAGTGTGAGATACGAACATCGTACGCATAGTCGAGCTCGGGGAGCGTGTGGATAGACCTCGCGGAGAGCGAGAGCGTGGCAGCCAGACGGGGGGCGACACGACCACGCGTCGCAGTGCGTACAACGGTGAGAACGGACATGGCGACGAGGAGAGGTAATGTACGACGAGGAAAGGCTATTCGTCGACGTTGAGCTCGCTAAATAACACTCAATCTCGGCGCGGAGTACGTCGGATTTCGAGGCCTTACCAACTTCTGATGTCATCCCAGCCAGGCTCAGCTATTGGCGATCACGTGCTGGTGAACGGTGGCAGAAGTGACTGGCTAGCGCATCCTCCACCGTGCATCAGTTCCCGTCCGAACCACCGACTGAATATTTGTTCGAGGGAACATGCAAGTAAGTACTGTCAGGAAATTATGCAGTCGGAAATTCCTGCTGAGTGAATGACATTCGACCTCCTTCAAGTTGGCGGCCGATGTCGTTCTCCCGTTGCGCCCGATTATTCAACATCTCGCAGTACAGCACGGAGGCAAGTAGCTTTGGTAGTCTTTATCGGTGGATTGCATCCGGTTGGCACTGAAGGTATTCACGGTAGCAGGTGGATGCACAAGGGGTGCGCATTACGGCACCTCAGATATAACCAGACCTAAACCAGACAATCGGTCTTCTTTCTCAAAAATGGCGTGACTATGTGAGTCATTCCTTGCAATTGACCATTCGTATCAAATAATTATCCGTGACCTACATAACACTCGGCGACTCGTTTTCCTATAAGTCTGTGCACTCTTGAAGCGACCTGGAAGATCGCACCGCACCGTCGTGTCGGAATAGGCAATACTGTCGTCGGCTGACCTGCGTGCATTCCAGCGTACAGCAGTTGCAGTGTTGGCCCTGGTTCAAATTGGCAGATCGTCCCAGGAACTCTTGGTCTCGGACGGTGCAGTACCCCGTGGACGTGTTGGGACCTGACTCTATTCCCGTTCCATAACGTTTAACCATTTGTCCTCGCTGACATCATCGTTCTATCGATCATATCGACCGAACGATTTCCCCAGCTCAATGCCGTTTAGTGCCGGACTCCGAGTACTTCCATGCATGTTTGCACAGGCCGCGGTAGGACCTATAAGAATGCACTCGTAGAGGCGGTCCCTCAAGCCTATCTTACGCGACTACCTTCTACTTACAATGTCCAACTACGACGACGACAACGGCGGTGACTTTGGCGGACGCGGTGGAGGCCGAGGTGGGGGACGCGGGTATAACGACAACCAGAGCGGGGGTTTCGACAGTGGAAACCAGAACCAAGGGAGCTTCGGTGGAGGGCAGGGTGGAAGCTTCGGTGGGGGGCATGGCGGAAGCTTCGGTGGGGGGCAGGGTGAAAGCTTCGGTGGGGGGCAGGGTGGAACCCTCGGTGGAGGGCAGGGCGGAAACCTCGGTGGAGGGCAGGGCGGAAGCTTCGGTGGGGGAAATGACAACAGCAGCTTCGGCGGCAGGAACCAAGGTAGTGACTTCGGTGGAAATGACAGCAACAACTTCGGCGGGAACGACAGCGGCAACTTTGGCGGCAACAACAGCTTGGGTGGCAGCGACGATAACCAGTACAGCGGAGGAAACCGCGGTGGAAACCAGAAGAGTAGTTTCGGCGGGAACAACGATGACAGCAACTACAGCAGCGGGAACCAGGGCAGCAACTACGGCAGCGGGAACCAGGGCAGCAACTACGACAGCGGGAACCAAGGCGGCAGCTTGGGTGGAAACTACTCTGGCTCGCAAAACAGCGGTTTCGGCGGAGCCAACTCCAGCTCGCAGACTGGCGGCTCTACCGGTTCGAAGTACGGCGCTGGCTCGTCCGGCGGCGGAGACTTCCTCGAGGAAGGCATCCAGAGCGCCGTTGGCAGCGTTGCAAACCGCTTCGGATCGAACCTCGTGAGTCTATTCTTACCTTTTACGCGTAAGTTACTAATGTTGGCACTGGCACGTAGGATGACTCTACCAAGAGCAACATCAGTAATGCGGTCTCCAGCGAATTCAGTAACCTGACTGGTAAGTACTCTTCTGCTTGTCCGCTCCGCTTGCGGCGCACGTTTTGCGCTTGCGTGTGCTTGCACAATTCTGACGCTGACACCCTTCCTTCTATTCAGGCGGTCGTTTTTGAGATGCGAAGGCCCTCACTGTGACCGTGCGACCAGCTCCACATCGTGAGGTTTGGTTGATGCCTTGTTTGTCGACAGGTGTACGTGTGCGAGTGAAAGTCGAATGTTGAGTGTAATCTAAAGCATATATCATCTTGATTTGCATGTCTCCAACAATATCCACACCCAATCCTCCATGCCTGGTCTATCATTACATTCTTCGCCAACACAATGTTCTATCTGACACTGACAAGTCGGGCATGGATGAAGTAGTCATAGACTCCGTAGAATACGATTAGACGCCGACAGCGCCTCCGACGAGCGCCTTTCTCGTTTGCCGTCAACGCCTGCAGCTGGAGGTACGCATGCATGCATGCACAGAAGGTTAGCCAAAACTTACCGTGTCAATGCTCCATGCGAAAGCAGTCCGAGTCAGGCCTTCTCAGGCACGCGCTATGTCAATACCTGGGCAACTGTGTTCCATACACAGTGGCGTGTGGCGTCCTTCTCTCGGTTGCGAACTTGCGAGTGACCGATCACGCCGCTTCATTACCTTGGTACGCAGTACATCTTCGTCTTAGAATTTGTGGCAACTCACGGCATGTAAATGTCATAGTACACGCGAACTCAGGACCCAAGTACAGTGCTTGATCACGGTGTAGTCTGTTTCACGTCGAACGACAGATGGACGCCGTGAATGCTGCCATCAGGCATCAGTCACGGTGGCGAGCCCGGGTCTCATTTTAAGCGTTGGTGGTGCACTGGCAGGAAAACTAGACTCAACTTTACAACGAAGCAGTCTATCTTCGGGACATGCAAGAAGTCGAGGATATTGGACGTCTCTTGATGACGTCATCCAATAACAATGGGCCGCTATTGAGCGCGCTATTGACGAATGAAGAAGTAACTGGCGCCGTTTATGTGTGGAGAATCTGTTATTACTGAAAGAAATATTTGTTAGTGAGTGTGACTCCTTATGTCGATGCTAACCCGACTATGGCCACAATAAGTGTGGTCACGGCTAACTCGACAATAGACACGCAAGAATGGACCCGATACACAATAGATGGGATGCTCCTGTCCTCGGCTGAGCATCCTGCACAGTCGGCGCAGATTGAAGACCGATGGCCGTTAGAAATGATTGGTAAGTATTCAGCAGTACGTTTCTCGTGCGGACATGGATATTCGCTCCGCCTCCGTGAACAGACTTGTGCTTCGCGCACTTAAACTGACTAGCAGATCATTGTGCTGGAATAGACTGTTCACTTGGTTGGCAATTCTATCCATTTTCAGACCACAATCGCATTGCATCCCGCATGAATAAACTACCACCACATTTGGGATTGTCCAGTTCGTAACTCTTCGCTCGTAACTGTCCATTGCAATCTCGGTTGTAACATGAGATTTGGCAGCCACGCTAAAGTGAACGATCTGGTGTCTGAGCCCGAACCGTATAGAGCTTAACCGTGGCGTCCTTCAAGTCGCGGCCCGCGCATCATTCTTCCGGACAAGCGGCTGGCAGTAGTATGTGCGTCGTGATCTCCACATTATCTTATCTTCATATTCTCTATTGTCTCTACACCTCGATACGCCCCTCTCTCTCCTCACGCTTCTGCATTTCCCCTAATTTCGAGGCGCAATTCTGTCACAATTTGACCGATATACCTAGTCGTGGCCAATTTTAATGCAGTGACAGACTACCGTCCTGCTAGACCGTCGGTACATACACCACTGCCTTTTTGGTGATTATGGATCTGGCGATGCTTTCGCTAACAAATGACTGCGTGAGATAATTGGGAGCATCGTATTTGGATGTACTTGGTGTCACTCGAAGGTGAGGTTAATTTGCCAGATAAAGATGCGGGTATGGTCGCTAACGGAGTACATCGTACCTAAGGTGATTGAACCATGCTGTCAGGTCTGCACATGTACCTATTCTGCCTTTTGATACAAGATGCGGCAGAATCACGGGGTGCATTGTGCGTGTACTTCGTCTTTGTCTTTACTCGTGATGTTTAATGTCCGCGAACGAACGTATTATTACAGACTGTCTAGGAAGTGAACCCGGACGACGACAACACTTCGTATAAGTTGCAATGAGATCGACCTCATCTCCAAACCCGTGGTCAGATGTGACAATGCATCTCGCGTACCACACCCGCTAGTTTCAGCATAGATTCGGAAGGGAAGTATCACCGCCGACTGGATGGTGAGAAGCCTGTCTCTGAAGATACCACCCGGGGACCACATACATAACCAGTTGGCGCACTAGTTGCACGACGGTGCACTCGATGACTCCGCTCGGTATGCGAACCAAGGTCTATGGCAAGCCGCTCATCATCAATGGCCATGGCTAAGTCTGGCTTGCGTTCTTCTCGTTACCATATGATGCAGCTAAGCTAATTATTCTGTTACTCGGTGTCGCTTAATTTTAATCTTAGGATATCAAAAGAATATTTCTGTCGAAGAAAGTGCATCCCTTCAAGGCGACGTTTGAGCAGGAAATGTATCAAGAACTTGCAAAGGAATCGGTCTTTCAAGTTCCATGTGGCCCCATGCTGGTCAGACGAACTCTATAGCTCAGTCGCTGGTTCGTCCTACGGATGCTTCTCCTGCGGGTGACCTTTGCCTCGTCGCACTTTATATTTGAATTGCGCATCGAGTACGCCGTCACGTTATTGTTCTCTTCCAGCACGTGTTGCGGCTCCAGAGGCGTAATACAACGCGTACGCACAAGGAATCAATCAGAAATGCCAACAGAGTTTACACGCACTTCCAGCACAGATAGTGAATACCATAGAGGCAACTTCGCTGCGCATCTCTGGAATTTTTATTCTGTTCTCCGCACACATGCGCATACACATGCAAAACGAGAAGATGAGTTTCTGCGTAAATCGCCGTAAAATCTCGGAGTGGCCTGCGGTCGAACCCGACGTATTTCCAGAGGAACGGATAAAGATACACTATCTGTTATCTGGACGGCCTCGACGATCCCGCGATCGTGATAACGCTCTCTCACTTACCATTGGCGCACAGACCCTCGTGCCACATCCAGATACAGTTGCATTTGAAGCTTGAAATCTGATCGACCAAGGCAAGAGCAAGGCACTCCAAATTTGCTCCGACTGCACTGAAGGATCAGAACGCCTGACAGCTCATCTATTCTCGAGCGTGCTATTTGTTGTCTGTTTTGCGCCGCAGGACTATGCGTTTGACGTAGCGAGGCGCACTCACCGGGTTGTGACGTCGGACGATGCCCTATCTGCCAGCAGCCAAACGCGCCATCACAAGGCGGCGCACTGCCACTGGCAAGGTGAATATATGGATGAATTTGGGAGCTTCACCCCGCTCTAAGATCACATCATGGGAGCAACGCCACACCCGATATGGGTCTAGTGCTAGGAAGTGCTCACTATATAATCTGAGTGGCTTTGACACGATTCGCGACTTCGCGGGTACGCGAATAAAACGCCTGCTTTCGCGCAGTGTCGTCCATGAGACATGGCACGTGAGGTTGGCTGTGACAAAGATGAGACTCGAGCTACGTCTCCGCTGCGAATTGGCTGCCGGTCGGTGAGGCGAACCGTCCGTGGCCGGACCTATCAATCTGCATGAGGACTGTTGAAGACACTTCAACAGGGGATTTCACTATGAATACGATAAACGTGCCTTGCGCCGACGATTGCGCTGTGCCGCATGAGTGAGGGTCCGACCGACTGCAACGCAACCGTGCAGGTTGAAATTTAGAATACAACGTTTTGGCCATGAGTACCTACCTCCACGGACCGAAAATGAGAACTCAGCGGTAGCCGTATCGATGTTTTCTCGTGAGAAGTGTGGTTGGACTAGCGGCTGCAGTGTGGAGATGGGCGTCAGCCTTGAACGCAAGCTCGAGCATTTCCCTGGCGCCCTTGTCGTATCTTTGTTACTTTTGTGCGAAGGGATAAGGGCTAAATTTGTCAGACGCGGAGCGATGCAAATTTAATGACAACTAGTCTGCTTTCTAACGCGCCTCCTTGTCGAGAGGTCAATTTAGGCGGAGCCTAAAGTTTGGTAGTTCTTTCTAATGCGGAATCTTAAACCTTTGTGATACCACGTGATGCAGGTGGCGCTGTAAGTCCGCCGAAATTCACGAAAGTCTTCCTGAAGATCCTCTCCACCCTGGTTTGGGCACATCGCAGGTGAGATGAGGTGCTACAATGGATGGGTGATGGAATGGTGAATTTTGCTTGGGCGCGGGGCACAGAGAATAGAGGGATTCCTACGAGATTCAAACGTGTAATGCCCTCTTGGACCAGTGCAAAGCAGATAAGACAGCAAAGTCTCCAAAATCAATCTCAATTAATATACCCATTGGAAAGTATTGTATACACATGCAGCACAGGACAACGGGTGCTTCTTGCGCTCGAAACGCGACGCGTTCAGCGCGATTTACAGACGCGTTGTGCCAGCACGTGATGTGCCGGGTCGATCAAGACCTCCTAGTAAGAGCCCGTAATAGAAAGCAGACGTCAGACACGGATATCCGAGGTACGAGGTTGAAGCAGAGTGTCTACCATCTGCCCTCGGGAGACTAATGACAACCCGCGTCCGACCACTTCTTCGCCCAACTGATCTTCTTTCGCCATTTTTGGAAAGACTATCCTTGTTAGAGCTTGGAGCAAGGGCCACGACACTAAGGCCCCAACTGCTGCCATACAAAAGCCGGGCCACAAGCAAGACAAAGCGAATACGGGATCAGGCCACAAACCACCTGCCAGATAAGGACAAGGATAAACATCGCGAACGGCGGTTTTGCTGGGAATGTTGAAGAAGCATGCTGAGTCAGACAAAGAACTGGTTGCAAGGAGGCCGCCGTGCATGAGTGCACACACTTGTGTATACTGTGGTCAGAGAGACGCATGTCGTCAAAGCGGTCGCATGAGTGTATGTGCCACAACGAAGACCACAAGCACTCCTGCCGTATCTGCTGAATCAAACCACTGAAACCACTTGTCAAATAAGGATATTAATGATGGATATCCGGAAAGTGGCAAAGTTGAAAGAAGCGATGTGGATTTAGAGGCCTCATAAATTTTGCTCGTCTCGTACGAAAACGGTTCGCTGCCGTGCTAGGCGCCACACTCTTCTGCATTGGGGCGCCCAGCCCCTGGTTCTTGAACTGACCTCCGACCGGTGCCAGGTCGCGCAGCAGGTGAAACGGGCGGTAGACGGGCGGAGCAAGCAGCTGCAGACATCGGAGCATAGGCGTCAGACACGGTGTCGCTCGGCCAGTCTGGCGGTGCAATGTCCCATGAACGGTACACCTCCCAAAAAGGGAATAATCATGTTGACTCTGTGCTCACGACTGTTGTAAAATAGGTCCGTTCTCCAGGCGATGTTGTAAGAAGTCGAATTTCCAAGTCGCAAGGATCTTACAGCAGCGCTTGTCGCGAATGTGCACCCCATGATTTTGTGGAGCAAGATCAGGTCATCACGAATTTCGGTGCTGCTGTGGTGCCTTTCGTGCACAACTCATTATCATAAACTTGAAATCGGCCTCGCGGGACGGCGAGATTGAAGTGCATCACCTGATAACGCGAGGGCCCTCCGAGGAAGCGGGCGCGGAGGGGTAATTGTGTCCCAAAAAGAAGCGCGTTTGCAGTGAATTGTACGGGAGTTCCGAGTCAGCCGTTGTGCTTCATTCAGCTGATGAAACGGCGCTTTGAAGAGACAGAAATGGAAGCTATACGGAGCGATGCACACAAGTGCACACAACGGGTGCGCAAGCTGTGGCGAAACACGGGTACAGCAACTCCGAAGACGAGTCGTAGCAGGCTGGAAGCTCAGAGAAGGATCAGGCTGGGATGGCGAGAGAAGGCGAGTATCTTCGGATTCAGTAGGCGGTGATGGATAGGTGCAACAGTCGGGAACAGTATACTATCAAAAGGTGTCTGCAAGGCTGTGACAGCGAGGGTGCCAGCTTCCCAGAAAGGGTGGTCGAAAGGGTGTTGTGTTTGGCAGATATGCCACTTGTCGGAAGCAGATGGTGCTTTTGAGCGCCATCCTTCAACGCTTGAAGCCCGAAGTAATTCGGAATCATTCCCTCGTCAGCGCATATATAACCCCTCATCATAAAGTTCTCCCCAACTCACCCCGAGCTTGCCCCTCGTCCACCCGCCTTCCCGCCTTCCCGCCATACCGAGCCCGTCGATTGTAGCTAGTGACCTCTACCTCGAGAACACGCCCCAACCTCGTTCCAGTTACCGGAGGTCACGGGATTCGCACGGTGAGTTTCTGTTGGAAAATGATATCGGAATCAAAAAATGAGGCTGGCTTGGGAACCGTGCGGAGCTGATATTTAACGCGGCAAGCACGTGTTCTAAATGGCCGGTTCCAGCCGCGGGAATTTTTTGCGGTGCGGAGTTACATGGTGACGGATATGAAAATATTTTTTTGGTGGCCGTGTCTGCACCTACCATGCGCCGCGAATTCCTGCACCCTTTTTGGCCCTAACCTTCAGCTTCAGCCCGCGGTACTTATACGACCCGTGCCACCTTAGATCCCCAAGGCACTTGGTGTCCACAGACGCTCTTCCAATCTCCATCACCATCCTCTGCAATTTTCGCCATGGCTGCTCCTGGCCCTGGCACTGCTCGTCAACACGGGAGTCCTCCTCGCAGGCCGCACAAGGGCTCCCGAGCACCACCTCCACCGGGTACGCTTTCTCAGATGGTGAGTATTCGATGCCACATCGCTCATTGCTCCCCGTCCTGACGCTTAGAACAAGCCGGACCCGTTCTACGGCCACGAAGAAGCGGCTCGGTTATGCGCGAAGTTCGTTACCAATCTCTTCGCATGTCCAGACACCCCCCCAGTATCGACAACGCATCCTCCGGTGCCGTCGCCCCCGCTTGGCCTCTTCATCGCGTATGCGCTGCATAGAACGCGGCTGAATGCGTCTGTTACCTTCGCCGCCCTCTACCTCCTCCAGCGACTAAAAGCTCGGTTCCCTGCAGCGCGCGGGTCGTCGGGCCACCGCTTATTTATTTCCGCCTTCATGATTGCGTCGAAAGTGATCTGCGACGACACATATTCCAACAAGTCGTGGTCGATCGTCGGGCAGGGAATGTTTGCATTGCGGGAGATCAACCAAATGGAGCGGGAGATGTGCAGCTACCTGGAGTGGCAGCTGAACATTGAGCCCAAGGCACTTCAGGAGTTCGAGATGAAGGTGCGGCGTGACTTCAAGGGACAAGGTCCATTCCCGAACTACATCCTGCCTTCGCCAGCACCCTCACCGGTCCCGTCAACGACGCCGTATGCGCAGGTCGGCTCGGCACCAACCTTCGCGCGGCCACAACAACAGCCGACGTCACCACCGAAACCCATACCCCCTGCTGTTCCGGTCGCAGCAAGCCACGCGACGGCTTACCTATCTCCCCCTTCCTCGCCGCGCACTCCCGCCACACCCGGATCCTCGCGTTCGACGTTCACGTCTCCCGCATCATCGGCGTCTCCACCAACACCCCCAGGTTACGAAGACTTTTCCGCGAAGATCGTTACCTCAGGCATGGTCGGGACTCCCCTCACTCTGCAATCGGACTCCGCGGCGATTCCAATATCACGCAAGTCGTATGTTCCTGCACCAGTTCCACGCGCGAAGCCTCCAAAGACAAAAACGGAGTACTTCGCGCACGCTTCGCCGTGTATCTGGTAGACTCGGCGGTCTTCTTTATTTTTTTACCTGCTCTCGATTTCAGCGAAGCTGTTATTCTATCATCGCTCGTTTTCATTCTGTACCTCTACGCCGACCTCTAATTTCACTATCGCCATATATTCATTGTTTCTCTGGCGTTGACCATGGACCTTTATCTATACCCCCGCCATCGTTCGCTTGCTTGTTGGACGCCGCGCCGGTGGAGACCAGGGCTTGCATGGTTCGCTTTTGCATTGACCACGTTTGCATTACATGTTGTATCATCAGTATCATCGCAAGGCTGTTTGGTGTGTAGGCATACAGGTATCACTAGGGTACAAGAGAAATTAAATCACTCAAAACGTTCCTTCTCGAAATGGTGAATCTTTTGGTGCGCGGTTGAGTGTATAGCCTCAACGATAACGATGCACCGGAGTCGGAAGAAACTTGAGTTGGTGACACCCGAACGCGATCCGAAGGTTATGCCGCCAAGATCGCGCCATCGGTACGGTTTTGGCCCCGCTGTGTGCTAACGCTCAATCGAGCGAGCTCGGGTGAGAGCCTGCAGGCAGCCGGAAGACGTCTGTCGCTGCGACCGCCATGTAAGAGCAGCCCAAATGCTGCCAGCCTGATCGCGTACCTTCCAAGCAAGTTGAGTAAATTGTGCATCTGATCTCCTTGCTGTTCGCATCGATGCACCCCAGCGGGGCAGATGCACCTGCAATGAGCCGTCTCCGTGCTTCGCTGGCAGTGGCAACACCAGCTGCCCTACGTGGAGCGGATCACGTTTTCCAGCTCTCCACACTCGAACGTTCTTGCCATGCCCGGTACCCATCTCTTCCTTGGCCATACAGAAGCAGCTGGGGCAGTGCATACCCATGATGCCGTGGAGCCGTAGATCCTTGAATGCACAACTCGCACACCATTCGTCCCCCTCCTGCCCCGGATCCACGAGATACTTACTGCACACGAGATACGGGGCAATCAAAGTTCAGGTGCGCCTTCCTGGGCAAGGCGAACCCCCGGAACGACTTTCCAGCGCAAGTCCATGGCGAGGTCCGCCGGAGTGCACTCAGGCCATGCTTCATAGACTCTGCCGCTACTTCTCGCCGTTTCTCGAAGCCCTACACTCCGCAGTACGTACACGATCCTACGCGATGTCATGTTATACGAGTGGGAACTGGCGATACCCAGACGAGGACCACACGCCCAGCGGTACATGTGCCTGCACGTCACGCTAGGCTTTGGTAGGCCTGGGTATATGCGCACGAGCTGTCGTCGAGAGGCAGCGATGTGTCAGCAAGTGGGCGCAGATGTACGCAGGACGACACGTGTGAGAGACAGACAGCGGCCCATGGCCAGCCAACGACCGCTGCAGCAATATGATACTATATTACCTTTGCACTACAGTCGAGATTCGTCGAGAAATCTCCGGTAGGGTCCGCTGCAACCTATCGCACTTGTGCGAGCGGAAGACCCACCCACCTTACCGTCACTCCGGGTCCAATATTACAGGACAGGCGGCCCTCAATGCATCAATGCAGAATATCACCATCGCAGACAACGCAAATCAGGTCCCAAAGCCCACGGCGACGATAAATGTTCTCGGAGCCTCAGTCATCCTTCTCACAGCGCGAGGAAGGCAAAGGGTCGGACCTTCCTAGCACGTATCCCACACCCTAGGGCAGAGGAAGCCAGCGTCCTGCGAAGAGATAAGCAGACGCACGCACACCTGTCTCGTCCTTGCCATTTTTTGGCGCGGAGGAGCACCTGAGCTGCGGAGCTTACTCTCGAGCAGTTCGCCGCACGGACGTTGATCCAGCCTGAACGCCATGACTGGCACAGTCTGGACCCTCGACGGCTCACCCTCCTAATGGAACTCGAGCCTTAGAGGTCAATGAAAAGGTCAAATGAAAATAGCAGTGTTCATTTACTGGTCTGCCGTACGTCTTTATCATTTCCGTCAATTTCGAAGTCGATAATTTTTACTGATCAGGTCATTGCAGGGATTAGAACTCAACAGCGAAGCATTCATACTTCACTCAGAGTTTGTTTTGCCTCAGTAGCAGTTTGTATATTTTCGTTCGGTCACTGACCAAGGTGAGGCCTGTCTTCGTATCAAGATAAGTGCTTAGGCGCTTATTAGATGGTCACGATCTAATCTCGCCTGATAAACGCCCGATTATCACGCTCAGATCTTACTCAGATCCGCTGAAAAAATGTTGCAGGCGCCGGGCGGTGCCTGTCCTTTCGCCAGCTCATATGCTCAGCCATTCGGTTATGGTACATTATCAACATCTGGTTCAACCCAACGCAAATCAATTATGCTCGAGTGAACGTTTGTCCAGCGAGAAAATAGATCCGTGCAGAGAAGACCAATTTCAATCCGCAGCATGATAGTCAAAAATTTTCATACCTCCTTGAAGATTCTGCATGCGTGTCGGCACGCCAGAGGCCGGCTTTTGAAAAATCATATTTGACCTGCGGCTTTTACATTGAGGAACAGGGGAGGACTAATCCGTCGGCTCGCATGGTAAGGAAAATGTGGACTTGGAGCACGACCAGTTTGCTAAAGAGCATGGCGGCCTTCTGTGACGACGGTAAGAGTTAGATCTTGAGGTGCGCGAGAACGTAAGGAATTGACAACTACAAGCGGTCACCTACAGGGAGATGCATGTAGCTCGCCGGAATTAGCAAGAATGGTGCGTCCTGTTTACCAGAGAACAAGCCCATATATGACGCACCGTGCCAGGGTGACTGCATCTATGAGGATGCAGTGCGCGGCTCGAGTGTTCGTTGCACTTCTATGGATAATTCTATTGGGAAACCCTCAGAAACCCGGAAACCCCAAGAAACCCCGGGTTTCTGAGGCTGCTCGGAGAAACCCCTCAATTTGGAAACTTGTGGGGTTTCCCTCTCTGGAGGAAGTTTCGGACTCCGGCCAGACGCCCTCCTGGGGCAGCCATGTTGGCATCATCGTTTGTGCGGGAAGGCAGGGCAGACTCACTCCTCAGCTTCTCATGGCAGTGGACAAGAGATCGAGAGACATTGCCTGCATGCACTCTCCATATTCTTAAAGTAAATTTTCGCAAGAATGGGAGAGGAAGAGGGAAAATTGGCACCCGCCGTAAGCCTTGTGAGTCCCGCCCGACGCATCCTGTTCACGTACATAGAGTGTACCGAGCTCCTGTGTGATCGGTAAGCCCCGAATCAACTTACAATTTCGCAGCGAGGCCTCTGCTACGGGGAGGCCGCACTTTACTCACTTTCAGAAAGAGACTGCAAGCGCGGCTCCCCATCAAAACCGGCCGGCTGTCAACGGTCTCCCTTGCACAGAAACCAGGTTGCTGAGCAACTTAAGGGGGTTTCTGGGGTTTCCGGGTTTCTGGGGGTTTCTCAATAGAATTATCCCACTTCTATTGCCCGTGCGGGCTGAGTTAGACTTGATTCAGGTAGGTCTCTCAGCAAGTCCAGAGAGGGATTATACTCACACACTTTCCTGTTTCAGACAATATTGCGGCTGATAACCCAGCGGCTTTGTCCATATGTTCGTGGCACAGGGCGAGCAGAGGACAAGCCCTCATTCAAGGAGCGCTAAATCAGACGCTCCAGTGACTGCGGAAACATTCATATGATACAAGTAATCCTGGAGTCGGACAATAATTGTCGCTCTGTAGCTCCGAGCCAATTAACCCGTCGTCAACTTCAACTTCTCGGTGTACATGTACTGCAAAAACGTTGTCTGAGGCAGGAAATTTACATGAGGCGTTAACGTTGCATTATCGCCAGTGTGGGCACGTCGTTCACTCTCACATCGGCGTGGCGTATACTCGTGAATGATGACATCAGACGGTGGGTACGACACGTTTCAGATACGCAGGTCTACGTGACATGTACACATGAATTGACAGTCCGAGCAGGATCAGGGTGAGTAATCAGCGAAAACGCGCCTCGGCCGGAGAGGAGTACACAAGTTATGATATGGGAAAGATGCAGACCGTGCCGACACACGAAGGACGCTATCAGCTGATGGAGAATGATGGGACGGACGTGGACATTACGCGGGTCTTCTCCCTATGTGCGGCGTTGTTCTCACCATCATAAAGCCTGTCAGTCAGCTTCGGAAAGACTGACGTTTCGCACGTACGTGCAAGATGATAGTATGACTGCGGATCACACGCCCCTACACAAGGCAACAGACGGGCACGCTTGTCTCGACGAAGGAGAAGGAGTGATCACAGGTGCCTAACAAGGATGAAGAGACGGAAGGGCGATCGATAGGGATTCGAGTCGTCTCAATTGTCCTGAAAGAGGTGAGGGTAACAACTAGCCTAGCCTGCCAAAGAGCATGATGCACGCCATGGCATGTAATTGAAAGTCTGCCTCGAATGACACGCACCGATCAGCAAAGAACGGTAATGAATTTGCATGATGGACGAAACCGATGGGGGTGGCGGTCGAGCGAAAACGCGGTAGGAAGACTGGAACTGACTAGTCCTCATAAAATGTGATGCCGCAACGAACACCCTAGAGGTAAATCTGCTTTTCTGTATCGGAAGCTGAGAGCTCTGAACAGGTCGCCGATCGCACAACCTGAAGCATATCGAAGACACAATAAGTTAGAGTGACAACGCTGCACTGCGAACGTACGATGATGGGTACCAGATCCTTCACAAAGTAATCCTGCGATACATGGATAAATCGTCCGAGGTAACGAAATGAAAGTCGTCTAGATTTCGGGGATGATGCATATCTGTTGGCAACTCGAAGTGCGCCCTGTGAGTCTCTGCGGCGAAGACGTAGGCTACTCGCCACGAATCGGAGCGACCTTTGGGGAACACGATGAGACGAGCCAAGGGGTTCGTTTATCATAGTCCTGTCACGCAGGGGCCCGTCATCGCGTGCTTAATAAAGTGGTAAAATTACCGGAGCAGAGCATCAGAATTTGAACGCGCTCTTTGTCATAGGGAGAAGGGACCGACGCGCGATAACACCAGTTTCTGCATCTTATTGCTACAGGCGATCTTCCTTTCAGCGGACAAGGTCGAATGGATCACCGTGAGCGCAATGACACTGTAGAGAAGGATGAATGCCGTTCGCAAATATAAAGGACCCATTGAGCTGACGAAACCACTTCAGTCGAAGAGCTACTGGAATCATCTTATTGAGACATTGAAAACCGGAATAACTCAAGTGCGTACCGGCCAGTGAATTCGCAGTCCACATCACCCCACTCATTCGTTGCCTTTCAGACAAACTATCAGATACATCCACGCGGATTCCAGAGATTGAATGTCGATGCTGGACAAAGACATTCACGGATCTCGGCTGGATTCGACTGTGGTGATTGTGCTGTCTTCATGACCATGCCATGGGAATGAACACAGCACAACGCCATTATGAAGGCAGATCGACAGAAGACGGCGGCGACGGCTGTTGATCATCATCACGATGCACTCCAAGTTAGTAGGCTCAGCGCTGCACTCAAAGAGCGCAGACACGTGTGGTGCCCGGTCCGGGATTTGACCCGCTGGTCTGCCTGGTGCCTCCCTTTGTCGAAGTATGAGAGAGTCGCTTCGCGAAGAATGTTGGCAGTTCGAAAACAAAGGACGGACCTCAGACGGACAACGATCTTCCTTCCGAAATCTGGGAGACTTGTCTTATGTCGCTAGCATGCAAAACCGGCTGGCACTTACTCAAGTATGTACTACCTGTTGGGTCGTTGCAGCCTTTGTCACTCACTACTCTCTGTTCACCCGCCGGTCAAGCACCGGACTTAGTAAACGAAGGGCTGATGCTCACCATGTTTACATTGACCCCCCTTTGGTTACTCTCGATCCTATGTACACTAGTACTATGTCTACCATAGGGCTACGCCCTCGCGGACAATAAACACATGAGGAAAAAAAACAAAAACAAAAAAGGACTGATGCTCGGGAGCATGACGACTCTCTCATTGTACTCGTCAGTGCTGATGGTGCACCCAAGCACTGCAGCCGGTCTTCATGAACCAGGAGTGTGGTGCAGCTTTCTCATACTCTCAGAAAACGAAGGGCAGAAGAACAGGATGTCACATCAGAAGGTATAACACGCAGCACTCCTCGTCCGCAAAGAACGTTCATGCGTGTGTGAGTCGAAGATCAGGAGCGGGGTGCTGGTGCAGAAGCAGTCTAAACGCAGTGTGTGAAAGGTACCTGGGTCACGTAGGGGAGACAGGGATGACAATACAAACATTGGCACAGTAGCACTTGACATCCATGGTGTTGCCTTAGGCTGTCTCCACTGCTCGCATCGACGTTCCGGATTCGAAGTTCGAATTATTTCCTTGTACTTAGACTCGCAGACTTCACTGTCGGCGGGAGGTATTGGTCGAGTACTGCAACTGCCAGGCTGAGGAATGCGGCAAAAACTTGAAGAGTACGTACGAGTATGCCCTGGAGCACCTTGAAGAATCGCATGGCCTGCTGAGCAAAGGGAGGAGTTCATACTAGGCATTGGGCTACCCGAACATTGCTCTATCTTGCATGCGTCAGATGGACAAGTATCAGTTCGGAAGACACATCGTCCTGCCCCCACAACCTACTGGCTGGCGATGCGGTGCGTATTCGCATTCTCCTAGCAACCCGAATGTCTTCGTTCCGGCTAATCACAAGTTAGAGTTACAGCCGACAAAATAGTGAGTCTTCCTGCTCTTGGTGCCATGTTGTTGCGCTGGAAACATCAGTGATCTTGAGTAAGAGGAATGCTGGAGTTTTCAAATATCGCGGATGCCATGCCGAATAACCATTTCTCGTCGACCACGCAGCCATATCCGTACACATCCAATGGATAAGCACATCCTGTAAAACATGCACTCACGATTAATTTTATGCACATCTTCCTTCGTGGACAAATGCCAAACATTCTGGGAACCAGTATGTGCAACCGCAAGGCCTTGGCAGGCTATACATGCCGCGTGGTCGAAGTCCTTGTTCCCACAGAAGGCATCCCTGTTATGAACGTGAGCGACTTCGCGACAATCCGCAGGCTCTCCGCATGACGCAGAATACATTAGGGGAGCTCAAAGTTGACGCAGTGGACACTGCAAGTTTTCACAAGAGGGGTCGCAGACAGCGTGATGCCAGTGTTGCTAATCTTGCGTCGAGTAGTGTGACGTTTGAGAGAACAGCCTGGATACCCACAGCCGTGTACCGCATCCACAGGAACTTCCTCCCTCTGGGAAGTAATCTCAAGTTCGTACATGTCGAGGGAAATGAAAGACACAGGAACGTCAACTAAGTACTTGAAATTATTAAAATGTCATACACGCGTTACGCGTTCCACACTAATGTCACGTTATGTCACAAACACCTCCAGGCGCTTTTCCTGATCACTCTGAAGCGTTCCGTCTGTATCCTCTGTATTATTTTCTGCCATGTAAGGAATGCGTTATTCTCGACTTCTACCTCGACTGCGGAGACCGCTGGACTGCTTCTCTGGACTGGATTTCTAGCACTGCATTTGAGGTGCTTTACAGGTCGTTGTTATCCGGCATGCCCTGGAGACGCCTGCGTTCGCACAATCTCCGCGTCATACCACTATGGCAAATCTATTGTGTATGGCGCGAGCGGTGGCCAACTGACGCCTTCCTGCACGAAAATAACTAAAATTTATTGGAATCGCATTGGAAAAAGAACTACGAAAATGACAAATTTTCACACACTTTCTGAAGGTATCTCAGGTCAGTGTTGAGAATTCTCTCACCAGCTGAGTGGCCCCGCCTCGCGATGCAGCAAGGTGAGGTAGCTCGTGGTCACTGGTTTACCATTGTGCGTTCGTTGTTGCCTTATTGATCGGGCCTTCAGGATCCACCTATAACGAGAAAACCGCTGCAAATTGCTTGTGAGCAGGCTGACGATCGATCTCAGAGTTCTCCGAATTTGTCCTCAAATGTTTCGAGCTTCCAGTCTGTGTCAGTCGGGAATCTCTCTACGAGGTCTAGCATGGGCTTGACATAAGCGATTGTTTCTGTGCAGTCTCTCAGCTTGAGGATCAGAACATTAACGCGAGCACATACCTGAGGAATCCAGCCCCATTGGTTGCATTCGCCAATTTCGCAAGAGCATATCAGACGACCTGTTGTCCTTGCTGAAGGATCCTGCTTCTTCAGCGCGCTGCCATTCATCCACCTCCATCTTCTTCCGCTGTAGTATCTTGAGCAACTGTTTTTTAAAATGACGATCCTCTTCACCACTGAACGTCTGGCGAATACTCTCCGTGTCTGCGAGGAGCCTCTGTCTGGCGTTGGGCTCCATCGCGGCGAGATCCCACGCGAACGTGGAGGGTTGATGAAGTGTGCGTCGAGTGGTGCGATCGTGGCGACCCGACGTTGTGGCCCCAGCCGACCAGCCAACGACGGCGGATTTCAGGTTCGGAGAGTGTATAGGGCCTTTTCTTCTGAGGCGTGGATTCTTCTTTGCGGGTGAAGCAGTTACTGGGCGACGGGTGGCCTGCTGTAGCTTGCCACTCTTGGCCATCTTCTGCGCACTGGTCTTGCTGCGAGTCTGATATGGGTATGGCATCCTTGAGTAAGAGGTGAGTGAGCTGTCAAGGCGGGCACTATGGGGAATCGTTTGAGAAGGAAGTGCGGATGAAAGAAGTAGGAGGCTTCCTCCATCGTGCTTTATACTGACGCTTTACCTGACGGAATGATCAGGTTCTATTGATGCACGCGGTTACAACGCCGGGCCCATTGTGTTGCCATAGCACGCTTTGCATAGTGCACAACTGTCTCACGCGATGCATCTAGGGAGAGGTAGTACTATCGGTGGCCCTGATATACGAACATCATCGCCGTTGCTCACCACTTCATCGCCTTGCCTCGCGCTTTTTTCAATGTATTCTATAGCATCTGTAGTATTGAAATACAAGAGTTTATAATTTTCTCCCCAGCTGAGCGCACTCTGGAAAGCTGGGGAGGCTGCCTGCAGGATGGAGCGACAGTGTCACACATTGTCACGCTGCCGAATTAACGTCCGCACGGCATGCCCTCACTGGAACAAAGGATGTGTTACGGAAGATTTAAACGGAGCTTGAAAACGTCACGTCTGCCCAAAACCGAAACCGCTTTCAGAATTGCTTTGAGGCAGCCGTTGCACTCTCGAAACTTTTACAGTCGGATTGTGCAGGACATACAATACTGAGCCGAGGGAACAAGAAGGACGAAACAAGCCGTTGAAAAAAAGTTCGCATTACTGGTTCAGTTCGCATATGGTCATTGATAGTATATCCATCTGCGATTATGTGTATCTGACTGTACTTTCCCGTACGATTTGACTAATTTTATCGAGCGACCATTCTAATTTCTTGGCACGCAAAAACTGGCCAAGCTTTCTATCACATGACTGACGCGTGTGCGCGAGAACCAAACAACGCGTACACATAGCACGCGCAACTCCAACTGTTCCAGCAATTTACTCTTCCTCCGCAATCTTCTCTCGGACATTGTCGTCAGACTATTGTGCCTATACCGCATTTCTTGCGGAAAAATCTAGGTTAATTATAGTTATCATTTCTCCAGCACGATTTAAGTGGCGTAGAACTCAGAAATTGTCGGCTCACAGAAACAGTAAAGATCGTACTTGTAGGTAGGTTGAGCTTGCTTATGTGCGGTTCTTTGTATGCTCATTTTTGGTCTTTGATTGTTTCACATTTTCTCCAATTGCGCCACTAGCTGCCCACTCAGCGACTAGAGAGGCGGACATCGGGTGAGTTATCTCTCCACTTGTGAACGATGACGTTAACGTTGAACTGTGCGTGCGTGGCAGCTGAGAATTACCGTAGAGTGCAGTTCTGCGAAAGAAATCATACTGCTATCCTTATTTGAGAAAGTTGCGATTGTGCCCCAATCGTACTTCGAGGTCTTCACTTTTATAACTCCTTCACGACGAAGTTTGATTGACGTTAAATTAATCAGATACAATCCTCAGGAACATGGAATCATCCTCACACAAGGAAGTGCTCGAAGCGGCTTGCCAAGCAGAGATCCGGAAGCAGATCGCTTTACTTCAGGCCCAACTCGTCGAACCTGTGGACTCGGACACCACTTCACCACTTTTATCATCATCTCCAAAAAGGAAACGGCTTTCGGGACTACTGGCTCCCTCTACACCTTCTCCAAGTGAGTTCAGAATTCGAAATCTCATACGACGTCAGGGTGCTTACCTGACCGCACAAGAGAAGCGAAAGGTCGCGGAACAGTCAAGACACGGCGCGGATCGCAGGACTGTACTTCGCAAGCCGCAGGTTGCAGCCTCCAGTGGTCAAGCGAAGGCCTTGCAGCTAGCATCGGTGCATAGCACTGCGAAGGCTACGCAGCCCTTGAAGTTGACGGCTTCGACGGTATTGCAGAAACTCGCCAATGCTCATTCGCACAACAATCATCTCCCGGTTGGCCCGGTAGTCGTTCGATCGTCTGCCTTCTCAGACAAGGCCGCTACTCCCAACGTCGACACCGTTGTTGTGGATGGCAGAAGCGAAGATTGCACCAGTGCTCATGCTCGTGACGACCGCCTTGCTCTCGTTGAGGAACTAGTGTTAGGCCCGGCTGAACACAAACCACCATTCGATGACCCACACTTCGAGAAGTTGGAACCAAACTCGATGATCCGCCTATCGTGAGTACGTCTTCACATCTTTGAACCAAATTCTGACGAAGTAACCCCGGGCAGATCCCGCTCTATCCCTTATGAGGATTTCCAGGACTACCTCCGCGGTCGATACTACCTTTCACCCTCAAAGTTGTACTCTGTGATACGTCTCCTACCAAGCAAGCAGGGTTACGATGTTCCCGTCGAGGGCGACTGGTTGACCATCGCCGTCGTCGCTGAGCGAGGAAAGCTGAAATACAGCCAGGCCCCGGTGGGTACTGGTCGAGACGACAAGGTCCAGGGGGAGGAGGATGAGGAACTGGACTTGCCCTTAACCTTGGACGGCACCGGGAAGCCTCCCCAGCGGCAAAAGGGCCCGCCAAGGAAGAAGCCCAAGGAGGAGCCGAAGCCACACGGAAAGAAGTATGTCAACCTCAAGCTTATCGATTTCGGCTGCCGCTCGAGGGGGTCATCCGACAATGGCGGGCAGTCTATGATCAGAGGCGATGCATTCTTGTCCTTGCTGCTATTCGAGGCGGACGGGTTCGACTTGGTCACGAAGGAGAACGGGAAGAAGGAGAAAATTTACAAGGGAGGAAGTCGGGGCGCATTTGAAAAATTGTCGATGTTGAGGGAAGGCGCCGTGGTTGCGCTACTCAATCCGAGGATTCTCAAGCCCTTCCAGGTATGAATGGAGAGGTCTAACTTTACACTTCATATCAACTTATTAATTACCTCTCAGCGGTCGGGAGATGCACCCCATCCCACCGACAACATTCTTGCAATTACTCCAGAATCAGTAGCATCCATTGCAGTGATCGGCTACTCTCAGGACCTGGGCATGTGCAAAGTTGTCAAGCGCGATGGCTCCGTATGCGGCGGATGGTGCGACAAGAGGGTCGCAGAAGTCTGCGACTGGCATATCCAACATGCTGTCGAGCGTAAGAGGGCCGGCAGGGCAGAGTTCTCTATGGGGTGAGTTCTCTGCAAAAACTGCGCGAGATCTTCGCACGATAACTGATAAACTGAATTTATGTCTTTTAGAACCTCGGGCATGTCCACAGGCGTGAAGAAGAAGCTTGCCTACGACCCTTCACATCGATGGGGCTTGAAGCCGGAGAACGAGAGCAGCGGTACCGGTGCGACGTACGTCGTGTCGGGCCACATTGTCTCTGGCTCCAAAGACTTGTACCTCACGGAGTCCATGGGGCGCAATGCTCAAGCAAAGGCTTCTCGTAAGTCGGCGAAGGATGCGGATTGCGCGTTGCGGCAACTTCTGAAGAAGGACAAGAAGGGTTCCAAGGCACTTTTCACCGCCCGGGAGTATAGCAAACAGATGCAAAGCGCAGATAAAGCGAAGGGGAAGGAGAGGGAAAGCGAGAAGCCGAGCAAGAAGCCCAAGGCGAAACACCTAGACGACGTAGATTCCTCTGAGTTCGAGTCTGATATTGGTGACGAATCTACGAAGCCGGATGCCGCGAAGAAGCCGCGTAAGAATGCATATTCCGCCCAGCTCATCAGGAACTTGGGATTTGACCCAACGGTCAAGGACGGAAGGAAATCTGTGGACTCAAACGTACAGAGCAAAGTGAGTTCAATATGCTGATCAGTTGATGTTCAAGCCGTCCTTACTTCCTTGTAGCTCGACGCCCTAACGGTGTTGCAAACCAAGAGAGGCTTCGCCCTCGGTCCAAGGCCGGGCAAGAGAACCACCTGTGTTCATCGTCCTGAAGCGGCAGCAAAAGCTGCGCCAACACCTGAGACTGAAGCCCCGAACGCAAAGTCGGTACACTTACCGGATGGCGATGATCCGCTGCACATACCCGACAGCAGCGATGACGAGGACGAGATGGAGAAGGCGGAGATTGCAGCGTTCGGGAAGCCTCTCGCCTCGATCCAATCGAAGGTGGTGGATCTAGACAGCAGTGACGGGGAGCTGGAGGTGATGCCTCCCTAGTTCGTGGATCAACCTGCATGTCGAATGTTGGCTACATCGGAATCAGACTCTTGTCAGCGAGAGCCGTCAGCCAAAGCTCCAGCAAGCATCCTTGAATATGAGTTATAACGTCATTGGGTGTAATACATACTAGTAATAAGTTCACTGTACTGTATCTACGGATGAGAGCAACAGCGAGAGCGACAGATGATATAGATGGCCCCAGAGAAGAATGAGATGAAATGAAAGCAATGTTAGTGCTCGTGCGCAGAATGTACTAGTCGATCTCGATGACATCATCGTCGTCCAGTTGTTGATTGGCGTCGTCAACGAGGATAAGTCCGTCCTCCTCTAGCCTCTTCTTCTTGCTGGGAGAGAAAGTGGGTGCACTACCGTTCGTCTTGACGCGCTTCGCCGATGGTTCAACGTTATCGTCGTCGGAAGCTGGCCTCTTCAAAGAGGACGGTGACTTGGCCTTCTTTGGAGGTATTGGCAACGGTACAGGGAAAATGATAGCCGAGCCATCGATTGGATGATTGGGACTGCAAGAACAGACACAAGTAGAGTGAGTCGCTGAACAATAGCCTAACAAAGGGACTACGAGGACTCACGGCAAAACGCCCACCGCAACCTGGATCGTCCCATAAATACCATCTTCGTCGACAATGGAGAGGAACTTCCCTCTCGTAACATTCAGGCTCTCGAGCGTCCGCCCGTTATTATCATCCCAATCCGGGTCGCTCAGCACACGCTTCTCCTCATACACGCTGACGTCCCGCTTCCCGGTGCCGTCGCCGTGCCCTCCTCCGAGGATGCCGTCGACGACATCCCCAAGCGTCGCCAGCGCGGGTTCGCACAGAATCTCCGTGTAGGCATCCCTGCAGACACCGCAGTCCGGGTTCGGCGGACACATGGTGATAGCGCTGAGGGGCATGCTCGGCTTGAACTGGACGTGCACGTTGCGCAACGAGTTATATGCCTTTCGGAGTAGATGTAGGGCCTGCAAGACAATGAGACCGGCGATGATCGCATTCGTGGTCGCGATTGCAGGAATAATGTTTCCAGCCATTTCTATCATGGATAAGGAGTATGAGATAGACATCGAGAGAAACACGACTTCCGCACAGACCGACCTTTCACTTCCCATCGACTTTGACCAGCGATGCCATATGCCACCGAACGGAGGTTAGCCGCGGCAGTCACGAAGTCCAAAGTGTCATCATCGTCCTTATCGAAGGATATCGTGTCCTCGCTCGCTCGCAAACGCGACGCCAGACGGTTCGTACTGGTGCAAATAACGATAAGGGAACGATACCAAAACATATCACGCAACGATAAATCACCTGGACACGAAGAGCTCGAGATTATCTTGCAGCGATAGCGCACGCTGATCCTTCAACCCGCCATTCGTGGTGGACCCCGAAGCAGCAGGTGTCATACCGTTGATGCCACTTAGTGTTTTCTCACCACTGGCACCGCCATTGGCACCGTTTATCTTTGCATCCTTGGTAGATGAAGAACCTGTTGTTGTACAAGCTCCGCCGACCGAATTTGAGTTTGAACTTGTCTTGTTCAGGACAAAGGTACCGGTCTTGACATCCTCAAAATCGAGCGGAGTAGGTGGAGCGCGGGAGCGCCACATATCTGCCATGGAGAGAAGGTTGAGAATATCCGAGTGAAAAATCTGTCGAAAATGTGAGCACCATGGTCCGTCGATCAAAGCACCTCGCACGAGTTGGGATGCGCATTGGTGCAATGACTACAAAAGAACCCTTATATTACCTTCTGGAACACCATTTTGGCGGCATTCGAGCCAGCAGTGTCGGACGGTGCACGCAATGCTGCCCGAACGACTTTGAACGCTTGGGCTTCCTTCCGTAATGTTGCAATCTCTTGTGCTGCGTAAACATAGTTGATCAGACGTTACCGAGAGAAATACGTGCACGCTTGACACTTACCGTTCTCTCCTTGTTTCTCCGCTTCGTCCAACTCTCCGCCGTCCTCGTCTTCCCCAAACAATTGGCTATGCGAGATAGAAGTTACATCAAGGGCAAATGCACGAAAAACAAAGTGGCGCACGGTATGAGATAACTTTTCGCCCATACGATGCAATGTATTGGCTGTGAAGGCGTGGAACGGATGGTACAAACAGGGAAAGTTTTCGCAGTTGGTTTGGGAACACAGTCGAAGCACTCTGCTCGATCCTGACACTTACATGAGCTTCTGACGCTACTTAATGGGATATTAGCGAGTACCTTGAGAATGGGCTGCACTTGGCCCAAGTATCCAGCGGTCCCAGATTCCACTAATGGAACGTTTGCGGCCATGCACATTTTGTTCACATGTCGACGGGCGTCTGATTAATTTGAGAAATTATAGCGTTAGAATACGAGTATCATATGACAATTCGTGGATTTGCTGGACGGATTGAATCAGGAGCGGCAAGTAAGACATACCTAAATTATCGAGAGCATTCAATATGATGTCGTATTGTCTGAACCATGCGACGTCGAATTGCGCTTCCTTGATGTTGGCATGGATAGGTGTGATGCGTACGTTAGGATTGAATGCGGACGCCGTCTTCGCGGCCACCTAGAACAAAGATAGGAATAGGATGATTTACGGGGATATGACCAAACTGACTAGCGCCTTGCTCTGTTTCACATCCTTTTTCTTGAATAGAAATTGACGATTGAGGTTCGAAAGATCAATTGTGTCCAGGTCCAGTAGCGTAATGTCCCCGAAACCAGTCAGAACGATATTCTTGACTATGGTTAGTCAAATAAGCAGGGCGTAACCGCAAACCAATTACAGAATTTAAAAAATCGCATCCGGATCAGTGAGTATAATACGACAAATAAAAAGCCACTCGACGTACGCAACTCACAGCCAATCCCTCCGGCGCCAACGAGAAGGACCTTCGTCGTGGAAAGACGAGCATATAACTCAGGTCCAAGAATTGCCTTTACATGAAGACTTCTCCTTTCAGTTGCTTTTGTGGCAGTCGACATTGTGCAGGCAGTAGCGACGAAGAGAGGAAGGACCACTGAGCAAGCCCGGAAATAGAGGGTGGCCGCGGCGAGTGACAACCTGGCGCGGCGTGAGTGTGACATAACGCGTCTACTCCGACGTGTCACATTCATCACACAGAGTCCAGTCACGCTCTCTCAAAGGCTTTCAATTCCGAAGAAGAACAAATTGGATTCGAGGGGCCATAACAGCAGACATACTCGCAAGTGCGGTGCGACTCTCAGGCAGGCTTTCTACACTCAATACCAATGAATTTCGGTGGGAATCTAGGCGTAACACCTGACTTCAAGTTATCTACTGCTTTAACTCTTTCGGTACGAATCCCAATTCTCTGCATAGTGTCTCTTCGTCGGACCCCGGCTGAGGCATAGGTGCACCCTCAATGAAGACATTCTGACCAGGTTGCAGACGCATCAGTGGTGAGGATGTTTGTACTAGGACAGGGCGTACCTCCGCAGGCCGCTCTAACAGTTGTATGCCAATCTTGAACTGCGTGGCCCATGCATGAAGTGCAATATTCTCATGCAAAGCCTTAGCAAGCTTCATTCTGCGCCAAGCATCGCGTCCAGTGCGGATGTAGCCGACCACCTGGAGTATGCTCTGGTCGAGAACGCCCCCACTAAACATATCGCCCTGATCGCAGCTCCGAAATATGACCTTTACGAAGAATCGGGGAGCATTCGTGGAGGATACGTGTGCATCTACGATCGCCGTCGCGATGCTCTGCTTCTGTTCGAATTTGAGGGCGCCCGCGTCATGGTAGACAAAGTAGGTCGGCATGGCTGATTCGCTGGTGAAAGGTTGCAGGGACTCATCAGTTATATAGGTGGAAGATCTGTTCGTGCACGTGAATCCTAGCATCGATGCAGGTCTTTGCGAGGTGCATCTTAGTCCGAAGAATCCATCTAATTGTATGAGTAACACCTCCGGTCAGATGCTCGAATGGCCGAGGTATCTATTGCTCTCGTTTATGCTGAGTACATTTACACTGGGTGATCGTAGAGCGCAGCCTGAGGCTGCCGAGTCTTCCAATTCAGGTGAGCACTTCGCGTTATTATTGCTATTTTCCCCACTGGCAGTGGACCACAGCAATGGACCACAGCAATTGGCGGCTGCTATTAAGGGTTGATCCAATATTCAACCTACAGCTTGAAAAAAATTACGTGCAACACTACGCAGCTCCAGAATGAAATCGAACTAGCAGCTCATAAATAGATTTGCACGCTACAGAACAATAAGTTACTATTGGGATATGGAGGTGAGTAGGCAACTTGGAGGCGCCGACTTTGCAGTATTTTCGCAAGATTAATTCATTGGTCCGCCGCGCCCGCGCGCGGACCGGTGAGTGGACTCCTCAACTCAACCCAAGACTATGGTGAGATCCAGCCTGGGGTAATATATAGTTTCTTGTCTCTTGTATTCGAAAAGTGATACGACAACAAGACAAGCAAACAATATTGCAGTTACGAGGAGCGCTACAGAGACGACTGAACAGCGGACAGATACAGAATGGGCACGAGAAGAATGCGGCAGATTAAACGGCAAATTACAGCGAGCTAAAGAGGTTGAGGGACGGCATTGAGGACAATTGATAAATTTCTCCCGGACGGCTCTTGTACGTTGGGAGTACGTGCTGTCGAACACCCTTAGTATGCGGGTCACGAATGAAGAGGAAACTACTCACTGCATGCAGCTAGTGGTTCGCGGTGTGCTTGCGGAAAAGATGGTTGTCCGAGGACCTGATTTTCCGTTGGCCGTCGAGTCCCAATTACACTGGTCGACGTTGCACACAACACGTGCATAACGTCCTGTAAGTGATTGAATTTGATGTGTCCCACGAGATGTTCCCGTCGCTCTGTACTATACTCACACCCAAGGTGACCGCATAGGACCTTCTGCCCGTCATTCCTCCGCTTGGAGAAGTGCTGCTTGAGGTGAGTATTCACGTCTTCGTCGTCATCAAATACCTTACGGCATTCCGCGTCGAACCAACATGGGCACCTTATCTTCCGCCTTCTGCACACCACTGTCGCAGGGGTGTTTTCTCCAACCTTATACGGAGGATGTGCGTGAACTTGTGCCCATTCTCCTGTCTCGCACTTGTGCTCAAAGGGATATACAAGCAGGCTCGCCATGGCGTTTCCTTGTCGCGACTGAACGTTCTCATATGCCGTCTTTCGCTTTCTACGAGCCGAGCCGGATGGACGTGAATGAACCCGATGGACTCCGAGAGACGAATCATTGTGACTCCAAACTTCCGCCTTTCGCTTGTCGAGAGCGGTGTGCGATGCCAGCGTCATGTCCTTGCCAAACATCGGGAGGTGATGCACAAGCGAAGACCGGACTGCCCTGGATTTCCGGATGGGCTGCTCTTTGCATGAAAGATTGGGCTGGTATAAACCTTGCTCATTGGGGATGAATCATCGTTCGTCACAGTTTCTACCTTTAGTTTGCGTGGGACGATAACTTCTCTCTTGCTAGTATTTGATTGTTGATTTGGGCCGAGGTTTAGCAGTGCAGGAAGTTGTCTCGGCGACGGCTGAATAGGCGCCTTGTCCTGGATAAGTGATAATTTGTTGGCCGAACTTTTCACTACTCACACAAGCTTCCATCTTTTGTTTCCCGAGGGTTCGCAGTTGATAGGTGGATCTGTAAGTGATGATTCATCAACCGAAGTTTGCGTTACTCACTCGAGCTTCCATCTTTGTTTCCCAGGGAGTGGCTCAGGTGCGAGGCACCGATAGGAGTAGGATGCAACGTCCGGCCCAATTCGGCACTCGATGGTACGGTAGGCCAGGAAACCGTCTTGGGGTTGTCCAGGTACATCGTCCCCTTCGCGAAGGGAAAGCTGATGTCGGTGGACTGGATAATCAAACTTTCGAAATTGGCTTTTATAATTTTCTCTACCTCGAGAGAGGTATCCTCCAGGCTTTCGTCAAATTCGGCCATAACCATTTGGTCCTGCTCGGCGCTTTGGAAGGAGTAGCTGCCGAGGCGAGAGTTGTGGAATTGAACTCACTCGACATAATGAAAAACTTCAAAGAGTGGGGAAGACAGTGCAGATGTAGGAGATGGTAATGGACTCTAGCAATAGCACCGTGGCGGTATGCTGTCAAGGCGGAGTGAGGTTATTATTCGTTGAAAAGCAAGGGGTATGCACCGGCAGATTCCGAGACACAGGGTAGGGGGGAGGGGGGGGCTCCGAGGTCCTTAACTGAGAATTATTTTTACTTATGAAATGGGCGGCAGGAGGTAAGTAAGGGTCTCCTGTAGTAAAACCATACACTCAGTAGCTGAAAGGCACCTTGATGATGGCCTACGGAGTACTTGCGCAACTTGCAGGGGTGGGCTGCTCGGAGGTGGCGGCGGGCACGGGCGCTGCCAGATGTGATGTCGGGTCACAACGATGACTAACAAGGTGACCTGCATCACGTAAGCCTAGGATTACCATCTCTATATGGCAGGTGCCTTCTATATATGGACCGTGAAAAGTTCCCACGGGGGGGGGGGGGGAGGGGGTCCTGGGGGGGCTTAACCGGATTTTGTGACCCTGTGTCTAGAATCCGAATTATGCATACCCCTTATTGAAAAGCGACGCCACACAGTGAGTCCCATGATCGCGACGCGACTTGTGGGTGCCAGGAATCTGCTCCCGCTGGAGTATTAGATGTAGAACGCACCAAGTTGAGGACCGACCATGCAACGTCAATACCAAATCTCCCCGATGCAATTGGCGGGCGACAACTAAGGCCTTAATAGTCGTGGAACGCTTGATCATGGTTCGTGCAGGGTCAGAAGAGCGTTGAATAATGCTCGAGTATTATGCCAGGTAATGTTGCTGTTTCGATGACACTTCTCTCGAGTTCTGGGTCTAATCATTAGTGTGGGATCAGACCTAGAGAACATGGCCCAAAAGTCATGAACGTCTCGTACCAAGAAATGGACGACATGATACCAACGGCGCAGTATAAGGCTTTTGCGGCCTTTGGTGGTCCTTAAGTCGCGGGAAATGCACTGAACCGAGTATATTCGGACGGCAGGTTTTCAGCGAGTAAAGTAAAGACGAAAAACCTATCTACGCGGTTGAGCACGTATTCAACGCCTGGGCTAACCCCGACGCCTCGACTACTCTATTCCTCTAATATCCCTACATGTGTCTCCTATGTACTGTCTTGGAACTCAAGCTCATAATTCACTCCGTTGAACGACCATGTAGTCTTAGTAGGAATATGTGGAACGAGACAATATACTCACCATTAGCAGCATCTTAAATATGTTGCATAATCTAGCCTCAAATAATTCGCGCTATGTCTGAGTACATCTTAATAGACTGGGCATTCGCGCCCTCTTCTGGAGCTGTAGTTGAGCTTTGTATACCTTCAGTTGTTAGTCTAGTTGAAATACAAATAATTGCAAGTTTATGATCTCCTACATGTTTGACTAGGATGGTAGATGTCTCATAATTGCACCTAGAATGAGATGACATTTGACAGGTATTCTAATCCACGTGACCTCGTCGCATCCCCTAGTACCCACTCGCGTTCCCCTTCCCCCTCTCGTCCCCGCTGCTCCTGCACCCCGTCGCTGTCATGGATGACCCTCGAAGACCAGAATTCATACCTCATGATGCTTGGAAGAACATGAGTGAGGCACAGAGAGCAGTTTTTCCTCCTCGTGCACCGCCACTTGATCCCCGGCTGCTAAATGGGTCCTGGAGCAACGGGCCCCGAGGCGAGCCATACCCACTGGTGTAGAGGTTTGTGGATCCTGGAGGTATGCATGGTACTTCAGAGCACATCCACATGCAGAAGAAGAAGAAGAAATATAACAAGAAGTTAACATTTCTGCACTATATGCGCATATAACCCACTTACTAGATGTTCTTGCTACAACGGCAGCCCACATGATCGAAATGCAGCCGCTACGGGTCATGAGAGTGTCTCTGTACCACCACAAAAGTAGGTATTTTCAATAATAATCAGGACCCTTAAGATACTAGAAACCCACCATGTCACCGCGGCTCGCCCACAATGTATCCGCACCCTAATGAGCCGCGTCTGCAGACGCACCCACCAGACACGCTGCATCGCTCCCATGACATGTCTCCAGAATACTCATGCGCCATTGCTAATACCCTCGCACATATGCCCTCCTCCAGCCCTGCTCCCGATGATGCTGTGACCTTGATCTCGATCACGTCATCAATTCAGGCCTTACACGAGAAGCAAGATACTTTTAGTCAACGCTTAGAAAGGGTTGAACAAAGTGAAGATGGCGTACCCTGGAGTAACAAGTCCAGTACAGCCCAACGGGGTGCTATGGCTATCCGTGGAAAGGGTGTAGCAGCGAAGCGAAAAGCCTTGAAACAGGGTGGACGTGGTAAGAAGTGGCCAGAGCTTGAAGACGAGATGTCCGAGATGACAGAAGAAGATGCGAGTGATGACGAGGATGCCGAGGACCTGCTGGGCACAAAACATAGTCTGTCCACCACAGCACAGAAGGCCCGGAATGACCTTCAGGTGAGTTTTCCCCATTAGCATAAGGACTCTACTCACCATGCACTAGAACCGAGTGACGGTGAAGTTTCGTGGCATATGTGGCATTCAGACGGGCCAGAATTGGCCAGGACCAACCGACACTGAACGATTCAACTCCACAACAAATGAGCGTTACTGGACTCCAAATTTCACAAAAGACGTACGATATCCCGAGAATAAAGAATTTCTCGAGCATGTTGCAACGCTGGTCAAGAATGATGTTACTGTGAGTGGTATAAGTGTTGGCATCTACAACACGCAAAACTTACCTTTGATATGCTTGCAGAACTCCGACAATGCTCTCAAAGTCTTGAAACAATGCCGCAAGTACAAGTGGAATCATGATACGCTAGTCGAGCTTGCTAAGACCAGTTTCCGCAGCTTCAAGACAATCTATCAAACTCAAGTAGATGCCAATAAGAAGAAGACACATGAGAGGAATCAGAGGACAAACCGTCATAAGCATCGCCGTGAAGAGGTCAGGTCCCATAGCTTTAAACGTCAATCTGAACACTGAAAGTCAGTCAAACTCCCACAGAAGGCAAAGAGCCGCCTTACCGCTGTGCACACATACAAAGAGAAGTATGGCATAGATCCGACTGACCTGTGTCATGAGGCCCACATGTCCGATGAGGCATCGGGTCCAGACTCAGATGATGAGTCCACACTGTCAAAGATCGAGTGGAAGAGGGAGATGGCGAAGAAGCAGAATATGGATGGTGACCGGATGGGCGTGTCTGAGCTTGAGAAGCTTAAGTTCTGCAAAGTCGTTCGCCCTGGGTGGCGATCTGATGAGGTATGTATCATTCAAACAGAGTCTTGAGAATATAGTTAATTGTTACCAGCTGTCTAACGTCCTCAAGGAGCTTGATGTCATGGCATGGCAGGATAAGCCTGCTAAACTGAAGGAACGTGTCATCATCATATCAGTGCGAAACATGGGGCGCACTTCTGACGTACCACCGCTGGTAGCCCCATTCGATTTTGGCATCAATCACACGTGGTGGGAGAGGAACAAGAACAACGAGAAGTTTGCAGATGTCCTCACAGACTGGTACACACATGGTGATCTACATGGCTTTGGGAGCGCTGTCGGTGATTGTGCAACCAACAATGAGATAGACGACAGTGATGGCAATGGCAGAGATAAAGGTGTTGATGATGGTGAACTGGTCGATGAGGAAAATGAAGAGGTGGAGACGGTTTGATGGACAGCATGTACAGGTGTGACGGGAATGTGAAACATGAACTCTGGCTGATGACACCCTTTTCTTGATACCCTGACGGTTGATGACACCCTGGATTTCTTGATACCCCGATGGTCCCCAATATGTTGTAGACATATAGCACAGCTCTCGTGTAGTACTTATGATGCAAACCCACTTGCATGCTGCAGAAGTAATCATAAATGCAACAATAGTTTCGAAAAGGAGAAATGACTTGCACGATCCATTGTGGTTGTGATCCACATCTTCGGAACGGTCGTGGAGACAATCCCACGAGCCAACTGACATTGGATTGAACGGAAGGGCAAGATGGGTGGAGGGAAACTGTCATTTCTTGGCAGTGCATATTCTCCAAGTACCCACGTCTCGACCTCAAGCTCCGGGCTGTAGACTTAAGTTAGCATGGTACAGCGTCATTCCTGAGAATCATATACAAGTCACTCCAGGGATCATCCTCAACAGGACTCAGATCCAGTGGCTTCATCCAGCGAAACTCTGCAAAGAGTCGCTCTTCGGCGATGCCTCGCTGTGTGTGATGAAATATGCACACAACTTCACCGGCATAAGACTTGCCGTCATGAAGTACCTTGACAATTGAAGAGCGTGCCACAGCCTGTTGAGTCCGCGATGTTGCAGTGATTCGATGACCATCGAGAAGAGCCCAGTCATAGTACTGGGCAGTCTCCTGCAATACATAGGTACCTGAAACTGCATCACGGTCAGTCGAGTAATGAACCCGAAGTTCATTCGTATTGTAGTATTTGAACAAGCCGAGTCGAGCGCTGTCACTCAACCAAGGCGATCCTGATGCGATTGGGCCAGGTTGAATTTGCAAGCGGCATAGTTCTGGGTTAGTCGACCCACTAGATAAGCATACTCCAACAGAGACACTACTAAACAACACACACCATCGTCCTGTAGAGACTCCTCGGGCTCTGTAAGAAGGTGTTCTTTATCTCCGCGCATGCACATTAGCATGTCCTTTACTATTTCTCCTGCATCCGATGCAGGAGAGACAACCTCATTTATCTACAGGTCGCATTTCAGCATTTGAACAAACATGTAGTGCAACCTCACCATGGCATCGAGATGGGTCCCGCGTTCGAACTCGCGTAACATTGATATCTCAAGTTGTCCTCCGACCCATGTGTTGCTCTTGAAACTCTTCAGTATCTTGTTCAGACGCTCAGAGAGAAAGGCCCAAAAGTTATACACTGGCCCGTAATCATGGACCTGATCTGGCAAGTGTACAACCCAGTGGAAGTTTGGTTTTAGGGCATCTTCGCCATACAGCTGCAGACAATTCAGGTGAGTATTAAGATCATCGTGGTGATAGGAGTATGTCGGGACACACCTTTCGATACTCAAGCAGATACTCTTGTAGAAGCTCTAAAGCACGAACAACCATATCGTCAGTGATAGATCGTCCAAGAAAAATCTTGACTGCTATAGCAAGACGAAGAAAATTAACAGGTTCCTCTTTTTGCATACATCTAGCTGGCTTCTTTGGCGGGTTTGGCTTGTCGTCTTTGTGCTTCGCTGTCTTCTTGCTAACCTTGTTTGAGCTCAAAGGTCCACCAGTCTTTGCATCACCGGATTTCATGTCAGGAGTCTCAGCAATTTTACCTGGCCTATTTCTCCATGCAACCAATTCTTTCTCGTACTTTGCAAAAGCAGTTGTATATCGTTTCTCAGCTCGGGTATACTGGTCTTGCGAGTCTTCCATACATGTCTCCCAAACAATAGGGATCTGTGCAGATGCCATGTAAGCAATGCGCCATGCTGTGTGAAACGTGAAGAGAGTGACACTCATGATGATAGCGAGAGGAGCAGTAACTGCAGATTTGTACTCGTCAGCTGTCAAGCTCCCACCCGCGGGCTCGCCAACACGAGCCGGGAGTTGAGCAGCCCAAGAGGGGGATTCAAACTATTGGCATTGTCTTCATTAGTACAGCGAATCACAATTGAACTGGGGACTTTCATACCATTTCGAGAAAGCGGTGGATTACATCAAGCTCTCGTGGTGTTTTCTGAGTTGAGCTTCAGATTGCAGCACCTTGAATCCATACTGCGTACCACTGTGTCTTAAGAATACCTAAGAAGAACATTAGTTATACCTTAGCAGCATAACGAATGGAATGTACACACCGAGACAGATATTATGCATCGGATCAATGACACAGTACCGCACAAGGTCAAAATATGGTAGACATGCAAATTCCGTCCACCATGCCCCAACGGTGTTGAAGAATTCCTGACGCTCTTCGTCGGTCTTGAGATCCTGCCAGTGAAAACAATTCTTTCGGTGTTCATCACCAGTTCGAGCTTCAAATTCTGCAAAAGCATTAGAATCAGATCATACTCGTGATCCACATGACTGATCTATGCACCATTCTTCAGCGACTTTTCTGAAAACAGTTCACTTAGGGGCACCTTGCACTTCGGGCATGGTGCAACCTTATGGTTCTTCTCTGCGAAACTGCCCATCTTGCACATAGCTGGGTGGTCGCAAATGATTGCGAGCAAGAAAACACGAACACGGCGACCTGTCAGCATTTAATCAGCAAGACTTGAACCAGCTTAAACGAGTTGCACTTGCCTTGTGGGAACTTCGGGGAATAGTAGACCATACCGTTGTCATAGAGATTGATCAGATCGTTCACAACAAGCATGTTATAATGCTGAATCTCTTCAGCGGTAGGCTCAGTCGGGCCAGGTGCCAGGTATGACACAATTATGTTGTTTGTACGGTATCTGTATCAGATGTGTTAGTGTACAACTCGCTGAGAGTGTCATGGATCTCACCGCAGTGCCTCCGGTAAGTTTGCAATAGCTGCAGATGCGACCGTAGATGAATGTGATGGCCCATATACACTAGTCTTGCGACTGAAGCTGCGACTCAACATATTAGCTTGATCATCATGTTAAATGAGAATGAGAAGATCATACCCATCCATTTGTATCATGAGACCGATTCGTAGTTCATCCGATGTGTTGGCGGCATCAAAAAACAGTTTACCGTCATGTCCCTTGACGCTGCGCCAAACATTGCCATCAGACATTGTCCTGTATGTGCCCGGCTCATGCTCATGAGTCTTCCACTCATCACATGCTTCTTCAATATCTGGTTACCGAGAGAGCATATCTGCGAGTGCATCAGATGGAAGATGGATTGGTGCTGAAGCCTTTGGACGTTGTGGGGCTTTGCTCTCACCAGAGATATGCTCCCATACAGAGTGTATCGCAGGCTCGAAAACAGATGAATTGCATGATGGGCACGTTATGTCCGTCTTGACATCAGTCTCAAAGATTCGATGACAGGAGGGACATATGGGATGGACGATGAACCGATCGCGGAGGTCGAGTCGATGGAGTATAGTGTGCAGTGTTATCGGCATAGGAGCATCGGCGGGGATGACCCCTAGAACAAGAAAAATAGCATTAAGAATTGTCAGTATCAGTGCGCATGCACGGAACAAGATGTGATGCTTTGTATGTAGCAGCATGACAAGCGTGATCACGATGCGAACAAACCAGATTGGGTGGCTGTCATTGTAAATGTCGGTCAACGGAGGTGGGAGGTCTGCAGGTGGATCGATCGTAGCGGTTTCATCTGAAGAGGGTTCACCAGAATGAATAGGAGATGCTCGCTGGTGTGGAGCTGGATTTCGTATCCCACTGTGCTCGTTGTCTTCGAGAAAGGTTCCATACTCTTCGAGGTCCATCTCTGCTGCATGTTGAGTACGAGAAGATTCATCTCCTGTGTCAGGATTATCGTGGGTGGGGACAATATCCTCCAGGTTGGCGGCACGTTCCTTCACTCGCTGACACTTCTTGCACCTCGATGGCTCTCGGGTCTTCCTCGAAACATCTGTCATTGCTGCCATAGAGGGTCTCACGGGAATGGACTCAGTGGCTATGACATGTGGAAGGGGAGGCAACGGGAATGAGGTGTCTGGGAATGTAGGCCCTCATTGAGCCTGTGATGAGTCGAATGATGCCGCAGGGGGGATGTGTGAGGCCATTAAATTAGCAGGTGGTAGAGCTGTGTGTTGTAGGGAAGACCGGAGGGCGGAAGTATCAATGGCACGCCCTGATGGAGGGGAGTTAAGATGATTGGCGAATGGGGGAGAAATCACATCATGCACCCGTGGTGCTGGGTCTGCATACATGTCATCGTCAGTGTCGGCATCATTCAAAATCTCCATTGGTGTCTGTGCACGCGCCGGTCCAACTGATGAATCGTCAACTGTGATACTGGCGCTGCTTGGCGGTACCCAGTCAATATCCATCAGATCACTTGGCGGTACTGCTGGCTCGTCTTCGATGGACATTACTGCCTATGATAGGTGATGTATGCATGGCCAGCACGTCGACACGGTTGGAACTTGTGGCAGCTTGAAGTCCTCTCGGTACACTGTGCATGTTCTGAATGAGTTTTGAATCTCACGACGCACGGTATGCTTACCATGATGCTCCAACTGACACTCGTCCGCCTCGCGCAGAGATCGCTGCACCTCCACGCAGAGGCCCTGCTGGTGCTGCATGTCCTCGACCCCGAAGGGTGCCTAAAACTGCTACTCGGGGATGATTGGCACCCCGAAGAATGGCCTTCTGCATGCCTCGACCACGGTGGGTGAGTGCAGAGCGTGACAGCTGCTGTCTGCTTAGATGGATCCTTCTCTCAGCTATTGTCATCTCAATCCCTTCTCCGCGTGTGTCAGTTGCTTTGCATTTATCGCAGATGCATAGAACCAGGCGACTGCCCTGCCCAACGGCAAAATTCTGCTGAGACATTTCAGCAAAGTGGGTCATACTTTATATTAAAAAGACATACCTGGCTCATGGTTTCCCTCCAAGTATCTGTTGTCTGCATTTGTGTGACAATATGGACGCACACTGAAGCCCCGAGCGGCCTCTTGAAGATTAATCGTGGTGTGAATCAGGGCCGCGTCAGCGTTCGTTAGACGCGCATGTGAATCGTAGGTACAGCGGGACTCAGAAAACTTAGAGTAAGTCTAAGTGTCAAAGATGACACTCGGTGCGAGAATTTGGTGGAACCGTGATGATTGAACTAGGTCTATTTCTTTGGGATAACAACAGTTGAACTACCTGCATAGACTTCTGGAGGCCGTAGATAGCCAGATGTTGGAGAACATGGGGAAATTTAACTTGGGCTACATGAGGATATGGAGATAGACGTAGACAGACAGATCGATGTAGATACACACTATTTAGACAATGCGGCTACTTCCGATGATGCGTGGCTAGGGCGCTTTCTCTCACCTCATCAGACTTCAACTCTAAAGCCCTTAAACGTAGTGATTGGGCCGTTCACAGGCTCCTAAAACCAGCCGTCGCTATAGTGTTCTCGCTCCTTTATCATATGTTTTGAGAGATCATGTGATATATATATTTTATGAGACTTACCCGATTGAGCGAGAAAATAGCCGAACAAGAGGAGGAGAACACCGGGGGGGTGGGCGCTTATCCGGCGCTTCTCACTGTACGGCGAAACCTCGGTTGACATTATAGGCTAGCCGTCCTATAGTGTTCTCCTCCTCTTGTTCGGCTATTTTCTCGCTCAAGCGGGTAAGTCTCATAAAATATATATATCACATGATCTCTTAAAACATATGATAAAGGAGCGAGAACGCTATAGCGACGGCTGGTTTTAGGAGCCTGGGCTTCAATGAGTACTTGTAAAGGTCGCTCAAATCTCCTGCCCTCCTGCTGCGACGGCGCCTTGTAAGTCATGACTATCGATATCGACGCGGCGAGCGAGGTCTGCTGCCGTGTGCTCTGAACTCTCCGTTTAGTTACTTGTTCTTCCACCGATCCTCGCCGCTACACCTAATTGTATGTTGAATATTCAAGTGAAAGACCAGCCCGACAAAATATATATCGTCTACAACAGCACAGCAGTACAGTAGACGGCATGGGACAATAGGATTAAAGCAGAAGCAATTGCAGAACGACACTGTATGGTCAGTGACGGGGCCGATTTGAGAGTTCAGAATTCTGGGAGATGCGGACAGGAAAAGGGGCGCATAAAATCCATATGGCATCGTGGGCGCGATTGGAGGAGCACGTCAGAGGGCATCCAGTCATCTTGCTTCATATTTTGCGCTACAGGCGTCTTCAGCCTTCAGATCATAAATACGAAGATCAGAACTCACCTCCATCTGAATACGTGGATTATAGCGTTCGCTCTGAACGCGTGTCGCTCCGTGCATTCTCCGAAGATGCATTTCAGATTCATGACACCTCTCCTGCGACTTGAATGGGCACAAATCCACCAAACACGTGTGCTGGATTGATTGTAGATGCTCATACGCGATGTGGAGGCTGAAGGCATTCACTCTGTTCGAGTTAGCGTTGGTGCTCTTCCCGCATGTGCATGAGACTACAGCTCCATGATGTGGTGCGTGACATAGGCGAATGTGGTCACGTATACCTTCCACCGTACCCTGAAATAGTTGGGTGCATGGTTGGCCAAAGCAACACCTGTATAATCTGTTCGTAACCAGGCTCTGAATGACCAGAGGGTTGTTGTCATCGTCCTTCAACATCATGTGTTTATGATATGGTATCCAGTTCACCTCGTCGTATGCAGGCCCATTTGTAGACGGAGGCGAGAGAGCTGCGACATCACGGGCAGACGAGCTAGACTCTACCTCAGGAGGAGGACCATCGTTCCAGCAGTGAACCGTGGGGGTAGGCGGTGTAGCGGGCTGTGCTTCTGCATCAAGCTGGATTGGCTGTAATGGCTTTTTATCATCCTGCGTGGCCAGTTCAGAAAACCGGATGTCATCTTGCATCGCAGAATAGATGTGGAAGTCTGTTTCAACGATTCTTTCCGATTCACGCCAAGCGTCCGTCAGATCCTGGTCGAATTCGGCCATCAGACGGTCCTGTTCAGCGCTCTGGAAATAGTAGCTGTAAAGGCATGAGCACGTCGATACCCGATAAATGGAAGAGGCACGCACTTCATGTCTTCACTATGCTTATCTGGATCGGGGGACATTGTGTCTTGGAGAATTATGCTAGGCGCATGTAATAGCCAGGGAAGATGATGGTATGTTGGTAAGGTGTGGAGGCAAATGTTCAAATGAACGCAAATGAATGAGGCTATGGCCAGCCAGTCTCGTGATCCAGACGTTCAACCGATGGCCACGATGCGATGACAAAGGAGATGCCTCGTTAGCATGCCAACTGGAAACTCACCAGAGCGCATTGATGCTACACTCGTGTAGGTGAAGGGTGGTTATGACTTAGAAGGGAAGAGGGAGGTTGAATGGCATCCCCACATTGCCCTTCAATCATTGTTGGATGTCGTCGCTGGATCTTAATAGGTCAACATCAGACAACCGCACTAGGCAGACTGCGAGGTCCATTCATTACAACCTGCATGGCATTCACGTTGAGAAATCTCTCCAAAGTGTAGGACGAAAATTTAAACGTGTCCGTTTGCAACAACAAGCACATCCCTTAAGACGGTCAGTTCAATACAGGTTCTCCAAAATGCTGGACCAGACTGTAGACCCACACGTTACACCGGTTTTCGTCTGAACTTGACAGAGATTGACCACATGTATTCGTCTTCTTCGCTTTGTGATGAAGCAACAACTAAGCATAGGATAATCACGGGTAAGTTTCATCGTTCGCAGCATAATTAATATCAAGTGTTGGCAATCGACTCAGCCTTCGCGTCAAGCTAACGATGGCGCGGATGATGTCCATCGACCACTAGAATATCGGAAGTAAATTCGGCCAAATTATTACGGTACAAAGAACAGACAACGTACCTCGACTCTGCTATTAGGAAGGCACCAAATTCAGTTTGTGTTCAGCATTACTTAGTACCTCTTAGTACCCCAGCTTCCCGTCGTAGCTGTGTAAACGTTGTGACGCTGTTCGCGTCGTATGGCTTCAACGGGAGTACGCAAAATTCTTAGCCCAGGATAATGCTTGCCAACAGGCGTAATAGAGTTTTGTCGACCTTGAGTGAGAACAACTTGAAAGACTCAGAAGTCTCAGAACGCAGACCTAGTCATGCAGAGTCGACATGACACGTGATCGCATCCCTTTGAGCGCTTGTCTTCAGAGTTGTGCTCATTATCTATCCTACGAGGCCATTAGACTTGCAATCACTCCCCCAGAACCATCGTTATGTCTGCTAGAGCTTTGAATGACGATGAGGTTATTAGCGAGATGAACAAGATGGTGAGCATCCTCCTGAATACGCTCCCGCTCCCGATGGCCAAGAGCAGTCTTCGTAGGTTGCATTCATCAAGCAGGAGGCGATGGAGAAGGCGCGAGAGATTCGAGTGAAGGCGGACGAAGAGTTTGCTATCGAGAAGGCAAGCACCCCTATGGGCATGCTCTTACGGGGAACTGACGGTGTGTTTCAAGGCCAAGCTCGTGAAGCAAGAGCAGCAAGCCATAGATACCCAGTACGACAAGAAGCGGAAGGGGGCCGAGGTCGCACAGAAGATGTGTGTGTCCTCCATTTGTAATGATTACGTTCAACTGACTCAGACATGTCTTGTAGCACCCAGTCAACACTGACGAACAAGTCCCGGCTGCGGCTCCTCCAGCAGCGCGAAGAGCACCTGCAAGACCTCTTCTCCACGACCCGCGAGTTGATCGTTGACCTCTCGCGGGACCAGGCGCGTTATGTGCAGTTCCTCGAGGGCGTCATCACGCAAGGCTTCCTCCAGCTCCTCGAGCCTGACGTCACCGTGCACGCGCGTGGGTTGGATGTTGAGGTCGTGCGACGTGCAGCGGACGGTGCCGCGAAGCAGTACACGGAGGTCAGCGGGAGGACGGTCAATGTTACCGTAGTCGGGTTGCTCAGTGATGACATGTACGTGTGGATATTGCATGGGGTGCTGCGAGGCCTCGCGCAATTTTTGAATAAAATGCTAACGAAATACATCGACTTGCAGCGCTGGCGGTGTCAAGCTGGTCAGCGGCTCGCAGCGCATCACGCTCGACAATACACTAGATGAGCGTCTGCGACTACTGGAAGACAGGGTGCGCGATCCGGCTTTCTGACTATAATTTTCGTTGCGTTGACGCTGCCACTGCCCAGATGCTGCCAGAGATTAGGAATAACTTGTTTGGTCCTAACGACAACCGTAAATTCTACACATAATGTGCTGATACTATGTTTCCACCTCCGATCGCCGTCAGAACCTCGACACAAGTCGCACGATGTATGATATCAACTGGATTCCTTCAGCCTGTCATTCACGTAGGCATGTCGTGACGCTCGAAGCTCATGATAGAGCACGATTCATCCTAGATGTTGGCAATTCGACTACACGCCCTTACAGCTAATAGACAACACTGATAGATATAGACGTTCATCCAACCCAAACTACAAGAACCCCCACAGCGCATTCTCCCATCCCGGCACACAAACTCAGAAGAGGCCCACAAGGTCGGCGAATGGATCCTTCCCTTGCGTCTGCGGTGCCGCGGGTGTACCCGCCAAGTGCTGCTGCGATGGTGGCTGTGAACGACGCTGTTGTTGTTGTTGCTGCGGCGGCGCGGTTTGCTGCTGGATTTGTGGGTGCATCGGCTGCATCGTCCGCTGCTGCCCGCCAATACTCGCGCCCACGCCGATGCCGGAACCGGGCGCCGTACCGGTAAAGTAGTTTGGCGCGGCGGGCACAGCCTGTGCGTGCATCTGCGGCGTGCCGGGTAGCCTGATAGAGCCGTATGGTGGGTTATGTGGTGGGGACACCGTTCCTGAGCGTGCGGCCTGGTTAGGTGCGGACGAGCCCATGATCATGCTCATGCCGTAGCCATTCGATGTCGAAGGAGTCGGGGCATGCATGGCCACCCCTGTCCCGTTGCCCATGTTCATGCCCATCATGCCACCCATGTTCGTGCCTGCGGAGGGAGCCATGCCCATGCCTATTCCCGCACCTGTCCCCGTGCCCAGCTGTACTGGTGGTGTGGCAGTTTGAAGTATGGGATTCGTGGTACTTGGGCCGAAGAGACTCGCGAGTTCGTCAATTGGTGCTACCTGGGCGTCCGAGCTTGACGGCGTTGAGTCGTCGAAGTCGATCAGCGACTCTGACACGCCGTTTCCAGACGCGTATTCGGTGGGAATGGGGTTTGCCGCGGCGGTGAAGTCACCTTTCTTGTATGACTCGTAGCGGTTCAAGACGGTGTTGATCTGGTCGTTGATCTGCAGGAAGGTATCTGCGAGACGTCATTTAACGGTCAGAATGAATTATGACGTGGAGAAATTGAACAGCACTTACTGAGTGATTCTGGATCGTCGGTCTCTGCATTTGATATCCAGCCTTGAATTTTTGGCCGTGCGCTGGAGAGTATCGAGGCCACTTGCTGTTACGATGGGCACAACACCTTGAGTTTCTCGTCAGTGTTAGTGTATTACAACTCACCTCATACACGTCGCCGGTGACAAACCTCTCGCCCCGCGAAGTATCCACATTGTCAAGAATTTCATTGAGCAATATCACCTTGCTCTCCAGTTTGTTAAGTTCTGTCAGAGCTTGCGTACGATAATCTGGCTTTGCCTCTGGGTCTACGCCTGCAAGCGATTTCATAAGCTCCTGTGCTGCGGCCAGGTCTCTAGGCGTCCCCCGCCGTATGAGCTCCTGGAGCTTGGCAGACTGTGCTTCGCGATCTTCGCTCTCGAGTTCATGCGCCGATTTGATATTCTAAAAAGCAGGTTTGTGTAAGTTCAGACATCAACCGACTGCAACAGTTAGACTGTCAGAAGCAACGGGGGTAGCATGAGGGATAGATTGCCCCAGCTTGTGAATGGGTTGACAATGGACCCATATCAAGGTGCACAATAAAGATGTGAAATGAAAGACACGTTCCGCAGGACATGCAACGAAGAATACACGCACAGAAGCTGAGGCGATCGGGGGTTGCCTGGGATGTGGACGGAAGCGATATCCTTTGAACGTGAGCAGCCGATGCATGTCTCTGATATTTCCTAAGTCTTCTTTCCATCTCGACTCCGTGCATATACCCTCCTTCCAGTCGTTGATAAGATCGAGGATCCTAGACATGACCGGACCCGGGAAGGGCGGAGGGCGCTCAGGAAACCGGCGAACAAGTTCATTGAGAAATTCTTTCGTGGAAATCTGGAGATGGAAGGGGTATCCGCAGGACTGTACGAGCGTTTCTAGGAGTGCAAGTGACAGCATGGCGATATGGGGATTCCGGTGGTTCACCAGCCGCGCGATCAACATCGCTGCATCTCGCGGCCTGGTCACGACCATGAATTCGGACATCGGAGATGAACAGCATGGAAAACGTACGTGTTGGCCTTCTTTTCGTGGATGTAGTTCGCGACCTCGAGGTGTAAGGCATAGTTGGGCTCGGGTAGAGAAGGGTTGGTAGCCTGAGTAATGAGGATGTCTAGGGGGGTGACATTTGATGTCCACGTCGACGGCGAGTGGAACATGGTCACTGAGGTAGAGATAAAGTTAAGGGAATCAGCAGAGAACGAGACAGACGGAGCAGAGGCCCGCGGACCTGACGTGGTGGGCGGTAAAGGCGAAGCGCGCACTCGCTGGGCGCTCGCGGCTGAGCGGCGATCGGGCTGTTTGCCGACAGCACAAGATGTCACTTTTCCATGCATGATTGGTCGTGCTGGTGTGCTGCTTGCAACAAGTTGGCTCACCGTGGTACAAGTCATTGTGCGCATGTTTCACCATCCACACCCACCTGAAGGTGAGTCTTTCAGCGGTCCTTCCGTCCCAAGCTACAACTATCTTTGTAGGAACTGTTGCTTGCAATCATGCTACTTTGCTCAGCCCTCGCTGGCAACTTGCTGACCGCAATTTTGAAAAGCATCCTCATGCAGCTCATTCGCAGGCGGTATTGACAACGGATGTTCAATGTCTTCATTCAGCTTCCAGCCTCCCCGGCAGTCCTTCTCGGATGTTTTGAGCTCAAGAGGGCAGGCGTCGATTTTCCGAGTACGAATATTTACGTTTATGAATCTTTTGTGTGTGCATTGTGGATGCTGCAACCATTGATATGTCAGATCGAGATCAAGAGACGCAAGGGATGTCCTTCGATGAAACAAGTGAGTGGCTGTTCACTTTGCTTCTGATAGGCTATGTGCAGTAACATATGGCTATAGACGACACAGCCAAATTCGATGCCATAACAACCAGATTGAGTCATTTTGCCCATTGTTGAGCCCCAGCCATTCGTGGAGACTCCATTGTTCTGTGGCTCAGAGTATTCAATTCCCTTCACGGTTTCAGAGTGCCTCAAACATCACCACGTGGGTACCATTCGGAAAGACATCTCGCCCACTAGGATAGCGTCGGACGTGGAGAAAGGAGGTTTCGACACTGGGGAAATGTCTATGTGGTTTGTTGGACACGTCAAAAAATTGGTACGGATTCAGTTCCCTCTCAAGTGTGCTCACAGAGATTTATTGCTTGCAGATCGCGGTATCACACTGATGAGCCGTGCAACTCATCGCTCGCATGCTTCGAAAACATGGCATGCAAGGCCTGCCCAATAGGAAGCGGTGCTAAAGTGTTATGTCAGAGTAGCAGAAGGGGTCTCCTTTTCTTTAAAAGCCGGCTCTGTGCACAGTTCTTGCTCACTTCATCTAGGTCACTCACCACTTTTCTACGGTTCAATTACGGTTCAATATCGATGTCTCGTACTCCATCTGCAAACCCGCAGTGCGTGTCATTTTTCAGCCATAGGCGAACGGTTGCTCACGCATGGACAGATACGCTTTCAACAGCGTCGAGCAGGATTGGTTGGTCTGCCAACCCGACGAGAATGTTGCTAACGCCTGGTTCGAGGCAGAGCGAATCATCCGTTCGGACACTAACGCCTGGAATGAAGTGCAGTCCAACGTCGATTATTCTCTCCGGACGTACAGTGCGCGTCTGAATCCCGCCGCAGGCTCCTCGCGCTTATCGCCACGCGACAACATTCAAACCGGGGCCTCGCATCTCACCGAACCATTGCGCCCTCGTTCTGGAGAGCAAAGGAAAATCTATAATTCGTTCGACGAAGTCAACAGGTTCCATACAGGTCTCTCCGCTGATTTTACTGTTCCCCGGTTGTCTCGCTCGGAACCTGCTCGTGGTGCACCACTGGTCTTCCAACGGTTGCAGTCAGAACTTCCCGCTCCTGGAGCTTCCTGGCATCAGTTGGGCGCGCACGTGAACGGCGCTGCAGTAGCCCAATATCTCCCAAACATATCTGGTATCCCAATCGATTCCGTTGGTGAGCTGTGGCAGTTGTACCTTTCTACCCCGAGCTCGCAGCGATATCACCCTCACTCTGCACCTCGATGCCGCCGCGAGGTCCTGAAGGATTACTGCACATGCCATGTTCAAGGGTGCAACAAATTCTTCAAGGGCACGTATGAGGACGTAGAGAATCACCTCGTCGAACATGGCTTGCGGCCCGGCAAGAAAATGTCGTGCGGCGCGGTAGGGTATCCGGCCGTACTCCCTTCTTGCCAAAGTGAGATGGACTCGCGTGCACTGAAGAGACACATCGTCCACACCCACCACAACTCTGTGCGGTTCGTGTGCGAGAAGCCTGGGTGTAATTATATCGTTTACTCTCATTCCGCCGGCTCTCATCCATGCCCCCTTGAAAAGAAGGTCATGAGCCGCAAACCTGAGTGAGTCGCATCCCTCTCTTATTCTTATGCATTTCACGTTGATACCTCAGATAGCCAACGCCAGTGCGTCCATCAATCATTCTCTTTTCTTCAGTGAGCCATCACTGGGTCGTCTCGCCAAACGCTATTGGCTGTCAAAATGCTGTGGCTTGTTTCTGCACGGACCAACTTTGATTTAGTCGCTCTGTGTTTCTCGGTTGTTGTGATCTCTCTTATCAGCTTTGTGCTATTTGTTGTCTTGTTTTGTAGATGTTGTAGAATGTGGTGCTGTCCGCCGTTCTGCGTTGTCGAAAATGTGCTGTCTGTGGTCCGTAGAGCTCATGTTTGTCGCGCTACTTGTTGTCCAATGCTGTTCACCAATAGATTGTAGATGATTGTTTGACTACGGCCAGTGGAAAATCAGATCACGCCTCACGCACTTAGATGGATTTGTATAATCCTTGCGGCGGCCCGCAGAGTCATGTGGCATCATTCTATTTGGGCAGCTTGGAATGCGCAACAACTTCGAGACTTATAGTAAGGGACGTACAAATTCTCCAAAATACTTCTATCCTGATCAATTCAAACAAACACTGAATGTGCGGCACGCAGCATTGCCTTGGTAAGATGGTACGTAACGAGCTACGCATCGGGCGTACGCGTTGCGTCCAAATTGTATTGTACGTTCTTGCGATACTTTGTCACCAAGTCAGCGGCCGTCGTAACGTGCACGTTCGCGTGAACGATCTCCTACTTACTCTGCGTCAGCCTGTTCAGGAAGCAGAGGGTAATCGTCCGCATACCTCAAGACAATGATTAAGCTCGATGATAGTCTCTGTGCATTTGTCCTGCTAAATGTCAGCGACTCTGCGGCGTAGGCAGCCTGAGGAATAAGTAGACCTACGGCGTTCTTTATGATGCGCTGAAGAAGGACGTTCTGTCTCTCTGCGTGAGGATTCTCCATAGCTGTTGGAGGCGCGACTACCGTAAATCAAAGAGACGACTCGGAGGACGGACGTACCGGCTGCCGCATTCAGATGTGCGGATCCAATTTCGGACGGATGTTCCGATTCCCTAGTCTCGTGACCAGACGTTCACGTGCGACTTACCGAAAACGGACAGAAAGAGAGAGTCGCACAGCAGAACGTCTGGTGAAAGTCGTATAGAGGGGGGGGGGTATATAACGCTCTCCTGGCTGTAGCTCCCGCGCAGCGCGTGTCACGCTGGTCATCCCACGTGTACCTGCACATCTCCTGCCTCCTGCTGATAAATATTCATGTACATCAGAGAATCGGGATTCCTCCGGATGGAGGATAGATCTCCTCGGCTCCATCCGGAGCTGGATGGAGATTGTACCTCTGCATGGAGATGCCAGCTACAGACAGAGAGAGCTAAAGGCCCCAAGCAAGCAGATGTATCTAGACAGCATTGATATCTCTTCCTACATGCTCTATGAGTATTTTCTGAGAATATCCAACAACTCGAGCCTGTCCCTGGTGCTCGCGAGTATGTCCCATGAGCCACATGCTGTCTCCATCCAGCTCCATGCAGAGATGTGATCTCCATCCAGCACGGCACGGAGACGGCCTGCTCCGTATGATGGGGGGGATTTCCATCACTCCGGGGCTCCGTCCGCTACCATATGGAGCCTATGGAGCTATCCCAAGTTCCTGATGTAGTATGCAACCATATATGCACCCCGAACTGTATTCTAGCCATCAATGGCCCGTGAATGTGCCGCGTTCGAGTTCGCATGTTTCGAGTTTTGGCTGAGGTCACACCCATGTGACATAACCCCCCCCCCCCCCCCCCCCCCCCCCTTTCTATACAAAAGTCACCAGACATTATGATGATGCGTGCCGAGATAGGAGGCAGACCTCCTATCCTTATATAAGCAAAAGGCTCACCATCCCCACCTCATACCCGATTTAGTGAAATCGGAAAGTCACCAGACGTTATGATGACCCTCCACACAGATCCTAAAAAGGGTTGAATCTCAGAATGGCTGGTTATGAGACTACCGATTCCCTAAGGAATCAGTTATTCCGATTCACTTATGAATCAGGTTAGAGTTCGTGAGTTGGAGCGCATGCTTACATAATGTTGTACCCCCACCTGTTTTGGAATGTAATCTCTTCCGAGCTTATCTGTGTTCCGCTTAAGTTATCCACTCCCCACTTGAGTTATTCCATTTACACTGAGTTATTCCACTTCCTGCTTGAGTTATCCCGCCCCCTGTTCACTCGTGTTCTTACATTTGGCATTGTTTTCGCATTATTGATCTGCACCTGTTTGGTTTTATCCATTTCACGTGATTGCGGATGCTATTTGAAGTACATATATATACTGAATTTAATGAGTTTTCCGGTGTATCAGTATACTACATCACTGTTTATTCCCGTCCCCATGCACAACATCCTCATTCAACTCGGGTGGCTGTTGGCCCATTTTGCAGCTTTTTTAGGTGTGTAACTTTGTTCGCCATGTTTCAACCTTAGCATATGCTAATACTTATTTTACAGCTAGCAAATTGTTTCTGAAGGGTTTGTACACCTTTACAATATGTCATCATTGACATCGGTCTGCTGCTGTTGCGTGCCATAGGCACTCAGTATACCATTATTCGTCATAACAAGGCTACATATCATTTGCGTGGTGGCACAGCTGAGCGCGCAGTCTTGTTTAATGCCAATTTGCTTTGCTCCTACCCCATTGTGGCTGGAGTGCATGATGTTCTTTGCACAATGTTGCGGCTTCTTCATATTGGGCCAATTCGGACCTTGTCACCATATGTGTTCCATTCCATGTTTTTTTCTTTTTTTCTTTTGGCCTCATGTGTTTATTGTCCGCGAGGGCGAAGCCCTATGGTAGACATAGTACTAGTGTATGTAGGGACGAGAATACCTAAAGGGAATTCAGTGTAAACATAGTGCTCTGCAAAGCTTGAGAGGCGCTATAAGATGGTATAGAGTGGGTGAGTATAGTTAGAAGTAAGAGAGGAGGAAGATAAAGGCCGATAGGCCACCCTTGGCGATTGAATGCTAGAGACCGGGATCTAAACCTGTCGCACTTTTGGGTGACGGCTTACTGTCCTGGACAGTGTCTCTTGCTGCGTACAGGGATCCGTCCAGTGGTCCCCCACTGGCCGTCGAAACTCCTCCGATCTCTGGGGCATGAAGGGGAAAAATGATGTAGGTAGTAAGTAATGCATGTACAGCGTGAGTCGTTCATCTGGTGGGTCTGTCAAAGAGGCTTGTCAGGAGTAGATGGCAGAGGAACAGGGTCACTTCTCTGGTAGGTCATTGGACCGTTTGTCTGAACTGTCGAGAGGGCCAAATATGCCCAGGAATCTACCGGTGGTGTGGATGTAGCAAAAAAGCGGTTTCATAGCCTTCGGATTGGTGAGTAGTCGTGACAAGGATCCTGCAGCGCTGAGCTCCAGTTGGAGCGCATGTCATTGGCCGGTGTATGCTGTGCAAGTGAGAAGGAAGTGCTGAACGGTCTCGAGGGTGAGATGACAGGCTGGGCATATCGGACTCGGAGTCTTGCGGATGCGGTGTAGGTGTTGGTTCAGGCCAACGTGACCTGTTCGGAGTTGCATGAGGAGGCTGGCGTGTCATCGGGGGAGATTCACTATGAGCTTCCCATAGTTCTTGGATGGGAGAGAGGCATTGATGCATGCAAACTTCTGTCCCCATTCGGATTCCCTCCAGTGCGTCTGTGCAGTCTCTTTCAGCCGTGTCATGTGGTATTGGTGTACTTTTGAAACACTGGTTGGGAGATGGCTGTGCAGGGACTGCAGGAGGCAATTTCGTGGACTGGAGTTGCCTCGCGCGGCCGCTTTGGCTTCCTTGTCTGCTTGTTCGTTTCCTTCGACGTCCTTGTGACCTGGTACCCAATGGAAGGTTAGGTTGTGGCGATCGATGGCATGTGTGCAGTAGAGTGTGTCAACATCGTGATGGAGCATGTCAATCAGATAGTGGCCTGGTGCTGGTTTTCGCAGCTTGGTAGCGAGGATGGATGCTTTGTTGTCGGCAGCACAGGAGGCCGACCGTACACTGATTTCCCATTTCAATAAGTGGATGGCCAGGACAAGGCCGACTACTTCAGCCTCATAGACCAAGTGCTCTGATGATGGGCCCAGATGGTATCTAAGTACCTTGACAGTGCTGGACCCAGGACAGTATAGGACCGCGGAGGCTCCAACTCCCCCATCAATGTCTGATCCATTGGTGTATACTTGGATCCCTCCTGCGTCAGCCCATTTCAACTCGCTGTCTAATGCCTCTGCTTTGCTGGGAGCAACCTCGACTTGAAATCTCGGTGTCCAAGTAGGGTGTAAGCGTACTGGCTGTATCTTCTCCATGTTCCCCGGGAAGATCTGGTATGCATGGAGGAGCTCGTGTAGGGGGGAGCGGTGGCTCTTGACGTAGCGGGTGCTAGCTCATGCGACTTGGTCGTGTAGGGGGTGTGACAGGGGAAGAGTGCAGAGTCAGGCAGCCACTCTGTGGCAGACCTTGTCAATGAGAAGGCGGAATGGGAGAAGGGAGGCATGTGCATCGAGAGTGTCTGTGGCTGTGGATGAAAGTGCTCCTGTGATGAGCAGGGCTGCTTGTCACTGAACGCGAGCGAGAGACTTGATCGCTGATACAGATCTGTGTGTCTTCGACTGTCCGGGAAGGGTGTGCATGGGTGTTAGGAAGACATCCACTGCGTACAGCATGCGGGGTACAGCGACACTGATGTACAGGTGTCGCATGTATGGGTAGGGGATGCCTGACTTTGCCTTGGCGAGGCGGCAGAACTGCTGTACCCACGTTGTGCCTTTGGCGAGCGCGTATGCTGTGTGTTCGCGGAAGCGAAGGTGGTGATCGAGAAGAACACCGAGGAACTTGTATGTTGACGTGGGCTGTACTGTGCAGGAATGTAACTGGAGAGCTGGGCCTAGTGATGGAAGCCTCGCTGAGAGGTTCAGCAGGCCGAATTTGTCTAGCAAGAATTCAGATTGGTGGTCTGCTGACCACATCATGGCCCTGTCCGAGCGATCCATACAATGCCATAGGTTGTCATGCGTTTCTTCGAAATTCGAACCTGTCACTATGAGGGCCACATCATCGATGTGTCCCAGTGCGAGTGCGAGCTTGGCTGAGTCTAGTAGGTCCGAATTGTAGAACTGGTACAGGATGATAGAGAGGGGGCAGCCTTGATCTATGCCACTGAGAATCTCGAAGATAGCTGAGGTGAAGTCGTCAAAAATTAAGCGGGTGCGGCGTCCTTCTAGGCGATGCCGGATCCAGTCTACAATCTCCACTGGGACCCCTCACATGTGCATATTGTGGAGAAGACATTCTGGGAGAGCACTCAGAAAAGCTGCTTTAATGTCCAGGAAAAGGATAGATGCGACTTTATGACGGCGCCACACATCTTTCACCATCTGTACCAGAAGGTGTAGGGAATCCGTAGTGGTACGGCCTGGTCTGCCTCCAATGTGTCCGTTTGCTAGTAAGTCATTCAACTCTGCTTCATGTACCAGTGTCTATGTGACGCAGGCGGAAAGAATCTTGCCAACACAGTTTAGGAGAGCGATGGGTCTGTACGCTTTTGCTGCTGTGTAGTCAGGCCGACCTGGCTTGCGGAGCACGACTGTGTCAGAGATCTTCCAACTGCTGGGGTATATCTTCAAAGAGAAGGTCACTCAGAATAGTGGTCCTAAGTAAGGGAGTAAGATGTCGATGCACCGCTTGTATACCTCATTCGGGGTCTTGTCCGGACCCGGTGCCCTGAAGTCTTTGAGCCGTTTAACTACAGCTTCTATTTGGGCATCTGTTGGCGGAGTGAAGAGGAATGCAGGAGGTGGGTAGGTGACATTGGTTGGTGGAGTCGCGGTTATGCCTGGAGGGGGAAAGAAAGTGTCGTAAAGAATTTCGCTCTTACCTTGGTTGTCTGATATCAGCTCTCCGACACCATTCGTCGGCATGAGTGGTGGGATCCAGGTCCTGCCCCCATCTGTAGGGCCAGCTTGGGTGAACTTGTTGATTGTCCAGACTGAGTCGCTATCAGCCGACTCCAGCCAGGCCTCCCAGTGGTCGCGCTTTGCAGTCCTGATCCGGTCCACGTAATGGTTTCGAGCTGAATGGTACTCCATGTGTATCGGGTGACAAGGGTTGGACCTGGCTTTGTAAGAACATTTAGTGAGGTGTCTTACTTGTTTCCACATTGAGCTGAGCTCTCTGGACCACCATCATTTCGTGTAGGGAGTAGGAGTAGACATGGGGACATGAATGTCAATGGTGTATTCCACTGCTTGCATTACCGAAGTCAGGATGGAGTTGAAGTCCTCCACAGACTGGATTTCCCTGGTCGGTGCATGGGCACTGGCAAGCTGTTCTTGCAAAGTGTGATGAAATTCCGGCCAGTCGACATTACGAAAGTTGCGACGTCTCTCGGACTCCTCATGATGTACGGAGACATCGATGGATGTGGAAATGGGAAAGTGGTCCATTTTGGCAGGACAGAGCTCTGGAGTTACATCGCAGGAAGTCAGCCTGCACTCAAGTGAATCTGATCCAAAGACATTATCTGGGCAGGTAAAATTCTTCGTTCTTGAAGCTTGAAGTGTGGGGGTGGCTGCAGGAAGCAGCACCTCCAGGCCAAATGACGCTATTGCATCTAGAAGCGGCTGTGCGAGGGTTAGTGCTTGGTCTGTGAAAAGATGGTGGTTGCGCTCCTCGTCCCACATAGGATGGTGTCAGTTGAAGTCTCCCGCCCAGATGATATGTCCCTGCTGATTGTTGTTAGTGTGGTCTAAGCTAAGACTGCAAGTGCTTCGACTTAGCAGGTGTAGAGTCTGTTGATGCCCTTGGTCATTGTAAACGTTAAATATGTGCAGAGGGCCTATATCCGAGTTGACTGTAATAGCAGTGATGTCAGGGGAGTCAACCTGTAGGTCCCGCCACATGCTAGTCGGGAGTCGGGAGCTGATGAGGATGATAGAGTGAGTGCATGTGTCTGGACATGGGTGTCGTGGGGGGTATACAACTCGCCAGTGAGGAGTGGCACGACTCATATTAGCATGATCTAGGTAGGGTTCTTGGAGGAGGAGAATGTCAAAGTTGCGGACTGATACCGTGTTTAAAAACACGGATTGCACATCTTAAGACTTATTAAGATTCAGTTGGCAAATATGTAAGTTAGATGGGTTAGTATGGGACTCAGGCATAGTCTAGAGATTGTTGGGAGCGGCCGTCATGTGCTGCTTCGGAGGAGCCAGCTTGGTTGAGATGGTCATAGATTAGTGTTTGGTTAGTATCGTGACGACCCTGGGATGCTTGGTATGCTTGCTTCCGCTGAGCTTGCGAGGGTCGTTTGTTGCCATTCTGAAAGTGAAAGGTAACTGGGGGCTCATCGTCTGCCCAGCTTTGTGGATACTTCTGCTTAGCTCGGGACTGCAAAGGTTGGGTGCTAGTCATTGTATGAGCTGGGAATGCAGTTGTGTGGGCCATTGGATGAGCTGGCGTAACCTCGTGTATCTGTTCCCATGAAGTGGGGTCAGCAGTTGGGAAGAAACGGTACTTGCTCTCTGGGAGGTGGTCCATCATCTTCTTCCACTCTTTTAGGAAGATGGGACATAAACGGTCCCAAGTGGCATGCCCCTTCCAGTCTGGGCGATGCGTGGCTTGGCAGTTAGCATAGTCGTAGTTGGTTGGGTCAAGTTCCTGGCAGTCAGCTGTTCTGTGCCCGACAGAGGCACACTTACCGCACGTGTCATGGATGGATTTGCAGTCTGCACTAAAGTCTGGGACTCCTATCTTTTGACATTTGAGGCATCTGCGGGGCTCTGGAATGAGTTTCTGTGCTGAAATGTCAGTTTCTGCGATAATCAGGCCCTTTCTGAGTGCAGAGTTTGCTGATTTTGGGTTAGTGAAACGGATAATGAGGTAGGCTTTACGTTGGCCTTCAGATCGGCGTTCCGGAGGCTTAATCCATTGCGCACTTTTGATGTCACCTGGGTCATAGTTGTTGCGTGATTCAATAATTTGAAGGTAGTGGGGTTCATCGGGGCGACAGGCTATCGGGACAAATTCAGCAATAACGGCATACATACGTGTCTTCAGTTGGCAGTTACCACCACCGAAGTGGTCAAGAAAGGTCTTCATGACGTCGGTAGAACGTAGCCACTTGGCCGACGTCGGGCTGTTCATGTTATATACTACCCCACCATTTCGGAGTTTCTTGCACGAGCAGAAAGCGAAGGAGGGGGAAGCGTCTGATGCCTTGATACCCATCAAGCTGTATGCCATTTCTGCTTTCGTTAGGAGCTCCTCTTCTGTGAGCATAGCTCCGGAGGCATTCTTGGCTGGGGCTCCATCAACGAGGACCTGGCTAGCTAGGATGTCTTCGTGGGCGAGGGTGGATGCATGGCACACCTTTCAGTCATGTTACCTGAACTGAACTCCCATTTACCCTGACATTGTCATGAACTGGACAGCCAGCGGACATCGGCCCATTGTCACCATGTTGACCTTTACCAGCAGTGGGCCCATATTTTTCATGTGTGGGATACTAGCAGTGGGCCCACCCCTAGTGTTCTTCTCCCAGTGCTCGGCCCACTAGTAGGGCATATTACAGTGTTGTAACCATTAAGCAATGGGCCCATCGCCACAGGTAAGAGGGTGGGCCGACGCCAGAGCATGTTACCGCCATCAATGGGTCCACCGCCAAAGTGTGATCAATGAGCAGTGGGCCCATCGCCACGAGTGTAAGGTGAAGTGTTGGCCAACGCCAGAGCATGTTTCTCTGAGCAATGGGCCCACTGCCAGAGTATGATGAAATGAGCAGTGGGCCCATCGCCAAGAGTGTAAGATGACCGATGGGCCCACCGCCAAAGGTCAGAGGGTTGGCCAATGCCGAAGCATGTTATCACCAGCAATCGGCCCATCGCCAAAGCACCCTCAGTGAGGGCCTTACTGCAAGCACCCATGGGATAGATCATCGCCAGGACATGTTTCCGCCAGCAATCGGCCCACCGCCAAAAGCCAGTGGGTTGACGATCACCAGGATATGTCATCGCCACCAATGGGCCCATTGTCACATACAGCCCTGCAGTTTTCAGGTGCATTGGTGGTGATGACGTGCTCTGGTGATTGCCAACCCTCTGACCTTTGGCGGTGGGCCCATCACTTACCAGCACTCATGGCGGAGGGCCAATTTGTGGCGAAAACACGGCTTGGCGATGGCCAACCCTCTGACCCTTGGTGGTGGGCCCTTTGCTGGCGGAGCGATATTCCCATGCAGTGAAGCTCTCACTCAGGTCCTTTGGCGATGGGCCAATTGCTGGCAACAACATGTCTTGGTGATGGCAAGCGCAGTCCGCCCATCTCAAGAGTACACTGGAGGAGTGATGGGCTTTAGAGCTTAGTGATGCAGAAGTGAATGTATCCATTTTGTACTGGTATACGAGCTGTTACATAGCAGTCATATATTGCTAACACCAGAACACTCGAAGAAACTAGTTCAGTTGCTGCGATACGCCTCGCCATGAATGTCCCTCAGAATGTACCCCATTTGGAGCACGGTCGAGCTGGCATTGAGGTTCGCAACATGCATATCCTCAGTGAGGTTAAGCTCACGCTGAAGACGTACAATGCGCTCCCGCAACATGGTGCGACGACGACTAACCGCAAAGCTATCACCTTCATCATCGTCCACTATGAATAAGGTCAACATCAGACTGAATGTTGCCAGGGATGTACTCACTGGAACTGTCTGCCTCTGCTGCGATCTGCGCAAATGATCTACTGAGGCAGGCCACTTGTGAGCCAGAAGCGGCATTCGTCTCTCCAGGGACTGCCATTGGCAGCAGCTGTGTGGTATCTGGGAATAAGCCTGGAACCTGTTCCCAATGGGTGGGATGATGGATCGGCAGCTCATCTAGAAGTGCTGCCAGACTTGGCATCCTGGAAGTAACAGTGACTGGCTCGATGCTGCCTTTCATATAGTGAATGACAGGTGCATCATGGCGGAAATTGCTGTCATTGAAAGTGCGAGCTGGAGAGTGAGAGGGCGCCGATGGCAGAGGCGGTGAACTTAAAACATCGTCCAACAAAGGCCGCCTCTTTGGAGGCAAAGCACTGGGACTATTTAGCCACCGGACCTGGCTATGCACAGGCGTCGCGCCAGGGCTGTCTATCACCAGAGCTCGCTGTCGTCCTGGCATGGCGGGAGGACTATTGTCAAAGTCCAACAGTTTCGGCACTGGTTCCACGTCAAGTGTCTCATCCACCAGCATGCACCTCGCCATCGGCGTACTTGCTTCACTATCGAAGTGGATGGACATACGTGGCGTAGCGTCAAGGGGCTCAGCGACGAGCGATCATCGAGGGAGTGGTGAGGTATCAGGAGTGCGAAAGTCGAAAGTGTGAGCCACTTCAGGGTACCTCCTATCCCTGGCTCTTAGCCTCAATATAATCTACTGTTTGTTGTGGCTAAGAGCCCCTCAGGGGGTGGTCTGACCATGAGATTTGTGGATGGCCCACTGGCCTTGTGGAATATTCCACAGTTGAGGAGGTCCTGATATGGAAGCTACTTATTAGTACTATCTGAAGTGACTCATGGGCTTTAGATCTTCCCTGTTATATAGGTTCTCCCATGGACCTCCCTTGTATTATTACTAGTCAAAGGGTGCCAGGGGGTATTTTGGACCTCCTGTAGTCTGGTATTTTTCACTTTCTGGCTTATAGCTTATTATATGATAGATACTTTGCTCCTTGATTTCTTCTTACTATGCATGCTAAACCTATATTTCTAAGGCTGTAAATGTATATTGAGCATTTCACAAATGTAAACTGGCATTTGATTATGATATATAAGTGTCTTTCTAAGTATGTTGAGACATCTTGCTAGAGTATATCTTTCAAGTATGTAGAGTTACAGTTCTTCTAAATGTCATTCCAGACCTTCTTGAACAACTGACTTGTCAATGCAGGAATAAATTATATATTTTGTACTATATCATATAATAGAAGCTGCTATCATAGACTACCAGATCTTCTGCCTGATAGAGAATGAACTTTTCAAGATCTCTACTAGTGTGATGGACCTCCTGTCTGACAGAGAATGGACTTTTCAAGATCTTTCTTTAGTATGATGGACCTCCCATCGCATACAGAATGGGCCTCCCAAGATTCTGATTTTACTTAATGTATCTCCCATTTTACAGAAAATGGACCTCCTAAGGCCTCTATTTTCAACTGTGGACCTCCTGTACCATATAAAATGGACCTTCCAAGGTTCTAATTTTGTGCAATGAACCTCCCAAAATACTACTTCAGGATGTCTAAGGTCTCTAGCAGTCATATTATATTTTTAAATTCGCCTATCCTACAGAGAATGGACCTCCTAAAACCTCTATTTTAAACTGTGGACCTCCTGTATCATATAAAATGGACCTCCTAAGATCCTAATTTTGTGCAATGGACCTCCCAAAATATACTTCAGGATGTTTAAGGTCTCTAGTAAAGAGAGAAGCAAGGCATTTAGTCCAACAGTCTATACAACTATCTGTACCAAAGAACATTTCTTTACATGATGCAATAATGAGACATTTCTGTATATTAATGGGACATCCCTGTATATTAATGGAACATCCTGTTAGATTCGAATATTGGGAGAACTATAGATCTGTCCTATTATCCTCTTTGGAAGAGAATGTTGTGCAGTGAATGCATCTGCTGTAAGTACAACTTTTTCAGACTGTTGGACTAAATACCTTGCTTCTCTCTTTACTACATTCTTATAGGCAGAATCTTATCTTTTCTACTAGTATATAGACACACTGGGTTACATTGTCTCTTAACTCAGTTAATGAAAGTTATAGAATGTTCACATCAGATGCTATATAATAAATGTTATATGAGGTTAGCTTAGGCATTATAGCAGAAAGTGTCAAATATCTTTTAAGATGCGATAACAAGCACTATTATTTGGCCTGTTTCAGTTAATGTATAACCTAATAAACTTGCTGTACATACTAGTAACAGCAATATAGTATTTCTAAAAATATGGGTGAATTTAGAAATTTAGGGTGATTGCTAGAGACCTTAAACATCCTGAAGTATATTTTGGGACGTCCATTGTACAAAATTAGGATCTTAGGAGGTCCATTTTATATGATACAGGAGGTCCACAGTTTAAAATAGAGGTTTTAGGAGGTCCATTCTCTGTAGGATAGGCGAATTTAAAAATATAATATGACTGCTAGAGACCTTAGACATCCTGAAGTAGTATTTTGGGAGGTTCATTGCACAAAATTAGAACCTTGGAAGGTCCATTTTATATGGTACAGGAGGTCCACAGTTGAAAATAGAGGCCTTAGGAGGTCCATTTTCTGTAAAATGGGAGATACATTAAGTAAAATCAGAATCTTGGGAGGCCCATTCTGTATGCGATGGGAGGTCCATCATACTAAAGAAAGATCTTGAAAAGTCCATTCTCTGTCAGACAGGAGGTCCATCACACTAGTAGAGATCTTGAAAAGTTCATTCTCTATCAGGCAGAAGATCTGGTAGTCTATGATAGCAGCTTCTATTATATGATATAGTACAAAATATATAATTTATTCCTGCATTGACAAGTCAGTTGTTCAAGAAGGTCTGGAATGACATTTAGAAGAACTGTAACTCTACATACTTGAAAGATATACTCTAGCAAGATGTCTCAACATACTTAGAAAGACACTTATATATCATAATCAAATGCCAGTTTACATTTGTGAAATGCTCAATATACATTTACAGCCTTAGAAATATAGGTTTAGCATGCATAGTAAGAAGAAATCAAGGAGCAAAGTATCTATCATATAATAAGCTATAAGCCAGAAAGTGAAAAATACCAGACTACAGGAGGTCCAAAATACCCCCTGGCACCCTTTGACTAGTAATAATACAAGGGAGGTCCATGGGAGAACCTATGTAACAGGGAAGATCTAAAGCCCATGAGTCACTTCAGATAGTACTAATAAGTAGCTTCCATATCAGGACCTCCTCAACTGTGGAATATTCCACAAGGCCAGTGGGCCATCCACAAATCCCATGGTCAGACCACCCCTGAGGGGCTCTTAGCCACAACAAACAGTAGATTATATTGAGGCTAAGAGCCAGGGATAGGAGGTACCCTGAAGTGGTGTGAGCTGGTGGAGGAAGGGGAGTAGCTTCCAACAGGGCACGTCGAGGGATTGGCGAGATGCCAGGAGTGTCGAAGTTGAACATTCCACCGGGTGCAGTGGGGGTGGAATCTGAGATGAGTGCACGCCTATGGATTGGCGAAGTGCCGCAACTTCCCTCCACAGGCGCCACAGATCCAGATGACACCTGTACCTTTGGTGAGGCGTGGCGGTGGAGATGCTCATATGGCGAGTTGGATGGCGCAAATGGAGCCGCCACGGATGGGGTAGTGTGGCGGGGCACGAAGGGTGTCTGAGAAGCAGAGTGAAGAGGCAAGGAGATCTGGGCAGATCCAGGAGAGTCAAGGAGATCCGAAATGAGTGGACGACGGGGCTCAACGATACTATCCTCCTCATCCAACTTGCCCATCGTAATGTCCAGCGTGTCAGGAGGTTCCGCGTCACTGGCCATGGCAGGTAGATTGTGGCGAGCAGACAAGTCTTCGATCAGTCCTGGATCGCGGGAGATCAGTTATAGAAAAAGGATTGATATGACATAGAAAGGTCAGATAACGTCACAAAGGAGTCAGATTCCACAAGGAGAGCAATAGAACTTACTGTTGGGAGCCATGAGAACTTGCAGCAGGTCACACTGACCTTGAGAGACTTGAGAAATCGCACAAGTTCAGCAATCACGTGCAAAGCACGTGGTCGCGTGGCGTGTGAAGTTGAACTTGGTGCAGATCACGTCTGCCAGCTCATAGTGTTGTCTGCTCTGCCTCCGCTGTACTGCAACCTCTGCTTTTGAAACACCCTCACGCTTTCTTCTGCCAAGCTCACCATGCCTCTGGATATCGACCCCAACTATGTTCTGCAGGCCGCGCGACTGATGGCCATTGTTGCAGCGGCACCTCGCCAGGACGATCCTTGCTATCCGGACTGGGAGACGAGGATTTACCTCGAAGTGGTAAGTCATCGGTCGAAGGTCTGGCATGCACTCACCGAATATGCCACACAGAGTTGGCTTGAAAAGACTTTCCCGGAGCCCTTGAAGTCGTTGAGGATGCCTGGGATCGTCATCAGCGCGTTGCTGGAATTCACCTGGGCATACCAGCAGAAGGCTCTGGTGTGGCTGGACCACATATCAAACAATGACGAGAGGATATACAAGAGGTACCCTCTGGCTGTGCGCGAGTATGGGGAGTGTGAGGACCTGGGAAGGCAGTGGTGGACTGAAGGTGAGTAACAAGCGTTGTGAGGTGTCGAGTGACAAACTGACTGCACCAGATCCATATTGCAAGCTGCCACCGATGAAGAGTATGCCAGCGGCTGGCTCGGGCAATGTGCCAGCCGATGACGACACCCAGGGACGTGGTGCGGAGGACCTGGGGACCGGGGACCTCGTCACCAAGGGCAAAGGCAAGGAGAGAGCTGACAAGGATGCCGGGACAGGCATGGTGGGTGAGCGTATGGTCCACGTGGAGGCAGTGGAGGACAAGGAAAAGGGAAAGAGCAAGGAGAAGGCACAGGGTAAGGTGGTGCATGCGATGAGCGAGGAAGGGGAGAGGGAGAGGGAGAGGGAGAGGGAGAGGGAGAGGGAGAGGGAGAGGGAGAGGGAGGGAGGGAGAGGGAGAGGGGAGAGGGAGAGGGAGAGGGAGAGGGAGAGGGAGAGGGAGAGGGAGAGGGAGAGGGAGAGGGAGAGGGAGAGGGAGAGGGAGAGGGAGAGGGAGAGGGAGAGGGAGAGGGAGAGGGAGAGGGAGAGGGAGAGGGAGAGGGAGAGGGAGAGGGAGAGGGAGAGGGAGAGGGAGAGGGAGAGGGAGAGGGAGAGGGAGAGGGAGAGGGAGAGGGAGAGGGAGAGGGAGAGGGAGAGGGAGAGGGAGAGGGAGAGGGAGAGGGAGAGGGAGAGGGAGAGGGAGAGGGAGAGGGAGAGGGAGAGGGAGAGGGAGAGGGAGAGGGAGAGGGAGAGGGAGAGGGAGAGGGAGAGGGAGAGGGAGAGGGAGAGGGAGAGGGAGAGGAAGAGGGAGAGGGAGAGGGAGAGGGAGAGGAGCCGGAGGATGATGATGACGATGATACCGACAATGATGATGGTGATGAGGACAACGATGCCACCAAAGATGACAACGATGAGATGGCGGAAGACGTGCTGGGTGCAGGCCAGCCTGAACCCATCGAGGTCGATGCGGTGTCGCCCCCTCCACCAATGGCCAGACCAATATTGATCTCGCCAGCTGCCCCACCACTCCGAAAGCGCAAGGCGGTCATCACGGAGTTGAGTGAGGAGAGTGAGAATGAGGAGGCGGCTCTAAAGGTGAAGCGGATAAAGCTGATCAAGGTCGCAAAGGAGAAAGGCGAGGCCCCGACTACCTCTGCTCGAGTGTAGCGTGCCCAGAACAGGATGGTGCAGACCGAGGTTAAGGGCTCAAAGGTGAGCACGAAGAGCGGGAAGAGGAAGGCGAAGGAGTCGAGCGATGAAGAGGAAGTACTGACCATCAAGCCGCCAAAGAAGAAGCGCGTGACGAAGGAATACAAGAGCAAGGAGTTCATCGAAAGCGAAGATGAGACTCCGGCGCCGCCTTCCAATCTACCCGCCAAGCAGGGGACTCTAATGCCGGTGTTGCAAAGATGAACGCCCCTGCCAAACCTGTCAAACAGACAACGAGGATGACGACATCACCTCATGTCGCACGAAGGCGAAGGCGACGGCGTCACAGAAGGACATGTGGAAAAAGACGTCCACCCGTGTGACTGACTTTATGTGGGCACATGCAATGGATTCGGTGAGTAACAATCTTGTGAGAAATTGACCTGTGCTAATGTTCCTGCAGCTCGTCCCTTGCACCAGCTGCAAGGAGAAAGAGTGGCCATGCAAGCTCAACACCGCCAACTTCGGTCGGTGCCTCGAATGTGCAGCATGAGGCATCAGTTGCAGCATTGCACTGAGGAACAGGGATGGCGTGCCCCTGCGAGGAAACTCACACACCGCACAGCGTGAGTTCCAAGAGATGTGCGCAGCCCTGGTGTTAGAGCGCAAGCCGCTGCCGACGTCGCCACCTCCATACGACATCCACGTCGACTCCGATGAGCCTGATGGTGCAGAACCACTGGTCATGGGAGCGTCGAAGCGCAAGCCGCTGAAGAAGACCAAGACGCGCAATGCTGTGGCATCCAGCTCCAAGGTCAAGGGTGGCGAGGAGGTCGAGGCGACGAAGCAGAAGGTGACCGTCACACCTGATGAAGCCAATGCTGAAGGTGAGGCCTCGGTGGAGAAATTGTCGAAGTCCAAGCGCGCCACCAAGTCCGCCACTGCCACTGGAGCCGTGGCTCCCTCAAACTCTGGTGAGGTCGCCAACTCTGGTGAGGTCTCCAAGTCTGGCGCGCCTGCCAAGTCTGGTGCGGTCACCAAACCTGGCGAAGGTAAGAAGTCAGGACCCAAGCCAAAGCCGGTGAGGAGCCAAAACTCAGGTGCACAAGATGGTGGCGAGGTCACCAGGACCTCAGTACGTGAGGCGGATGAGGTCCCGCCTGCCAAGTCTGTTGCGAAGGAGGGCGGGCAGATGACAAGGGTGGCGATGGGAGGTCGCTCGGGCCCAATGGTGCCCGTGATCACCAGGAAGGCGAAGGCGAGTGCTCCGAAGGCAGCAGCCAAGATGCCTCTGGCGGAAGGCGATGACATAAAGGAAGTCGCCAGGCTGGCAATGGAGGCGGTGCAGGCTATGGCCTTCCAAACAGGGCCAGCTGCTCCGCTGCAAGCTAGCAGCAGCAAGCGCATGCTGACACCAGTCGCCAATGAACCAGAGGATGCGCCAGAGTATCAGGCAGAGGTGGTGGAGGATGAGGTAAGCAGGACATCTTGTCGCAGCTGGAGTCGATGTAACCATGAAACAGCGCGTGTCCTTGGAGCGGCCACATGACGATTGGCGGCATTCACTGCTGATGCCCCACGAGACGAGCGCAGGAGCTGCCGAGGTGGCACAGGAGGTGACGCCCTCCCTGGAGATATCCAAGGTGTCGAAGGGAGCGAAGTCCTCCGCATTGGCGAAGGCGGGACACGTCGATGAAGGGCGAAGGCCAGCAAAGAAGGGCACCACACTGGACCGTAAGGCAGCAAAGAAGGAGGCGGAGGCGAAAAGGAATGCGAAGGCGAATCACCTCAGAGCAGTGCCTCCAACCAGCAAGGGTGAGTGCACCCGCCACAGAGTCGAATCCATGCAGCGCTGACCTGGGATACAGCACCCCACTTGCGTAATGTCCAGCGAGTGTCTACAGGAAGTCTCGCTCCGTTGAACGAAGGCGACACCCCCAGTGGGGAAGAAACCTCACAGTCATCCAACGATGACTGCGCAAATTGTGCCGAGTTGCGACAGGAGTTCCTGGCACACAAGGACGGGATGGAAGTCCAATTCCAGGAGAGGATGGCGGACCTCAACACCGTCAAGGTGGAGATCACAGCGGTGCTCCAGCAAATCAACCCACCATCCACGCTTCAAGAAAATGCCCAGAGCATTTGCGAAGAGGTCAAGTTGGCCATGGAGGAGTTTTGCAGGCCAGTCACCATCGAGCTACAGGAGAGCGTGAAGTTGGCAGTGGCGGACCTCATCACCAAGCGACATTGCCTGCCAGAGCTCAAGGAGAAGGTCAACAGGTTGGAGCAAGGCGCGAACCAGACAGTGAGCCAGGCGGACGTCGAGAAGCTGCAGGGTGAATTGGCCGACCTCCGTCATTCGACAGCATGGAGAAGGAGCTCAGGTCTTCGGCGGCAGAGGCGATCGCTCAAGCGAGCAAGCTGGAGATGGAATTGGTGCTCGCCAAAGAGGATTCGATGGCGGTGGCGACGTCCACTTTGGATGAAGTGAAGAAGGTGGGGAAGGAGGTGGTGATGGCGAGAGAGGAAACCTCGCTGGTGGCGAAGTCTTTGGATGCATTCCAAGAGAAGGTCGACTCTGCCATGGTCTTTACTGCCTTTCGCCCAGATAGCCACAATGTGTAGTCATTAGAGTATTGATATACATGCTTTTTAACCTAGCATGGAATCTCCATGCACTCGATTCACTACCGCCACTCCAAGTCAACTGAATGCCTGCTGAAGTTCTTGCCCACTCCCCTCGCCATCGCCACCATCTCCATGGCTTTACCTATGTAGATCTATGGGTCACATTATAGAAGGCGAAACAATGTGGAAGCCTACGAGTCTACTTTGAACTGGAGTTATATTGTCAAGGTCTGGTGCCGCCACTGCAGGTCTTGCGACCTGCGCCAACTTGGCCACTCTTTTTCACTTTGGCGGCTGCTTTCCCCAGATGCACCGGCTTCAGCTTGGTTTCTCCCTTGTCCTTGACCTCCAGGGTCTGAGGCAGAGCTCGTCTTCGCTTTGTGGGAGGCTTGTCACCATCATCCGAGTCCTCGGCCCTCGCATTCTTCTTCCTCAGTGAGGCCACTACCAACTCGTCCCAAGTACCATGTCCACGCTTCCGAGGTTACGATTCCTGAGGTACGAAGAGAATCGTTCTTATAAGCAGTGGGCCTTTGGAGGCTGAGGTGAACCGTGATGCACTTTTCCCCAAACTGTGGGAAAATCTCAGAGATAGAACTTAGCTACAAACATTCTAATGGCTCTTCTTGCCCAACTACAAGTTGAGTATAGATGAACATTCAAAACTGTTGTATTGAAAACCGGTGCGACTTGTACAAATAACCATCAACAGATGCATGGCTGCAGCACTTTAGATTAGATAATAGATAACAGCTCTGTCTCAGGGAACATGAAAATTATATTTTATGCAGTGTTGTACTGTGTTTAATGCATTGTAACCATCATTATTGAATTAAAACCGAAAAAGAGACCTAAGTAGCACTAGAAGACCTGCTTAGTCAGTTTCCTAATTTGGAAACTGACTTACTAAAGGTACCCATGATTATCTGGACCATGCCTCTAATTTTTCCGCTTTTTTCTGTCTTTTTTTTGAGATTTCTAACCTTAAAATACACTTGCCCAAATCCGGAAAGTCAGAAGCCTTTGAAGTTACAATTCTTGAGAAACAAAGAGAATCATTCTTACAAGTGATGGGACATTGAGGGCTAAAAAGGTTGGCTAGTATATGTGTGTAATGACTATATAATATTATAAAAGTGTAATTAGTATAAGTTTTAAGAACCTTACCATGCCTGATGATATATCTAATTATCTTTACTAGATGATGTAGTATCCTATATAACAGCCTACTTCAAAAAATGACACTGAAAAATGTTACCAACATGCCTATACGAATCACTACACAAAAGGTTACCAACATGCCTATAAAAATCACTACAAAAAATGACACTAGAAACTGTTATAAATATGTTTGTAAGAATCACTACAAAAAATGTTACCAATGTGCCTATAAGAACCACTACAAAAAATGACCCTAGAAAGTGTTACAAATGTGCCTATAAGAACCACTACAAAAAATGACACTAGAAGCTATTACAAATGTGTTTATAAGAATCACTACAAAAAATGACCCTAGAAACTGTTACAAATGTATTTATAAGAATCATTACAAAAAATGACGCTGAAAACTGTTACAGATGTGTTTATGTTACAACGCTCCTCACTTGTGGCGCATCTTTTCTTTTCCTTTTCCTTGTTCCCTTTACGTTACCAGACCACGTGACTCATCGGAGTGCAACCTCCGATTCTTTACCCAGATGTCCAGAACCCCTAGTCTAGGGTTACACCAGATCCAACTCCGGACCTTCTTCTTATCGCGCATGCAAGACGTGCATGTACGCCTCATCTTTACCTCGTTCTGATACATGACTCGTTATCCCCATTAGTACTGATTATCTCTCATGATCTTACTCAGCTTTCTCATACATATTACTTCCTCGCTGTTACCTTGCCCAGATATCGTTTCACCTTATCTAGCCAATGAACGATCTCGCATTACTGCGTAGTACTGCGGATACCTTTTGTATAAGTAGACGACCTTGTCGAGCTGGATCCCCATCTCGACCTGGTTACCATTAAACCAGCTTTTCACTTGCCTTTGACTGAGATCGACCGTTGGTAGCAGACAGCTACTGCGAGTCATAAGAACGAACTCTGATCGACCTTCAGTGCGAGGACATCGCCAGAAGTGTCTCTTGAACGGACTTGTGTCTTAGACTAAGACCTTGTCTCGTGACGACTCGACTTGACGCTCGTGTTTCGCTGTCGCGTAACATTAGGTCGAGATCTTATTACTCTCTGTGACTTCCTAAAGTCTAACAACGAACTACCGACCGGACCGAACCTTGAAGACTGAATGATACACCCGATTCGATTGCTAAAGCACCGTTTGCAATTACTCTGTAATCGAGGTAGCTGAAGGGATAGACTGATCACTCATCTTCGGAGAGGGGTCTGTCCGAGAGACCAATAGGCCGAGGAGGCTGAGATAATCACTCAAGCAATCAGCAAATAGGTGTATCAGTTTGAAGGCAGAAGACACTCTACGGGCTTGTTAGCCGACGACGAACGAACCCACTTAGTTAAGGACGGTGTGCAGTCTACGTGTAGACGTAGGTCACACAGGAGAATTTATCCATGCTGGATTTGAACTTTATCAACCCGACTGCTCTTCCCAAGCAATACATCGATCTCCTCCCATCTCATGCAGAGTGGGATGCACAGAGGAACGTACATGTTTTAAACCGACAACCTTTACTCATCAGACCAGATCAACACATTGATCACCCAAGTGGTGACTACGAAGCAGGCCTACCCCATAACGTTGGAGGGCTCGTACTATCACACATCGCAGAAGCGGCATACCTATCTCTTATCCAGGAGAAAGACCAGACGCCCCTTGGAACCTCCCTGTCCAGGATCCCGTACCTCAACCGACTCTTGCACCAATCGTACCCGATTACATACCACCGATGGCTACAGTTACCATGGATGAAGGACGTCACCATGTTAGCCAGAAGGAACTTGGTTTTAGAAAACCCGAGATCTTCAACGGTTCAGACCGTTCGAAGCTTAGGGAATTTATAAACCAATGCAAGAATTACATGGCCGGAAATAGCCATGTCTACCAGGAGGACAATCAGAAGATCGCATTCATGCTATCGCACATGCAAGGAGGAACAGCAGGATCATGGGCACAGAGCTTCATAGAAACGGAACTCACCAATGACAACTTCCTTTCTTATGGGAGTTGGAGAGACTTCATTGTGAGTGTGAACAAAGCATTTGGCGATGAAAATATTGAAGAAACCGCTCGTACCTTGCTGCGTAACATCAAGCAAGGAACTCGTACTGCGGACGACTACATTGCCGAATTCCGATCGCTTGAATCCAAGGCGAAACTAGAAGATGCCGGAAATATCGAGTATTTCAAGTGGGGGCTTAACGACCCACTCCGACAAAGGATATATGGGATGGAAAGCATGCCCAAGACACTTGACAAGTGGTATGAATACACCTCGCGGTTTGACAACCAATGGAGATCTGCTCAGATCTTCAAGCGAGGAGCCACTACGATAACACAAGGAAAAGGCCGACCTGTCCATCATCCCTACTACTCGGCTTCTGCAAAGGATCCAAACGCGATGAATGTTGACTGTGTCAATATCTCGCGCTTATCCCCGGACGAGCGACAGAAGAGAATGAAAGAAGGATTATGTTTCCTATGCGGAAAGAAGGGCCATATAGCCAACGACAGACAATTCCACCCCCAGTCTGGAAGTTTCACCCATGCTAGAATGATACAGCCTGGGTTGGACACAGACACGATCACATGGATCAAGAAGATGCGAGAAGACCTCGCACAGAAGAAGGAGACGTCGAAGGAAGAAACCAGAGAGAAACAGATCGCCTATGTGTGAAACGTCTTCAACGACATGACTGATGAAGAACGAACCCAATTGGGTTTTTGAGACGACGGCCACTAGTAATGCATGGACCGTCGCATCTTACCGTATCTCCCCTCATTATTTGTAACACTAGCGGAAATTCAATCACTGTGAATATTTCGTTGGGAGAAAAGGAAGACGTTACAACAGAAGCCTTGATCGATTCCGGTGCAGCCGAAACGTTCATGAACATTCATTTTGCGGAAGAAAACGATTTCATCAAATGGGAATTACCGAAACCGATTAAAGTCATGAATGCAGATGGCACACCAAATCAAATGGGTACCATTACTCATTGTACCTGGAAGATGATGAAAATTGGAGGAAGGAAGACACTTACTCGCTTCCTCTTGACCGGCATTGGCAAAGAAAACATACTTCTCGGCATGCCGTGGCTTAAACACCTCAATCTGATGATCAACTGGGAAACCGGTGACTTTTGGTTTGGTAAAGACGCCAAATGGCCACCAAAACCCACCGTCGAAGATGCACCAGATGAAGAAGTTTCGATTTTCAAGGAAGATGAACTCCCAGAGTTAATCAACACCAGAACTTCCCCTACCTCGTTTGGGCGTTCGGAATCTATCAGAGAAATCATGGCCGATAACACTGAGCGTGGCGAGTTACCCGCAGTGCGGAATGATATCGAACCAGACGACCCACCATTAGAATCCTCTATGGATCAATTTGATGACGACGATTTAGTTATCTCCTATATTGCAGAAGAACCAGTTATTGAAATATTTGAACCCATCAGGAAGGAGTCACCTTTGACGAATGAAGAGACTGAAACTGCAGTCTTCACCATACGAAGAGGCCCCGCCATTGGAAGAATCACACACAGTACTCAATCCCCATTATTCTGTAATGCACAGAATACGGTCTTTTACAAACCATCTGGTAAATCACAAGAATTGGCACAACAGGCACACAAGGAAGCATCAGCTGTAGACAAACCCAAAACCGTCAAGGAGTTGGTCCCCAACTACCTCCATGATTTGAAGTCCGTCTTTGAAAAGAAAGCGGCTGAACGCTTTCCAGAAACCAGGCCTTGGGACCACGCCATTGACTTGAAACCCGATTTTATTCCACGCGACTGTAAAGTCTATCCATTATCGCTCAAAGAACAAGGAGTGATGGATGACTTCCTGGAAGAAAATCTGCAAAAAGGATACATCCGACCATCGAAATCTCCCATGGCTTCACCATTTTTCTTCGTAGGAAAGAAAGACAGAGCACTACATCCCTGTCAGGATTACCGATACCTGAATGAAGGGACGGTGAAGAACGCCTACCCTCTTCCGCTCATCTCTGACCTTATGGATCAATTCAAAGGCGCATCGATCTTTACGAAAATGGATTTATGCTCCGGATATAACAATGTCAGAATCAAAGATGGTGACCAATGGAAGGGCGCATTTAAGACAAATCGCGGACTTTTCGAACCTATGGTCATGTTCTTTGGACTCTGCAACTCCCCGGCGACTTTCCAAATGATGATGAATGCACTCTTCAAGGACATGATCGATGAGGGATGGATAGTCATTTACATGGATGATATCCTCATCTTCTCAAATGATTTGGAAGAACATCACGTTCGAACCCGATGCGTACTCCAACGACTCAAAGACAACGACTTATTCCTTAAACCGGAAAAGTGTTTCTTTGACGTTAAAGAAGTCGAATTCCTAGGCATGATCATTCGAGAAAATTACATTGGCATGGACCCTATCAAACTTAAAGGAATTGCAGAATGGCCTGAACCAAGCACGGTAAAAGGTGTTCGCTCTTTCCTAGGGTTTGGAAACTTCTATCGGAAGTTTATTGCCAACTTCTCGGATATTGCCAAACCATTGACGAATCTTACGTGCACTGCCGCTGGATCTTCACCTTTTGAATGGACGACAGAATGTCAGACAGCTTTCGACACATTGAAGCAACGATTCAGTACCGCCCCAGTACTGTTACTGCCTGACAAGGCAAAACCCTTTATTGTTGAATCCAACGCTTCAAAGTTTGCTATGGGTGCAGTTTTACGCCAAGCCGACATCAATGGAGACCTCCATCCTTGTGCCTACATTTCACAGACGCTCAATCCAGCTGAACGGAACTACGAAATCTACGACTGCGAACTCCTCAGAATTATTCGAGCCCTCACTGAATGGCACCATTATCTTGAAGGCTCTCCCCATCCCGTCGAAGTTCGCAGTGATCACAAGAACCTCACGTACTTCTGTACAGCTCAGAAGTTAAACCGCCGACAAGCACGATGGAGTCTCAAATTATCACAATTTGATCTTCACCTCATCCATGTCCCTGGCACTCAGATGATCCAATCTGATGCGCTATCTCGTCGTAACGGACTCGATGACAGTGAAAGTGACAACGAAGATCGCATTCTTTTACCCAACGCACTATTCATGCGATCCATTTCCCCAACACTATTCGATGAAATCAGGAATCACGCAGCAAAAGACCTCATTGTTCACGAAGCCCTCGAAGCGATTGCGCACAAAGGGCCATTCCCCATGAAATCATCGCTTTCCGACTGGGAAGTCCGCGATGGTGTCATCCTCTACAAGGGAAAGATCTACGTTCCACCATCCGAAACTCTTCGTCGTGACCTCGTTCGACTACATCACGACTCCCCTGCCATGGGTCACCCTGGAAAGTTCAATACTCTTGAACTGTTACGTCGTGAATTCTGGTGGCCCGGCATGTATACATTTGTCTACAATTATGTTGAAGGCTGTGCCGCCTGTCAAAAAATGAAACCGAATACTCATCCAACTCGTATTCCTTTGGAACCAATTCCCGCCGACCCACACGCATTACCATTTTCCTGTTGCACCACCGATTTTATTACCGACCTCCCCGTTTCCAACGGTTTTGATTCAATTATGGTCATAGTAGACCATGACCTTACGAAGGGGGTGATTCTTACGCCCTGCCTCAAAACGATCACAGCCGAAGGAACAGCCAAGATTTTTCATGACAAAGTATACTCGCGATTTGGATTACCCGACCGAATCATCTCGGATAGACGACCTCAATATGCATCCAAGGTCTTCCAAGAGTTAAATCGACTACTCCAGATCAGATCATCAATGAGCACAGCTTATCACCCTCAGACAGATGGAGAAACAGAGCGAGTCAACCAGGAGCTGGAAATCTATCTTCGACTCTATTGCGGAAACAACCCTGAAACATGGGCCGACCGCCTGCCAGACCTCGAGTTTTGTCATAACACAAGGGAACACTCAGCACGGAAGATGAGCCCATTCCGCATCATGATGGGATACGAACCACGTGGACTCCCTTCCATATTCCCGACCACGAACATTCCATCGGTTGAATCCAGGCTTGACATGTTGCAGAAGATAAGACTAGAAGCACTAGCCATGCACGAGTTAGCCCGACAACAGATGGCGGACCGAGTCAGACAAGGATCGCCGAAGTTTGCATTAGGACAGAAGGTCTGGCTAGACTCGAGGAACCTAAAGGTCAATTACGCCTCGTGCAAGATAGCACCAAAGCGTGAGGGGCCATTCGAAATTGTCGAAGTCATCGGACCAGCCAACTATCGTCTCAAACTCCCGAAGACCTGGCGAGTTCATTCCGTATTCCACGCCGCCCTTCTATCTCCTTATCGCGAAAACGACATACATGGTCCGAATTACGTGAACCCACCACCTGATGTCATTGATAACGAAGAAGAGTATGAAGTCGAAGCCATCCTGAATCACAAGATGTACCGAGGTCATCTGAGGTACTTAGTCAAGTGGAAAGGATACTCTTCAGCACAAAACTCGTGGGAACCTACCCACAATTTACAGAATGCCAAGTGAATCCTCAATGCATATAAAAGGACCAGGGGAATCCAGTAGAGGAGAAGAAACCCGGAATGACTACCACGACGGTTTTCCTCATCATCTTCCTAATCGTCCTCCACTGCACAACCCTCACTTTTCTTTGGATCGTCCACCGAATCCTTATCAGACAACTTGTCGAACACACACTCTTCACACGAGACAGCCCACACGCTAACGGCTGGGGTGATCAGAACGATGCCTGGAACTGATCAGGCAGCTCTTATCTCTGTGGGAATACTCTTTATCGTCCAATGGATTTTCATCTATTTGATTATTACCTGGATCCACGACATTCTATTTCACATCACAGATAACCGCGATCCCCTTAACGACCGAAAGGTATAAAAAGGAGGAGAAGACGACATATCATCAATGCTCACTTCCGCTATAGACGACCTCGTTCACAATATACTCGCTGAAGTCGCCTCCACAATCATGAGCGTACCCGCATCGCCTACGCTTGTCAATGGAGTACCCTCTCGAGCACAGACACCCTTTATCCGCGCCTCATCGCCCTCACCATCTATCAAACTCAGTCACGCATCGGACGAACAAGAATTTGCCACACGTCTGATCTCGGCTATCCGTGTCCCTGTCGACTTCACAGATATCCTTGTCGCCTTACAAAATCGCCCGCAAGATCGACAAGCGGTGGTTTCCATGCAACGAGCGTTAGAAATGGTTGAGTGGATGCAGACAGCCAGACAAGAGCTCATCGCAGCAGAGGAAAGGATGAGTAGAGCCCGAACCAGAGTTGACCAAGTCTGGTCGTTGATGCGCAGTACGGTCACTCGTACAGCACAGGAGATTTGGAGGGAGCATGGGGACGAAGACATCGGACACATCCTCGGATACACCACTAATGGAATACCCGCATCCACTCCTCGTTCGTCGCCAGAACCAATTCCTGTTCGACCTCACCCTCCTCGTTCGCATGTACCCAGTGGACGATCTCCATTATCGCAACCATCTTTCTCGACCGCATCCACTTCTTCACATCGCAGTCATCCCTACAGGGATGGACATATCCCCGAACAAGGATCACGAACCAACCGGCGGACATGCTACAGATGCGGAGGAGATCATTATGTCCGCGACTGCCCCCGACGACGATGAAAATCACAATATTTCTTGTGGGACAAGAAACGTTAGACGGGAGCTGATGTTACAACGCTCCTCACTTGTGGCGCATCTTTTCTTTTCCTTTTCCTTGTTCCCTTTACGTTACCAGACCACGTGATCCAACACGTGACTCATCGGAGTGCAACCTCCGATTCTTTACCCAGATGTCCAGAACCCCTAGTCTAGGGTTACACCAGATCCAACTCCGGACCTTCTTCTTATCGCGCATGCAAGACGTGCATGTACACCTCATCTTTACCTCGTTCTGATACATGACTCGTTATCCCCATTAGTACTGATTATCTCTCATGATCTTACTCAGCTTTCTCATACATATTACTTCCTCGCTGTTACCTTGCCCAGATATCGTTTCACCTTATCTAGCCAATGAACGATCTCGCATTACTGCGTAGTACTGCGGATACCTTTTGTATAAGTAGACGACCTTGTCGAGCTGGATCCCCATCTCGACCTGGTTACCATTAAACCAGCTTTTCACTTGCCTTTGACTGAGATCGACCGTTGGTAGCAGACAGCTACTGCGAGTCATAAGAACGAACTCTGATCGACCTTCAGTGCGAGGACATCGCCAGAAGTGTCTCTTGAACGGACTTGTGTCTTAGACTAAGACCTTGTCTCGTGACGACTCGACTTGACGCTCGTGTTTCGCTGCCGCGTAACAGTTTATAAGAATCACTATATAAGATGTTACCAACGTGCGTACAAGAACCACTACAAAAAATGACACTAGAAAATGTTATAAACGTGTTTATAAGAATCACTACAAAAAATGACCCTAGAAACTGTTACAAATGTATTTATAAGAATCACTACAAAAAATGTTACCAACGTGCCTATAAGAATCACTACAAAAAATGACACTAGAGGCTGTTACAAATGTACCTATAAGAATCACTACAAAAAATGATGCTAGAAACTGTTACTAATGTGCCTACAAGGATTACTGCAAAAAATGTATACAATAAATTGTTATTATATTATCTACTAACTCCTAGTATGCCATCTGATAATGTGTAGTAAGTGTCCTACAATGTCCCACTATACATTGATAACAGTCTACAAAGTCACCTACTGACTCTTAGTATATTGTCTAGTAGCATTCAGCAAGTCAACAATAGTCTATTACACTGGGGCCTAATATACTCTTTAGTATCGGTTTGTAATGAGCTTACAATAGTCTGAACATGTCATCTGATGTCACTTTGTAACTAGTAACCTACAATAGTTAGATATGTCACCTAGTGTCAGTTTATATGATGCTTACAATAGTCTAGTATACCACCTAGTATCAGTTGGTAAGGGCCTTACAGTAGCCTACAAAGTCATATATTGGCTCCTAGCATGTTGTATAGTAATGTTTAGTAAGCCTCCTACAATGCCTTATTATACTGTTTATTGAATTCTAGTACACCCTCTAGTATCAGTTTGTAAGAGCCTCATAATGTTCAGATATGTCATCTAGGCCTTACAATAGTCTGAAATGCCACCTAGTATGGGTTTGTAGAGACCTTACAATAGCTCAGACTTGCAAGACCTGTTACCATTGTTGTCATAACCTGTACTTATACCAAAAGTCCGAGCTTGTAGTGCTTAAAAGCTGCCCTACAACAGTTACTAATAAAGCTAATAACCTTGAAGCCAAGCTCTATAGTGGTCCCAGGTATACCTGGTGAATGGCTCTTTAAACAGAAGTGCTGACTTTGAACAATTTGCTGCATGTAGTAATTATTCAGCCACCAGAGCGCTGAGAACGAAAAAAGTGTCGATGCGCTCGATTTTTTGGATCACATCGACACTTTTTTCGTTGTCCACTCAAAACCTTAACCAATTTAGGCAAGTCTCTAGCAGCTGGTTCCCACACTTTCAGCCAAACTTGCAGGGCTTGTAGCTCACTCAATTCTACTCGGATTTTGATAAACCCGGTAGGCATTCTGACCGGATTTTTGAGCCAAATCTGATGGTGTTACTGTCAGAACATCAGCATTACTTCCTGCAGTGCTATAATCCATTTTCTCTGTTTTCTCTCACTTCTGCTTGTTTCTTCCGGGAAAAACAAATGTAGGATGTTTAGGTGCATTATAGGGTGATTCTACAATTTAACTGGCATTTTTACAATTTTTCTACACTTTAGGCTGAGCATTCTAATCTAAAACTGAGATATCTCAGCCAGTTTTACTCAGGCTTCCTTAATTTAAAAGAGTATCTGCACTATTTTATGCATAGATTTTAATAATACTCAGGTCTACATCTTAGATATCATTACAAAAACTGGAAGTGTCTGGTTTAATGATGGGGTTACAACTGGGCAGACTTGTATACTAGAGGGACAAATAGAAAGTATGGATTCAACAGCGCTGACAAAGTGTAGATCAAAGATTAGTTCTGTTGTAGTATATGTTAAAGCATGACTGTATTAGATTATAATGTAGCAAAATGAATGTTTAATTATAAAAATATACAACTGTAATACTTTTGAATGATGAGTGTAAAAAAGACTAAACACATGTATCAGAAGTGTAGGCCTAATAGATATTAAAATCAGGAATCGTCCTTGCCATGCGTTAGCATTGGCCCACTCCAAGCAAGTGGCGAATTGTCTTCGCCAGAGCTGTCTTCGCCATCGGGCTCAGGATGTGCTGGTTGACGTTTCCGCTTTGGATCAGGAAGCTTCTTCAAATCTTTAACAGCTCCTAGTGGATGCTGACTGCAGGTATTCTTGGCGGGCGACTCATCCATCGCTTGACGCTGACTGCGAGTGATCCTGCCAGGGATATTACTCTGAAGGGCATCGGTGATCGACCTTCCCTGGAGCGCTTTGGCTTGACCTGACGGATGGCCTTCCGTGGCTGCCGCCTTCTTCGTCTTGGGTATAAACGGAGGCAGTGGCGGTCGTTCAGCACCACTGCTAGGTACGGATGCGTGCACATTGTCCTCTTCGCCATCATCAGAGGCCCCACCACCGGTCTCCTGGCGCGGCCCTTCATCTCCTCCACTTGGAATGATTGGGTTGTCAGCCATGGGGCAGGCTGGTGAGCCTTGTGAACTTTGGCAGTGGTAGCAGCGCCATTGTGAGTTCTTGCAGAGGCATCATCTTCCTGCTCCTCCTGGCCCCCAAGGCCATCGCCACCTTGTGGGGCACCAGGTATGGCAGGCTTGCTCACTGGCTTCACCATGGCATGGATGATGTTCCCTTCCACCATGTCCAAGGTAATGATCTCGCAACAGCGAAGCAGCTGCTCTACTGCATCAAATAAGATCGCCGAGTTCACCACATAGTCGGGAAGGTTCGTCAGTTCGCCCTCCTCAATAAACTGAGATCGTGTGAGGTCCCTCAGTGCCATACCAATCACGAGTGCAGATTGTTGTACGCCCTGTGGATGTAAGAACCGATATTTTGTGAGCCATGGTTTGTTGCCCAACCAGTTCTCGATGATGTCAAAGTTGTCCACCGCATGGAATGAAGGCGGGAGGTAGCGCTGGCTATATGACCATTCGCTCCAGGGAATTGGATCATACCTGGCGAAACGATACACCTGGGGCTATATGACGGATGATCAATGGTGGCTATGAATCCCCACGAGAGGAGCTCACCACAGTCGTAATCTTGACTTGCTTCAGCATATCCTGGTATCGCGGTTCGACAGAAAGGGTGGCGAGAAACACGTCTCTCCTTTTGATGAGGTGGGGCACAGTACTCCCCACAGTACTCCTGCCAGTGAGACGTGGGGCTCGGCCTTGAAGCTCAAGCCTCAGCTCCTTTGTACTGGGCTTCAGTTCACTCGATGCTTCATCAGTCTCCTCCATGTCAAATCTGTGCAGTGCACCCAGAGGAAGGTCTTGGCAATCTCGCTTCTCCTTCACCTTGGCACCACTACCGCTGGCTTGAGGTGCACCACCATTGTTAGCCTTACGTCCATTGGTGGTGGCGACCGCCTTGCCCTTCGCTTTATTCGCAATCACGCTCTCGCCATCCTCTGAATCTTCATCGCTGGCCGTATCTTCTTCAGAAGCCATGCTGAGTATATCTGGCGAACTCCGATCAGAGTCTTGGCTGCTTCTGGCATCATCTTCCGAGTCATATGCATCTTTCATCTTGCATTTACGCCCACCGCCTTTGGCTCCGCCAGGGGCAGCTTTGCCCTTTGTCGCCTTCGATGCCGCCTTTCCCGTGACCTTGCGCACAGGTTTACCCTTCTTCTTCACCTTCCCCGCCTTCTTCGGTGTGAGTGCTTCTTGGACCTTGTGTTCGGATCCTTCTTCTAATGCCTGTGCTGATCCGTCAAGTGGTGGAAGAGGATCATACTTGGCGAGAGCAGCTTCGCCATCCTTGTCGAAGTAGTGGGTGAATCGCATAGTCTGCTCAGGTCCATGTTCCTCTTGGCATGCCCACCAGTGGTCGAGGAGGGCACGAACGAGAACACTTGTCAACTTAGAGGGATCGATCCACTGGAAGTTCTCAGGTAGCATCTCCGCTGGAATAAACTCATTGATGTCGTCTATGCTGTTCAGCTTCGTCCATGGCGACTTGCAGTTCCGAACACCCTTCACCAATGCTGTAAACTGGTCAGCGTCTCTCAACACTCAGTGGGAGTGTCATACTATAGTGATGATTCATGAAGTCTCGAACTTGTACCTTCATCACCTTGAGAGACACTTCTGCCATACCTTCGGGCACTGATGGGAGCAGAGGAAAACTGTTGGCCATCAACCGAATCTTGTCCATGGCCCACATGCAATCAGCAGGTGTCTTCTTCACCGTCACCATAGTCTCAGTCACACCTAAGGAATCAGGTCAGTGTGCCAGCGACAATGCAACTGAGGTCTTTTTACTGTATTTGCCTTTGGCCCACTCAGAGAACACCTTTGCTAGAGGCTGGTAAGCACGCAGCCACCCAGGATAGGCCCCGAATGGAGTTCCATTGGTGATGGCATGGTTGACCTCCACCCTTCACTCGGGGGTTAGCAGATGGTGACAGTCGGACGGTCTACGCTCACATCTCTACCTTCAGACTCCCCCCCGCTTCCTTCGGATATGCTAGCATGAATGCCATGTGAATGCCCATGGTGTCCCACATAGTCTTGGCAAACTTCTTCAGATATTGCATCATTCGCTGCTCCCTCAGCCTGTCTTAGGTCAGGATTTGCCTTATGCTACATGACAGGAGGTACGCACTTCATTTTCGTCTTATCATCCAGAGTGCCATTGTGCCAACTCTCCACCTTTTCCTCATACACCTTCTGCTCCTCCTCGGACAGTTTTGCCCATTCAGCACTCCGTGCGACTCTCCACACCTTGGAGACATTGCAACCCTTTTCTGCTGCGAGTGCTCACGTGGCCTCAGTCACCTTGTCCCTCTCCAGTGCATCCCACACCTTGAAGGCATTGGGCTTGCCAGAAACATGCATACACTTTTTCATCGCTTTCTCCTGCACATGGCGGGCATGGTTATTGAGCCACTCTCAGATTTTCTGCGGTGAGAGTTAGTGGGGACCTCATAGACATGAAATACTGCTCACAGTTTCCACAATGATGTCGTCATAATTTGACGCGTCGACAAACTGTGTCTTCAGCTTCTGGTGCAAGCTCTGAACCAGAGTCTTGCGACCCTTGGCATCTGCCATGTCATAAGACCGCAGCTTCTCAGAGAGTATGGGCTGATGCTCCGTCAAAATTACAAATCTCGCTGGCATGCTTTCTCGATGTCGAGGATGAGATTTTTGTGTTGGGGCAGTGAAGGGGGTCGATAGCTCAACGGGCAGCACTCTGTCCATTTCCTCGTCGGCCGCCCACAACTCAACATGCACGTGCTGATGGCCCATTTGGGCTTACACCAATTACCCTCATCGCCATGGTGTGTGGTGACTGCTGAAGCATTGTATGTGTATTTTTCACAGTGGCGGGAGGTGGTAGTAGGTATGCACTAGCATTCATGCCTGGTGAAAGGCAATGTTGAATGCCGCTTCTATGGCAGAGCACACCATGCCAACTCTATCTCGTGAATGCTGAGTGGAGGCAATCTGGCGATCATCTGCATGCCAATCTGTGGGATAAAGGGCTTCCTCGGAGTTAGGCTCGGCCAATAAGATGACAGTGACGAAGGGCCCAGACATGGCGGACCATCCGGCCCATGATCTGGCATGGCGGCATAAAGTCTGGCTCGGCAGCATGATGAACATGTGAGATGTGCAAGGGACGTGCTTGCAAGCAACATGCAGGCAGATGAATGCATACTGTGCTTTGCCATTGTGGCCCCTCCTACATTCTCCCCTGCATCTGCAAGCCAACCGCCTGCGCCCGCCATACACCTGTGCGTTCCTTCAACCGATGCATGCTGTAATCGTCCCATTGATTGGCAGACAGCATCAAGATGAGCGATCTGTCACCCATGCCACTGACTGATCAGATAGCAGGAGTCTTGAAGCTCATGTTCCGCTGAAAGCTCCATCTGGCCACTCATGCAGCCCATTCTGCACCATCCATAGAAGTGCCTCCATCCATGCCATCCGCCCTCCTAATAGAGTGCAATGGCATTGCAGATGCTCTTGTGAAGGCCATCCGTAATCCTGGTAGTCATTAGTCTTGCCACAGGTCTGATCACACTGATCACGCCATTGTAATAGTAAGGCTGCAGTGGGACATTGATAGATATTGCGACAGCCTTTCAATTCAGCCCACGGGGCAGAATGAAGTCCTTGAGGCAGAACTGGAACGGAAGTGGCCTCCTCCATTTGGTGAGAGTGAAATACGCATAGACCAGCCCGCCACCCTCGTGGACATGCACGGACGTATCTTGGCTTGGATACTTCCAAGAGTGTTGATACCAGACCGTCAGGTGAGTGGCTTGCCCAGCCTTGCACTGTGATCTGACAAATTTGTCAGACAAAGATGCTCCAAGCGACCAGGGCCCTACACCCAGCAATAGCAGCCAGTAAGCCTTTCAGCACCACCGCCAGTTGGCGACACAACCCGTTGTACTTCTTGCCTCCTGAGGAGTGTGCCCAATTCCCAGCGGGCTCCTTGTGTCTCTCACCAGGTTGGTTCCAACAAGTAAGAGAGGTGGGTCTCCTCGCCACGCCATTTGTCTTGCGTCTGGACAGCCTTTGCAGCATATGGAGTCTGGGAGGCTGGAGACCTCCGCCAGCCTGAAGCTTGAGGGCGGAAGAAGTTGGCTGCATGATATTCATGACTCCTCCGCATTGTTGGGCGCCATCCTGGTCATTGTTCACCCAACGCTATATGCCGCAGGACGCCAGTGCTTGGGTTCGATCCAGCAAGACCCAGAATTGCGAGAGATGGCGCTGAACTGGTCGTCACCATTCAATGCGCTCCAGGTGATCGCCAACCGGGAAACTCCTTTCCACCGAGATAGCAAGACAAGATACACGTTCTACGACCTGTTGGCGACGTTGGGCAACTACACTTGCGCGTGGTTGAACTTCCCCGCCATGCGTGTCGCCATCGATTATAGTCCTGGAACCGTCATAGCCTTCTGTGGAAAGGCAATTCGTCATGGCGTCACTCAAGCAGATGGCGAAAGGCTCATCTATGCATACTTCATGCGAGAGGGTGTCCAGAACAGGCTAGGCATTCCAGCGCCCCACTGGATGCAAGCTTCATATTACGCCTCACACATTGGCATGTGCACAGTTCATCACTGAGTCTGCATTCCTAACTCAGAACAGGTCCTAACTGGCTCGCTTATTAGAGGGACATCATGCCAAAGACTGATGGAGATGAGAACACTATGCAGGGGATGGAGACTGTCGATGGCAGCTTCGTTGGTGGGACAAAGTTGGCGGAGGTGATGGCGAAATGTATGGAGTCACGAATTTCCGAATCCTAGCTGAAGGTTGGCGAGCGCGTGGTACGAGTGCGCGTTTCACATCTTGACAGTGTTCAGCTCAAGGTGTAGTTATCACTGATGGCAGCGTATGGTTGGCGGACCTCGAAGTTGGCAGAGGTGGTGGCAAAATGTATTCAGTCGAGAAGTTGTGAGTGCTAGTGGGGCAGATGGCGGCAGTGTTGGCGAGCGCACGGTGCAAGTGCACATTTCCCTTTTGAACATTATGCTACTCCGAGTCAAGGCAAAGTTAGCACTGAGGGCGACATACAATTGGCGGACCTCTCGCCAACATGGCATCCTTATCTGCATAACACTGATATGGTGCCTAAAGAGACCACGAGGTGATAAGGCCCAGGCATTGCAGCCATTCTTAACCACCTTGATGAGTAGTCTGGTGGGCAGCAAGGCCGTGTGTGATTTGCACGTGTTGTGCGATAGGGACACAATGCTCATCGATTGGCTTGGAATACGACTCCCCACTGACCTGAACCATGAGCAGACGCAACAAAAGCAGGCTCGTTGTAGACCTGGATGACGAGGTTGAGTTTGTGACCAAGGTAGCTAAGCAGACCACTAGGGGAGTACGCTATGTGGACGTACCTTTGCCCATGCCTACGGGTTCAAACGTGCCATCGCCTTCCAAAAGTCCATCGAAGGCTCCAGCTTCAGGCTCCTTGTTTAACTTGGATGATGGCGACGTCCTGGGCAACATAGGTGTGCCGATTCCACTGGATCCGGCGGCTCGGAAGACAAAAGTGGGCACTCCTGCCATGACCATCTGACGGTCTGACCATGCGCGATAGACCCAGAATGACTTCATGAGGGACTGGATACCCCACCGTGATGACTATCTTCATGCCATTGTCGAGATGGAAGCCCCGCCTGAGCCCAGAAACTGTGCGGAATGCAAGATTGGCGAGGGACGGTGACGATGCCTGGACTGTATGGGCAGACCGCTCACCTGTACCGACCGCTGTCGTAACGGCCATCAGCGTGCTCCTTTCCATCGGATAGAGCATTGGCAGGGTCAGTATTTTGAGCCGGCATCACTGTATTGGGTTGGCGTCTGCATCCATTTGGGGCATGGCGGAGATCCCTGCCCTCTGGGCACCTTCACAGCACATAACAACCCTGCGCCGGTGGTGGCCCCGGGGTCCGATTTCTGGAATGTCTCCAATGAAGACGTAAATGCACATGATGGCGAGGTCTCAGATGATGGTGAGGTCCCATTCAACTTTGCACCTCTGGCAGGCACCCTTGACAGTGAAGCAAGGCAAACCGACGATGCTCCCGATCCCACTTGGGAGGAAGATGTGCCACCGGTGCTCTCCCGGCCACCTCGCCGTGATAGTTACGGGAATCGGATCATAGTCATTGTCGACATCTCTGGTGTTCACCATATCGGCGTTGACTGGTGCCAGTGTGAGATGGCAGTGGAGCGTGACATGCAGCTTCTTCAAATGGGACTTTACCCTGGTACCGTCAAGGATCCCCATACCGCCTTCACATTCGCCGTCCTCAACGATTTCCTTCTAGAGAACAAAGAGTGCAAGACGGCGGCATTGAACTACTACAGCAAGCTCAAATGGGTCACGAGCAATGCCTTCCCTGGCACCGTTCCCGTAAGTGTTCACATGCATTCCCATGGCCCAACCGTTCATGCCAGTTCCTCGCCAGGACCGTTATCGTAAGCTGATGCGAGTGTCCCACCAATGGTGCCAATTCAAATATCGCAAGTGGCACGGCTTCTCACATGATGCCCTCCGTCCTGTGGAGAAGGGTGGCCTCGCCATCTTTTGTCCCGCCTGTCCCCAGCCTGGGCTCAACCTGCCTTTCGATTGGCAAGCGGATCCAGTGTAGTGGAAGTTCAAACGCAGCTTCGTCATGGATGGCAATTTCAGTGCAGAGCACATGAAGATGAAGCACCCCGAGGAGAACGTCGCCCTCAGTGATGGCCAGGCATTCATGGTCGGCCAAGAGGATTACAAGGCTCATCTGGCGGTGACCATGGAGTCGCATCAGGTGCGTGTCTGGCTGCATGTTCTTCTTCTGCCCTTGACTCCTAAGCCCACCAGCGCTCCACTTGTCACGAGCACCGTGCTGTCAATCAGGCCAATGTGGATCGTGCCAACCTTGACGCCACAGGAATCGGGGCCACTGCTTGCGCCAGACATGGTTTCTTCATCCCTCATACTGTCGTCGATTTCCAGAAGGGAGAAAGGTTCGCATATGTCTCTTGTCATGATTCATTCTCACCGACGCACCCTCTGCAGACAAATGAATATGGATTACTCTCTCAGCAATGCACTCCTGACCCTCACTGGTATCACCCTCGTCCTCGTCATGTACGACATCATGTGCCAGTATGGCGTGCATGTCCGCAAACGTTTCCGCCACAGCGCCTATCTGAGGATGCCCTTCGAGCTCAAGGTAGACCAAGGCATTGGCTTGTTTCATGTGCATGGACACCAAGATTGCTGCTTCCAACGGTTCTCGCCCAACTTTATAGTTGGCACTGGTATGGTTGATGGCGAGGTCATCGAGACCCTGTGGGTGCCAACAAATGAGGTCTCAGGCAGTACCAGAGGCATGACCCGAGCGCACCGCCAAGAAGTCCTTGACGATCACATGAATGACTCCAACTGGAAGAAGACGACTCACATGGGTGAGCCTGGTTCCTCCTTCCCTATTTGCCACCTGGCTTATGCTGCCTATAGTGCCAACCTTGATGACAAAGTGGAAACGCGTGCTCCTGGGCTTCCCACGAAGCAAGGAGTCCTTTGAAGCTTTATCTGCACCCACAAATGAGGATGTCCTTGAGGCATGGCAGAAGGAGTACGATGACGCTATGGAGGCTCGCCAAAATGATCCGAAGATCATGGACACCTTCGATGTCCAGCTCATGAAGGGTGAGTATCCTTCCATCGTCGTGTGGCATGTAGTTGACGTGAATGCAAGCCCCGGGTAAAGACCTCACCCAACTCAGACTGGCGGGCGAGGAGTCCGCCAAGGGCTTAGAGAAGGGCACCGCTGGATGGTTGTCGACTGGCCTCAAAATTCAAGAAGCACAGTGAGTTTGCCTCATCTTAACAAAAATACAGCTCTGACGGCCTTCAGGCTTATGCTTGTGAATGATATCCGCAAGGCAGGTGAAAATATGAGCGTGGCGGAGGACCTCAAGACTCTCGAGCGCCGTCAGCGCCTCGAAGTCAGCATTCTCACATTCCAACGTCGCTCTGAGAAGTTCATGGGAAGGTTGGAGGACACTCCCGCCATGGAAGATTGTGACGATGGTGCGCTCTGGGATTCCTTGGATGAGAATCCTTTTCAAATACACCCGGAGGACGCTGAGTATGGCGAGGATGCGATTCCTCCCGAGCGAGCTTCCTTGAATTTGCCTTCGCAGATCGGATTCGTGGCCGCCGTCGCCAACGGGCTCCAGACCCTGGCGGCCCAAGAGTTGGAGTTGCGCAAAGGCCTGATGAATGACATCCTCCACGAGCTTCGCATGGCGTTTGGACTGAAGTCTTACCTCTACTGCAAGAGGGTTCGTCCCGCCAACAGCGTCGGAACAATGACCCGTGCACAGGCGGAGGTTCATACTGCCGATCAGACCATCTTGGCCTGCGCCAGGCTCTATTCCGCCAACCGACGCGCCATTATGCGCTTGGGCACCACCGATGAAGACTTGGCCCTTTATCGCCCTTTGGATAAGAAGGACCTGCATGTGAAGACTGCTGTCATCGAGGCTAGCACCTCCGGGCTCAGGAATGTCAACCTGGCTTGGTTCTGGACCGTGGATGTCGCTGGAGATCGAGGTTCATCAGAATGGATGGATGAGTGTGCGTAATTGTCCGATCGATCTCTAGGCCTCCTGCTAATTTACCCTCCAGTCTATAGAGTGAATTGGCTGCGTGCCAGAGCTCGATATGAGAGATGGAGGGAGGAGCGTGTCTTGGTCCACTCTGAAATGGCCTGGACCATAGCTACCTTCAAGCGGAATGTGGAACGATGGGCTCACTGGCTCGAGATGACGGATCCTTCCTGGCGGGGTCATGTTTGCTATGCCACCAGGCAAGTGAGTATGTGGCGAACCTTCGCCAGCCACGCCACTGACGCCTTCAGCCACATCCTCGCCCTGGACATTGAGGATGAAAGGGCGGGCGATGAAAATGTGCCTTGAGTCAGGGTTCACTGGGGTGTACACATATTCATGTTTGCTATATCGATGTAGTGATTGTCATGTATGTAATTCCTACTCACCAATATCACATTTGGCGAAGTGACCTCCATCCTCACCTGAGGGCTTCATCTTGGCATGTGCTCTCCAATCGCATGACATCAGACATCAGATAAGGTCGATCAGATATCAACCTCGGATCATCCACTCACCATCATGTCTGCCCAGTCTTCAACATCAGATGCGCGCCCCTGCCTGTTCTCCAGAGGGAGGTTGCAGTTGGAAGTCTACACTTAGAGGATCCAAGAAGCTGTTCTGGCACTGGAGCCTGACCCAGATCACTTCACCAAGGTCCGTTGAGAGGAAGGCTTGCGCCGGGAGATGGTACACCTTTCTTGCTGATATCGCCTGACCCTGCTGAGTCCTGTGCAGTTCGCTGTCAGGGGTATCTGTGGTGACCTCGCGTTGGCGGGTCATGCTGACCATATTGATCATGGTGGAGTTATCGCCAGTCTCCTCACTGTCTGCACTTTCAATCGCGAAGTTCTGCGCCCCATCAGCATTGACGTCAAGGCGATTCCACGCCCCACCACCCTCATTCCTCATCCTAAGAACCTACTCGAGGATTCACCCGACTACTGGTGGAAATGGGATCATCAGGTTGGGCCGGCGGGGAGCCCTATGGAGGCCTGGTGGTACAAACTTGGTGATCCCTGGGTGAGTGGTATGTTCCAGCACCTTACAGTCTTGCTGAACCTCAAGAACGTAGGAGAAGGTGTACACCGTCTCTGAGTCTACACTGGTGCAGCTTGAACAGCTGCATGTTCGCATCACAAACCTCACTAGTTGGTTGCACGAGAGGACAGATCAGAACCTGGATGTGGTGCTGGAAGAGCTGCAGGAGGTGACGCGGCAGCTGCGTGAGTTAGGAATGTAATCGCCCAATGCCAGGTGTCCGTTCGTGCTGTAGTGTGTCGAATATAAGGTTATCATGTCTTTGAACCTGGGCAATGTACCTGGTGTGGTAAGGTGAAACATAGTAGCCACATACTCTCCTCAGGAGGGCACATCCCCAATGGTATCTGATGCATGGCTCGAAAGCCAATGCCATATGAGAGAGTTTGGCGAAGTCATTCTGGACTGCATGTTCAGATGGCGAGTGATATCCACCACAGTTCGCCAACCCTACTCACGGTGGAAAGGACCGCCATTCGTCTCCACATACTCTACCCAGAAGGGCACATCCCAAATTGTATCTGATGCATGTCTCGAAATGCCGATGCCAATTGGGAGAGTTTGGCGAAGTCATTCTGAACTCCATGTTCAGATGGCGAAGGATATTCGCCACAGTTCGCCAACCCTTCCCACAGTGGGAGAGAGTGTGATACTGCAAGGAAAGCTGATAGCGAGCTAACCAGAATGGGAGGGAATAATGGGTAGATTACGTGGAAATTATTAGCCGGCGGTAGCTCCATCATTGCCCTGTTAGGCGGTGGATCAATCACTGAAAAATATGCCCATGGCGGTGGACTGATCACTGAGAACTACATCTATGGCAGTGGGCCGATAGGTCTGAGCAAGAGGTGCCGCATGAGCAACGACTTGGCATCGGAGCCCCCTTCTTCTGTGGTGTCCTTCGGCTCGTACGCTGATTCGCACACGTCCGCATCCTCGTCTACTTCGTGCTCTTCAGTTGACTTCGGGTACAATCTGTTCACTTTGTATGGTCTACTTCTTGGCTCAGGCAACCAGGCATGGCATCCGCCCATGCTTCCCCCCGACCAATCTCCACGTTTCATACATCCGCCCATGCTTCCCCCCGACCAATCTCCATGTTTCATACATCCACCTATGCTACTCCCTGACAAATCATCCGGTATGTTCCTTCACCCACCCATGCTTCACCAAGACGACATGGACACGATACGAGCCCAGTTGACAACCTAGGGCAAGGCAAATAACTCAGCTATGCCTGGGCTAGTCAGATATTTCAGGTGACCCATGCCTATGGGCTCAGAAATATACCTATGGCGGTGGGCCGATGGCTGTATAATAGCCCTGTGGTGGTGGGCCGATCGCTCAGAACACTACCTATGGTGGTCGGCCCATCGCTCAGAACCCTACCTATGGGGTTGGGCTGATGGCTGTATAATAGCACCGTGGCGGTGGGCTGATCGCTCAGAAATATACCTATGGCGGTGGGCCCATCGCTCAGAACACTACCTATGGAGGTCGGCCCATCGCTCAGAACACTACCTATGGCGGTGGGCCGATGGCTGTATAATAGCCCCAGTGGTGGTGGGCCAATCGCTCAGAACACTACCTATGGCGGTGGGCCGATCGCTCAGAACACTGCCTATGGCGGTCGGCCCACCGCTCAGAACACTACCTATGGTGATGGGCCAATGGCTGTATAATAGCACCGTGGCGGTGGGCCGATCGCTCAGAACACTGCCTATGGCGGTCGGCCCACTGCTCAGAACACTACCTATGGTGGTGGGCCGATCGCTCAGAACACTACCTATGGCGGTATAATAGCCCCATGGCGGTGGGCTGATTGCTCAAAAATACACCTATGGCGATGGGCCGATCACTCAGAACACTACCTATGGCAGTGGGCCAATGGCTGTATAATAGCCCCGTGGCGGTGGGCCAATCGCTCAGAAATATACCTATGGTGGTGGGCCGATGGCTGTATAATAGCCCCGTGGCAGTGGGCCGATCGCTCAAAAATACACCTATGGCGGTTGGCCCATCGCTCAGAACTATCACCACGGCGGTGGGCCCATGCCTGTATAATAGTAGCATCATGGTGGTGGGCCGATCGCTCAGAAATACTCCTATGGCGGTGGGCCCATCGCTCCAGCATTCCCTTCATCGCCATGAGCCGATTGCTGACAGCTCCTTACACAGACCGATGGGCCGACGTCCACTGGCTGTCCAGTTCATGACAATGTCAGGGTAAATGGGAGTCCAGTTCACAAACATGACTGAATGGGCTGCCTTCTCTGTCTGGTCTCGAAGAATCTGAGCTTGGCAGTACCCTACAGAACGACAACAACAACACTAACGGCTCCCTCGGAACTTCTCGAGCGTCCACGGGTATCCTGGCTCATTGCGCCACTCTTTTCAATAATCCGGCACTTATGGTGAACTCCAATGGCTTCCAGGACATGAATGCACATGGCTTCGAGTGCGCAGACTACGCACAGCGTCCCGGGCCCGTCTATTCGTACAACGCGTTCCCATCTGAACCTAACGCCCTCGGTGTTGCCACGGAGAATGCGAATGCACATGGCTTCGAGTGCGCAGATATGGTGCAGCATCCGTGGCCCGCGTCTTTGTATGACACGCTTCTTTGCGAGTCGAACGTCCCCACCAATGCCATGGAGACTCACGGTCGAGACAACGGCGGACAGGTCAAGTAAGATACAGGCCATGTCAATGCAGCTGCGATCGTCGAGGGCTACGAAATCCTGCCGCTCATAGAGCGTGCGGCCCTAGAGAATATAAGCACACTCACAGACTTCGTCGATGCATACGCACTTACGATCGCTCCTGATACGCACGCGCAGGAGAATTACGCACTCGAGAGTGTGCGAGGCACACAGCAGGAGCAGGAGGATGCGATTGTCGCTGGTGCTGAGCACGCAACGATTGCGCAGCATGCACCCCCTGTGCTGCATCTGGAGACAGTGCTAAATGACGTACTCACAGGTACCCCTTTTCATTTCATCGATGATTCAGTCTACAACACGTGCGTCGACCGCGCGAACGCCCCCTCTTCGTTGATCGACACGCGCCCAACGGCGTTCATTTTTCTCTCACATCTGGACCTTGCAGATATCCCGGCGACCCCACCCCTATCACGTTCCCCATCCCCTGAGTACACGCCATCATCACCCGTATACATTCCCTCATCACCGGTCCTCTCGTCACCCCTGTCGCCTCCGTCATCTGCGTGCACATGCACGCGCGAGGCCGACTGCCATGCGGTGCGAGCATGCAATCGCCCACTTCCGCTTCCTCATTCCACTCTCTCTGTCATCCATGACCCCGACACTCATCTGTGCAGGCCAATGCACCCGCCTGGCTCCCATGCGCGCCGCGCATCTCCAGACTCGTACGATGGCGACGACGACTTACTGGGTTTGGTAAGTGTCTCACACGGTAATGACAGTAGCGACAGCGAATTGGACATGGACCTCGAGGATGACACGGACGATGACGATAACCATTTACAGTCAGAATGCGAGCGTGAGGACTTGATGCGTGAGCGCGTCGAGGAAATTCTTGTCGAGGTCATGCGCAACATCACTGAAGAAGTCGTTGAATATGTAAGTCCGGCTTTGTCAGCACATTCCTTTTGCGACTAATTCTAGCAGATTTGGAACACCACGTTTTAGGGAGCAGAACCCCCCATCAAGCGCTATGCACCATTTTCCTTTACCTGTAGCTACCCGCGGCCCTTTGTCGCTAAGCATACCCAGCCCTATGTCTGATCTGTTATCAACCCCCACTCATTCTCTGTGTATGGCACCTCTAAATTCTTTCAACAGGAATTCTATACCTATGGTCTCTTATGTAACCATGTCATGTACCACTATCTTGGAAACACCCAATATACCTTCTGCTGGTCAGCCCTATTTAAATAGTGTCCCATTGGAATTCGGAGCATACAAACCAGTTGATAGAAAGGTAAAGCCAGTACAAGGAGTATTTCCAGAGGATGCACGCATACTACGGCGCTTCCCTGAGAAGCCAGAGACATTACCAGAAAACCCAGGAATTAGGCGATTTATATGGGAACATGCAATTGACGTACATAGGATTATGCATCGTATAGAACATGCAGGTGCTACATTCTCCGCTTTTAAGACTCAATTATGTAAACCCCATGCAGTTATAGTTGGACAGACATGCACCTCAGAAGGATGACTTCCAGAAAATTCAAAAGTAAATAAAATTCTTACCTGGCCAGTTTTGAAGACTGCAAAGGATGTGCGGAGATTTTTAGGATTATGTGGTACAGTGCGCATTTGGATAAAGAACTACTCCAAAATTGCACGACCACTAACTGAACTAACACGGAAGGATGCTGAATTTGTATGGGATGATAGGCAACAAGAAGCATTTGATTGCTTGAAGGATCTTATTACATCTGCACCTGCCTTACGCCCTATTGATTATTCATCGGACTGACCTGTCTACATATCCATAGACTCTAGTGTCATCACAGTCAGTTTTATCTTGTCGCAAGATGATGAACAAGGCAGACAGAGACCAGCCCGCTATGGTTCTCTACCTTTTAATGAGCGTGAGTCCAGGTATAGTCAGCCCAAGTTGGAGCTATACGGATGCTATAGAGCCATGCAACACTGGAGACTTTATTTAGCAGGCATCAAGAACTTGATTCTGGAACTTGATGCCAAGTATATCAAAGATATGCTGAATAATCTGGATCTTCAGCTGAATGCCGCAATCAATTGGTGGATCCAGGGCATTTTGCTATTTACCTTTGAATTGCGACATGTTCCTGCTGATAAGCATCGTGGACCTGATGCTCTCTCACGGCGTGAACTAACAGAAGAAGAATTGGCAGAAGTTCCTGAGTCAGATGATTGGTTGGATGAGATAGCACTTCTATCACTGTATCTTAATCACGTGCCCAAGCTGGATCAAACCCTGGTTCACCAGTTACCCTCATCACTAGCAGTGAATTCCAAGCAAAAGGAGACATTGCGAAATATCAGTCATTTCCTTCAGACTCTACAGACACCAGACTTCTCTAACACTCAAGCCAAGCGAAGATTTATTAGATGTGCAGGACAGTTCTTTATGAAAGGTGGATCTATGTTCAAGCGAGATCACACTCCTTTATTGGTTATATTAGACAAGGATCATAGGATCTCTATATTAACACATGCACATGAAGAACTAGGTCATAGGGGAGTTTATGGAGTATTCTATCATATTCGCGACTGTTTCTTCTGGCCCCATTTATTTCAAGATATAAAACACCATATCAGTACATGCCACCAATGCCAATTATGGAGTACAAAAAGGGTAGAGGAATCTCCCACTATATGCACACCAGCAACTATATTTTCCAAGATTTACCTTGATGTTATGTTTATGCCACCAGCTCGAGGATATCGCTACATTGTTGCTGCGAGAGATGATTTGACACATGCAGCAGAAGGACGGGCCTTAAAGAAAGCCAATTCCAAGGAGTTAGTGAGGTTCTTCTGGGAGGAAATCATATGCCGCTATGGACATATCACAGAGGTTGTAACGGATAATAATGGTTCAGAAGTGGCTGGAGCCTTTGAGAAGCTTTTGCAAAGATATGGCATTCCACAAATCAGAATTCTCTCTATAACAAGCATGCAAATGGACTAGTCGAGCAAGGTCATTTTGTAATACATGAGGGAATACTCAAAGATGCGAAGAAGGATCTCAAGTCCTGGCCAAACAAAGTACACCATGCATTCTTTGCGGACAGAGTTACCACTAGGCGGTCAACAGGATTTAGCCCCTTTTATTTGCTGCATGGCATAGACCCGGTGTTGCCATTCGATCTCACAGAGGCGACCTTTATGATAAGCGGATACACATCTGGACTTTCATCATCTGACCTTCTTGCGCTGCGCATCAGACAATTAGAAAAGTGGCCAGAGGATATTGCACGGGCAGCAGCTGTGATCAAGCAGTCTAGATTGCACTCAAAGCATCAGTTTGAAAAGCAGTTCAAACATAGACTCTGGCGGAAAGTATTGAAGCCAGGAGACTTAGTATTGATGTGTAACACAAGGCGAGATGCCGGTCTAACAGACAAGTATAGTCAAAGGTATTTTGGGCCATACCAGATTCACAGAAAGTGACGTGGAGGATCATATGTGTTGCAGGAATTAGACGGAACAGTTCTTAGATGCGCAGTTGCAGCATTCCGATTACTCCCATATCTGCCACGTGTACCATCCAATCTGGATCTGGAAGATCTAGATTCAGATGGATCCAGCGATCCTGATCACTCAGATATATCCTCAGATTCAGATTCCTCTGATGACTGGTTGCCAATGTAAACATGGTCACGTGCTTGCACATCATTTTTGGTCTTTGCCGCGTATCCCCTCAGTCGAAAAGCAACCTCTACACGTCTCATTCCTCACCTTGCCATTGTGCTTCTAACTGCCTGCTATCTTTGTCATCATGTCGCGCTACTCTCAGCCCGCTCTCTTGTTCCCCCCTTATGAACCTCCTACCTATCTCACCACCATCCCTTCTGATCCGCACATCATTGCTGGAGACTTCAATTGCCCACGTCCCCAGATTAAGCTCCAGAATCTCTTTGTTACACTCATCTCTGATGAAAAACCCTTTTATCTCGAGTATAGCAAGGCAACTCACTACCTACTTTCTCCGGAGCCTGCTCTCTCCAATGATGCGTACTTTGACTTGAACAACTGGGCAGTCGTACACCCGGTCATTGGACCGTTCTTTTTGGGAACAATCGACAAGATTTTGGGTGAAGGAAAGGTTCGTATTGAAGGGTGGATGATGTCGAAGACAGTCAGAAAGGAGGAGTATAGAATGATGGTCTTTGAGCCCGTCACGGTGACTATTGATGTTACCTACCTCAACATCCCCTTTCTTGAACGCTTTGCCTGTCGTCACTCACCACGCGTCGGTCACTACTTGATGGCAAAACTCCAAGTGTGAGTTCCTTTCTTACTCTCTAGTTTCTCCTCGATAGCCAGCAACGGGGACATTGCATTCTAAAGTGTGGGGCAGGTGACAGATGTGTAACATGTTTCAATATAAAACTCACATAACTAATGCAATACTCTAGATATCGAGCTTGGCAAGCGGAGCAATCCAAGGCCAAGGCCAACAATAAGGCGATGAAAGCCAAGGCCAAAGCTGCCAAGGCTGCACATGCCAGAGCTCGTCTTTAAGGCAAAGCTTATGAGCTAGACTTCACATGCACTGGAGACCAGGAAGAAGTTGATGCTGAAGGACTCAGAGGGAAGGGAACATGGCGGGTTTAGGATTGACGAGGAATTTTTCTTTGTACTCACTGTCACACTTGCTCAACCTCTCCACTCACACACGTCCAAGTATTATACTCAAATATCGATCACTGCTTGTTTGCGCTATTACTCTGTCTGTTTTTAGTCACTGAAGTGCTTGGTCATCTTTGCTGACTAATGTCTGAGACTTAGAAGGACAATAGCGAGGTAGGTTTCTATTGTCTTTATTTTTTTTTATCCCCCACTCTCTTTTGTTTTATCCAGAGTCATTTCTTATTGTTATGACTCAGACTTCTATTATCACATTTTCTATTGTTATTTCTATTGAAGGCGCTTTTCTATTATTTAGATTTTCCCACCTTCTTTAGTATATAAACCCTGAAAGTCCACTTGGACTTCCAGAGGAAACCTGTTGTCCTAAAAGTATAGGACATTCTTCTCACCCCAGTAGTCACTAGTCGGTATATACTCAAGTTCATACTTACCTGAATACAGTGTTATTCAGGCATAGCATTATAAGACATCAAGCAAGTCATAACTCAGTCATCTGTCAATCGGTCATCTGTCAACTCGGTCACTTATTACTCGGTCATTCTCTCTGTCTTATTATAAGACAGTCTTTCCCTCTTACTCACACACACACTCTTACACTTGATTACTACCAGGTAACCAAGTGATTACTACAACGAATACACTGAGGAATATTTCCCGACTTTGTTCAAGTCCGGTGACCTCAGGAGGATTCTGTTTTGGTTTGTGTTTTATCCAAGACACCATTCTTGTCTGTCACGGGTATCGACGGGTATGGGTACAGGTCACAATCTTGTGACCCGTGTGACCTGTGGTATACCCGCGGCCAGCCACCTTGATTTGTGGGTCGTCGCGCGTCGCCATCCAGCACGACCGAGGAGCGACACAACACAGGGCACAAGGCCCTGCAGGTATGTTTTCTTTATCTCCTACATTTACTAATTCTTTCTACAAGGGCAACCTGGCAGGAGAGCCAGCACAGGGCCGGCTGCATCACACTCGGCCCTCATATGCCACTGTCGCTCACACACGCCCTCCGCGCACGTCGCCCTCATCCTCGCACACCACCCGCTGTCACGCACCAAAAGTGTTTGGCTTGTGAACATGTAACCACCAGTGAAGCGCTCAACGAAGAAGTCACATGACTAAGACGGAACCCGAGAACGTTTGGCCGAGCGTGTCACCTGACGCTCACATTATGCTATTGGACGGGAAAAACTCGGAAAGTGCTTTCTCCCTACTTCTCCCTGCTCGCTTTATGCTATTGGACATAGAGGTCCCAAGAGTTTTGTCTTCTCTGTTTCTCCCTGCTCACTTTATGCTATTGGACACGAAGGTCCTAAGACATTTTTCCTTCCTACTTTCCCCTTTGATCATGTGATGCTCTTATTTTGCTATTGGCCAATCTGCCATGTAACACTACTATGTAACGGTCACAACGGGTGACACCTGAGGGGTATAAAAGGACCCCCGAGGTGCCCCGACCCTCAGTTCTTCTCTCCCCACTTGTAGCCCCCTATAAGTGAAGAGTTCTCCCTTCGCTTGTAGCTTACCCTACAAAGTGATAAACCAAAAGAATAGGAGTTTGTTCCACTCCTCCCAGTAACATTGTTACTCGTAATCAAAAGGATCCCGATGAAGTCAGTTCAGAGCAGGCAGTGAGTTGTTACGAAACACAACTACTGCACTCTCGTATTGTTTCTGTTGAGTAGTCTAGCACACGGTTGCTAGATACTCAACCCGTTCTCGGAAAGTTCTCGGACAACACATAGGAAAGTTATCGGCCAGGCACATCGTATTCGGACACACGTACTCAGTAAAAGCCCTGCACACAGTTGTAGGCACTCGGATAGGAACACAGAAGACTCGGTAAGCCCTGCACACGGTTGTAGGCACACTGTTAAGAAGACAACAAAGACTCGGTAAGCCCTGCACACGGTTGAAGGCACACGGATAAAAGAGAACACAGAAGACTCAGCATCGTATAAGAAGACAGAACACAAGCCCTTGCACACGGTTGCTAGGCATCCCCCTCTACATTCCCCCATCTGTATTGTGCAGACTCCCATCCCGACTTCAGACAACAAATAGCTCAGGCGTCCCTAACCCATTATCATAAATTTGATATCACCGAATAACTGTAATAGCCCGATGTACTTTCCCTTTTGCCATGCCCGGTGAACCACAGCAAAGTACCACGTACTTGACCTTGGAGTCAAAGCTCCTCCGGCCAAGGCCCGTGCATACCCCGAGTCGACACTGCACACACTGTCATCGTGCACCACCCACGCACACTGCCCTTGCGCACCATCCGCACACGTCACCCGGCCCTCATATGCCATGTCGGCTGTGTGCTCTCTGCTGCAGGCCACACACCCTCACCTCGCTGTATCCCCCAGAACTTTATCTGTTTTTTGCCCCTGCCCATGCTCGCATGCCCCTGTGCTGAACAGCGACCACGTCCTATCACCTGGCTATGGACAGCCCTTCCCACTACTCTCACACAATGCCCACTGATTCTCAGTATTCTCATCAGCAGCAGCACCAGCCACCATGGTCCCAGCAATCCTCTCACCTGCTCTATCCCGTTCACACCCAGCAGTCCTCTTTTCCTTCGCCATCATCACCTACGATGTCCCTCAGCGACCATCACTACCCGCCTTTCTACTCTCAGCAGCAGTCCCATTCTGGCGAGGGTCTCGGCGATCGTGTCATCGACAGGTCACATATGGCTCTATTGCTTAACCTCTCCTCACTCACAGTAGCCTCGCCCACCAATTTGTCCCCCGTGGGCCTGCATTCCTTGACCCATGCCCACGTCTCACCCATTATGCCCATTAGCCCCACCAGCGCCATGAGGCATATGCACCAGCAGCTATCTGCGCAGCACGCTGAAGGGATGCAGAGCGCGCTGAGGTGGGAATCACATCCGGGAAGCGGTCTCACATTTTGGAGATACTACAGGGTGCTACACAAACCGACCCCTAGTCCGACATCAGTTGGAAGCTGGTTATCGGAGGAGGGCACGCTACGAGCCCGAACGCTACTTCCAATTCCTCAACTGTGATCCGCAACCGTCTCAAAGTACCATCTGCCAGCTCGCGTCTACCAGTGATTCCACACATGACATCATACAGTTCGCGGGCCGCGTTGCGCAATGTCTTAACCCGAAGGTGCAAGGTTCCTGATGGCGATAAAAAGCTGAGGAACACGACTCCAGGAAAATAGGGACAGGACGACCGCGCACCAATGTCAGGGAGACCATCCAGTGGGTGGCCTAAACCAAAGTCCTCGCGGACAGCAGGGTCGTCATACAGAACACGAGCAGTCAAACCATGAGGAATGACCGCAGGAAGGTGATCCGCAATTTGGGGTATCATCCGACGACCACATTCTACAGTGCGAGCTGTTGCCAGGTGTATTTCCACCTGGGCCAGGACAGGGATATCGTGCGGAAGGGGTAGGATGATCCCCACGCTGGCCGCTTCAGACTGGGCTTGGACCATAAGGACCTCAGGGTCATGTGAGGGTCAGACAGCAAAGGATCATATGCTCATGGGGGCCTCACCAGCAGGACATGCATCCGGACTGCCCATGCTTTCCACAGGATCGAATCGAAGGGCTCAGTAAAGATCTCAATGCGAAGAAGAGCTTCTGCGAGGGTGTATTTGTGAAGGATGACGCTGGCATTCATGGATGGGAGATTGAGTTTAGGATGGGAGATGCCTCCAAGATGGACGGGTCCTTATTAGGCGCTCGGGTGGGTTCGGTGATGGAAGGTCCCTCGGAATGAGTAGGAGCGTGAGGGGACGGGATTGCGAGATATGGCATGATGGGCAGTGATTCAGCAGAGCGATTGTTAAGCAGATGCGGGCAGTATCAGGAGGGCAGGAAAGGTCAGGACTAGTTAAGTATGATGGCAGGGAAAAAGGGGAGGAGGAGAACCCACCGTCCTGGAAGGTACGCTTGCGAAAAGACTCGTTTCCCATTCCCATCCCATCCAGTTAGTGCGTCTTTGGGCAGTCTTGCGTTTTGTGCGTTTTCTGGGCAGTCTTGCGTTTCTGCATTTTAGCGTTCTCCTTAGGGCAGTGCGATTTTAGTCCGACGCATTGTCCAGCGATCATTGCGACTACAGAGATTTTCCTAGCTACGCTTTTGGGCCACCCACCTCATACCTCTGGAATAGACTCTTCTCCCTTGTTGCATCTCAGACCCCACGTGGACTTGATTCTGCTCGTACTCCACCTTTCCGGCTTGCGACGGAACATCAAACACGTCAACTGGAGCCCACTGTGAGGGGTCTTCATGCGACACAGCGGAGCAGTCACCTTGCTTCCAGATCACTCCAAGAGGAGCTTACCTTGGCAGCTTCCCAGCCGCTGACTCCAGGGTCCCCAGCATTCGCGGGTCCACTTCTCGACAATTTTGCATACCGACCACCTATCGACTTCGACAATCTGGAGAACCCATTTGTTGACCCCCATCTTCCGATTCCCTCTTCCTCGAGATCTCACGAATCGTCTCCCCTTTCGTCACTCCCAGAGGACGTCTCACTCATTCCGTCTCATCCCCCATCCCCAACTGTATCACCACAACGCCAAGAAGCAACAGCCATGGCGGACCAGGAACCTGCCCCCAGACCAGTCTCAATGCCGGCACGTGGTCACTCGATGGCACCCACCTTTGATGGATCCCTGTGAGCCTTGATGCGATATTTCGCTGATCTTGAAGACTTGGCAATGCGAGCACAGTTGGATGACGACGCAAAAATCCGAGCGGCCTGCAAGTATGTCTCGTTAGACGAGGCAGATTTTTGGATGGGTGTGATGGAGCGAGAGACCTATAAGCAGTTCAAGACTGCGGTCATTGCATTGTACCCGGGGGCGGAGGATGACCATCGCTACATGCAGTCCGACTTAACTCAGATTGTACGGGCAGCACGGATGAGAGGAGTGTCCAGTCGCGTGGAGGAGGGACAGTACTATCGGGACTTTACTCGCGTCGCGTTGTTCTTATTGTCCAGGGGTCGACTATCAACCTATGAGCGGGACCGGCTGTACCTTGAGGGATTCGAAGCGTCCCCCTTACATGCTATCAAGAATCGACTGGTGATTAAGGTTCCCGATCAGAACCCGGACAATCCGTACACAATATCGGAAGTCCATTCCGCAGCACAGCACATTCTCAGTGGGAGCGGGAGTGCATCGAGCACTGTGGCTGTGTCGAAGCTGAGCACAGGGACGGTGAAGTTGGAGGGGAATGAGACAGATGCGATGCGGTTTCTAGCGAACGTGTTGCAGCAAGCGATGCAAACATCGGGAGGGGGACAGGCACCGGTAATGCAGGCCAACATTCAGGCGGCGGTCACACAAAACCCTCTTCCACAAGCTCTGCGTGCCTGTAACTTCTGTCTAGCCATCGACCATTTCATGTGAAACTGTCTGCGCATCGAGGACTACATCAGGGCGCGGAAGATTAATCGTGATGCGCTTAGTAGGATCATTCTCCCGAACGGGCAGTTCGTTCCTCGTGACCTACCGGGATGTAGCATGGCAGAACGCGTTGATGCATGGCATGATATGTATCCGGGGAACCTTTTCGGCGATGGTCTGGGGCCGTCTGCAGCGCCTCCGCCCAACGTTTCCAGGGATGGGCGTGACCAGCCTCCGCATATGGTCAGCCTATGGGAGATCGCGAAAGAGGCACTTAACCCCAAGGAACCATCATCGGCGTACATTGAGGAATGTCGTGACGACTCCGCGATGTCAGTGTTAGAAGCCAATGTGGCTCCAAAGAAAAAGACAGTTCGGTTCGATGACAGCGCCGCGGGGAAGTCTGCAAAGCGTCCTCCTGGTGTTCCGGCCTCCCAGGTCCCCGCGTCAATTCTCAAGCCAGCGTTGGATCCATCTGCAGCGCCCAGAGGAGGCGCAAAGGCATCTCTACCATCTGCGAGAAACTGCACTATGCAATACAGCTATAAGACGCCCATGGAAGACAAGGTGAATGTGCGGGATATATTCGAGCGCGTCCAAAATGAAGTCCACATCTCACTTACACATCGGGAACTGATGGCATTGTGCCCGGAGATCCGCAAGCTTGAGAAGGAGGAGATTACTGTGAAGCGAGTAGCGACGATGGGAAGCTTTGAGGCTGCGGATGGCGAGGAGGTTGCGGAGGCTCTCTTAGTGGACGTGAGCGACGGCGGCGGACCACTCGTGGTGGCTGACAATTCTCTTCCATTGCGAGCAATTGACGCCCTGGTTGAAGGCAAGGAATCAGCGGAATGTATCCTTGACCAAGGCTCACAGATCATCACAATGCGACGGGACATCTGGGAACACATCGGGTCCACACTGCAGTCCGAGAAAACACTCAACATGGAAGCAGCTAACATGGGTATCAACCAGATGCTCGGTCGCCTCGCTAACATTCGATTTGGGTGCGGCGAGATGGAGCTGTATCTTCAGGCCCATGTTCTAAATGATGCCCCATTCGAGGTACTCTTGGGCCAGCCGTTCTTTACCTTGACAGCATGCAAAACATTCGACTTTACCAATGGCGAGCAACACATTACTTTGCGCGACCCTAACACGCATCAAGTAGTCATGCTTCCCACTCACGAGCGTTGCCCAAGGCCACGGCCGACGCCACTTCCAGGAATGGGTTTTCAAGACTCGAGGAGTCGGGCTTGATCCGAGGAGGGTCCACAATGAACAGGCACCAGCATGCTAGCGATACCCTTAAAATGACAGGACACGTCGGGGAGCGGTCCCTCATGGATGGTAGAGTTCCCCATATTCCAGAATCAGCGTCTTCGGTTTCCTCTCTCTCTTCCTCTATGGCTGCGTTCTCCTCTCTCTCTTCCTCTATGAATTCGTTTCCCTCTCTCTCGTCCTTTGCGGCTTCGGTTTCCTCCCTCTCTTCCTCTGAAGAATTATTTCCTCAGATCGTTTCATTGCAAATCGAAGAGCCCCGCGTTCTTTATACCCTTTCCTCATCTTTTTGCAGTATCGGAGCGGCCAGCGGTGTCACCACACCTGCGGTGGCCCCTGGCGCATTCCAGATAGAGCACAAGGCCGTAGTCCATGGTTATGGATATAAAAAGGTTGACAAGCGTGTCAAGCCTGTTCCAGGAATACTGGCGGATGAGTTCCGGATCATGCGGCACGTTCCCCACGACCCCATGAAGAATCTCCCATCACTCCCCTTTTACCCACCAGACTTCATCGGCGGATCACATTATACAGAGGAACGACGGCGGGACCTTAATATCAACAGTGACGGGTTTCTCTGGGAGGAGGAGGTGAAGCTGTTCAATCACATCCTCTATCTCCATGAGCAAGTGTTTGCCTGGGATGAGTCCGAAAAAGGGAAATTTAGCGACGAATATTTCGAACTGATCCGAATTCCCTATCAGCAGCATGTCCCTTGGGCATTGCACAACATTCCTATTCCGCCGGAAATCCGCGAGCAAGTTATTCAAGTTATTCGTGATAAAATTGCATCAGGTGTATACGAGCCATCGAACTCATCCTACCGATCACGCTGGTTCTGCGTCCTGAAGAAGGATGGGAAGTCACTACATTTGGTACATGATCTCCAGCCACTAAATGCCGTTGTGATTTGAGATTCGACAGCATCGCCGCAGATTGAGGATATAGCGGAGGTGTTCGGTGGATGCTCTTGCTATGCGAGCTTCGACCTGTTCATCACGTTCGACCAAAGGACTCTTCACCCGGACTCCCGTGACCTGATGACCTTCCAGAGCCCGCTCGGAGCACTCCGCCTGACCACCATTCCGATGGGGTATACCAACTCAGTCCAGATCATGCATGGCGATGTGACCTTCATTTTACAAGATGAGATACCACATGTCACGATTCCCTACATCGACGATGTCCCTGTAAAGAATGGGACAACGCGATACGAGACGTCTGACGGAGGATACGAAGTCATCCCCCAGAACTCCGGAATACGTCGCTTCATCTGGGAGCATGCAGAGAACGTCAAACCGCGTGATTCATTGTCTGGAGATGGCCAGTGCGACGCTGTCGGGAAAAAAATGCAACATCTGTGGACCGGAACTTGAATACCTTGGCGGGTTGTACAACTATGAAGGTGGGTGGCCCTTGCCATCTCGTATACAGAAGATTGTCGATTGGCCAGCATGCACGACTGTCACAGAAGTCCGTGGATTTCTTGGGACCTGCGGTCTCGTTCGGGTCTTTATCAAAGATTATGCAAAGATGGCGTGGCCTCTGACTACCCTGACGCGTAACGAGACAGAGTTCAGTTGGGGCGATGAGGAGGACGCAGCCATGGTGCAGATAAAACAGGCTGTACAGTCCTGTGGGGCATTGGTTCCCATTGATTATGCATCGTTGCGCATCGTTATCCTCGCGATCAACTCATCAAACATTGCTGTCGGTTTTGTCCTGTTCCAACTTGGCGAAGATGGGAAGCGACGCCCAAACCGTTTCGGATCCATCACTTGGAACGAGCGCGAGTCGCGATACTCACAAGCGAAGGTCGAATTGTATGGTCTCTTTCGCGCTCTCCGCACGGTTCGGATCTACGTCATTGGGGTCACAAACCTGGTCATAGAAGTCGACGTGAAATACATCAAAGGAATGCTAAATAACCCTGACATCCAACCCAATGCTACAATCAACCGTTGGATCGCTGGTATCCTACTATTTGACTTCCGCCTCGTACACGTACCAGGTTCACGCCACACTGGGGCTGACAGTTTATCACGTCGCCCCCGCACAAACGAAGACCCCGAGGAGGACGATGACTTCGAGCAGTGGTTAGACGAAGCTAACGCCTTCACTATTGATGCCGCAAATTCTGGGATAATGTGTGAAGGATGGCGCGCCTGTGCTCCGGGGACTGTCTTGACTGGCTTGAGTGCTAGGACACCAGATGTCGCAGTCTACACCTCGGCCCCAGAAGACGTTGAGATTCCGCGAACAACAAAGGCCATGGCTACGAATGCACGCGTTCTCAAAGTCCGCGATTTCCTACGTGATCCCGAGGTTGCTATGAGTGTGCCAATAAAAGAACACCGTCAATTCCTCAGATATGCATCGGACTTCTTCCTCAGGGATGGGAACCTCTGGCAAAAGGACCCGAGCAGCAGGCACAAACTATTTGTCGATGAGGAAAGACGCTACATGCTTATCCGACAGGCGCATGATGACCTCGGCCATAAGGGAATTTTCACGGTGCGGACACGCTTGCTGGAACGCTTTTGGTGGCCACTCTTAGACCAGGATGTACGATGGTACATGGGCACATGCCACGAATGCCAGGTCTGCCAGATGACGAAGGTGCACATTCCACCAACGGTTGTGCTTCCTTCCACACTCTTTCACAAGGCGCACATGGACACGATGCTCATGCCGCGGGCAGGAGAGTACCGATATATCGTACAAGCGCGCTGCTCACTTACATCATATCCCGAATGGTGAATGCTCCAACAGGAGAATGGGTGGACCCTTGGCGCATTCATCTTTGAAGAAATCCTTTGTCGCTGGGGGGCAGTCGCGGAAATTGTCACCGATAACAGCTCTGCTTTTGTCCAGGCACTAGACTATTTGGCTCAGCAATACAAGATTCATCATATCCGAATTTCCCCATACAACTCCCAGGCAAATGGGCTTGTGGAACACCGACATCTGGATGTGTGCGAGGCTGCAATGAAAACGTGTCTGGGAGACGAGCGGAAGTGGCCTACAGTCATGCCCGCAGTTTTCTGGGCAGAGCGCATCACAATTCAGCGATCTACAGGATACTCCCCATATTACATGGCACATGGGACCGAACCATTGTTCCCCTTTGACATCGCAGAAGCGACGTACCTGGTTCCATATGAGGGTGTACAGATGACCCAGATTGAACTTTTGGCACACCGGGCTCGTCGGTTACAAAAGCGGGAAGAGGACTTGGAGGAAGTATGTGAGCGTGTCATCCGAGCAAGGTACAAGTTGATGGAGCAGTTTGCACAAGAGTTTCATGTGACGATCAAGTCTTACGACTTCAAGCCGGGCGATATAGTCCTGGTTCGAAATTCTCGAATTAATATGGAGCTCAACCGCAAGATGAAGCCGCGTTACTTGGGACCCATGGTAGTTGTTCGACGAACCGAGGGGGGATCGTACATCCTTGCGGAACCGGACGGTGCGGTATCTCAGCTATGTTTTGCAGCTTTCCGCATTGTTCCTTACAAGTACCGATCTCGTGTCGATCTCCACTTCACCCCGTTGTCCAACGCCGATGAGACGGACAGCGCTGCTGGATCGGATGACGAGGTTTGATGTCAACATGTACCCGTTCCAGCTGTTTGGACAAAAATTTTAATCTTTGTTTAATTGATCATGACATTCCTATTGAGAATACTGCATTCCGACACCATGAATATTGTACAAGTCATAATAACAGAACAGAGTTGCGCGGGACCCCACAATGCTATCGTACACTACCGCAAACACCCGGACCAACGATCCCCTTCGCTTCGCATCTCCCATCCTTCGCGTCGCATCTCCTAATCTTCCCCATCAAAATCAATATGTTCATCCCCTTCCCCATCAAAATCGATATGTTCATCCCCTTCCGCGCCTGTCGATATGCTATGAACGACCTCATCTTCCTCCTCAGAGGGAAACTCGTCATCCAACCCCTCCAAATCCCTGACGCATTTCTCCAACTCGAGCAATCCCTGCATCACCTCATGGTGATGGGCAGGAACCATGTCGACATGAGTGGCGAGGACACCGAAGCGAGTGCCGAAGAGAGTGGGGTCGCCGCCGAGTGCACCCATGATGGCATCGAGCTGCGAGCACATCGTATGTTGGCTATCCTCAAGTGCCCATGTGCGTTGCCAGTTACGCCTAAGCGCGGACTCGAGTGTCACGATCTGCTCGGTCGGCTGCAGCGAACGGAACTTGGCCAGGAGAACGTCCGCGAAATACGAATGGAAAGTCACGTGGTGTGGTGGGTCGTCAAGAGATATGGCAGGGACACTTGGACTACCGTGACTTCCCTGCAATCTGGTGTGCTCGATGGGAGATGGCGCGATGCGCAAGGACCGCGCAGACATCTGGCAACTGATGGAGCGGTCAGACAGGCATCTGGGAAGCATGGCGGTAACATGCAGCACGGGATGGGAGTACCTGTCGTCCATCGTGTCGGCCGCAATGGATTGCGAGCACGAGGGTGCACTCATCTGAAGTTGAGGGGGAGGCATGGATGACGCTGCGCGGATCGGCGCCGGGTCATCAATCATCATCGGATCGGTTGGTGGAGAGGTGGCGCGATGCTTCACTGGACGCTCCTCACGATCGATCGATCCAATCGGCAGTGGAGATGGGTGGTGACTCTGCGCGGATGGTGCAACAGGAGCTGTACCGACGATGACGGCAGACGAAATGACGGATCCACGATCGATCGAACCTGCACTCCCCGTCTTGCAGTTCAAAGCGAGATGCATCGGTTGGGAAGCGGACATGGTCAACGCAGGCCGTGGGAGGGGCGATGTGATCGCAGGCTTGGTACTTTGCATGCTGCGAGTACCCGAAGTTGCGATCTTTGGAGCAGGCGGAGCGACAGGTCACGGGTGGATTACCTTCTTCCCCTCTTTCTTGGACATAGATGACGCAGGCAGGGGCGCCATGAGGGACTTGTACGCAGCCAATGCATCTTCAATTTCGGTGCAGCTTTCGAGTGTAAGGGGGACCTTGAACCCCTCTGCGGTTAAATGCGCGTGCATGGCCCGCGCGCGCTCCTGCATATCCGGAATCCACCATAGCTTAACCCTTGAATACTGGAGAGGGATGGCGACGTACAATGTGATCCCTCAGACCCTCAGCCCATCCGTGATCCCGCGTGCATGGGACCTTCATCGCTGCGACGAGCTCCATGATGAACATTGCATAGTCTTTCATTTGCAGGCCAGCGAATTCCGACATGGTGTGGGTGGAGGAGTTTTGGGAGATAAGGTTGAAGGGCTGAAAAGGAACACATGTGGCCGACATTCCCAGGAGGCCCGGAATCTGTATAGGCACAAGAACGTGGGTAGAAGCGCCCCGTCGTGCTGATCGCGCACCCCCCCCCCCCCAGAAATATTCGCAATTCTATCGAGTGTGGGGCGGGGACAATATCTGGGCAGCTCAGAGGCCAGGAATAATAGTAATACAAGCGGTGACGTTATGCGAATGCAGTATCTACACCTCTTCATCATCGTCGTTCTCTTCCGACCCAGCCGGAACCTCGTTGTCTGCATCTGAGTCAGGCTGTTCTGCATACAAAGTGGGGACGGTCACCCCGGCTCCGCGGAGTGCGTTCGCCATAGTCACGAAGTCGGCAGCCATCCGATCCTGCTTCTGGCGGATGTAGTACAATGCAGTGTCGAAGCCGTTGACGTGGGTGGCGAGGTCGTCAGCATCGGCGGCAGATGTGGGAGCACCACGAAGTTTGTTCAGAAGGGCGGTCACCTTGTTGTTGTCCTGCTTCAGGTGCTCTTGTTCCTCCTCCAAACTCGTAATGCAAGCCTCGAGGTCTTGCAGTAGGTCCTTCTGCAACTCGCGAATGAGCGCATCGCAGTGAGTGCGAGGCATGGGTGGTACGTCGACATACGGGACGCGGCCTCTGACAGGACCTGCGTCCTCCACAGATGACGATTCTGCCGCATGACAGGCTCCTGAGGCGGTAGCCATCTTGCCACGGGATCACTTCGTCTGCGGTCCTGGTGATCCCGCAGTGTGGGTGGACATTGCTAGTGGGGGAGGAATTAGTGAAAGCGTGATCCAGGAGATATCGGCTTGGATGCACCTTGGGATTTCACCCTCTGCTTCGCATACGTGCACCTGCACCTCCATGCCTGACATCTGGTGCAGGATCCTCGCACGGAGGTGCCAAACTCGCAATCCACCTCGGCGATCTGACAGGCATCACAAGCGGGAATGTGGATCAATGGAGGTGGCACAGCACGATGCTCAACCTCGGTGAAATAATCACGGCCCAGCACGAGCCGCTCCATGGCGGCATTGATCTCATCTTGCGAAGGCTCCAGAAGGAGGGCACTGGGAAATGACTGCACGCGGGCGTGAACGATCACATCCACGAACGCTGTGCGAATTGCGTCGATCTTCCGGGGATCGAAATCCAACTCCCCGAAGTCGGTGAGGGTCTTGAAGCGAGCCTCCAGGACACCCTGATGGGAAAAAGGGGGTCAAAGGCGGACAGCGAAGAAGATGGAATACGAACCACCAACTCGGACAGCGCATGAGTCCACACCTGCTGCACCTGGTTTTGCGCGGACCTATCTCCCTTAGTGAGATGACCTTGGACTTGCGCCATGGCATCGCGGAGGTCGTACTCTGTGATAATACAAGCAGTGGAGACTTCAGCCATTTCAGCGGGAAATCGTGAAAAAGGGGGGGGGCTATACTACAGGCAACTGACCCGAGGGTGTGCGGAACCCACACATGAGATCGCGGGCGCTACGCGCAAACATCTACTCGCGCCGGAAGACCGGGCGCCAGAGTCAGTACTGCGGAATGGCGGATGAAGTGCCAGTGCCGCGGAGCGCCGACCAAGAAGTCTCGCAGAGTGCTGGATCAAGTGGCGGAGCGCCGACCGAGAGGATCTCGTATAGTGGCGGACTTAGACAATGTCACGCACCCAGTCTGGCGTCGCGTAGTATCCGCGGATCGTTCTTGTGTATGGGGCCCAAGTACCCTGACCGAGGATGGTCAGTATTTGAAGTGTTGAGGAGATGAAGGGACACAGAGCGCGCTGAGGTGGGAATCACATCCAGGAAGCGGTCTCACATTTTGGAGATACTACAGAGTGCTACACAAACTGACCCCTAGTCCGACATCAGTTGGAAGCTGGTTATCGGAGGAGGGCACACTACGAGCCCGAACACTACTTCCAATTCCTCAACTGTGATCCGCAACCGTCTCAAAGTACCATCTGCCAGCTCGCGTCTACCAGTGATTCCACACATGACATCATACAGTTCGCGGGCCGCGTTGCGCAATGTCTCAACCCGAAGGCGCAAGATTCCTGATGGCGATAAAAAGCTGAGGAACACGACTCCAGGAAAATAGGGACAGGACGACCGCGCACCAATGTCAGGGAGACCATCCGGTGGGTGGCCTAAACCAAAGTCCTCGCGGACAGCAGGGTCGTCATACAGAACACGAGCAGTCAAACCATGAGGAATGACCGCAGGAAGGTGATCCGCAATTTGGGGTATCATCTGACGACCACCTTCTACAGTGTGAGCTGTTGCCAGGTGTATTTCCACCTGGGCCAGAACAGGGATATCGTGCGGAAGGGGTAGGATGATCCCCACGCTGGCCGCTTCAGACTGGGCTTGGACCATAAGGACCTCAGGGTCATGTGAGGGTCAGACAGCAAAGGATCATATGCTCATGGGGGCCTCACCAGCAGGACATGCATCCGGACTGCCCATGCTTTCCACAGGATCGAATCGAAGGGCTCGGTAAAGATCTCAATGCGAAGAAGAGCTTCTGCGAGGGTGTATTTGTGAAGGATGATGCTGGCATTCATGGATGGGAGATTGAGTTTAGGATGGGAGATGCCTCCAAGATGGACGGGTCCTTATTAGGCGCTCGGGTGGGTTCGGTGATGGAAGGTCCCTCGGAATGAGTAGGAGCGTGAGGGGACGGGATTGTGAGATATGGCGTGATGGGCAGTGATTCAGCAGAGCAATTGTTAAGCAGATGCAGGCAGTATCGGGAGGGCAGGAAAGGTCAGGACTAGTTAAGTATGATGGCAGGGAAAAAGGGGAGGAGGAGAACCCACTGTCCCGGAAGGTACGCTTGCGAAAAGACTCGTTTCCCATTCCCATCCCATCCAGTTAGTGCGTCTTTGGGCAGTCTTGCGTTTTGTGCGTTTTCTGGGCAGTCTTCCATTTCTGCGTTTTAGCGTTCTCCTTAGGGCAGTGCGATTTTAGTCCAACGCGTTGTCCAGCAATCATTGCGACTACAGAGATTTTCCTAGCTACGCTTTTGGGCCACCCACCTCATACCTCTGGAATAGACTCTTCTCCCTTGTTGCATCTCAGACCCCACGCGGACTTGATTCCGCTCGTACTCCACCTTTCCGGCTTGCGACGGAACATCAAACACGTCAACGCACACCTCCAGCCCTTCCCGTTCTCGCTAGATCATGACCGTGCGTATGACTACGGTGCGCCCCGCTACCTGACCAGCAGCCGCTCTTCTTCATCCTCAGACCGCTCTGTGCCCCACAAATGCAGCTTCACCACCCTGCTCATGACGAGCGTGGAGGAGTGATACGAGCACGTGGCATACAAGGATGTCGACATGGGCTACGCGCTCGATCCAGAGGGCAGCCCCGTGGACAGCAGCACCAGTGGCGGTGAGAGGACGACCAGCTCAAGCCGCTCAGCTCTACGTCAGCGTCAGGATCCACAATGTCTCTCATGCTGCTCGGCAAGCCGCTTGGTACGAACAATTTCGTCACCATGCTGTACCAGTACGTGTGATGCATCGCAGCCATCTCTGTCCCTACTGACTCGCGAACACGCGTACAGGATGATCAACGACCCCAAGTCAGCACAATTCATTATGTGGATGGAGCTAGGTACTAGGTGGCTATTATTGTCCGGTCCTCCCATGTCCGTCGCATTAACTTTGCCTGCAGGTTTGTGGTGTCCAACGTGGGCGAGTTCAGCCGCTCAATCCTGGGCTCACACTTCAAGCACAATAATGTGAGCACCTCGAGCCCGTGTCTTGCTCCCCACGCAGCGCTAATCAGTCAACAGTTCTCAAGTTTTGTGCATCAACTCAATATGTATGGCTTTCACAAAATCAACTGCATGAGTGGCCCAACACATGTGTACTACTGCTCACCAACGGCCTCGTAGACACCCCGGGCACAGCGCACGTCCACCGATGTGCAGACGTGGGAGTTTTCACATCATAAGTTCCTGCATGGGTGGTCAGATTTACTGAAAGAGATCAATCGCAGCACCCCGAGTCCCTTGTCCCGCTGGACAGCCCGACGATGAGTGACGCGCTAATGCCTCCATCGAGCTGCGCACCCCCACCATCCCCGAGTTCCCCCCATCTCTCGTGCATCTGCCCTCATTGTATCAAGCACACCAACCCATAGAATAGATTCCAAAATGAGTGGAGACCTGTAAAGGGTATTAAAACCTGTCAGGACCTGTGAGTACCCGCGCAAAACCCGTACCCAGAAGCACGGATACCCTCACGGGTACAGGTACAGGTATGCCCTGGGATACCCGAGGGTATACCTGTGCTCTGCACTATTACTTGAGCACGATCAATGTTCAATACCGAGTATTCAGAAGAACCATTACTTGAGCACAATCAATGTTCAATACCGAGTCATCAGGCAACATACATTTTACTTTGATAATCTCATAAAGCATCTCTACTGTGTAGAAACGGACAGATGCTGAAATGATGTCATCTATTGTGGAGGCGCATCTCGAGGAGGTCAGGAAACTCCTGCTGGGCATCAAGCTCCATCTCGAAGCGGACGATAAAGTGTGACTATATCTCGAGATGCACGGGTGGTCACCCATTTCAGGTGCGAAACAGCTCGAGAAAATCATTAATTGGACAGTGCGCCAGTGATAGTAAGGTAGCTCATCGCCATACAAGACAAGTGTGGAAACTCATGGCAATGTGTGACCACCACACCTTTTTGACTGCTCCCATCTTGTGCTAAAAGATTTTTGCAGCAATATTAGTGGATGTTGAGCATCTCTTCAGCAAAGAACAGCTTCTCCTCTCTCACATCTGTAACGGTCTGTCAGCACAGTCAGTGCACACTCTCCTATGCCTTGCAGAGTCAAGTCGTCTTGGTCTCATTTTTGACAAAGATGTGTTGGCCATTACTTTGAGTCCAGAGGGCGAAGGGGAAGATGAAGGCCTTGTGGAGGGATGAGATGCCATAGTTCTTTCAGAGTAAATAGTTGTGTACTACCTGTTATTAGACATGACCCATGTGCATACTTGCAAGGGTACAGAACCTGCAGCAACCTGTGGCAAACCTATACCCATGCATGCGGGTACTATACCCTTACGAGTATGGGTAGGGGTACCGGTTAGGACACCTGCAGGTTTACCTATGCTCTGCACTAACGTACTCCAGTGCAGTAAGGGCTCAGCTTCAGAATATGAAATGCAATGAAGGAGCAAACCTAGATCAGACGCTCAAGTTCCATGAAGAGCTGTCATCAATGGGCACAGCAATGGTAAATGCATTACATATTCAATTTTTACATACACATTGTCAGATTGTAGGTGAATACTATAAATGACCAGGATATGAATAAAGAAATGTCAAACTAACACCAGTACTTGAACACAATTGAAAACTACAATGGTTCAACATCTCTGACAATACAGTAAGGCTGAGTATATGTGTTGGTGAATGTTAAAAACTCAAACTCACAAGACAGATCGTTCAAGATAACTTTCTAACTGATGTGCTTGCCCTTTAGTGCAGCAGCCCCATTCAGACATTTGGGAGGATTTCGACTGTTGTGGGTAAAAATGCAGTTTTCTTGTTCTACACATACTCAGTCAAGAAGATATGAAAAATTGACAGTGATTGTTTACCACAGGTGTTGGAGGCCCAACATCTACTTTAACATCTCTGGTGGTTTGAATTGAGATTTCTAGACACTGCATCGCTTCAGCTTCATTGAGTGATATCAACAGTAAGAGCAACTGACTGTCTCATCGCATAATCCACCAAGATGGTTTTGTACAGGGATAGAGCTCACGACTCCACAGGAGGTGCTCATTGGAGATAAAGACACAGAGGTGGTAATAGGCCAAGTACTGTTATTTAACAGATGTTGCCTTGCATTCAGAGAAGTCAAGAGAGAGTTTAACAACACTTAAGTGAAGGTTGAGCTCATAGGTTAATGGAAGTGAGTGAACGCTCACATTTTGGTAATACAAAATAAATTACCAAGCATATGAAACTATAAGGCATAACTGCATGCTGCAAACAGATTTAGCATAGGTCATAGAATGATATATGCAGATAAGAACTCACTGTCACCAGGCAAGTGATCACACATAAGCTACAATGATTCCAAAAATTAAGGCATACATCATGTGATGGGCCACTGCAGCCTCACCTTGTTAAAACACAGGTATTGACACTGTACAACATGATGGTCATAAGCATCAAGTGAGTCCTTCTATAGATTGCTCATATCAGAGTGTTTAATGACTCTATGAGTTTCAGGACACACCTTGAGAAGCCAGTGCATTGTGGTTTCAACAGCACACAAAGGGATGTGGCAATAAGGACATCTGCAATGACACCACCCACTAAATCTACATATACAACCCACTGTTGGGAATTGTAGCATTGCTGAAGAATATCTCATTAGTTTTGGCTTACTGCCATCTCTTCTAGCTTCACCCAGTCCTGTACAACAAAACTGTGCGAGTTTGCCATCACTTCAGACACCAAACAACTAATGCAAAGGACCTGTACCCTTTGACAGTGATTACTATACATGGAACATCAGACAAACACAAGATGACCATAAGCAGGCAGGACAGCACATACCTGTGTTGCAGACTGTAAAAATAGTATCAGTGATCCTACGATATTGGATGCTGTTTCTGAATGCTTACCCATGGCCATCATGAAGGCAGTGACCTACAAAACAAAAAAATCACTTACATCCACTCAAAGCACAAATTAGTGGAGCCCTACTGCAGGAAAAGTGAGAGATATCCTTCTGTTGCTCACTGACATATATAACTTGTGGGTGAGCGGCGCTGCATTCGCACGCCATGTCCGATTCCCTAGTCCCCCTACGTATATTCACAGCATCGATTTCTGCAAGAGCGACATGTGATAAGGCGGTAGTCATAGTAATAGTATACAAGAAAATCCCGTAGTCAAGCCATGTAAATTTACAGTGGCAATCACTGCAAGCGAATAGTGGGGAAGAAAATAAATGTAGGTAGCGCAGATTACAAGCAGTAGCACAGGCTCATATAAGATAGAGGCTATTTAGATGAATGATGAAACTTCCGCGCGTGGGACAACAGCTCTAATCTCCTGGGGCCCATCATACAGACGTGCTATAGTGATGAGTTCGAAACCTGTCCGCCACTTGGTCCAGCCCTTCTCGTATGAAGCCTTACCTTTAGCATTGACACTCCAACGACTGACGTTACATTCGACCAGGACGAGATCATTTTTGTGGATGTCCGTGACATGCATCTGTCTCATAGTGTTCCTGGGGCCGAACTTGGTGTCGGCATCAAATATGTCTTGGAAGGCTTCCACCTTAAAGCAATGAATAACAAATATTTGTTGAAAAGAAGAAATTCAACATACAGAAGCATACTCTCCACTCCCGGTGCTCTGGAAGCGTGACGCTTTCAAAACATCTGAAGTGTTTGAACCGATCTTGATGCTCACAACGGCCAAGGGTTCACCACGAAGTTTGAACCAAGATGAGTCGACTTCTCCGATGAGCCACACAGTAGCTGGTTTATTGTCTACGATGAGGAGAGGATATAAATCCAAAGCTGCAAGTGTCGACATCAGCAAGAGAGAGAAGGAGGGAGGAAGTATCAGGCACACTCACATCTATGCAGCATACAGAATCTACATGAAGAGTGAATGCAGCTGCGAGAAGATAGAGGATGGGTGCAGAGATGCAGACAATCACCCCCAGCCATCAGTCCTCCTCCAGTCTTTCATCGGAAATAAACTTTCAAGGAATGCCGGCCGACTTTGTGTTGCGGAAATCTTGAACAGGAAGCAGGAAACCCGAAGTGAATCGGGTGGCCTAAAGATGGAAAGTAAAAAAAGCGGATAACCATTCTAAGAGAAAATTACTATATGCAGTGCGGGTACAACTTTATGTCAGCAACCACCATACGTGCACAGACTGATAACCGATTCTTTAGGGAATCAGAATAAGCTCTCCACATAGAGCCTCACAATGGGAAGGCATGCTCACACCTCCATATTCGCTGGCAGAAAAGACTGATAGGGCTAATCAATTCACCAGAACAGTCATAGAATGAGGTAATTATGCACCATCTCACAGTCAGATCACTTGTACCCTTTCCCAGCAATGAGTAGGATGCAGCATATGCAGAATAACATGCAGCTCACAGTCACCAACACATTGGCCTAATCAAGTTGTGGACAACATAAGGCATCATTTATATAGTAACTGCTGCAGGAATACTCACCATGACACTCCTACAAACCATACTATGTTCAGCCATTGACACCAGAACAATTGTGGCTCAAAAACACACCATGTTGGTAAGTTGAGGAGCGACACATCAGCAAAATCTGTGATCGTATATATATACATGCCATGAGTGACAAATGCCAGCTGTGAACTGTCCAGTATCCTGCTGTCCAGTCACTACAGCTGTGTGTGATTTGTCTGCTGGAATCTCACCAGAGAAAGAACATCTAGTAACAAACATCATTAGTCTTTCATTTCACTGTATCTATCACAAACGTACTGTGCTCTTCAGCAAAATGGAATCTGCGTGGTTGCGTTGGTAGTAGATGAATGTCTGAATGACGGTAATTCCATAGAAGCTAAATGGAAGTTGTGTCAGTTCAATAATAGCACTCATACACAGACTAGGTAGAGACATTGCTGCTACCACATTTCCTGCAACATCATTCAGTGAAGTAGATAGTAGTTATGTAGATGTGACAGACCTAGATAACCAGCTCCCAAGATTCTGCCAAGATCAAAGGCAGAATTAGACGGCATGAAAATGGGCATTTATACTAATACTGCAGACTGAGTTGTGTATTAAGTGAATGACAAGTCGTCGATGAGGGCACATTGCTGTAACCATTCTTATATGCACTGAACAAGGTCATATCAGCATGCAGCATAGCTTCTGGCACCTTTCACAGCTGTTTCTGATGCTTCATAATATTGTGTGACCGAGAAGACTTCGTCATCAGATGTGCCGCTAAAGATAGTGAACATGAACTGGATCCAGCCAATAAGTACAGAATGTCTCACCTAGCTCCTTGATATGGTGCATCCGGCTACATTGCATAGAAGAGGCAGCAAATACTGAGCCCATTTATACGGACAGATCATTGACGCATGTCGAGTCAATGGCCAAGCAATCATCCTTGGTCTCTTGAAAGGGCCTCGAATTTGAGGGGACAAAAGCTTGGGTTGATCCTTCTGCTTGTAGGTATTAATATTAAGTGCATTGTTGTTGTGGAACGCTGAAGGAAGTAATGAGGGATGTATCAATATTGAAGACTCTGAAATCTTACAATGTCGAGCGGCAGCCTTGTTTCCACCCGAGACCTACGCAATCAGATGACCAGAAAGATGGATCACAGGTTAAACTTTCTTGAACTAGAAGACAACCAGAAACAACTACTCAACACAGCGCATGCAAATACACAATCCAATGAGTAAATCAAATGTATCCCGCGGTGGACGATGTGATTACTTACCATGCCTCACGTTCAGCACTGGATCCAGTCAATGGCCATCAAACATAATCACAGTGAAAAGATGTGAACTCACAGGAAGGAAACAACCGGTACGTTGGGATTCACTTATGCGATGAAGCCCACAACTTAATAACAATATGTATGCCCTTGTTCCAAACTCAATCAGGCGAGAGCATGACAAGAGAAAGATTGAAAATTAGTCCAACCCAAGAGCGCCTAAGTTATGCTAGATACCACTGGAGTGAAGTGGACGCAAAGCTCTTCTGATTCTGGCCCTCAGGGTCCGTCTAGCACAACGCGGAAAGGTAACAACCTACCAATGACCGATATCCAAACGCAAATGTGGAAGAAGAGCATCGGTCTGTATGTTAACTTGAAGAACCGACTCTACCCATGTTTTCTGCGGTCGTCTAGCAGCTTTGACTTACGAGAAACTGGCACAACAAGCTTTGAAGATCGTTTCCTGTGTACGGCATGCGCGAAGGAAGTGTACTTTAAACACAGGATTCATGTTCAGCGCCGGAGACCTTATCGAGAAGCACACAGTCTTGCTGAGACCTTGCATTAGATGCATAGGTCTGAGTCTCGGAATCTCGGAATCAAATCAACAACCATCAAACATAATCACAGTAGAAAGATCTGTACTCAACGAAGCGGAGACAACCGACAAGTCGTAGTCCACGAGACGTCGAAGTCCCCGACAGGCGCGCGTACAGCAACGACCCAAACTCAATCGCTCGAACACATGATAAGGGAAGGACAGTGTGAGAATTAGTCCGACTCGAGAGACACAGCCTCGTCAACAGATGTAACCACAAAGGAGGAAGATATCGAACATTAGACTACGTGCATAGATAACACAACAGCGGCCTTGCGGACCTGCAGAAGAATATACGCGGGTGGACAGGAGATGCGAGAACGGGCACGAGGCGCTCAGTGGTGCGTCGCCTTTACGACGGACACGACAATGATGATGATGATAATAGCGATAGCCACTCCTATAATGATGCGCATCTGACCCTACAGTGTCAGCTTTTGGACTTAAAGTTTGGGTTGCAGGTGACGTACCTTCATGTCCTTCCACCTGAATCCACGAGGCAGTTCAGCGTCCCAACAAGTAGCCGAACAATGTATGCAGACTTACCACATATTCTATAGGACAGATAATGATCAATGTCAATAGGAGGGGGTCAGGCATTTCCGACATACCTTGCGTACACGATTCGCACCTCTGCGGAATCCTTGCGCAGATACAGCGAGGGTGTCTGCATACCAAGTTTGTTCAGCAATCCATCAAGACTGGTGGGTACGACTGCTCGGGCAATACAGCCGCCGCCATCAACACCGTCGCCGCAGTAGCCGCACACGAGGTACCCGCATCACGACAGATAACTCACCCGTCTTATTTTGCAGCGTGTCAAGCCTCTCTCCTCGCTCCGCCACTTTCGTGATGTTCTCCCTCATAATCCCAACAGTGTCATCGATTTGTTGTTGGATGGCTGCGGTTTTTGGGTTGCCCTGCGGAGGTCCGGGAGGGTTCGACGAGGAGCCGCCGCGGGGGAGATATGGATCGTATGGTTCAGACCTACATGAACAGCAACGAAGGGGCAAGACAAATGTTCAGTACACTGTAATCAGGCATTGCACAGCGGAAGAGATACGAACATGGCTTTAGGCTGAGGATCTTGGTTTCCAGGCAGTTCAAAAACGACGATGAGCTTCACGGGACGAAGAAGAGAGCCAGCGCCAGAGCAGTCTGCTCACCGTATCAAACGATGTAGAACAGGGAGGGGCGTGAAATCTGATCGTTGGTGGTCGTCGTCGAGAGTGACGAAGGGAGATGCCGCTGGCGGCAGTCAAGACCGAGCCGGAACCAAACACAGCCAATCGCGTGCACAGTTGCCACCACCGCTGCGCGTAAGCGATACGCCAAATCACGCCGTGTCAGACTGCAACTTACACCCCTGCTTGCACACTCGTCTCTTCGGATGCGTCGTATGGATTGGCATGGCATGATAGGCATATGTAAGCGACTTGTACAATAGACAGTACAAGGGTATCTAGGGGAGAGGGTGATATAGCACCGTGGGTCAAGAAACCATCCGGCCGGTGCGATAATATGTACTAACAGTCCGTACAATGTTCAAGTTCCATATAACGATAGAAAATGAGTGGGAGAATAGGAGAAATGTTCTACACGTGCCTTTAGACTGAGACCTACAATACAACCCGAGAAATTATTCCTCTTCACCTTCATCCTCCTCTTGTATCGGATGCCGGAATGCAGGCCCAGATCGTCCTGCAGGGAGCTGCCGCCTTCCAGCCCGAGTGTCCGCTGGCTCAAACGAAGGCTCCGTAGGTAGGGGCGAGCTTCTCCCGACAGGCGAACGGCCAGCCTTCCCTCGAGTCCCCCTCCCTGCAGCACTTCCTGAACCAGAGCTAGTATTCGTCATTGTTCGTTTTCCGGTAGCACGACTGAATCCCCCTCTTGGTGGTGGCGACAATAATGGCGTATCCACTATTTGCGGATACGGTGACGTCGAACTCGACGCGATAGCGGGCATCTGACCCAGCCCTCCGGCATACCCGGCATATCCAGGCCCGTCGTCATCTTCGTCCACCCAGTCTGACTCGTCACCCATACTGAGCGACTGACGCCCAGAAAAGACATCACGTATTCCGAGTGGGGCATCTGGGGCAGGAGAAATCGCAAGGACCTCGATAGCAGGGTGTGCCGACCGCGTCTGCCAACCGGGAGGCTCGAGACCCCATGATTTCTTCCAGCTTGATCTCCCGAAGGAGTTCAGATATCCGCTCCCGCTCGGGTTGCTAAATGGTGTTTGTCGCTTGTGCGCGACAAACGTGGTCGGTAAATGTGCCCGCCGGGGGGTCTCCTCCAACGAACGCCTTGGAGTGGGCTTCACTGGCGAGCTATTCCTACGGCCATCGCTCTCCGAGAGCTCATATGACGAGCCTTGACGCGACGAAGCCAAAGAATGGACGGAAGACGCAGAGTTCGACCGGAGATGAGATTGTGGTGCTGCTTGCATCTGTCGGATAACGCGCGTCGAAGAGCCCGATCCACCTCTTCTGTGATACTTCGGGAGCGGCGACGCAGTACGCGCAGGGTACATTGAGCCCGTGGAGCTCACAGAGGGAGATTTCCTATGCCGTTGCTGGTTCGTGAAACTGCGAACCGAAGACGGCCTCGAGACAAACTCCTCTCGCTCCGAATTTGGCGTATGGCTGCCAAAAGACCGGCGGGCCGGATCGTTCCTTTGGCGGGACATGCTCGCAACCTGGTCGGCCGAGAACGGCGGAGACTCCAGCATTGCAAACTGGGCAGAGTGCACAGACGAACGTCGCGAGTTGACGCTGCTGGACCGACGCGATGACACCGACGCTCGCTTTGCGCGCTGTGCCTTCCGTCCAGTAGCGAACCTGCTTCGAGAGCCGCTACCGCGCCGCTTCGGGGCACCGCGGGTCCGCCCCTGCGCAGGACTTGTGGTCGGGCTATTTAATGTCTGCGGGAATGACTGGCTTGCTGTCGGGATCACGATCTCCTCCTTCCGCTTCCCCTTCGGATCCTCCTTGAACCACATGCGGAAGGTGGAAAGCAAACTGGCTCGGTTCCGGTTACCGATTTTACTCCCAGATATATTCGGGAGGGCAGAAAGCGTGTCGGCGGGAGATCCGGTAGGCGGTGGGGAGCCCTTGGCTCCCGCCATGATCCACGGGGACCCCATGGCCGGAAGTTGCGCGTCCATACTAGAAGGGGGGGTGGCAGGAACCCCTGCGTCCTTCATGGCACGCAATGGTGGCGTCTTCGCAGTCCTGCTGGAGCCACTCCCATGCGAGGGGCGGGATTCCTCGCCGCTCGTTACTCGCTTCTCGGAGTTTCGCTCCTTCTCGCGCACAACCTCAGTGGACTTCTTCCGTACCAACCCTGCTGCTTCGAGGGCAGTGGTTGCCCGCTGCATGATACTAACGCTTCCCGACCGATTCTTGCGTCCTTTCGAGCCGGAGTTGGAGCTATTTGTGCTGCCTCCAGGTGTCGAAGGGTGCGAGCGAGTAGCTGTTTCTGCTATGGAATGGGATGGTGATAGAAGTGGGTTGTTGGGAGACTTCGTGCGTGGGGGGGTGGACGGGGTTACGGTGGACGCGACCGTAGGGGTCGGGGGAATGAACTGCAATTCTGGTGCTGAATACGCTGAGACTAATGTAGCGGAAATGGATGGGATGGATTCGCCAGGTGTGTTTGCGCGTGATGATACAGTCCCTTTGTCCTCGATTGGTGATTTACTATTTTCCATTTTCAATGCGTCATACCGCTTCAAGTCTTCTTGCACTTCCACTGTGTCTGGTGTTGACTTGGAAGTTCCTTCCTCAAGAGCCTTCCTCTCTGCCTTGCGTTTTAACAGCCACCACAAAGCACCTGTAGCATCACATGCATCCGTGAGTACTGAATGCACAATCTGGCCAGTGTCCAAGCCGAGGTTGCTCAATGAATTCAGGAGATCTCGCTCGAGCGGCGTGGAGAAGATGATTGGAGCAGGCGTAATCAACAAAGAGGAGAAGTCTTGTTGAGGCGCAGGCAGGATTGACTTGTCGAATGTTGGCGTTGAGGGGTCAGAGAGAGTGGAGGAGACGGATCGTCGCTTAGTGCGGGCCGGTGTCCGGGGAGGATAGGCGGGAGGGACCTTGGAGGACGCATTTGAACCGGAAATGGGACGCGAGAGCGACAGTCGAGGAGGTATCTGGTCGGGACTTGACGGCACTTCGCGGGGAGACGCTTCCTCCAGTTCGGGAAGCGTCTCAAGATCATCCTCAAGCAGAACGTTCGGTTGCGCGGCTCTGACCTGGTCGAGGAAAGACAGCTCGGCTTTGAGGATGCCCTCGCTTATTTCGGCATCTGGGTGGCTCTGCGTGCTAAAAGACTTATTTGTAGCGCGGTCGTCAGGCGTGACTGGTCCGGAAGTGGGGAATTCGGAGGAAGCGGAGTGATATGTAGAATGCGAATTTCCTGATGATGCTGAGGGTGGTTGCGACTTTCCTGCGGGCGACGCAGGACGAAGAGTGGGCGGGGAAGGTGGGCGCGAGCCAATAGGCGAACTGGTTTGAGACGCGACTGCGTGTATGGGCACAAGGGAACGAGGCGTGAACCAAGGGTGTGCCAAGATCTGCGAGATTTGTGGTCTGACAGACGGGTCTACCTGCAGTATACTCTTAATCAAATCACGTGCCTCTGAAAAATCCAATGTGAGCAACGTCACGACGAGGAAGTCGTTCTGCATACCATCAGAAAGCCATTCTGGGTCTTCGAACACCCCCTTCACGACTTTCTCCTTCATCACGCTGTCGTCGTCGTCATCAAACGGCAGCGTGCCCGTCAGAAGAGTGTAGAGAATGATCCCCAGTGACCAAATGTCCACCTCTACAGTCATACGCTTCAATGAGAATCGACCTCACAGACTGATCGAACGCGCGGCTTGCCTGGACCGAGATACTTCTTGGCCAACAGCATCTCGGGAGAAGCGTACCCTGTGGTACCGCAGAACGTCTCCAGGAGCGTGCCCCGCTCGAACTCGCGCGTGAACCCAAAGTCGCCCAGTTTCACGCGACAGCGCTCGTCCAGAAGCACGTTCTCCAGCTTCAAATCACGGTGCACGATGCCCTTTTCATGGACGTAGGCAACCGCAAGACACAGTTGTCCAAATAACACGCGCGTCTCGGCCTCATCAAGGCGGCCCTTCTCCGCGAGGTAGTCGAAGAGCTCACCGCCGGAACAGAGCTCCGTAACGAGCCAGATATTGGACTCCGTGGCGATAACTTCGTAAAGCTGTGTTACATGTGGATGATGCAGCTGTCGATGATGGTGTATCTCCCTCGTTAATGAGGCAGACATAGCCTTCGGGATCTGCTTGATTGCGACACGAGTGCCGGTTAGGCGGTGTACACCGAGACGTACTTTCCCGTACGTTCCTGCAGAACGGCATAAGTTCATCACTTCCGCGGCATGACTCGTGGTCGCGTACCTTCTCCTATAACCTTCCCTAACGTATAATTGCCGACTACTCTGATTCTCTGCGATGAAAGTTCCTTGCCCAGTTCATTATATGCGTTAGCGAGTTGTGCTTTGTGGTTCTGTGACAGAGACGTGGAATGCCGGTGGCCATCGGAAGTCATATCGACATATACAAGATTTCAGAAAGGAACGACACGGGCAATGCAGCCTCGGAGAATTTACAGTTCGGAACGGGTGGAGGGCGTGTGTGTCATGGTTACATTGAGTCACGCCTGTAAGTGACAGTTTGTCACGCTCCAAGTTCGCTCAAGACTTTTGAGTCTTGACTGAGTTCGTCAACTCATACGCAGCTGAACAGTGGTCTTATGTGTACCAAAGGCTGGAATTGCGCTTAATGCAGAGTGGACGTTTCGCGTTATTTGAAGACAACTAACCGACGTACCTCCTACAGCGTCTCGCGTTACTCCGAGACGGCTCTGCCCCCGTCTTATTTGAAGGCGCGTATTGCGTCCAATCGAACATCTGACCCCGTGAGTTATTGAACCTAGACACAACCATTTACTCTATCACATTATGGCGTGAAATGAACGTGAATGTTGACATGGTCGACTTGAATGATTCCGGTGAGTATCCCTTGTCGTTGGTCATTAAGTATCAGTGAAATGCGTCAATCGAACCAAATATATCTACATTTCGAGCTAGGTATGCAGGCAGGTAAGTCTAATGCTAGCACTTGGATAACACTACTGCCATTCTACCCCACGATCAGAATTTTCGCTCGCGTTGGGTCCCTCGTGAGCCAAGTATTTTTAACGGATTGCCTCGGTATCATGTACCGGTCGCCTGGCCACAGTATGAGGAACGTAGAAAACAACACGCAATTGCTAGAACAGTATTTGTTGACTATGCATTGCAGCCCGTGCCACTGGTCTAGCACCGCCAACAGGGCACATGAAGAATAATCGCAGTGACCGTTCAAACACTTACCTGCAGTCGTAACTGTTGACGTTATTTTTTCAAAGTCAAACGGTAAGCATGCGGTCAACATTACTGAGCACGCTGACGAGCATAACGGGCATCTTAGCAGTGACAGTTTGGACCGCATACAGGCTCTTTCCGAACACATATTCCCTGCTGAGTAGCATCGGAGAAGATCGATGCGGCGTTTTCAGGAGTTCCAGCGCAGGACTTTGAAGTGAAACAGTGGAGTGAAGGCCCCGGGTCGACATCATATGCATGGACTTTTACTTTTCCTGGCATGCATTTCCTTCACAGAATTGAGCAGGATCTCAGTGGCAGTTAATAACGCGCAAGGCATTAGGGCACAGCTTATGGCCCATCTGATCGTGTGTAGCCTCTTCCACGCGACGTGCCCGATCGCTGTTTTAAGTTCAGGGATGCGGAGAAGCGTTGGTCTGCGCCCTGGAGGCTTTCATTGCACACTTCCCTCATTCGAACGGTCCGCTCCATCAGCACCCTCCATGCTCCACTCTTCGACTTGCTTTGGCAGCGAAGGCACCATATTCGCATACTCTCGATCGATCCAACAATACAGGATTCTTTTCTGATGCGCGCGTCCTCGGGGCCATCTAGGTGTGCCGCCCGATGACCCTAGGCGGAGAGCACAGCCACAGAATGATTTTTGTCTCAGTGATTTGCGGCGCATTTTCCTCTATATGGCCGGAGGTGTTTCCCATAGGACTTCTCTGCACTGATGCATGTCTATCACATTTTTGAACAGCGTTGGTGAGCAACTTTTACCCTCTCCCTGATCTATGCACGGTTCAGATAAGCGGCTAAGCCCTACATGCCTGGTCACCCTCCAGCCATGGACTTTACCCCCCCACGACCGTCCATGTGGGTCACCTATCGCCAGCGAGGGGTAGCCCTACACCCTATGTCTACCTGCTGACGCCAGGCATGTAAGACAGCATGCTCCGCCTCCTTACCAAGTGTGCAGTGAGTTCCAGTATCCCCCTCACACTATGTCCGTCCGCTGACACAGACGCAGAGCCCAGGCTACTTGCACTTGGTGCTTGGAGTTCCTGCCTTCTTCGTGGAGCGCGACAGATGCTGCTGCACGGCGCGATTATCTGTGCCCTCCCCACCTGCAAGGTCCGTCCGCCCATTCAAACACACAGCGCAGCATACTGGGCTGTGTTTTTGAATTTTCTGCCCACAAGACAGACGCTGCTGCCTGGCGCATGACACTGTCCATCTGTGCGGCACGTACACCTGGCAGACCCCCCCCACCGCATGTGACTGCACGTCATACCCCAACGGGCCAGTCACATCGAGCGAAGCTCTCCAGCGGCACCGTCTCTTGTATGCAGCTGCACGACCCTTGCGAAACAACCTGGGCCTGAGACATGGATCCGAGTCTCATGCAATTTGCTGTGTGTTCTTCCCAGTGCTTATTTCTGCGGGGCTTCGGATCGGTATAACCTCGCGCGGATGTCCACTTCGCCTTCGTCTTCGCGCGGGCGTGATAGAGTTGTGCCTGCACCACGGCGCTTTGAGTCTTCCACAGTGAAAAGTTCTCACCACCGCCGTTGTGGTAACAGAACGGTGGGAAACCCTGCGCCAGCGTACTCACTGACTGACATCCAATTGCAAATCGCACACAGTGTGTTCTGTCTTGCCCAGGGCAGAGGGCAACGATAACGCGTGTAAAAGTCATCGAATTCGTGATATTCGTATTCAGTATCGTAAACTCGTTCTAAGTGCGAGGTAAGGAAGACGATAAAAAAGACAATTTTTGCTACACGAGTGGTTAGTTCGAGAAGTTCGACAGAGAAGTATTCCAGGCAGAGAAATTACAGGATAAGAATTATAAGTAGAACTCCGTAAAGATATGCACAAAGAAGCTGAAGTTGATAAACACAGAAAAAAGGGGAATCGGCCACAGAGGTGGAGAAATCTGAACGGGAAGGTAATAACCAAGGATCCCAAGAAAAAATATAAGCGGCTAAATATGTGCACAGAACGGGGCAAAGGGGAGCTAAGTTCCAGTGTCAATCCATGACGTAGAGAAACAAATAAGAGGAGCAACTCAGCAATAGACGTCTAGTATCATACTGAGACCACAGGTATAACGTGTAATAGATAGCGCTCATGAGGCAGCCGCTAAGGCGAGTGCGCGGAAAACGGAGTCTTGTATCGTGGTGGAGGTGTGGGGACGGCGGACGACGTGTGGCCTGATGACAAAGTGGAATGAAACCTATCCGATCTTCCTGTCGGCAGGTGCGCAGCGTCAATAGAGGGAATCCAGCGCTGGATCAGCTGGACCCTCCGCGCGTCCCTCTGCTTCTCCTTTTCTTTCTCGTCCGAGCTGGAGCTGCTGGTACGAGTCATTTTTAGAGGCGGCGGAGGGCTCGAGAGCCGGCGCGCCTTGCTGGGCATAGAGTGAGGAGCCTCTGCTCCTATCGATGAAGAGTGTGTGATAGCAGGTGTCGCGGTGCGTACGGAAGGCGTCATGGATCGTAAGTGAGGCGCAGTGGACTGGGACCGGGCGTGAAGGGAGCTAGTGTTCCCGCGCGCAAGGGGGGACTGAATGGAAGGCGCGTAGGAAGCGCGTGTAGGAGAAGTCGGAGAAGTAGCGCCTGAACGTGCAGAAGGAAGAATAGAAGAAGTAGACTGAGGACGAGGAGGCGAAATAAGGCCGCCGTTTTGGAGAGAAGAAATGGTGCCTGGGGGTGGCATCGCGGGTACCCCGAGGCTCGGTGCCACAGTCTTGATCTTGTGACGACTAAACTCTGCGCGAAGGGACTGACATTCCTGCGCCTTCGCCGAATATTGCGCTCGCTAGACAAAATAATGTCAATGACCATGCTAAATCGTGATAATGAAGGTACCGTACCACTCTGTGAATACCTAATCAGTACCTATATGCAAGAATGACAAGCTATGTACTCACTTGCGCAGTTCCGCCTCTAGCTGAGTCTTATCCGACTCAGCTTCCTCCAACTTCTGCCTGAGGTTCGCTTCGACACTCTTAGCATGCTTGGTGGCCTCAGAATGTGCGAGATGGTTCACGAGAATGGCACGTAGCAGGGCGGCGCTGAGCTGAAGAGAAGAGACCTGTACGTCCATGTCATGTATCAGCCAAGATCCCCTTGTTGAAGAGAACATCGACACGAACCTGATCATCGGGCTTGGAGTCAGACGTCAACCACACCTGAAGCTCCTTGTGGAGTGTCGTGACCTCCTCGACAGAACACTTCTTCGCTGCGACTTTGGCGACTTTGTACTCGAGCCGCCGCGCCTCTGCGCGTGTTTTGAGAAGGCCGGGGTTCAACAGCAAGATATCATCATCGCTCCCATCGGCAGGCTGGTGGTTGGCCTCGATGGTACCTGTGCGGGGAGTCGCATAGCCGCTGGAGCCGAAGTCAAGACGAATCAAACGAATGTCGTCGCTGGTGAACTGCACGCGACAGAAAGGACAGGAGGGAGTAAGACGTGGCGACGTTTTCTGGAGTATGTTGTTGCAGCAGTCGAGACATAGTACATGTCCTACGAGTGGACGAACCAAAAAAAATTTGCTAAGACTTCGGCCGGAATAAAATTTCCATCTGATGCAAGACTCACCACAAGGAATGGAATGAGGGTAGTTGTGCGGGCCATACTCCTCTGCGCAGACGTCGCAGAGCGAGCCGGGATTAAGGGAAATCATAGGGAAGACCCTCGGTAAGTGAACAGAACTGAAGGAGGCAAGGGTTGATCATTGAACAAGACGGAGTCAAATGAGTCATGGATTATAAGTAGCGCGAGAGCCATGGCTGCCCAAAACAGGCAGCATCACAAAGCATTCGGCTGCACCGCCCGCACGCGCTTCCTAGCCCATGCCCTCTGCCGCTGACCGACACGAGGTTTTCATTCACTCACCTTCAATAATGTTCTCTTCCCGGCCAGCCTCTGCCTCCTCCACACTTGTCAATATACTCTCCCCCACAGTGGTTGGCTCTCGCAGGGACCGGCGGCAGACTGCGGAACTAGAACTGGTCCTGCACGGGGCATGAGACTGGGTCCGAGGGATAATAGAGTTGCCATGTCTATACCTGTTCTTGACCTGAAAAGTTCTCGGCCAGTAAGAGAAGAGCCACGAAGTCCCTGGATGAAGCGGAGGAGCAACAGAGGTGAAATTTTCCGAGCAGCCGAAGTTTCTAGCTGCGCAAATTTAGGTCCTTCGCTAACAAATGTAACCAAAACTCGTCGCCGCCTTCCTTCATGAACATCATCCTCAGAATAATTGCTCGGTCACGACTTTCGGCTTTATGGTCTCACAATGGTTATGTTCTGTGTTTTCATCACCGGCGGATTCTGGCCCTGAAGGCCTGACCTTTCGACACGCATGACACATGATTTAACCGTGCCTCCAGGTGACAAATATTGTACGCGACAAACTCGACACCCTTTTGATCTCCTGATTCCCCCTCTTGTGTATACACCATCACTACTGGTAAAGATCAAGAAATCGATAGTACGCTGACGTACTAACGTCTCTCACAGTTGACGGCACCATATAAGGGCCTACCGCCCTCATGATTCCACTGGCGGGAGCAAGACAATGGTGTTTCCACAGTTGGCTCAGTGCATTTATTTGCGATCGCTTGGTCGGTTCAAGAACTCCTCCTTCAACTGTTCGCCTGTGGTACGGCCTGAATTTGGCTTGCAAGCTAGCGATCGATCGACAGGCCTTTTACGTGCTGAGCAGAGTCGACGTGTCGTGGGCTGCAGCCCTCTCCTTCGTTTGTCAAGATTGTGTCCAAATACAATAATCGACCCCCTCGCCGTCGGCTTCTTGCTACATCCAAGTTGGCCTTTTTCGCGGCTCCGGTATCTGTAGGATCTAAGTACATTTTGGCTATCCAGCATCCTTGTAATACGGTTATCTTCACACTGGATAACTTCGATCCACCCGGCCTCATCCTCGTCTCTCCCCGATTGACATCACTGCCAAAGTCCCCCCATCTCATCGATACGATGGCTCCCACATAGAAAGTTGTCGCAAAGGCTCGAAACATTCGAATTCGCCAACACCCAAACGTCACTGATCATCGCTCCTGGACTGCAATGACGCAATGCTACAAATATCCCGAAGTTGGTTGCAGGAAAGTTTCATTTCAGCTGCGGCCTTCGACTTCCGATTGCGCCATGGCTCGAATACGGGATCCGCTGGCCCGAGCAAATCCGTGGGCACGTTCGTATTAGGCATCGCCGGGCGAATCGGAATGTGAGACGCTGCGACCATTGATTATCGACGATCATCCGCAATGGAAAGTACCCTCGGTGTCTCCGATGTCTTCGTCTTCATCGGGTCTTCATGGCATCCCTCGTTCCAGGATCCAGCTTGCCGCGGGCTCCAACTTGGGCTCCCCAGCTCTCGCCTTCAATATTCTAGCTCTTGCTTCTGCGCGTTCATGCATGGAGTGTGCTCATAAATTCAGTCATCATCCCGCATGCGGATCTCGGAACGTATTTTCGGAACATCGCGCTTCGCTGGAGATTGGCACAGGAGATGGCCATGGGGTCTGATAGGCTCCACCATTCAGTCCCCCCTCTTCATCGGACGGTCTGTTCCTTACTGAACTCCCTTCTGAATCCTTACACTGTGGCGTCTCCCGTAATTTGGCGCTGTCCTCTTCTGGTTCCGTGCCTTCAGAGTGCTTCCCCGTTCAGCTTCTGCGGCACCCGACCACCCGACGGCGTCCATCCGCAGCTCGCCGGGCAGGTTCTTCGTCCGACACGCGTTCGACCGTGCGAGCCGCAGCGCGGTATGGGAATATGGGCACTCTCTCACGGAATGTTGACTTGCTTTGTTGCCGGGAGTTGTGGAGGCGTGCCTCGCATTTTGCGCGCGTTCGCGTTTTGCGTCCGCGGGACCCTCCGATAAGGCCACGTGTTGGTCTTCCATGTCGCTGCATGCAATTCGCGGGAGTGGTATCGCGCTCGAGGTTCGCGCGACGACAATATCAATTTGTTTTTTTATTTTCTACAAGAGCGATAGTGCAGGGTCGATTTCTACACGTGTCTCTCGCGGTCGACGGACATAAGTGATGTGTCGTCAAAATGGCACTCAATATGCAACGACGCAGACAAGCGATGACATCTCACATGCAACACACTCCATCCGTGGTGCGACGCCGATAACTATGGCCATCGCTCCGCCACGTTTCGCGGAGGTATTCGTCATGATTTGCGGGTCTGTGATGCCCAAAACGCACTGAGGCTTGACGGCGAAGAGTCATCGCAGATAAGGTGCTGCTGTAACCTGTCCCACGTATTTCTGAGGAAGACCGAAGATGAGGTGCGGCTGCGCCCTTCGCTAGATGCACTATCGATAAGAAATATATATGACGGTGAACATGCTGTCGAGGTGAAAGATAGCTTACACGTGAGGCTGTGCGGCTAGACGGGTCGTTCATTGACCGAGCGGAGTAGAGGTGAAGACCAGCATCAGAGAGCTCGCCGCGTATTGAGACAGATTCACGAGCGAAAACAATCGATAACAAGAAAAAAAGAGAAGACAAAGGACGACGACGGAGATCAAATGGCATCCCGCTGGGACCAAGAAGGGCGAAGGTGCTGCGCCTCCCTGTGCCTTCAAGCTTCAGGATCCACTGCAAGGGCGATGGCCGAAATGACAGCGGGTACTGCCGCCCATGACCACCTACGATACGCATCCAGTCCGGCTGCAGGGAGGAGACGAACCCGATCGTCTATGCACGCTGTCCGAACGTCTCTCCACTAAATATAGACATTGATGGTAGTAAGTGGGTGTCCAGAGCGCAAATTCGGTGAGGGCAAAAAAATCGCACCAAGTATGAGTAATGCTGCCCACAGTAGTACTGCTCGTGATGCGGCAAGTCATGTTTGGATTTATTCTTGAGTATGTTAATAGTGAGCGCACACTGGGCGCGATGCGGGTGCGACAGGGGTGCAGGCTTTGGACTAGAGCTCTGGCCGCATCTCGAAGTTCAGTAGATTGATAACCATCTTCATGTTAGTTAAAACCTTAGTTGTGACATGCCCGCAGAAGTAGACCCGGAAGACGGAAGGGAACGAGATAGTTCGCGCCATTGGGGTGAGTGGCATAGGGCAACACAGAGAAGGAATGATAGACCAAGACCACCAGTAAAACAAGAGATCGACATTTTTCAATACCTTCGTGAGGCGAAGAGCCAAACCCAGAAGAAATATTGCTAAACAACCAACAAACTACTCGTACAAGAGTTCCGGGCTAGAAGACGCGTATCCGATGGCCAGTAGTACCCGAGGAGTAACCAGAAGTGTCTTCATTCAGCCATACAGTAGAGGAAAGGCGGCACGAATGTCATTTGAGGGAATACAGGACCTGCAATATGAACCCAAGGGGTTCGTGGTCCATCGTCTGATCCGATCGATGTCCTCGCGGACCCAGCTCTGCCATTGCGCCTGGAATGACGCTCCTGTCCTAAAACTTATTGCGATGAGAAAAGGGATTGCAGCCTGGTAGGTGTGCTGTCAGAGGCCATTCGAGTGTACATACAGTTCAGTGGCCATCCTCCATACGATAATGACACTGTGGAGAAATACATCTTCTTGAGATTTTCACACGTCAATCGTATACAACAGAAGCAAGGAATCTGCACTCACAGCACCCAAGCGCTAACGCCCCAGAAACATCTCCGTTGACCCACGAGAAACCTCAAATAGAATAGGGCCAGAGTCGAAATCACTTCCCTATTGCAACAAGAAGCTGAATGGAACTTATCTCATAGAGCCCATTTGGCGAATACGAGAAGTACTTGCTCGGAGAGCAAGCTCTCCCGACCCAAAAGTGAAAGTGTCCTTTTTACACAGTTGTTGAGCGCTATTTGTTTTGTGGCAATTCTGCCCGCTCTCGTCTCCGAGCAAGTTCCGCCGCCGTCTGGCGGCCTTTCGAATTTGGGGCAATTTGAGCGACAGGCACCGAATTTGACGGCTCCATTGCGATCCGGTGGTCCTGTACCTTCCAACGATATTCTCGGCCAGTGTAGACGAAATAGGGGTTGGTGCTGAGATGTTAGTAAAGAGCTGAGGCCGATGAAATTGTTGTGCATGTGTATGCGCATTCGCATAGACAGAGAAACGCTAGGAACGAGAAAGTAATGTTCGCTTCAAGAACTGGGAGCCTGAGGTCCTCAGCTTCACAAAAATTTGTAAACACCAAGAATTTTATGGCGTCAGAGAGGCATTGTTCATGGTTGACGGCGACGCAGACGAGTGACCAGTTCTGCGTCGCTTGCTCGCTGAGTTCCGCTCCACCGGCTCCCGCCGGAAACACTTGTGTGGTGGTGGTGGTGGTGGTGGTGTATTACCGGCATGGGTCCCAGTTAGGAACGCCGGGTTGCCGCTGTAGTAAGTACATGATAAACTAGACAAGTAATAATGTACTACGCAATCCATATGTCTATTACTACAGCGACACATCAATAATCAATGCCGCTCCGATAGCCTCATATGCCCCAACCGCAGCTCATGGCCAATTCCACAAAAAGAAGGCAGACCAAGGGTTAAAACTTGGCAGGAAAAATTCGTGCAAAAAACCTGTCCAGGAATCAGATATGGTTCGCCACCAATCTGATAACACTCACCCCTGACCAGAGAGGGTGACGGTATGAGGACCATCTTCCTGGCATCAAATTATGATGCTATTCAGGTAGAGACAACACGGCCCGCCGCGGAGCGAGAGACCCCTATGTCGAGTCACAACCAGGACAGGTGTGCGTAAATGCTAGGGGGCTGCATTGGGAGGGGGGAGGAGGAAGGCAGTAAGTGTTACTGCATAGGGACAAGCGACAAAGGCAAGGTGAAGTAGGAGAGAGAAATAGTGAGGTAGGTAATGGAAATGGAAGCGACTGAAAGAGCGCGGCAAAGCCGCAGCAAACAGTCGAGAGTGAAGCAACGGCAACTGTCCGTAAATGGAGCAAAGCCGGTGAGGGTGAGAGGAAGACACAGGGAATGCAAGAGTACTTGAGCGACAGGCAGGTGTCGCCGTCGGCGTGGTTGGGCTTTTCACGCTGGCTGCTAATCCAACACCGAAGCTTGTTCTCGTGCAGCAGACCGTGTGGGCTCAAGTGAGTGCAGCCCCTCAGCACTATGTGTAAAGAAAGTGGGAGGAGGAGAGTAGAGAGAGAGAAACAGCGCAGGAAGACGAGATAGATGTTGCTGCTGCGGGAGAGAACCACAGCCTTCTGTGGGGGAGAAAGACCACAGGCAACTGCCTCGAATGGAAGCAGGCATCCGTCAAAGACGGGGAAAAAGACTGGACCAGGAAAAGCATAGCGTGGAGGTCGTGGACATGGAGATTATTACATGTCAGGGCATCCACCGTCATCAGTGGGCATCCGCGCAAAAAGGCGGGCAGCAGCGGACGCTGTGCGTCAACGCTGGACATGGAGCCAACATGTTTTATACGTTACGATAGTCATCGATGTCCTTTCAGCAGTAGAGGACAATATTCTTGAATATCGTGAATAGGGGTTAGGCGAGATGATGACGGACGGAAATCCAGCGTGCGACTGCCCCCGCATCGGGAACAACGTGGAAGGTTGTGGAGTTATCGTCTCCGTTCGCTGTTCGTCTAGTTCGTCTTTAGCTGCCTTGCTGGGGTCGGAAACAATCTGGCAGCAATCCTCTGCGCTGTTCCACTCACGAAGAATACGCCACAGGATCGCATTTTGCTGATGTCGATCTTCACACATTTCATCTTAACCTCGGTACCTGTCGAATTTACGGTGGTGAAATTACAGCTCTTTAGCATTAAACCCGTTTGGATGAGCCATCGGTTCTCGCCCTAACGCTGCTGGCAATTTCTTGGATCTTCTCGACCGGGATAACTTCTCCGTGGTGTGACCATGCTAATTGCGATGGGTGGTGGCCGGACTGTGAAAGAGGGCTGACGGCCAAGTTCAATGGCCACTGCTACAAATACTCCCGAGCTTCTGGCTGTATCGCTCTTGGTGGAGCTGTGATTACCCGCTGCTGGAGTCGAACGTCGAGATGTTATGTCCACTGCTCAGCCAAAGTCTGCCTTTTGCGCTGTGTGGGATAATCCAAAATGGTACGTGGCATTGGTTTCCGTCTCTGTACGACGGACTGGGGTTGATGCGCGAGCTCTGGCTCATGAGCGGCGAGTGGCGAGGTGGTAAAGCCAGTTAGATTTCCGTCGTGAAGTTGATCTTTCTTTTGCACATCAGTGCTCTGGTATACTGGCATGCGTCACATATTAGTTGGAAGGTTTACAACCAATCTGGTGACTCGCCTTGTACCCATCCCGCAAGGGCGGGATGTGCCACGTGACTTTCCGTGACGTCGGGTCACAATGTGGCGCCGCGGCGCGATCCTGTGCATAACAGCCTTCCGAGCGAGGAGCTTGGGGGAGTTATCGCGAAGAGAGCGAGGGGGAGACAAGAGAAAGTGTATCTGCAGAAAGTTACGAGAGCGATAACATGCAAGAAGCTCATTAGGCAGCAGACCGGGTGTGGTTTGTTGTGGACCCTAGATGATGGACTGCATCCCGGCGAATATCCTCTGGTCATTAAATGGTATATGTGGAGGGCGAGAGACATATCTGCCGTCGATACGACCAACTTATGATGGTTGAACGCAGACGAGCTTACGGACACAAGGCTAGATGCCGCTGCAGGTCGCACGCGCACGTTCTTACTCTCCCGTCTTTTCTTGCTTCCTTGACTCCTTCACCGTGTATAAGACAGGGATTCATGGTGAGAGTGCTACATGACATAAAACCAGCCCTATTTTCGACCGTTAGACTCCAGGTGAATTTACAGAAACGAGCCGAATTGCTACCCGTCGCGGATGATCAACTCACGGTCTCACCCCATGTCTTTGTCCTCTAGCAGCCGTCGACTGGCATCGGCCACATTCGCGGAGGTAGATTGCCTGAAGATCGAGCAGCGCGGAAGCAGACTCGAGAGACGCGGATGTATATTCTAGAGCGTGATGGTTGTGGTCAAGGGTAAGTCGCCGCGTTGTTGTAACAAAGTGCCTGCTCCCTCGCTAACCTAAAGCAGCTGCAATCCGCCGCCTTACGTGAATTAACCGTACCTTCATCCTAGTCGCCGAACTATTAAATGGATGGCGGCACGGCGATGTACTTTTCCTTCACCATCATCATCGTCCACCAGTCCTTACTCTTGCTATTATTCTCGCCGATTATCCGTTAATTGTCCCTCTGTTGTCTAACTGTCCAAGCAAGCGTCGAAATTATATTGCACCGCCTTACGTCTTCAGCGGCCTCCATGTCCCACGTCGGCGACTGCTTCAAACTGCCCCCATATTCTTCTCGAAGTTTATACCGATATCACCCGTACCCACGGGTTCAACGGCGACTAGACGAGATCAACTCTATCCCAGTAATTCTTTAATTCTGCTTTACTCCTGCACACGACTGCTCAGCGAAGAATTACGCAGACTACCCGCAATGACGACAATAATGAAAGCCCCGCCATTACGCTGTCACCGATATTGGGTTTGGTACGAAACAACGTCGTTGCGGTGGCCACGCGTATTCACTCCCTGCCCCTTCTTAGTATCCTGTAGACATTGTTGGAGCCGACGTCAATGACGACGTGTCGACTTTAATGCTTGACGATCACGGAGCCGGCGACGATGAGCCGCGAGATGAAGGGCGGAGAGAACGCCCTACATATATTACAACATGGGTCGCTGTGAGTGCTTGCCTTCCATCCTTCACACTCTATTCACTGAAGTCTGTTGACTAGAATGCCGTGGCGACCGTATGGCGCAAGTGCCAGGCTCTATGCACGCCCAGGCTATGGCCGCGTACGGCAGTACTGCGACGCGAATGAACCTACGTGATTCTCCGGTTTTTCACGTAAACTATCTGCAGAACATGCAGCTCACCAGTGTGTCCGACGCTTAATTTGTACTATAGGATCTTTTGGTCATACGCGTATACATCTCATCGTCCTACGTTTCGACTGATCTTGTGTATCGTTGCAGGTGGTGGGACAGAACAGTGTCAAGTTTGGATATATCTTCCTTGTGCCTGGCTGCTTCTGCGCGTTGGCTGTCGACGAATGCTGCATTCAATCCTCTGGAATATGCGCCACTGCTGTGCCGTGCTACAAGATTTTACACAATCCGATCTTCTGCATTTTCCTTCGGCGACCACAGTCATGCTTTGATGTTTCCTCCGCGCTGCTCTGAATGTTCGATGATGTCCATCTTCTCGGGGGTTGGCAGTACGAAACGCGAGACAGCCAAGATGTTGAAGCTCAATATCAAGTTCTACGAGAACTCTATACTACGCGCAAAGTGAAGCTGCCTGCAGCCGTCCCTGACGTTAGCTGCACGGCGGGCAATACGGCGTCTGGATTATTGTAGGTCATGGTTCGCACACTGCGTGCAGCATCGAACACTAGCCGTCGTAATGTAAATACTAAGCTCGCAAATATTCCTGAAACGCCAGGAAGCTGTACAGTCAACAGGACGGACGACTTCTTTCACATCTGCAATGCCTGTAAATACTAAATGCAACAGGGGCAGGACTGTACGTGGGTTGGTCTCTACTCACTGGATCTCGTTCGTCGCTGAGTTAGCGTACGCATGCTCAGCGTTTCGGACCCACAAGTCGCAATTCATTTTGTGATCACTGTTCAAACACGATCGCATGATCAAAGCCTTTCCTGCGTGCCGTCGTGGTGAATATGTCTATCTACAGTAATCGAAATTAAGTACCGTTGACTTTGTGAAGAGCTCGAGGATGTGATCTTCGGAAGGATTTCGTGCACTTCTGGGTGCAGCCGTGGCATGGTGCTTTGTGTGAACATCATATCAGGTTTGCTGGCACCAGGATTTGCGGCCTTACAGACAAGCTTGTCTCAACAGTCGTATCGAGACCGAAAAGGATCCGAACGACCGTTTGTATCCTCACTGACGACATGACGACGATGAATGACGCATCGAGATACTTGCTGACTTAAGTACGGGCCGAGTCGTCGTCCAACTCGGAAGTGCTCCAAATATTGGTATCATTGGTATCATTGGTATATCGTACAACAAGGGTATATAGCAGTTAAACAACAGGAACATCAAGAGGTCGCAGGAAGACAGTGGTCGTATGACAACAGCACAATAGGGATGCTATATAGATGCCGATGTTATACCACCGCTGCGGCGCTGCGACGACAGCATCATAGCAAGACGGCGAGTGACGAGAAAGCAGATGATTCCACATCCAATAAAGATGTCGACAAAAAGCATTATTTTAAAGAAAACAAGGGATAGAGCTCGAGGATTTTGCTGGTCTAGTCTATTTTTTGGTGTTCTGCAACCACGAAGGTTAGGTAATATTTTAATGGTCTACATAGATGGGCTAGAGTACTCACGCACAGCTTGGCATGATGGTTGTATGAATCTCTTGCTTGGACCGTTGCCCAACCGCATGATGGACATTTTAATTCAATCGGGCGCAGGTGCGAACGATAAAGATGGCGAGCTCTGCTGCTTTGTCCTACAGATGATGGGCAATGACTTTTGTCCCGAGCATTGCGCCACGTACACGACCACTTCAGATCAGACTTGGAGTGTTCGTGATACTCCCTGAGATGCCTGTTTACATCATTCATGGAAGGCAGTTCACCGAGGACCCTGTTGCAACCATCCAGCAAGCAACGGTGCACCAAAGGCGCATCGGGGTTACGCCCGACGATCGGAGACAGAGGCCCTTCGGGTTCCTCTTTGGCCTCGCCCGCATGCGCCGTCGGACGTACAGAACCCGACGCCACAGGAGCCGTTCCGTCGCCAATTAACATGTTGCGGCGGCGAGGGGTGCTGCGCCTGGTACCCTCCTCCGGCTCGTTCTCCGCCGCAGGACGTTTCCTGGAGGACAATGCGGTCCGCGACGAAGGTCCGGCTGTTGGGTTCTCCGCGAGCCTGGGAGTCGACGTCAAAGGACCAACCGTTTGACCCATCGATCGCGCACGGGGAACGCAGGTCTGCACTGGCTGCCTTGTTTGCCAGCCATAGCGAGCGCTCAAACGTTGCGCAACCGACTCTGAGAAGGCCGGCGGCAGTCCAGGCTGTACGGAGGGCGGGCACCGGCTCACCGTCGAAGAAGTCGGAGCATACATGGGATATGGCAGTGGCGATAGTCCAAATGACAGACCAGGTTGCGGGAGTGTAAGATACGGCACTGTTACGTAGGCGTTGGTCGGCACAGAGAGCGCTGGCGTAACATTGTAGGCTTGCTCGTACGGAGGTCGTTGAAGAGTCCCTGGCGTTGGATATTGCGCTTGGGGATATTCCGAGGAAGAGGGAGGGGGCGCAGGAGGTTGGGGAGGAGTATGTTGCTCACGCTGTGGAGACGATCCTGCAGGGAGGGTAGGCCCTTGGTTACTGTCCTGTGCACGCACAAGGTTTTCGAACCACTTAAGATCGTCAGCTGAAAGCTCCCGGGCAAACATATCCGACATCGAGGTTGTTGCAAGAGATACGCGTTCAGGGCAACCAGGCAAAGCAGAGGCCTCCTTCTCAAGTGTCGCTGCAGCTGCGGATGTACGCTCGATCTGAAGAGACATCACTTCCGCGTAATCAGGCGATGCGAGGTCATCGTCGGGACCTGGAGACTCTGATCTTGGAACGTCAGCCGTCAGCTGCTCCGGAGCGGGAAGGCTGGGGGAAGATTCTTGCTGGGCCACAGTCAACGGTTTGTGGCCTGCTGGGTTGCCGAGCCGTGTGGTCGACACGAGCGGTGAGCTAGGATCAACGGTGGCGAACGGTACCGTCGCGTCCTGAACCAGTATTTCGAGGATGCCGTAGAACAGCGTCTCGATGGTTTCTTCTGAGAAAACCGTCAGGAATTTCTGCAGGTAAGTGAAGGATCTGAAGAACAAAACGTGAGAGGTCTCAACACCGAAAGAAGACGACGAGCCACCTACAACATTGAATGAGATGCGCGCTTTGGAGAGAATTGTGTCCGAAGTGGTTGCAGGAGTGAGGCAAGTTGTGGTAATAGAGAAAGAAGAGTGTTGCATGGTTGACTTTATGCAGCGGTGGCCGCTTGAGTCTCGTGATCGGAGTTGAGCATTCACAGTGAAGTTCACAATGAGCCACAAACACTTAGAACCCCTACGAAGGCACAAATGACAGTTCACCTATCTTTTCACTTGTGCATTTCATGAGTATCCCCATTCCCTTGCTGTGCCCAGCGAATAAGCGAATATTGCAATGATAGATGTTCACCAGGCAAAACTCATCTTCAGGTGCACCTCTCGCAAGAACCTCACAAAGCGATGGTGGCGCACTGCCCTGGAGCATTCAGTCTTTCTTCCAAACATCGTCAAGTTTGCTTGAGCCGCACGGACTGCCCTCTGGTTACGACTAAATTCATGCCTTCGTATTAGAGTGTATCTGCAAAATTACAACGAGCAGCACTCATCAACGGTCAGTATAGGGGAAGGCGCACAAAGTTATCATAATACGTACGCTCATAGTAGCGCATTTTTCAGCTTCAGCAGTCTACTAGGTACCCTCTGCTAGGCTTGCGCGTCGCAGAAAAAACTAAACCATTCTCTGAGGAGTGCACCAATCATCACCCGTCCTCAGAGGCATGCGAGCCGATTCGTTCGCCATCTACGCCACCTAGAATCTGCGAGGGGTTTATGAGAGAGAGCAGTCGCTACTACACCAAAGTCATTGTCAAAGTGAGGATAATAATGTAGCCATCATACTACAGTCAAGACAGCACGTACGTCCATCTTGGAGCTTAGTATCATGGTTATAAGGAGGGAGAATCCTGAACGCTCCCTCGATTTGACAGACTCGTTTACTTCAATGTATGGAGGCAGTCATTCCACTCACTTCACATTTACTCTTCTCGTAGTGGCTTGAGAACTCAAAAATCGAGCTCTATAGTTCTCCTAGGGGACTGAGGTGGAACGAAGTTGACCATACGAGCCGGACACGTTCCACTGATACAAACTCAGTACAGCAGCGTGCAACTAATGGGCATCGCAGGTTCTTGTGTGTCTTGCGTCGTGAGGGGACTAGTAATAGTTAAAAGATTGGGGTACCGACACTACTCACTTCAGAGCTACAGTAAGTGTGCCGAGCTACCCGCAGGTCTGTGAGATGAAGCGCCAGCCAAAGGTCCAACTGAAAGCAAAGCATCATCAAAAACAGGCATACGAAATATCCCCTACCGAGCCATCTCTTTACGGCGGTGACAGTTGCTTCGACGCGGGCTTATTCTTTGAGCCGCTAGCACACTTGACGCCTACGAGCAAGTCTGCAATGTTCAATAGCATCTGGCTGTCACGGAGTAGCTAGAAGGACATGTTCGAGACACGTCCGTTAAGTTCGAGCTCCCCTAGGCCTTTTGACAGTAGACGTCCCGGAATGAGTCCAACTTGGCAGGCAAGGCCGTTCCAGCACGTGATTATTGTTACGCGCACAGGCGCTTTCAACAAGCGGCTTGAACTGCGCTGCCAGACAGTGGTTTAGACTCGACTGTCTTGTGGATCGTGGAACGTACAACCTCAACGCATTCCAGTGACTTCTAATTATGAGATTCAGCGTTCCACGTTCTACTTCACCATCGCCGGTTAGATCGTAAGTGGGCAACACGGGCTAACCCAGGCTACTTACATACAGTTCTGCAGATATTACAGGGGGCAGTCGACATTTGGTGTTCCGGACTCCTCGGACGATGAATTCGATTCATCTGACACGGAATCCGTCCATTCTTCGTCAACGGACTCTTTCTGCTATGCTTCCGAGTCGGAAGTACCTCCGCCACCACCGTGAGTAGTGCATGCATGGTCCAAATTTCCTTTGTAGCTCATATTCGTCAACAGAAGGCCAAAGCGCGAAGGACGTACACTCGCTGAGCAGCACTACATAGAAGATACCCTTGCCGCTATTCGCTTACGCGTAACTCATCACGACCCATACGAGGAATGGGAGAAGGAGACGAAGAGAGATGCTTTCGTACGTCGCGTGCTACTCATTCACGTCGCGAAACATTGACAACATGCATCCTTCGCAATAGCGCTCGGCTCGGCAAGAGCACGCGAAGAATCGTATCCAGCGTCATCAGGATCGAAACAAGGCTCACGCAGAGGAGGCCAAGCGCCGTGCTGTTCTTCACAAAAAGCAGATGGAGGAAGTTCAAGCTCAGTTGTCCGCTTTGAACATGCAGCGCGAGGCGCAGGAGAAGAATTTGAAAGCGCAATGGTCTGAGCGGAACCGTCAACTTTGGGTGAAGATCGAGGCTGTGATCAAGATTGAGGAGGACATGGTGAAGGCCAAGCTCGAGGCGGAGAAGCGGAAGAAGGAGGAGGCTGAGCGAAAACGAAAAGAAGAGGAAGACAGGAAACGGCGGGAGGCCGAGGCTGCGGCGGAAAAGGCAAGACTTCAGAAGGAGAAGGAAGAGCAAGAACGCAGACAGGCTGAGGAGGATCGGAAGCGAGAGGAAGAGGAATTCCTCAGGCGAGCGGAGGGCAGTGCACAGGAAGAGGCGGAGTTGGCGGAGAGGATACAGCTCGGCATCACGACCGCCAGAGACGACTGGGCTCGGGGACGGGAGTTGCTCAAGGTCGCTTTGTTTCATCTGTTGCACTGGAAAATTACTGACGGTGTCTTTCAGACTTTGAAGGCAGGAGCGATGAAGATTGTTAAAATGAACCCGAACTTGAAGGCTCAGTGGAACGCCGGGCGTCGAGAGCTCACAGCGAAATTCGGACAACTCACGACTGACTCGGATTCTATTAATGCAATTGTAGGTTTACTTCCTCTCTTTGTGATCGGATCCTCACAGCATACATAGGGGGACCAAATCATTGTGATCGTCATAGGCAATCCTCCACACGAAACGCCCGTGTATTATGCGCTTCTGTCATCGCTTTCCAAAGCTCTCCTGCAGCAGGCAGAGATGGAGGTCGCTGTCGAGAAGCGGAGCGCTAAACCTCTAGCTGAAATCGCAGTCAGGATGATGCTTTACTTCGATGGCTTCCCCGACGTCTTCTGGGCCAAGCTGTGCCAGTACGCCGGCAACTGGGTGGTGCCGTTCCCCTTGCCCTTCATAGATTACGATGGCATGCCGTTGGAAGGTGATGAGCGGGCTAAGGCGCAGGGGCGGCGGCCGGACGAGACCGTTGCCGAGTTCATTGCACGCGTGTCAGGCATCATGCGTGTATTCTTCCACATCCTGTGTACCACCCCCGAGAATGCACTCGATACCGTGTACCGGCTGCCACGCTACTGGGCATACTTTGCGCGAATGCTGCAGCAGCCCAAGCTGCTCGAGAGTCCAATCGCGCCGGAGCTGATGCTCGGTGCGTCTCCGCTGAATTTTCAGTCGTGTCGTTTAGCTGACCCTTTCGCAGTCGCTTTGGACGTCGGTGACACGATGCCGCGGGACATGTGGGGTCAACAATGGGTTAAGATGCTGGAGGTGCTGTACGAGGGCGTCACAGTTGGTCTGAATGGCGTGAAGATCGGTGGCCAGACGCCTGAGGGCATCGCTGGGCGCGTCAGAGTGCAAAATGAAGTTGAGAGACTCATGGCTGCGATGTAGTAGACTCCGGGATTTACCTTCCTGTCCTGATTTGTTGATACCAATTCGATACCAGTGCTCTGGTCAGCGCATGTGCCGGATTCACCGGTACTGTAGGCACAATCAAACAGGAAGGACAAAAATTGGAGGCTCAATGTGTGAGTCGAATATACCATCACCAGGTGTACAGTGGATAAGATATGCATGCCATCCACTCTTCAGAGCGAATCCCCCCCCCCAGGTGACTTCGCTACGCGGCATATCTGAGCCGGATTTACCCCGATGCTGGCAGGTACTAACGAGGAATTAGATATGTCCACTGTGGATGCAACAGGCAGAGTTCGCACCTTATCCCGAGCAATGCAGGGACTTTGGGACCATGACGATGTTTTGTTCCAATTTTGCCCCCATCAATCGCCTGCCTTTCTCCGAACCCACACGGGTCCAGTACATTTCGTCGATAACGGGTAGATAATATTGTTTAATAGTAGTTTGTTCTGCAGCTGTGCACATGAGGCCGTGTGGAGCGTACTCGCAATCTTTCTCTGGTCAACTCCCGGTATCAAGTCCGGATCTGACAGCAGAACGAGATAGCCATCGCGGCAATACAAGCATCCATTGATGCAGGGACGCGCCACCCCGATGGCGATTGTCACTGGGGATTGTTTCGAGAAGCCGGGGTAAAATATTTCTGGGAGGATGAATTTTCCTCGAAGGAAGCTTGGTCCTCTAGTATCATATTTGGCCATCCCAGCAAAGGTGGTTCGTGATGATCGTCTTCGCCGTCGAGCAGCGCCTTTAACCGTGAAACGATCGTAGCCCGCTCACATGCCATTCCGGAAACCATGTATTGCTGCCAAGGACGTTCCCTAGGCGTGAGCAGGTCAACATTCACACTAACGGCTGAACACGCGGACATGATCAGAGAGGTACACGCAGGTAGAAAAGTGCGCACTGACCGAGCCATTATAGTAGTGACAATCTCTTGAGAAAATATGTATACGTTCACGTTCAGCAGCAGCTTGACCTAATATAAACGATCCATATCGGGATGGGTTCACCTGGCAGAAAGCACAAAATCATGGCTGCAACGCACAAAAATCTAGACGAACAACGGGTCAACGTTACACAGGTTCGATGTGCTGCCCACCTGACTTTACCATTACATTTTATTTCGCGCTAGACAGATAGAGACCCACGGCTCAAAACTCTCCGGTTGTTTAGACCGCGTCCTCCCGCGGCCGTCACCTGCGTGTAAGGATATGTCGTCAAAGTCACCCCTCGCAAAGTCAGAACTGGAGGCGATGCACCGACACTCGCAATTGGTATGAACTGCAGTCCTTCAGGCCGTAACTACTGTGGAAGAGACACGCAACGCTGAGCGCAACCTTGTCCGGCACATACATAGGCGAGACTAAATTCGGTGACTTTCATAAATCAATATTAGTTTCCCAAGCCATAAGACAGTGCACAATGGAAGATCAACTATGGATACAAGTGAATGAGGTAACCCAAAAAACCCATCGTAACCTCTTGAAGGTCTTCTGATTAGCGAGTACTATGTGCTCATGCGAGCTACTCTGTTTTAACAGGTAACCAGGCCTGGACGGCGCGCAGCGTCCGGCACTTTCGCCATACAACGAGCACCTTCTAGTTCCGAGATTCATGAAGCAGACCAAGTAGCACAATAGGGTGTCAGCACTTACAGCGAGCCACTGCTTCGCAACCTGCAGTTTTTCCTGCTTTCGTCCAGCGTCAGATCCATCGTGTTGACGAACACGATCATCGAGCTGGAGTGTCGACACATCATCGTTTGAAGTAGCGCCAACCACGCTCGAAGGTAACTGTGGAGGGAGACAGAAAAAAGTAACACTCTCAGCCACTGTGTACATGTAATATCGTCCTCTCATACCAGAGAGACCGGCGGCGGCGAGTCCAGTATCATATCCTCGATGTCGTCCCCATATTCTGCACCCTGAACAACATGTACGAACGTGTGTCTGTCTTGAGGAAATCGTAAAGTCGTATACGACGCACCACGACACGTTCCAGTCGGTCATAGCTCCTCCCAGCTCTTGGGTATGGATGATACCGGAAGCAACTTCGAGAGCTATACGGGGGAAGCCTAGGGTAATGGTCCATGAAGACACAGAAAATGAGCGGGACCGCGTAAAAGTATCCAGGAGTATCCTATGCAGTATCCAATTACCGGACTCGAGATACCGTGATGCTCGACGGCGAGAGCAACGACACCAGACGACAAAGGCAGAGGAAAGGACCAGGGTAGACGTCTTAGGATTGAAGGTGGAAGTTTGAAAGAGAGAGCACAACCCTGGCGACGCTCGTTAAATAGCTCGGCGAGGCCATGGGAGAAGTAGCCATTTCGTAAAAAGGCGGCTTTCGAAGCTGATTTGGGTTAGCGGGCATGCTGTTGCAGCGACGCGACATTCCTTGACATAACCGCCGTGCTCCCGTTTCTGACTCCGCGCCTGTCCATATGCCTCCGTGCTCGTCGATCGGTCTCCGCGAACTTGTCGAGCAGCTCTTGGAGTGGAATATGGGTGATAGTGACGACCATACGGTCAAATTTATTCGAGAGTGCATGGATTGACAGGTTATCTGCCGCCTGCAGGCAAGTGAAGACGGATTCCTAGAGAACAGCTAACTTTCAGTGATCTTACTCGAGAGACTCTACGCATCCCGATGACTCAAATTTATTTCTTCCGTCTGCTTCCAAAGACGTATTCGTCGCGAGATGAGGCGCTGCTCGGTATGGCGAATTTCCACGCTGCAGTGGGTGCCACATCACCGAAGCCTGTCCACAGCGAACCACAACTAGCAATTTCGAGCTAAACACGGCTGAGTATCTTCTCGCAAACAATCAAAGTGAGCTACCCTCATGGCTGGTCCCCTTTTGCAGTCTCACTGCCTCTGGCACTCATCGGTTCGTTTCGCGCAGAACCTGCCGGACGCGATGCGTGACCCGACGTCACATCACGCGTCACCCCCGCCCTTCGGCGGGCGCGCAGGCGAGTCATGTCGTCCTCTCATGATGAACACCTTCTGAATATGTGTGATGTGTGACGCTGTAGGCCATTCCCAAGACAGAATTGCAAGAACGATAAGACCATCAAGAGAAAGATGTACTAAACAAGTTATCCAGCCGATATCCTCGCCGCACAGCAAGGCATCAAGCAGAGCAGTTCCCAATTCATACGCGGAAAGGAAATGTTCCAAGACCGCAATGCACAAGAAGTGACGGGATGTAAGGCAAGAGTGACTGTGCAGACTCACGGATTTCCCCAAATTGCGTCCGACAAGCATAATCCCAACCATGCATGCACGGGCAAAGGCCATCGAATGGTCGTCCCACTAGTCATAATGGTCGCCCTCAGTGTTCGCTTGATGGCTTGTGACGCTCCGCCGAATTGGGGGAAGCAAAGGAATCATCGTCAACCGTGGAGCAAAACTCCAGTCAGACCTCTAGCGAAAATTCCAAGAGTCAAAAATATGTCGGCAGCACAAAGGCAAAAAATGTAGAGATTTCTACGAGCCACCAGAATGCAAGCAGAAATTTGCACCGCAAAACCGGGAGGGAAAAGACCAGGCCTCGCTCAAAGTCAGTACCGCCAGAGTTGGTGTGGTTTGAATATTCGAAGACACCAATCTGTCATCCATATACAAAGACATGTTTACTGAGAAAAGTGGTCATTTCGGTTGTGGAGATGCCCGCCGTGGCCGCAAACAAACCGTGACAAGTCACCGGCCGCGGCCACTTGCTCAATTATTATCTCTTTCCGAGTCTCGCGGCTCCTTTCGTTCGTCGACTCAGCCTTTTCCGTCTTTGCGGACTGTTCTGATTTATTCGTTTCACTTTTACTGCATACCTTCTGCAGATGGAAGGCCGCGACCAGCTGCAGCTCTCCTTGTTCTGAGCTCCATCTGCTTACTTGACCAACCATATGCGGTTTGCGAACTTCGCTGATATCACTTTGCACCTTCTGTGATAGGTCCCCAGGTCGAGATATCACTCAAGACCTGTGGAGGTATTGCTGCACAGTCCGGACACGCGCAAGATCAGGGAAAATTCTCCGCTTAGGCATTCGATCCTCTGGAGCGGCTGATGACGGAGTTTATTGTGGCTGCTAAAGCAACTCAGAGCGGATTGATTTTCAGTGGATCTACTTCGAGGTGAGCGTTATGGAACAAATTATGTAGCTTGAGTTGATTGCGAGCGTCCTATATTCTCTCATAAATCACGTTCCCCAAATACCCTTTGCTTCGCCTATTGATTGCGCATGGATTCTCAGGATTGTGCCTCCTGTGTTTCCCTCAGATTCGCCAGCAGACCTCTTAAATAATGCTCGGTGTACTCCCGCTCGCACACCTATCGTATCACACCATGTCAAAGAGGTAAGAATAGTATGAATCGCTACATAAGTCGCATACAAATAGTATACATGTTCGTGTGTATTCTACGAATTTGATTCCATAACTTGGGCAATACAGGATGGGATCAGTGAAGTCACCGAGACCGGCTCGAGAACCGGAGAAAACTTGCAACATAGAGCGAACATGATGCATAGTATCGCGCAGCGCTCGTACCGACATTCTACACCATGGTAGATGAATCTCCCAGAGGTGAGGCAGGCTTCCACTCATGCACGCTATTCTATCGGACGACGACACAGGTAAATCGTTACATTCACAAAATGCTGTGCGAACGAGACTCACTGGAGAAACTTCGAGGAACGACGGTAGCATGTTCAGCGTATTCTGTGCGTTAAGGTACGAGGAACAAGAAGTCAATCACCACGTCTGAATGGATCAGAGTCAACCCCTACAGCGTTGGAACATGTCTGGCTCAGCTCGTCTCTCGATCTCGTCTCTGCAGGTGGCCGCAGCGAGCGTGCCTTGAACGACGGTATGGTTGTCACGGCGGCCGAGATGCTTTGTCGGAGCCCCTTCCGGGCGTTCAGCGTGGCGAGCAGGGAGTTCAAGAGGACTGCGAACAATGGCTGTCAAATGCGTCGACGAGAGAGGCGACATAAGCTTACGAGTTGGCAGGACGAAGTAGATCCCGGCATATGTGAAGTTGAGTGCTGGAGTGGCGGCGTACTAAAGCGAGCATCAGGGCTGTCACGGAGATGTATAAAAGACAACACTGACTACAATAAGGCATACAATCGTGCAAATACTATTCTGCTTGTCAAGGACAAGAAAAAATGTGAGCGAGCGACGACTAACCTCGTGAGTGCACAGGTATTGATGGTGTACAGCATGAGCACCCGGAGCACCGAGTCCGTCCTGCCAGAATTGCCAGAATTAAGATATCGAAGAGAGCGCATATGAAGCAACAAGACGCACTGTGTGAATCCCGTACGGTGCTTCTTCAGCAAGAAACAAAGCGAAGCGGCGATGAAAACGTCAGAAGCGACGCTCGACGCGAGGTTAGTGTAAACTATCCACTGAGAGCGTTCAACATCAGCAGCGCTAGGATAGAAAAGAAAGTGGATTCGAACCGAAAGCTTAGAGAAAGTGATCCAAGTGTTGATGGAGAGCCTAGAGACAACGAGGGGCTATGAGATATGGATATGTGATGAGATGTTTGAACACACCCTTTCGCAGCAAAGGCTGGTCACAAGAACAAGGCCTGTAAGTGGATTGGACGATGTACGAGCGGAAAACGCATACCGAGACTGGTAGCTTCACATTTCGGATGATTATACATCAGCAAGGGCCATAGCAGGCAGCCCGCATCGACTTACCAAGGGAAAGGAGTGAGGTGACAACCTGCATGATGACGACACGTGAGGAACGATGGGTTGTATACACTTCTAGTAATGCGCACGATGGCTGAGCTTAGGTACCAGTTCCTGTCGCTCACTGCGAAGAAATATGAGACGCCTGTGTCCTTCATGTTGTCGACATTGATCTTACATCGAAAAACTATCCTGCAGAAATATCTGGAACGAACACTTGAGATGGATTACACCCGACAACATCAAGGAACGACTCACCCTCTGACGATTAGGTCGCTGATTCCCTGTTACCGGATAGTTAGTGGATGGATGGATGATAGTACGTGGGGACTGACCGCGACGATGACCTGGGCCTGTAAACATCGAACCGCGTTAAGCATGCCGAGGTAACGAATCGACGTGACTGACCATCATGCTCCTGGAGAAACATAGAATGAGACGTGTGAAGCTTAAACTCAAGGTTCGCGCATTCACGCACCATGTAGGAATCAACAATGTAAGTGGACTCGCGAAGTCCTTAACGGCGTAGGTATATACGGCATGCGAAATGAATGCGATGTGTAGACTGTCTAGCATCCTATGCATCTAATGTGAAGCCTAGCGAGATCTCAAAGTGGCTGTCGCGCACCATAGAACCAAAACCTACGGATTCGTAAGCAGGTCAGTAGAATGCTCACTGAAGGAGACGACGAGCGCACCAAACATTTCAGCGTTGTTGAATCTCCGATGCGCCGTCTGAGGAAGATATATGTTTGTATGACCGTTATACCGTAGCACCTGTAGAGGACAGGTAAGTCCAAGAATCTCGAAGCCAATGCGCACGGGACTTGCATCGCCGCTATCACGTTTCCTTGCGTATCACTTGAGGGGGTCAAGTTCATCCAAGAGGTGGAAGCACTCACCGATGTAGAGCCTTCCCAGGGTATCGCAGACTTTGAAGTCGAGTGAGATAGGTATCGTCATTAGGGTAACTTGAGGTATGTACGGAGGGCAGGAGATCCTTGGGAACGGAAACACTACCACGTTGAGCACAGGCTTCGTCTCTTATGCGTTGACGGGTGGAGGAAGATCGCATACATTCCGCGCCGCGACCGCGATATGCTACCTCCATAGAGGAATGGGCGCATAGGAGACCACCCTGGAAGTCGACAATGGAAATTTAATATGAGCTACGATTATTCGAGGATTTTTAGTGGCTAGGAAGATACCTCCTGTGGCGGCTAGCTCGGCATCCAGTTCGCAGAATGAATGACGTTGGTTGTGCATTCAGGTAAGGTCCAGATGCACGATAGCGGTTCAACTCGTTGACTAAGGTACCTGACGCTTTCGGAGAATGCAGCGCCACCAATGCTGGAGTCGCAGCATCGCGCACATGCGTAGGTCATCCATCATCCATCTGTCGCCAGAGTCTTTAACGGTTAGCTACTCGTCGAGCGTATACTATTGCTATGCGAGACGGGCGACAGGAACAGCACAGACAACTTGCTGACACGACATATCAAAATGCTCCCGTTCCAATAAGCAAAAGTCTACGATCGATCGCGATTAGCCCGCACCTGGTTACTAAACAGGAAAGCACAGTAGTGGTGTAGAAGTCCGCATACTAGTGAAAGCTCAACAATACACTAACCATGGCTGGGGACATTCCAGGACCACCTAGCACTAGCTAGAGCGTGTCGACCTACTTTGACGCGTAGACTGCCCCCTCGATACCAGCCTCTGGTGTACAGTGACGGTCAAAAGTATCTGGACATGTGACCTGAACTCAAGTTCACCGCAAAGTGCAATGGTTATTGCATGACTTCTGTCGTGTATCAAGAGCTTATACATGACTGAACTAATATGCAAAATATTGAGAGAAGTGTAGCTCTAATAAAACATGTAGGTTGTGTGAAAGTAGAAAGTTCATTCTGCAGGTATCAAGATATTGTCAAGGTTGTGCCGAAAACACGAAAATGGAGACGAGAAAACAAATCTGTGTTAGTAACGGGTATTACCACCCTTCGCTTTCTTTAATTCTGCCACGCGATTAGGCATGCTCCCATACAATTTCTGCACCTGGGCCGAGCTGATCCGAGACCACTCCTCCTCCAATGCATCCCAGAGCTGGTCCACCGAGCTGGGTTGTGGGTTGCGGGCACGCACTCGTCTATCCAGGATATCCCATACATGCTCTATGAGGTTCATATCGGGGCTTTGAGCAGGCCAGGGCAGTGAATGCAGTCCGCTCTCGTCCACCCATGACCGCAGGTGGGAAGAATGTTTCGGATCGTTGTCTTGCTGGAAGAAGTAGTGGTGGGGATTCATGTGATAGTTGTGTAGGGTCCCAAGGAGGTCTTGTTCAAGAATTTGGACATAGTCCACTGCGCGCATGATGCCTGTGATACGATGAAGCCGCCCAACCCCTTCCGGTGTGATGCAACCCCACACCATCACACTTCCGCCACCAAATTTCTTGGTCTTCTGTGTGTATCTGTCCTGGTAACCATCCCCCACTCTCCTCCAACACCAGGCACGCCCGTCCGAGTGGATCAAATTGAATTTAGACTCATCGGAAAAAATGATCCTCTCCCACTCCCGCTCTGTCCAGCCCTGCAAAGCTCGCGCCCAAATCAACCGTGCACGTCGGTGCTTCTTCGTCAGAAAGGGCACCCTCCGACGAACTGCAGAGATAAGTCCGTTCGTGCGCATGGCACGTCGTAACGTCTTGGGCCCCACATTTGGAAAGTAGCTCCGCTGCAGGTCGGCCACATTCTCAGCACGTCCTCGATCGAGCTGCAGAACTGCAAAATCTGCATCTTGAGCTGTTAATTTGCATGGACGGCCAGGCTTGGGAAGTGGATAAATGTTTCCATTCTCCTTGAACTTCTTGGCGAGGCTGCAAACTGTTTGGGGGGAGACATGGAACTCCTTTGCGACAGCACGAGAACTGCGACCAGAACGGTATTGTTCAACAATGCGACCACTCTTTGTAGGAGTTGTATAGACCATGCTGTGTGAGAATGTCACATTTGTAGCAAAAACATGATAGTGGAACAAGATTTGAGTTGGGAAATTGCGAGTGAGATGTACGTGTTCTTGCCGTGTCACAGGTCCGATGGCTTATCACTCAGCCACTCGCTCCTCGACGCGTTTTTTCGTGTGATTTCTCACCCATTACTTGCTGGCTATCCTATCTACAGTACTCCACAATGTTGCTGACAAGAGACTGCGGGGAACGGCTGATACAAACCGGACAGTGTCACGAGTGTGACCTGTCCAGATACTTTTGACCGTCACTGTACCTCTAGTGCTATGAAAAGCGGTCGCTTCGCGTCATCTTCATGACGACCGCGTTCTGGACATCCGTTGAGATCTGTCTGCTCTGAATATACTTGCGGGATATCTTCTGACATTTTGACAATGTCTATTTCATGGGGTAGAGTGTCGCTCTCCCAGTCGCCATATCCTGACGCCCTAAGGGAGTCGTCCAATGCTCAGGTCCGGGTACAGTAGAACGAGGTTGCGTTAACTGGCACACGTCCAGGTACGACACCAAGAGGGGCCCTCCTTACAGTAACTTCTTGATCACACAATTGTTATGCGCATGGCTGGCGGCATTTCTTTTTTCGTCTCTGACTGGTGCACATGTTGGCCAGCGGGATAACGCCATCCTGCCAGGCGCTCCTGAATCTGTACGCCAGCCCTCCGCATCGAACACGACCTCACTGAAATCGTACGTGCGCCATTGCTCACTCAACTGGCGCGGGACCAAGTATCACCCACATCTCACACAAATCGGCACCAAAAACACCTCACACGACAGAATAAATTACTACTTACGACTCACGACTCCACGACGCAGCGGTCAGCTCGCGGGTACAAGGCCACACCCGTGTGCTGTATCACAGTATGATGCAAAGTACAGTGGTAAGGAGCAAGAAGCGGACAGGGAGAAGCGTATTCGAGAGTGCACGACGTACGAGCATGTGGGCGTGTAAGCGCATAGCGCGAAAACGGTAGATATAAGCAACAAGATCACTGTAACAACTGCACACGAGTCCATGTCAGTACGAGGGAGGGAGAAACAGAACAGAGGCGGGACAGTCTAGATGTAGAGGGCAGACACTGTACGCGATCGGTGCGATATTGGAGGATGATGGGTAGCAGGGGGGATGAGACTGTGAACAGGGTGGTAGGTAGCAGGGGGGATGAGACTGCGAACAGGTCACAAGGTACACGACAAAGAGGGTGATGCCAGTCCGTATTCAGGTGTATCGTCCGAGTCCAGACATGTAATGGTATACACGGCGACGATATGGTATATGCAGCCAGACTGCAGTGTGTCAGGGTCCGCACGCCAGGCGCAGCTCTTAATACGAGAAGATCATCAACCACGGGTTCAGCACGATCTACACAACCCACCCGCGAGCAGTCAGCCAACGGCAGGCATCGGCAGGAGACGAGCGCAATACGCACCGGGAAAAGAATATGGCAGCTCGAGGAGATAGCGAGCGGCAGGATGACGGCCCATCCGGCGCCGGTGATGCGCCACTCGATGGGGACCAACGTCGTGCTCTCGATGATCATGCCAGCGATGAACACGACGGACAGTGTCCACGCGAACCAGAATCTACAACACAGTCAGACACAAGACTTCGCGCAAAAGACGGCGCACACGCGACCCAGTGGATATAGGACGCACCTCCTTAGAATTTTGGGCACCTCCTTGAAGAAATTGGACCGCTCGACCTCCTTCGTCGTCGCGCCCCAGGTAATATTGTACGAAAACAGATGCGCGAGCACCGCAATCGACAGGTGGAGCGAGAGCCCGCCAAAGAAAAAGAAGCTGCACAACCGCTCGGTCAACAACAACACCAGACGATCGACGCCGAAACACCACGACACTCACAAGAACGGAACCCACATCACGTTCTCGAAAAACGCCCCGAGCTAGAGTACGTCATCAGTACGCGAAAGGACGACATATTGCAACCGGCAGCCTACCAACGACCGCGCGCCAATGCGATACTGCAATAGCGTGAACCCAACATTTCCCGAGCCGATGAACACGACCGTCGTCGCAAGCCAGATCTCGAAGCTGTGCTGGTAGAAGCCGTCCACGGGAAGCTCCCAGCCGAGCAGGATGTAGTTGAGGACCGCAATCGTCAGCGAGGCTGCAATACCGTCTGTCCCAAAGAGTCAGCAATGGTACGAAGGAGAGACGGGGCGAGTGGAGACAACGGCTTACAGTACGAGAACATGTACGACAGCATGGAGATCTTGTAGTGCATCGGCGCGCCCGACCACAAAAACCTATGGATCTGCACGGCGATCGGGCCACGGCGCCACCACTGGACGATCGGGTTGAACAGCAGCTCGTTACAGCCTGCACACATCTCAACAAACAACTCCTCCACCAAGACGGGCAAATAAGGGCGACGTACCGTACGCATACTTCTGCCAGCGGTTCAGCTCGTCGTCCACGGTGAGCGAGACGCCCTCCTTGAACCCGCCATTCGAGTACGTCGCCCAGCGGATGATGTACCCGCGCATCTGGAGGCGCAGCGCCATGTCAAAGTCCTCGGACACGTTCGACTCGGACCAGATCTTCTCCTGCCCGTCCGCGGGGTCTACGAACGCCGCGTCCTGGATCGCCTGCCAGCGCATGAACGCGTTGTGCCCCACGAAGGGCGCGACCTCGCCGTTCGAGCACGAGTACGAGATGCACTTGTTGATCCGCCGCGTGAAGTACGCGATGCCGTTTTCAAAGTAGTGGTGCGCGACCTGCATAACATCTGCAGCCCGAAAAAAAAAAACACACATACATCATCAGCACGGCGAACACCAGAGCGCACAGGCACGCACCAGACTCGTGCTGGAGAATAGCAAGCGTCGGGTCCTCGGCCATCTCGCGCGCCGCATCCCGCAAGCAGTCCTACAAGCGCACACCCACGAGACAATGAGCCCCAGCCCGCACTCGCGCCCCACAAACAGCAGCACACGCACCTCGGGCACGACCGTATCCGAATCGACCAACAACACGAGCTCGCCCAAGCGGCACGCGCGCCCGTTCGCCGCCCACGGGCGGAACCGGTGCCCGCTCGCCTCATACACCTCGTCGATCGCCATCTGCAGCGCCTGCTCCTCGAGGTCGAACCACTCCTCCTCCGCGCGCTCCTCGCCCTCCGCGCTCCCCCGCTGGCCCCGCCCCACATTCACCACCCCCTGGTCCTCCCCGTCGTGCTGCTGGTACTGCATCCCATACCGCGTCTCCTCGCGCACGCCGTGCCCCGCCGCGCTCCCGCGCGCCGCCGCCTGCGCCTGCAGCACCGCGAGGTGCTTCTCCGCCTTGAGCGACAGCGCGAGCCCGTAGTTCATGTTCGACGCCTTCTTGAAGCGCCCCGCGCGGCGGAACCCGTCCGGCGCGGGGTCGTGCCGCGGGCGCGCGACCCAGCCGATCCCGTGGTTGGCGTAGTACGCGATCCGCGCGTCGCGCTCCTCGACCGCCAGCAGCCGCAGCCCGTCGTCGTTCACGAACAGCGTCGACGTCCCGCCCTGCCGCGCGTACGTGCGCATCGCCTTCTTCAGCGACTCGATCGACGGCGCCCTGCGTGCTGCGTCAGTGGAGAGCGCGGCCAGCGTGGCAGAGCGGCGAGGGGGAGACTCACAGCACGGCGTCCAGGCTCTCCTTGTACACCGGCATCTGGATCGCGATGTGCGGCAGGTCCGCGTCGACGACTTTGTTCGGCCGGGGCTTCACCGCGGAGTAGTACTTGGAGTTCTGGTGGTACTGCGCGATCGGCCCGAGCGCCATCGTGACGTTCTGGACGATCTGCATCGCGAAGAACTAACAGCGCCTCCGAAAAAAAAAAAAGAGAGAGAAGGCGAAATAAGAAAATGCATCAGCAGGGCGGATCGACGGACACAGCAGCGAGCAGACGCACGAGGGAGACGGCGAAGAGGAGCGGGATGAGGACCGCGAGCGCGAAGCGCACGTAGTCGTTATCGAGCCGCCACTCCACAATGAGGGTATTGAGCCCATTCCCAATAAAAACTGAGCCCGCGCGCCCACGCATCAGCCACCACACTCACCCGCACACGACACGAGGACGGACGCACAAATGCTCAGCGCGAACGCGAATCCATTGTAGAGCGGAGCGAGGAACCGCATCGGGCGCGGGTCCGGCTCGCGCTCGCCATACAGGCTCGCTTCCGAGCGGTCGTCCACCACGACCTCCTTGCGGCGGCCCCACCACGTCCTGCGCACATACATCAGCGCCGGCAGACCATCCTCGAACACGGGAAACGCACCTGCGCACGACGGTCTTGGCGCCCGCCTCCTTCTCCTGCACACCAACGCCCTTCTCGACGTCGGGGCCCAGCTCGAGGCTGTCGCGGCCCATGCCGCGCGGGGTGCCGGGGAGCGCCGGGGCATGGAGGGAGCGCGTGGGGGGCACGGACAGGCGCGAGCTGGGGCGGATGAGGGAGTGGCCCTCGACGGAGCCGGACACGCTCGCGGGCTGCGAGCTGGCGGAGGCGGCGTGGGACGCCGCGTTGGGGCGGGAGCGCCAGAGGAGCTTGATGAGGCGCTCCTCGAAGTCCTGGCAGAGCGGGATGATGCTGTCTATCGCGTCGGACCAGACGACCAGCACGCGTTCGTCGCGCTGCGGGGAGTGTCAGCGCACGTTCGGAGCTCGGTGCGAGGACGCAACGTAAAAAAAGGGGGTAGATTGTGAGCGGACAGTGGGCAATGAGCACGACGAAGAGGGAAGGCCCTCATCCCGCGTTGCTGTCAAATGCCGATACGACTACAGGCAACGAAAATGGAACCTCTGTCTATGGGTAGCTCCACGAATCATGATAGCACCTGCGGACGTGAGCCATGTTCCGGATGGACAGAGGCGCATACTCGAGTGAAGGAAGGGAAGCACGCAAGAACACCATAGAAGCAGAAACCGGGGTGACGAAGCGAAAAGCGGAACAGACGGAGGCGAGATAGGCCCGCCTCGAGGAGCGCGAAGGGCTCGCGAGGGAAGCGCCACTCGCTCAAGGAGACAGACACCTCCTTCCCAGTCACCCCCTATCGAACCTGAGCCTCACGAAGCACGCGCTCAAAACGCAGAAACGCGCACTCCGCACACAGCCCAACGCGACCCTCTCCCGCGCGTAAGCCACGGCGCAGCCCTGGTCCGTGTTCTGCACCCAGCGCGCATCAAGGCCCGCGCGATAATAACCGTCCTGCACCCGCAAAGTGAAGTGCAGAGGCGGACCACGCGTGCGCGAAGCAGAAGCAAGGCCCACACGTGCTCCCACGCGGCATGCGCGAAGCCGTACAGCACAGCCAGAAGGGAGGGCAAAGAACGGCGGTGCCGCACCGCTCCTTGGCAAAAAGACGGACGTACCCAAAAAAAGACTAGGCACGCGAAAAAATGAAAGACGGAGCCGAGAATGCGGATCGTCCCCAGCCACCACCGAAACTCCACAATCCAAAATCCCAAATCCGACAAACCCAAACACGACGGGTTCTTGCGCGGGGCAAGAAGAGGGGAAAGGACTTACGACGAAGGCGGCGCTCTGCTCCTTATCGGCGCTCGGGAGGTCCATCATGGTCTCGAGGATCTGGATCTGGGTGTTGGCATCGACGTAGATGCTCTTATCGGGGCCCCTGCGTGCAAGGCAGCGTCAGTAGTGAACGCCTGGACGATATGGACGGCGAGACGGGATGGCGGGCGCGGGGGGGGGGGGGGGGGGCGCGTCATAGGAGGCGCATCGTCCACTGCACACCGCTCAAAGGCACCAGTTCCCTCCCGCGAAACCCAACATCGACACACCCGCAAGCCCAAAGCCAAGCCAAACAAAAAAACAAAACAAAGCGACTCACACCTCGGCAAGGGCGGCATGCACGGCGGCGTTGCGCACCTTGACGGCGACGGCGGGGTTGAGGGCGGCGACGGCGGCCTCGAAGGGCTCGAGGGCGGGGTTCTCGTAGGGGAACACGCGGAACTCGGGGAGGGGCACGCCGGGGTGCTCTACGCGGAGGGCGACGCCGGCGGAGAGGGCGTCCTCGTTGGGGCGGAACCACGCGTCGCCCTGGGTCTGCTTGAAGATGTGGTGCAGGAAGGCGTCGTAGCGGTCGTAGTCCATCGCGGCGGGAGCGACCTACCTAGCCGGCGGGGGTAAGAGGGGAGAGAGGGCAGAGTTCGCAGATGGAAGGAGAAGGAAGAGATGGTGGAGGGGGAAACGCGGGGCGCAGCACTGCACGCGGGGCAGGAGCAGGAGCGGAGACTCACACGCGGGTTTTGAGTGTGGGTTCGCGACGGGGATCGCGTTTGGGGAGTACCGCAGCTTCGTATCATGGGCGAGTGTCTGGTGTCTCCCTGCCTGCCTCCCTCCTCTCCGGCCGTTCCCTTATCGCAGACGCCCACACTGCATTTTGCGCTCCTAGCGCGCGTCGAGTGGAATATTGGCTCTCAGAGGGACCGGGCGGGATATCTGCGCTGGGACACAGCTCGGACGAGCGCGTTGCGGGGGTGTCACGCGCGCGCGACGACCTGCGCAGGTATCTGCATCCGAGGGTGCAAAAAGGAGGGACGTGCCTGAACGGTGGACGACATACGTACTGCAGCTCCGTCCGGGGGCCTGGGCTGGCAGGGAACGAACGGTGCGCGTATGGAAGGCGCGGGGGAGCCTATCTGACGACTGAGGGGCGCTAAGGGGCTGCATCGCGCTTCACCGATGGCAACGTGTCATCGGCGCGTCATAGTGTACGTGGATAGTGGAGGTGGGGCGCGTCGGCTGCACGCGAGGTGCAGGAGGTGCAGGAGTGGGACGCTCGGTGCCACTGCGGAGAAAATTGAGTCTGGGGTGGGACCCCAGCGGGCCCGACGCGTGACGTCACAGCGCATCGCGACCATCGACCGACGCCAGAGAGGCATCTGTTGTACTGCGGTACGCCTCCCTAGTGCTTCACAGTGTTGCGTCAAAGAACCGGCTCGAGAGGTCGCAAGGAAGGACGCGTCGAAGCACGTTCCGCGTATTTCTGAATTAGGTATCTCGCCTGCCCGGTTTGGGATCTTCCTCGTCAATTAGCCTCTGGTTGTCGTCTGTTTTACGACACACGAACGACAGGGGCCGAGCTGAGAAGAGGCCGGGGCGTCGTGGCGCATGCCCCGGCGTTCTTCGACTGTCCAAGTATGCCCCTCCGACTTCCCCTCGTTTATCGACAAGTCGAGCCAGAAGACGCGAAAATTCTACGCGACGCAGGCGAGCTCGAAGGACTAGTCTCTGCTTGATTCAGAAGGACAGAAGCTGCAGTTGTGCTGCGGTCGAGAGCATACTCGTTTTACCACGGCGCTCCGTCGCGCTCACAGACGCATCCTAGTAGCCTTGTGCACTCGAGAGAGAAGACGCGGGGGAGCACGCTGCAGGGAGGACGGAGCGGTCGCCCTTCGGGACCGAGGGCGTTTGCGCGAGAGACAGAGGCAGAAGGTGTCAGGTATGTTGAAATCGGCGATCAGAGTCCTAAGTCGCCGGCTTGTGCGCAGACGTTTCGCCCTGGAGCTCGTGCAGGGTGCAGCACGAAAGATGAATTGAAGCTCTGAGAGTCTGGCTGCCTGCTGCGTTCATAGAGAACGGGTGGAGCGAGGCGCAGGGAAGGTGCGCAGGGCGGGCGGGACCCCAGGCAGGGCGACGTAACGGACGATAAGGACGCAGCACGCGAGCTTATCGAGGAGGGCCTTAACCTCGTCCTCTCCTCCTGCTCCTGCTCCTGCTCTCTCTCTCCTCCCTCGCAGGGCGACGATGGCCTCCCGCAACCGCGAGTCGTATCCCTCACGCTCGGTCTACTCTTCGGCGGACGCCTACCGCGCTCTGCCCTCCGCGCCCTCTCCCTCCACCGCCCACGCCCACGCCCAGAGCTCCTCCCCCACCAGCAGCGACGAGGACGCCCTCCTGCCCGCGCCGCCCTCTCCGCCCATGCACGCCGCCCTCGCCACCGCCTTTGTCCGCACCCGCGCTCGCTCTCGCAGAGACTCTGGTGCTCCTGCCGCCGCGCCCTCTGTGCCCGCTCAGCGAGACATCGACGAAGAGCCTGCCCCTCCCCGGCCCCTCTCCAAGGACGTGAGCCACCCGCTCTCACCACCCAGGCCGCCCTTCGTCGCAGACGGGGACCGTCGCTCCTCCGGCACCTCCTCCGCGGACACCCTGGACCTCGAACCCGCGAGCGACTCGGACGCCTCCGCCTCCGCCGGCCCCGCAGCACGCGGCACCCAGCCCCCGCCCGTAGCTGCCCCAGTGGCCTCCCCACCAGGCGCTGGCCCCGTCCCCCGCGCCGTGCGCGCCCGCAATCACCACCGCCGCCGCTCCTCCATGGCGAACGAGTACTCGTACGCCGCGCCCGCCCCCGCCTCGGAGGAGTCCGCCAGCTCGCCCTCCTCCTCGCAGCCCCACGGCGCCCCCGCCGACACGCCCCCCGGCTCCGTCTACAGCCCCCCCGGCGCCCACCGCGCCCCGCCCAGTGCGTACCCCTTCCCCTTCCAGAGCCACCCCGGCAACCCCGACCCGGGCACCCCCATTCCCGGCCGCAGGAGCCTCGAGTCCCTCCGCCGCTCCGCCTCCTTCGGCAGCGCCGCCATATCTCCTCCGTTTGCCGTCGGCACGTCCTACCCCCAGGGCTACGCCCAGCTGCCCCCAATTGGCGCGAGCACGAGCGACCTCGGGGAGCTCGGCCGCCCGTATGCGCCCTTCATGGAGGGCAACGCCAGGAGCGCGACCCCGCCGAGCCCCATCGCCAGCCAGAGCCAGCTCTACCGCGCGAGCGCCGCAGCCGCCGCTGCCGGCGCCGGGTCCGCGGGTCTCTACTCCGGTGCGTGTCCGAATCAGAGGAAAGAGTGTCGTTGTATTGACCCTTCGCCAGATCCGAACGCGCGCGCGATGCGCCCCAACTTCCTCTCGCCGGCCTCGCGCCCGGGCTCCTCGCTGTGGTCCCCGCCGTCGTACCCGTCTATCCCGTACGCGTACCCGCCCTCGGGCTCGTACACCGCCCTGCCCGGCGCGCGCACCGGCACCCACACCCCGACCGGCGGCTCGACGTACGGCGGCTACGGCTCCGGCTCCGGCTCCGCCTCGGGGTACCCGGAGCTGCACGCGGCGCTGCGCAAGGCGAAGAAGCCGATGCGCTCGCACGCGCTGGCCGCGAAGCTGACCGCGGAGGAGAAGCCGTGGCTCAAGGAGCGCGACCGCGCGGGGCGCGCGGCGTGGTGGATGACGTTTTGCATGATGTGGCTCGGCGTCGCGGGCGCGGCGGTGTTCATCTACTTTGGGTACACGGACGTGATGCTCCTCCCCGACTCGGAGCTGTGCCCCGTCTGGAGCGACGAGTTTGACAGTCTGGATTTGACGAATACGTGGACCGCGGACGTGGAGCTTGGCGGGTTCGGGTGCGTGTTCTGCTCTTTTTTTCTTTTCTTTTTTTGGCTGTGGGTGGGTTGCTGATTTTGGGGGCGCAGGAACGGCGAGTTCCAGATGACGACGACGGACTCGAAGAACCTGTACGTGAACAACGGGGAGCTGTACATCATGCCGACGCTCACCTCGGACGAGATCGGCGAGGGCTCCGTGCTCGACGGGTACACGTACCCGCTCCAGGGCTGCACCACCGACAACGCCGTAAGCCCCCCCCCTCCTTCCCTCCTCTCCTTACACCCCGACGTAGGCTGAAACAGAGTGACAGACTGCGTGCTCGGCGACGTCCTCGAACTCGTCCGGGACGGTGGTGAACCCGGTGCAGTCCGCGCGGATCAGCACGATCAACAGCCACAGCATCCGCTACGGGCGCGTCGAGGTCAGCGCGAAGCTCCCCGCGGGCGACTGGCTCTGGCCCGCCATCTGGATGATGCCCGTGCAGAGCGTGTACGGCCCGTGGCCGCTCAGCGGCGAGATCGACGTGAGCCCCACCCTTTCTTTCGCGATGATGCGCGCGTATGCTGACGGGCTGGGGGGCAGATCATGGAGGCGCGCGGGAACGGGCTGGCGTACACCGCGCAGGGCTCGAACTACGTGCGCTCGACGCTCAACTACGGGCCGCTCCCGGGGCTGCTCACGACGATCTTCGGGTGGTGGACGCAGAAGCGGGCGAGCTTCGGCGCGGCGTTCCACGTGTACACGCTCGAGTGGACGCCGGACTTTATGCGCTTCTCGGTGGACACGCGCCTGCGCGCGATGATCGCGCTCAACACGGGCGGGCGCGGCGGGAAGAGCTTCTGGGCGCGCGGGGCGTACCCCGCCACGGCGCACAACGGCTCGGACACGCTCGTGGCGGTGCCGGACCCGTGGGGCAGCAGCGGCGGCGCGAGCGCGCCGTTTGACCAGAACTTTTATGTGATACTGGATCTGGCGGTGGGCGGGACGAGCGGGTGGTTTCCGGATAACGTGGGCGGGAAGCCGTGGTACGACGGGAGCGCGGAGGCGATGCGCGAGTTTGCGCTCGCGCAGGGCGAGTGGGCCGCGACGTGGCCGGCGAGCGCGGACGATCGCGCGTTTAGAGTGTGCGTGTTCCGCGTTTTTTCTTTTTCGATTCGTGTGGCGGGGCTGACCGTGGTGCGGATTTGCAGGGACTATGTGAGGATGTGGCAGTGGAAGCCTGAGGGGTGCTGAGCTGAGCGCGCGAAGGGGCCGCTCGCTGCGCCCGTCTCTCTGCGCGCCCGTCGTCGCGAATGCTTTGCTTTGTGTATACCCCCCGGCCCCGGACCAAAATTGCGAGGATTGGCCCCGCGACTGCTCCTGTGCTATGCTATGCTCACCTTGCGTCTGCCCACCCCACCACGGCCGACACCGGTATAGAGTCGCGCGCGGACGTTATCACCCGCCTTGTCACTTGCTGCTTGGGAACATTATATAGATAGATACCATGCGTTTCTGGTTTTTTTTTGTAGTCGTGGACGCTGCGCGGTGCGCGCCCCTCGCTCGTTTGTGCATATGCGCTGTCGCGCCGCTCGCTTAGCTTTTAGCTTTCCTTAGTCTCATTCTCGTCGTGTGTCTGCGTATACTTGGCCATCTGCGTAACGTTTCGATACGTGCATGCACTTTTCCACCCGCATCGCATAGATCCCGAGAGCCCCGCCCACCCCCGCTGACTGCTGGGTACTACTAGCTATAGTACTGTATTTATGTCCCCCCCCGCGTCATGACCCCGCTACGATTCTCCAGCTGGCTGGGCTAGATAGAGTGCAATAGACTTTGATGGATCCTCGTCTTCGAGTTGAGAGTGGGGCGTGGGCTCCGTTCCTGAGTGACTTCATGCGTTGTCTGCACCGGTGCTCTGGCGTGGGGTACGACGCGGGGCTGGTGTGGAGTTGGAGGACGTGTGAGCGGGGAACGCCGTCCGGACCGCCCGCGCGTAGGCGGACCGTCTTGACTCTTCTTTGTGTTTTCGGTCTTTTGTTCGGGGGGAAGAGGTAACGAAAAGGCTTCGCGGACAGGTGCGCAAAAAGTGGAGCAGCTCGCTCTTGTTTTTTTTTGCCAGACTGGACGCGAGTTCGCGCCCGCTCCACCCTTCGCGAGCCCGGGGTGCTTCCGATGCGATGCCGATGGCGGAGCTGTGTTGCGGGTTTTCCTCGCTCCAGGAACGCGGTGCGGTGCATAGATGTGCGGGAAGAGTCGGTGAATACGTGCTATGACGAGTACCGAATCGGAACGACGGTTCGGACGTACGGTCTAACAAAGTAATGGCTCTCCGTGCTATACCCTGGTCCTCGCATGCGTCAGGAGTCTAGAGAAGGAACCGGGCCGAGGTCGAGGCGGAGGCGCCACAGCGTCTGGCGTCGCTACCGACTCACCGAGGAAAATAAATAGTTGACGAGGCGGGCTCAGTACCTGCTGCTGTGGACCTATTATTTCGGGCTGACGGCCAGAGATGATTGATCCACAGCACGCAGATGCTTGACGGTAGGAGGGGGGCGAAACGGACACCATGTGTCGAGCGTGGGCGTCGTGGTGAAGCAGCGTCGCCATGCGCACACCGGGCGTGAACAGCACGTAACGACGTGCGCCACTGCGAACCGGCCATGTCGGCTCCTCTGTCAGTTAGGCTCGCAGGCATTTGCAAAACCGGGACGCACGAATTCGAAAATACCAGGAGTGGATGGGGACTGTACAAACCGGCTCAGCAGTAGGTAGCGACGTGCGCCCCTGCGCCCCGGCTATGCCGGCTTCTCTGCCAGTTAGGCTCGCAGACATTGCGAAATGGGGACGTACGAATTCAAAAATGCGAGTGAATTATCGGGGCTGCACACAACGAGCATAGGTAGCGACGTGCGCCCCTGCGCACTGGCTATGTCGGCTTCTCTGCCAGTTAGGCTCGCAGGTATTTACGAAACAGGACGTACGAAATACAAAGATGGATGCCGGCACTGAGTGACGTGATTTGGTGGCGCCATGGTCCGTGCACTTCTCCAAATTGCGTATGATGACAGGCATCAGCCTGGGTCGGCGGAGCACAACGGTGATGACGATGCTATCAGGACTTGCCAACGGAGCGTCTGAGAAGCAACAGCTACATTGACATGGAATTGGTCTGAGGGCACTGATGGAAACGCGTAAGAGTGTTCGGGGGTTCGCGTACGGAAATGCACCGGCGCGAACTCGTTGCGGAGAACGTGCGCGAGACGGAAAGGATGTAGCCTGGAATCTCGTCGATGACTGGATGTCAAGGAAGAGATGTCGGAAATGTGAAGGTGCGGTCTGATGTCGGTATGATGACTGCGCGGAGTGGACGTTCCGAGGTGGGTTTCGTGCTGAAAGCGGCGAGATGTGTTATCGCGTCTGGTTGGAGTGTTATTTTTGTCGCGGGAGATAAATGAACACATCGAGGAACACATCGAGGAAGCTCAGCTTAGGAAGCAGCGCAAAGTGAAGGGATGATAAGACGCACTCTTAGGATCTGCGTACAGATAGTAGAGCAAACTTCAGACGAAGTGACCGGATGATGGAATGGGAATCATGCAATCTGAATGCAGCGTGGCGCCAAAGAAAAGGTATCTCAGATAGCCCATATTACGCCGAATGTGCAAACACGGTGGTATCAGGAATGCAAGAACTAGCGGAAGGGTGAGCGGTAGGATGATGGACATTGGAGAGCTTTATCGATGCATGTTGCAAATAGTCGATGCATGCGGCATGGTGTGAACAACCATGTACGCATTGCACGGTCGGTCAGGCTCGCCCTGGCACGAGTTGCAATTACTCGTGCATGCAACGGCACCGGGGCCCGCATGAGCCTCCTTGTGAGTATAGAACTACCAGTAGTCATTCAATACTTCGACAATACTCACATCGAACCTCGTGTATATCAGAATGGCTCGTCGGTCCGGCGGATGAAGGCAGAAGGCGAGCTCAAGAAATTAACAAGTTAGGAGCCTGCTCCTAGAAATATGCCCATTGATATTGCGCGTGTTAGCATGATAGGGGAATGAGACATACCTGGAAACACAAGGCACGCGTGCTCAAGTTTTGCCAGCGGGTAAGAGTCAACTCTGCGATGGGATATTAATGAGGAACGCGAGGCAGGGGATAATTAGTGTTACACCATGTGTTCCGCTTCGCGAAAACGCCAATCTCTGCGGGAACCCAAGCCACCGTTTGAAGCCCTTCAGGACTTCTCCATTCACCATAAGTGACGTGTGCGTCCACGCAATCGATATCCCATGGGCTAACTCTCAGATTCTCAAAAACAGTAGCCCCACATTCAGTGGAGCCCATACATGTGAGTTCAAGTTGGGAGATACATCGGAGGAGAACGGAAAATATTCGTGGGCGTCTATTAGACACGTGCCCGCCCGGACCGCTTACGACCGAGGCGGGCTCACGAACTGACGTACACAGCAGCGTCGCTGACGACGACAGGAACGACGACAACAGTAGTGGTGCACCTCAGGACGTCTGTATGAAGCCGAGAATACGTTGCAATGGAGGTCTTGTCTCTTGGTCTATGTTTACTGGGATACTTCAAAACCCTGCCTAGCTTCCTACGACCACTGTCGTTTTGGACGCCACAGTATCCTCTATGTTACACGCCAAATCATGCCATCGAAGTTCCCATAGGCGTTCCACTACCGGAGGGAATCCAAGGCGGCCAGAACAATGGTGGTGAGTTCCCTCCTTGAGCACGTGTCGGCTTGAAGAAGAGAACAACCCTGGGGGCTGGATGCGGAATCCTGTTCATTCGCATTGAGATCCCCCCTTGATCAACAAGCCCAGTCGAAGAGGATGCTACATGCGGTACGGAGGCCGCATGATAACTCGCTGGTTCGTCGCCATGTGGGATCATCTTCGCCTACCATGAAGAAGTGCCCGTGTTTCTGGTGAAATACCAGCATCTTTGTCTCTCTGATTGAGTTGCTCTCTCTGCGCTGCAGCTTGTTACTTTTCTTCTGGGCTTATCGTTTTATATGTTTGTTCTGACGGTATTGCAATGGTCGATTCTTGCACTCTCTGCCTTGATGGCAACCTCAGCGCCTCCTGGGTTCCCTGCTTCCGGGAATGGGCTTTGGTATACGGCACCCGGGCAAAGTGACTCGTGGTCGACGCAGTGGTTGCCTGTTGGCAATGGATATATAGCAGGTTGAGTGCACTTGCGTACTTGGCCGCTTTCTGTATTCACATCGGAACCAGCGACTACACCTGGAGGAACCTTCCAGGAGACAATGCACTTGAATATTGAGTCCTTATGGTCCGGTGGACCATTCCAGGATCCGGTAGGTAGTTTGCGTCACTCAAAAATTTGATTGCGATTGTCCATTTTCTTGGTGGGCCACGGGAATGTGCCTTGCTTCGCTTGCTCATGGCGCGCATCTACACTGTTAGACGTACAATGGCGGCAACCAGCTTCCTTCTGAACAAGCAACAATGGCGCAAGATATGCAGACCATCCGACAGACGATATTTGAGAGCTTAAACGGGACGATTGATAGTACGCGACGCGCGATTTTCTGGCATTCTTGTCAACTTATCAACGACGACGTGCAGATATCGAAGAGCTAATGCTTCCTGCTGGGGCGTATGGTACGTTCATGCCCCTGTCTGCATTTTGTACATATCATTGGGTTCATCTGTGCTGTGACAGGTTCGTACTCTGCAGCGGGCTATTTGCTCACGACCATGAATACTACGGGACCGGTCTCGGGATACTTCCGATGGCTCGACCTAGACTCGGCTGTTGCACATACTGTATGGACGCAGGGAAATGCAACTTTTTATCGGTGTGTACCTACTAGCTCCGCATGTAAAGAGCGCCCCGCTCACTGTCTGCTACTCTAGTGATTCCTTCTGTTCTCATCCTGCCCAGGCGTGTGTGCAATATGTGAACAGCACTGGAGTAGACCCCCTTCCACCGCTAACGTATACATTCTCCGTGACCGCAGAATCCGGTTTGCCTATCCCGAACGTCACCTGTTTTGACAACGATACTCTCCAAGCGACGGGCCAGGTTTCAGATCCCGGTATGTCGTACGAGATTCTCGCACGCGTACGCACGACAGGAAACAGCACTGTCTCCTGCTCATACATCGCCGGCAATGCGACATTGAGCGTAGACAACGCTCATGAAGCGTGGATTACTTGGGTGGGCGATACGGATTACTCGATGTACGCCGGGAACACCGCTAGCAATTTCTCGTTCCGTGGTACAGATCCGGGTCCCTCGCTGTACGCGCTTCTGTCCGCCGTCACCACCACGTCAGTCTCATATACCTCGCTTTTTGATGCACATGTCTCGGACTATACCTCTGTTATGTCCCCGTTCTCGCTTTCGCTTGGACAGACCGCTGACTTCACGACGCCGACGGATGAGCTGAAGGCCGCATATCAAACCAATGTGGGAAATCCGTACCTTGAGTGGTTGTTGTTCAATTACGGACGATACCTTCTTGCGAGCAGTGCGCGCGGGACGCTGCCTGCGAACTTGCAGGGCAAGTGGGCGGAGCTATCCAGTAATCCTTGGGGTGCCGGTATGTAAAATGGTTGTTCTGAATCGTGACATGATGCACTGAGACAGACGGTGGTAGATTATCGTGAGCATTACTTTACCAGCCGACGTCGGAGGACAGCGTGAGCTAAATAGTAGGAAAGACGCAAACATCAACCTGCAGATGAACTATTGGTTTGCAGAGATGACCAATATGGATGTTGTCATACCCGTCTTCAATTATATTGAGGTATGTTGTAGAAATCCTGCCTTAACAACTGTATGTGGTAGTCATCTCTGATTCAGAACACCTGGGCACCACGCGGCACAGAGACGGCGGAAATCTTGTATAATATCTCTCGGGGCTGGGTCACTCACGACGAGGTGCGTTTTTGACCTGCCTCCAGGACCTACCAGTGCGCCCCATCTCTTACTGCACATCCGTATCATATCCTCTAGATGAATGTATGTAACCCGTTTCGCCTTCTTATCGACATACTTACTGAAGTACCACCACTGCCATCAGATTTTTGGCCACACTGGCATGAAGTTGTTGGGTAATTCTGCGCAGTGGGCCGACTATCCTGGTGTGTATCTCAACGAAGGCTTTCCAAAGCAACATCGAAACCATGATACCGCTGACGTTCTTTGACTGTCAGAGTCTGCGGTTTGGATGGTTTGTGCCTATGTTACTTGCAGTTACGGATAACTGATTTCTGAAATACATTCAGATGATACATGTATGGGACCATTTCGATTACACCAACAACATCACATGGTTTCGATCTCAAGGCTGGCCGCTTCTAAAGGTTACATGATCCGGTTTTCCATGAACTTAATTCTCGTTATTGAAGCTTGTTCTGCGTCGCGTAGGGTGTCGCCGAGTTCCATCTGGACAAGCTCATCGAGGATTTGCACTTCAATGATGGTACACTCGTCGTCAACCCTTGCAACTCGCCGGAACAGCTTCCTATCACCCTCGGTATAATATTTCTAATCGCTTGCGTAAAGTATTTCTGACTCAGCATTTTGCTCCAATGGTCAATCAGGATGTGCACATGCACAACAAGTGATCTGGCAGCTTTTCAATGCTATCGAGAAAGGCTTTACTGCATCTGGTGATACAAATACGTCCTTCTTAGAAGGTTTGATCCAATGCCCTTCATGCGTCTTATGAAGGTTGCTGACTTTGCATGACAGAGGTTCAGGCTAAGCGAGCGCAAATGGACAAGGGCATCCACATCGGGTGGTGGGGCCAACTGCAAGAGTGGAAGGTCGATATGGATCAACAGAACGATACCCACCGCCATCTGTCTCATCTCATCGGGCTCTACCCTGGATATGCAGTCGCGTCGTATGACCCGACGGTTCAGGGGAGCAATACCACCAGCTACAGCAGGAGCGATGTGCTAGCGGCCGCGGAAGTGAGCCTCATTCATCGCGGGAACGGCACGGGTCCCGACGCAGACTCCGGGTGGGAGAAGGTTTGGCGCGCCGCTTGTTGGGCTCAGCTTAAGAACGCGACCGAGTTTTACTTCGAACTCTCGGTACATATCTCGCCGTCTGCTTCGCTCGTATCCACAGCTAATGATTGGAATGTTCAGTACGCTATCGAGCGCAATTTTGCGGGCAATCTGTGGAGCATGTACTCGTGGCCTCCAGGGGACGATGGGATCTTCCAGATAGATGCCAACTTCGGTTACCCTGCCGCTCTCCTGGTGCGTATGATCACCTGAACATGCTGTCGTGCTGACACTCTGCATGGTGACACAGAATGCCCTTGTGCAAGCACCCGATGTTGCAGATATATCTCTCCCGCTTGTTGTCACCATTCTACCCGCATTGCCGGATGCATGGCCTTCAGGATCCCTGACAGGCGTGCGCCTCAGGGGCAGTATGACTCTCAACCTCAAGTGGGCAGGAGGAAGGCCCACTTTTGTGGAGATCATCGTTGACCAGAGTGTGACGTCGCGGCAGGTGCAGGTCGTATATGCCAATGAGGTGGTCGCTTCCTTCACAACGGCAGCGAATCTGCAGCAGACAATTGGGTTTTGAAGTGGAGGATACCCAGACAGAAAGGACGCTTGGGACTGATATTGAAGGACTTGTGTCGTTGATTGGAGATAATCGGCAAGGAATCAGGATGATTGCGCTACTCCTTGCCATTTAAATAAGGGCTGCGCTGGCACACATGCGCTACGCTTCTTGAAAGTCATGGCTATCGAGGTTGTATCCCGTATACATACAGAGTATAGGCTCAGCTCGATGTCATTGTGCCGCCAGAAGCCTATCGAGGGAAAGCACAGTAGAAAAGTGACGCGCGCCTGGTACCAGCAAGTAGACAATCTCATTAGGATCGGCGTTTATAGGGCCTTTAGGATACTGTTCATCGTGCAGATGATGGTTCGGCGTGTGCAGTACAACGGTTGTTGATGAAAACGATGTGTGTATATGACAGCTAATGGAATGCCTGCCTACTTCGATTGCAAAGAGAGTTACAATCCTCCGGCGATGCTCCTATCCTGTTCTCCATTTCGTGGGACTGTTGTCGTGCATTATCCCTGTCCTCAAGGCCCCATTTCTCGTCCACACCCGTATGCAAAGGCAAGTGCTCCATCAGCAGACTACACAGAAACCCGAAGCCAGTGATGCCGATTAACACCTGCCAGACATCCTGCAGACTTGCTGTGAACGCGAGCTGCACCTCGCTCTTAAGCGGTTCTTGCAACGTTTTGATGAGCGGGATTATGGAGTATGCAATCGCCGAACCCTGAGGGAATTGCTGCGCGAGCGCGCTGGGGAGGTGCTTCGTGAGCTCATTCTGTAACACCGTCCCACTAATCGTAACACCAAGAATCTGAGAAGGAAGGTTGGGTCAGGGAATATGCACGAGGAGCTCGACTCGAGTGGAACACACTCACATTGGCGAAGTTGCGGATGAACATGTACATCGCGAGCGCCTGAGCGTTCAACTCCACGGGCAGCGGCGCAAGCATGGGGAAGAATGCAAGAGCGGACATCATGCCTACGCCAGCTCCGGCGATGATCTCAAAACCGATTACATGGGAGAGCGGGGTGTCCACATGAATTGTGCTGAAGAGCCCTATGCCGATGATGACCAGCACCCATGATGTCCAGATTTGGGGTCGATAGTGGTGAGTCTTAGCTACAGAAAAGCCCGCGAGTAATTCCATCGGTGCAATGCTGAATGCCAAGCCAAAGATGTCAACACCGGAGGTGATTGGTGAGGCATCCTTGCATGCTTGAAAATATATGGGCACATAGTCTTGTTCGCGGTGAACTGTCAGTGGCAATTTATGAAGGAAAGGAGTAAACAACCTACACAATAGGCTCATTATAGCAATGTAGAGGGAGATGATCTGCAGATAACCACTTGCAGAAGTTCGATGCCGCAGGACAGCGTACGGAATCTGTATCAAAGTAAGAAATTGAAAATTGGACTTCTGCATTCATGGAACGAGTACATACGATCGCATGTTTGGGAATAAATGCTTCGAACACCAAGAAGGCAACGAGACCGCACAGACCAAGAATGAGAGGCACGAGGATACGTGCCGATGACCATGGATACTGTACTCCGCCCCAGGTCAAACCGATCGTGGCTGATGTAGTCGCGGCGATGACAAGTAGATTCCCTCTGATGGGTCACATCAGATAAATATCACGAGTGTCTTGACATGGACATACATCCAGTCTACCATCTGCAGCTTTTCACTAAGAGCGCCCGGAGGAGTGCGAAGCCTAAGGAATAGCAGTACCACGAGTGCGACCACGCCACAGATTGGAATATTAAGGTCTGAAACCACACATCAACATCACTCCAGGAGTCTGTGACAAACCGGTACGTACAAAATAGCCATCTCCACTGGCCATGCTGAGCAAGTGATCCTCCTACTACGGGCCCAATGATACTCGCAACAATAAAGCTCCTGAGACAGAACATGAGAACTGCTAAGTCCCAATCTGTAGACTTACATAGCCATGAAGCCATTAAACACGCCTCTTTCCCTCAATGGAATCATATCTGACACAATGATTTGACACATCACTTGTATCCCCCCTGACCCGACTCTTTGTGCAGCTATTTACCACGAAAGGACATTCAGATATGGGTGCATAAACACCAATGCCAGGCGCATACCTCTTCCAGCGATGAGGAAGTTCATTGATGTTGCTGCACCGCAGAGCGCGCTGCCAACGATAAAAACCACAAGCGATACGAGCATGGTGGCCCTGCGACCGAATATCTACAGTTTTCTCAGCATCCTATGAACTGCTCCGCATGACAGTAGAAAACGTTCGCACCTGAGCAGAGTTTCCGCTAAGAGGGGAGAATGCAGTTATGGCAATAGTGTATGCAGAGCCGACCCATACGAACTGTTCACCGTGCAAGGCATCAACGATACTCGGAAGAGCAGTTGTCACGGAAGCCTGGACGCGGTATGAGTTCTCAGACATAGTGTTTCTTGAATTGACGCACCAACTCTAAGGCTGTAAGGAACTGCGCGAACGTGACACATACGAATATCATCCAGAAACGCCAGTCTCGTGCATGATGGTCACTCGCGGAGGCAGTTAACACCACCTGAGTGACTGTGTCCTCAACAGTGTCTGGTTTCGAGGGCTCTGTCGTTAGATCCTGAAGGTGTGCCATCCTGCGAAGAGACCGAGTGGTCCGATCTAAGCCACACGTTTAGAAGCGAAAAGCAAGCCAAATGATGGATGAGATGAAAGTCAGAAAGAAACCAGAGAATGACGGATGAGTGCGGAAAAAACCCAAAAGTTCACTAAATACGAAGTGAAATAGGGTTAGCGCCTTTGACAAGCAGTTCACAGGGAGATATTTTGATCAAGCGGCTTGCGTCCGAGGTCAAACTATCGGGTTCGCATTGTGTATGATACTCACTGAATTCTCATACTGCTTCTCCCCACAATTCGTTGACTTGCCGAAATGACGAAGATGCTCCAAAGCCCGCAACGTTGGCTGCAGATGTACTTGCACTGAGCGCTGAGCGTCGAAGGACAGAGATAGATATGGAGGATGCATGGAGGGACGGAAATGGGATTCCGTCGAAGTCGCAAAGATGCGGCATGTCTGGAACCAGTCCGCCGTTACTCAACGTTACAGCATGCTTGCAATCTTGCGGCCGTCCTGCCCTCAGAAGTTACTCCGGTCATATGGCAAGCACTTACCTATTGAACGACGGCGCTGGATAAATTACTTCACGGGAACCATCTTGGCAGTCACCGATCGTTCGTGGTGTTCTTGGTTGCGTGCCGGATATAAACAGACTGCAATGGAAACATTGATGCAGCGTACATAATAGTCTCGCAAGCCAGACGATCGTGCTGAGCCGTTCCTCGGCTCCACCTCGGAGGCTGCCGAAAGCCAATATATCGGACATCGAAAAAACCATTGCAGCCTACCACAGAAGCTGCAATGGTTTTTTCGATCTCCGACATATTAGTTGTCGGTTGCTTCCGTGGGTGAACGTCTGGAACCGAGACTACGTACATAAGTAGTCTCGGACCATCCTCTCACATCCACCCTAATAGTAAAGGGGAAACCAACTGGCAGGCGTCCGAGACTAGATGCACGGGTCGACGCCCATAGAGCTATTTTGGGTGAGAGCTGAGCGCTGAGCGCCTGTAGGACACCAATCAAATCCATCGACCAGAGATGTCAAGAACTTCCATAAGCATGGAAGTCAAGCAGCCCCTGGCACATGCTAGTCGACTCGAGGCTTCTCCTGGGATTCCGGTTGCTTCAGAGTAGAAGAACTGGCGCAAAAGAACTTACCCAGTCGAACGAACAGTCACAGCGGCGGCGACGACTTTGAAGGTTCGAGGCAAATCCCTCTGGTAACTGCTTCTGTTGAAGGGGTCTCCAGGCTTGTTGTTACCGGTTTGAAGCCGGTGTTATGAAGCGATACCGATAAGAATCGGGCCGATAACAGATTTGTAGCGAGTCGCCCAACCAGGCCTTGATACACTAATATTCTGACATTCAAGCTGAGGATCACCGCAGAGAAATCCAGTCATGGCGAGGGACGCATGCGAACGTTTACTGTCGCTGGCGAGGCATGGTGAGTGTGGCTTACTAGTAGCATATCAAGCTTTCGAGTCACTCAAGACTTGCGCAGCTATTCTGCTCCGGTGGGACCTCCGCCGCGCCAATTCCCATCTGCTCTCCGCGGTTACGCACAGGGTTCTTTGATCTTTCACTATGATATATCATCATCAGCACCGTGAATGTGCCTAACTAATTGGGCAACACACTAGACACACATATCTGTTTTACCGTCAATCCGAATACTGTTTGTTTATGGTCAAACCTTACCAGGTTGGACATTGAAGCTCAGGCTCCAAAGCGTCATGACCTCTTTTTCAGCCATGACACGCTCAGGGCACTTCTCAAATGCATAAAAGCCTTGCTTCTTCCTTGCACTGTGCAGTCTCACCTACCCTCCTTTTTCACTTCCTTTCTTCGACTTTTCTTCTCTTGTAGCCATGCTCGCTGCTTCTATAATCCTTTCAACCCCCATCTCTCCCATTGCGGCTAATTCCCCCAATGTCTTTCCGGTCACCCATAAAACTCTATCTGAGAGTGTCTACGATGTCCTGAACTTGGTGAGCATCATAGCTACATGGGTTTCACTTGCAAGCTGTTGATAACAGCTGTCTCGCTTTGCAGACCCTTAGGTTCGGTGAGGATGAACGCTTCTGGTGGGAGACGTCCGGCCGCATCCTCGCAAACATGTTCCAGCACCTGGGCTACAGTGTAACTGTCCAGTTCCTCCACATGCTGTTTTTCCATGTTCGCATCCTGCCGTTCATGGGCCCGCGTCCAAACTGGCAGAATAAGCCAGTGTTCAAATCATATATGGTGTGTTTTCCACCAATACCGTAGTCCCTCCCCCGAATCCTGATGAATCTGGACACAGACCGATGACCACACCCCCATAGAAGTCAGTTGGATTGTTGGTCCTGAGGGCTCAACCACCGTGCGCTATGCGATCGAACCCATTGAGAAGAGCCTATTCGCCAAGAAATCAGCCGCGCTCAGGATGGTCGACGAGATGCGCCCTGTAGTGAATCATCTCGACCTCAGCTGGTTCTTCTTGCTGGACAAGGTGTTGGTTTGGCATGGGCAGACCAATGCTTTAGGCACCAAACATCTTACTCAATATTTTCTTGGTCTGGCAAGCATATACTATCCCGCTTCTCCTTCTTACAACTGTATGCAGGCTTTGATTGTTCTCACACCGGTGCCATCACCCTAAAGGCATACTTTCTACCGGAGATCAAGGCCGCGCTGACGGGTGTCTCGAAGGAAATGCTTACGATGCACGCACTCAAGTCGTTGGATGCTGAGTTGACAATTCCATGGAAAGGTGAGTCCAGGCAGTGCCAGCTCCCATTTGAGATTGATGGGCTACTGTGCAGCTATCATTATGTACTTTAACACGCTTCCATCTTCTATGAGGCCGGATATCGAGATCCTTGCGACTGACTGTGGGGCGCCTGAGGACAGCCGCATCAAGGTGTATGTCCGGACAGGACCCTGGATAATCCCCACAAAGGTCGTCGCCAAATCCGGACAGATTTTTGCGAAAATCGACCTCATGCCGTCGTCATGTCCGGACAAATGGACCCCCTAAGGACCATGTAGCCATCGTACTATCCGGACATGGAACTGTTCTGGGGCAAAAATCGCCGGAAAATCGCCGGAAAAAGCCGAAAAAGGCTAAAAATAGCCACAAATTGCCTAAAATGGACGTCCCCAGAGCGAGGATGTCGCTATTTCCGGACAAAAAACTCCCTAAACCGGCCAAAAACGGGCCGGACAGATTTTTTGTAAATTGGGGGGGTTTTGGCGACGACCTTCGGGGGGATTATCCAGGGTCCTGTCCGGACGCGTTCAACTAAGTTCTCCGACCTCGAAGGACTCATGACGCTCGGGGGATCTCTCATGGGGCCCCACTTTGATGACGCCTTGGCTGCACGTGCCATATATCTGTTGTCGTCTCCTTTTTAACTTCCTATTCACAGGCGCTTGTCGACCTCTGGCGCCTGGTCATGGGCGTCGACACCGCTATGCCAGACTGGAAGGAGCAGCACCTGGTGTCGCCCTCATCGAACAACAACCATATCACTTGTGGGTTGCTGCTTTACTACGAGCTGAAACCAGGGTGCGCACAGCCGTTGCCGAAGGTGTACCTGCCCGTGCGCCACTACTGTACAGATGACCTCGCAGTTGCACGCGGGATGCAGGCGTTCCACCGTGCACGAGGCAACACGCTGCTCAATGGGTATGTGCGGGATGTGGAGGCCATCTTCGGGCGCCACCGCCCGCTTGGTGTGTGCACGGGCATACACACGTATGTCTCGCTTGCAATCAAGAGGAAGGAGTTTGAGGTGACGAGCTATTTCAATCCAGAGGCGTATGGGCCTGAGCGGTTTAGCCCGTGAAGGTTTGATTTGTTAGTAGCGGTGGCATGGTCACTTCACCTATTACTGTATCTAGCCCACCGAGTGAAGTTTGACCAGATCAGATCATGTGCAGATAAAGAGGTACAGTACTATATCAATTGGCAGATGAATATCTCCTTCTGGAATTCTCTGTGCGTCTTTGTTACAGGTCACCCAATCACTGAGCCACCATGTTATTAGTATGTTACTGAGTGGTACGCTATACGGGGAAACAAATCAACTATTATCACGGAAAGAATACATTCATCTAGACAGGCAGGGGGAACATGTTGTACAGACGAAAAGAGGAGGCTGAAACCTGCACTCAATACTGTACCTCAGAGAGGGACAACCTCGTCGCCCAAGGGATCGCACCAAGAGACCAGGCTTTATCGAATGGAAATAGTTTAGCAAGTGGTTTCGAGTGGAAAAAGACGCAGACAGCTCACTCAATCTGACCGTAGGCTTGCGGAAATATTTGAGAAAGTTGGGGACAGATCGAGGTGGGCTGAATCTGATATTGTAGACGGTTAAGGAGAGCCTACGCATCATCATAAAAATGCCGTGAGTTTTGTCTTCCCTATTTCATACCGAGCGGAGGGGGGGACTAGGAGCCAATGTAGGAGCGAAGACTTACGTGTTGACCGAGAATGATGAATGTAACCCCGTTCGGCAGCGTAGGGCGAAAATGAATGATTGAATCCACTCTTTGGTTTACACCTTGAAACCTGGAGTATAATATTAATGACCGCCAAGCCACAAATACAAGGCTGGGCGCACGAGATTTCCATGATGGCGGAGCCTTCGTCCTGATTGTTTCTCACGACGGAATCGAGTAGGTGGGTAACGACGAAGGAGGTCTGAGCGCCAGTATCCCAGAGGCACCAGACGTTTTCGAAGACGGATTGAGGTGGGTTGTCCGTCTGGTCTTCAGCGCTGGTGACGACGCTTGAACGAAGGGCAGGCGATTAGCGGCGGCATCCTGGGACAAGGCGAGCTAGGTGAGTGTGAACGGATCTGGAACCTTGCCGTCCGGGAACGTTTGTTCGGTAAGATCAAGGAGACGGCGTCTGCGTTCTTTGGCTAGCGGATCAGCCTTGGCGGGTTTGGGAGGATCGGCAATAAACTTGGAGGTCGTTGTGAATTGCAGCCCGGACGGCTGCTCCAGGGGGTTAAGAGCGACTGTGGAAGATAGGTTGAAGGAGAGCAGACAAGTAGTAGCGGAAGGCTTACGGTTGGATAGTGTAGCACGGCGCTCGCTCGCTCGAGCAATCAACTTGACACGCTTAGCTTCCTCCTCTTCACGAATGACTGAGACAATGTCGTTCACTGAAATCTTGATGGCCAATTTCGCCAGTGCGGCCTCAAGTGAGTCGATAGAGACCACTTGAAGGTCGTTGGCCGGAAGGGGAGGCGGCATGGTGAGGCTTGCGTGAGGATAGTGCTGTTCTGGCGTGTCCTTAGGAGCCTGGGACGGAGGCATAGACAAACCAGGAGGATTCTGGGGTGCCTCAGAGGCAAGGTGGAGTTTGACTTTAGCAGCGAGCCCGCGAGCAGCTCGGTCAAACTAGTGCTTACAAAGCGAGAGGCAGTAGGGAGGCAAACCGGGCGCCTGCGCTCGGCTGGCCCGATAAGGTAGTTACGACCTAACTAACGATCGGGACTTGGATCTGCACGCAAAACTCGCAAAACTACCTCAGGCTGCGTTCACTTGACATATCGTCGATCTCTACCTACCCGCGGCTGCAGCTCCCTGAGTCACTAACACTTTGTCATTCTGAGCTTCCACTGTCTGACTTTTGTCGAAAAGACCAAGGCCCGTGTACATTCGACTCACTGCCGGATTACTTGAAGTGACGGAGTTAGAGAGGACGATCGGAGGACTGAAAAACGCATAATTGCCGAGCAGACACTGGTCATTTTATTTCAGGGAAAAATCATGGCATCCCCGCTTGGAAAGCGGAAAGAGAGAGACGGCGAGGATACACCCGTAGTGACACATGGGTATGTCGCTCTACCCCCGCGGGCTGTATTCTTATGCACAGCGCCGTTCCTAGGTCCACCTTGTTCGTGTCGAATCTTCCTTACAATGCGACCTCGACAGACCTACAGACCCTCTTCTCTGACCTTGCTCCAGTGCGATCTGCGTTTGTCGTTCTCGCACATGGCTCTGGTGTCTCCAAGGGTGTTGGATATGTCTCTTTTGCTGTCAAAGAAGATGCACAATCGGCATACGACAAAATCAACGCGGAGGGGATCGTACTAGACGACCGGATTCTCAGAGTTCAGTGGGCGGAATACAAGGTTGTCAGTGTTCACTTAGTTTTTACTCAGAGCTAATTCCTGCACCGTAGAGCAAGGACAAGACGCAGAAGGAGAAGTCTGAGAAGAAGCAACCCCGCCCTTCCGTCCCCCGTCCACACCCAAATCCAGCATCTCACGACCCACTTGCGATCCGCACCGTCGTAATTGGGGGTCTCCCTGCTTCGATTGACTCGAAAACACTCTGGAAGAAGATCCGGAAGTTGGAGGGGGCCGAAAAGGTCGAATGGCCAATTACGTCGGATGCAGGTGTTGGGGGCCACAGCGTAGGTGAGTTGTTCTAGTCATAGTCATCGAATCAAACCAAGTTGGCGCGCTTTTTGCAGCTCATGCGCTGTTTACCACACCTGCGACTGCGTCGGAGGCGGTGAACAAGCTCCATGCACATGTCTTCAAGGGGTCTTTACTATCTGTGACACTCAAGAAGCGGCTAGATAGCCTCGCTAAAACATCACGAAAGCCGAAGAAAGCAGCTACAGCCCCGCCCAATGAAGCAACTCCAAGTCGTGCAAGCCGACTCATTGTCCGCAACATACCTTGGGATATCAAGGAACAGGATCTACGCGCCATCTTCTTACCATTTGGCCCTATCCACTCCATCGACATACCCCGGGTTGCAGTCTGTGCGAAAGAAGATGTGAAGTCTGAAGGTGGAGACGAGAAGACGTCACGGATCAAAGGCTTCGCATTCGTCTGGATGCTTAGCAGGAAAGACGCGGAGAAGGCCATGGAGGGGTGCAACGGCATGACAATACAGGCGGGGATGGCGGAACGCATGGTGTCTGACAAGCATAAGAAGAAGAAACAGAAGAGGGAGGAGCTCAAGCGGCAGCAGGCGCCGAAGACAGAGGATGGGGAAGAAGGTTATGAGGAGGAAGAGGGCGCCGCGCAGAGTAGAGCACAGAGGGTGATCGCTGTGGACTGGGCGTTGAGCAAGGACCAGTGGGAGATGGCCAAGGCGAAGATGGAAGCAGAAGGCGAGGGTGACAATGACGTTGAGATGGCGGAGGCAAGTCATGACGCGGGGAGTGAGAATGACGGCGGTCAAAGTGGAAGCGAGAGCGATGGAGAGCAGACCGGTTCGGATGACGAAGACGAGCATCTTGGCGTGCATCAGGACGGAGAAGAGGACAGCGATGATGAAAACGATGACGGGAGCAGGATCGACGGTGATAGCGATGGCGAGGACGAGCAGGAACCTGCGAAACCTACATTACCTCCGCCGGAAAGCGGGATGACTCTCTTCGTTCGCAACATTCCATTCGAGGCAACGGACGACGAGCTGAGAGTGTTGTGCGTTTATTCATTCTTCTTCATCATACTTGTTGGTCTAAGTATTCTGCAAGATTCCGTGCCTTCGGCCCCCTCCGATATGCGCGTATAGCTATGGACCCGGAAAGCGGGCGTTCAAGAGGCACAGGTTTCGTCTGCTTCTGGAACAAAATGGACGCGGACAAGGCCATTGCACAGAGTGAGATTTTACGCTCGGAAACGGTCGGCGACAAGGCAGCGGCAGTAAGTGTATCCATTGACTTGTGTATGATAAGTCCCATGCTGATGTCTATTTCAGCCGAAGAAAAATCCATTCAAGTTGCCGTCTCTCCTCACTCCCGATCCTTCCGCATCAATGGCACAAAATCTGGTCTTGCACGGTAGGACGCTGGATGCCATTCTTGCGGTGACCAGGGACGAAGCGGGCAAGCTCAAGGAAGCGGGAGAAAGACAAAGGGAGAAGGCCGACAAGCGGAATTTATATCTCCTCAGAGAAGGCAGTACGTGGCACTCACGTCATGGTCGCCGCCACCACGCTAATGTACGTTTTGCAGTCATCCTGCCTAACACACCTGCAGCAGAATCCCTTGGTCAGACGGAGCTGGAGAAGCGTACACAATCGTATAACTCCCGCCGAGCACTACTGCGCTCCAATCCCTCGCTTTATGTTTCGAGAACTCGGCTGAGCGTCCGACAGCTACCCATCTTCGCGAGCGAGCGCATGCTGAAGAGATTGGCGGTACACGCGGTGCGGACCTTCGAGAAAGAGGCTAACGAAGGTGTTCGCCAAAAACTGACCGATGATGAACTATTGAAACCGAACCATACAGAGGATCCTGATGCTGATGGGGAGATCAAAGAGGAGGAGCACGAGGAGCAGAATAAAAAGAGAGGGAAGAGTAAGGGAGGGCGTGACACGGGTGTCATTCAAGCGAAAATCGTTCGTCAGCAAGACCGAGTAGATCCAGTCACCGGAAAGGGCCGTAGCAAGGGGTATGGCTTCCTTGAAATGGCCAAACATGCCGATGCGCTCAGGGTTCTTCGGTGGGCGAACAACAATCCCAGCGTAGGGTCGCTCTTCGAGGAGTGGTGGAAGGGCGAGCTGAAGGATTTGTTGAACGCTGAGAAGAAGAAAGAAAAGATGGACGAGGCTCGAGTGAAGCGTGTCAAGGAGGAATTTGAACGCTCGGCCAAAAGCAAGAGCACGCTTATTGTGGAATTCTCGATAGAGAATGTCCAAGTTGTCCAGAGGCGTGCTGCTCAGCAACGCGAGAAACAACAGGTATTGCCTAGCCGGTATCTTGCTTTGTTCTTACACGTCTAATTTCGTCACAGTCCTCAGGAGGACCCACAAAGCGTTTGCGACGGCTTTCTTTGCCTGAAGTCAAGACTGAGCCGCAGGCAGATAAGTTGGACGAGCGATCAGCCAAAAAACGCCGAATCTTGGATCCTCAGCTCAGTTCTGAAAAGATGAGCAAACACAAAACCATTGTGAAGAGTGGTCAAAAAGTAGGTTCTATGATTGGCAGGAAACGGAAGGAGCGAAAACTGAAGAAAGCTGGTGGTTCACGCTGAGCATGTAGGACACCTGTGTCAAACGCCGTCACCAGCATCTATCAGTGATTTACACGAACTGGATAGCACCTTCCGCTGGCGAATTTAACCGTCACCTACATGTGGCAGATAAGGGTGAATGATACACACATTGGTGCGTCCATGTCATGGTGTCTCCATCGAAGAAGCGTGGTAAAAGGACCAAGTTGCGAGCCCCCCGTGTGCAGCAACTACGTCTTTACATCATTGACAGAGTGCATCTCTACTATCTTTTATGATTTACTTTCTGGCCAGCGGTGGTACACCCTCAAGTCCTGAAACGACTGGGTACTGCTATGCGGGACTATTGTGGACATGGCAACCCTACTCATGAGACTATCCACAAGCTGTCCTACAATATGTTTCTTCCTCTGGACATGCTTATTTTTGCCAGGAATCAGGACGTCGAACGTAAAACTGAGTCGCCGAAGGTCTTACCTTAATGGGAAAGGAAGCTCACGTGCTTACGTATGCTATTAGTATCTCCACTCAATCTTTTATTTATTTTATTTAATTTCTGGTTAAGCTACCGCTATAAGTGGACTTCATCGAACTAATTTTGTGACTCGATAAGCCCCAGCAAGGAAGCGCGCGTCACTCCTTGCCCGATCGGTCAAGCGCGTGTAACGTCACCCCGTTACACGCCCATCGGGAGGCATTCCGGCCCCTATTTCGAGGGGATGCCCTCTGTGTGGACCTCAGGACAAGCTCACGAATTGGATCTGGCACTGAGGATGGCCCATCACCGAGGTTTTTGAGTCTCATTCACGGTCACTGGTAACCGCGGTGGCCACCGCCACCCAGGGACATAGTAGTAGGACTCGTCTGGTATCATCATGCAGCCATCTGACCCAACCCAGACTTTGGATCAGGAGTCGGAAACTGCAGACTCCCTCTGTATAGGTCGCGGTAGCTTTGCCGCCATATATGTGATACCCATCCTCGGTTCTCCAGTCGCATACAAGCAGATCCATCATGGCGACGTCGACTCTGATGCCCTTATGCGTGAATATAGCGCCCTCGAGAAAATATACCTTACTTGCGACACAGATTCACTCTTTGCGATTCCCCGTGCACTCGCCTTCTTCAATCCCAACACGGCACAATTATTGTCTCCGTCGCCTTCCCCGCCTTCCCTGTGGCGTCGCCACGAACGTCCTTTGGTCACGCCGGCTGCATTCCGACCGTTCACGCGCACAACCTATGCTATGGATAGAGTCTTTGCTGTACCCTTGGACGCCGCTCAGGTCATCAGAGAACATTTCTACCCTCCTGCCGCCGCCTCTATTCATACTGGGCCAACCTTGTGCAGACTGTATTTTGGCAAGAACTTTGCCAACGCTCCCCCATCTCGATTCGTTAACACCGCCAACTTTCCTCTTGACGTAGTGAGGTATCGCCTTATGACGGAACAGCTGCCGGGTCTGCAGACAGTGGAAGAAGTTGCCTTTGGCATGGGGGAAATGTTAGGCCGTCTACACTGGCGTGGTGGCTATGATGCTCGAGATGTGGAGTTTGTGCTTGGGGGCGATGGAATCAGTGGCTTCCGTTATTTCGTCATTGATTTCAACCAGGTGTGTGCAAGTGATGTTGCCGGATGATGCAGATGTTCACCTATGGTTATGACAGCTACGTACCTGGCAAAAAACTACTGAAGAGGTCGGAGCCCTAGTCTCGTCATTCTTCAGCAACGATCCGTATTACCCTCGTCCCAGACCCTCAGACCCCCTCTACGTTGCGTTCAAGAACGGTTACTTATCCGCGTACCCTACCCAGCCTGACTGCCACCGTGTTGCCACCACATTCCTTCATGATATTGAAGTTGAGCAAGCTCAGCGCGACGCGGCTGCATCTGACACCGCGTAGGACAGTAGGTTTGGTTTGGGAGCCGGGAGATGCAGAAGCCTTGACTCTCTGTGCTCTGATCTTCGGAGCTTCTTCCATAACCATCGATCCGTTCGGTAGTGAGTGTCACAATGTGCTTACAGGATCTTTTGGAATGCAGGCATGGAGGCATGTTGCTGCGTTGGCATTTGAAATCAAATAAGTGTTTGTCGCTTTACTGCAATTCGCCTATCCTTCCGCTCACAGCGCTGTGCCAGATCTAGTCTCTTGCAGTTGTACGTGTTGCAGCGATGTTGCGACGTAATCGACTTGCGGAGGACGACCTCATTCACCATACACAAACACAGCTGCGCGCACGATCGCACAATAAATAAAGCGGCCTGCATCTGCTACCGATGCGCTCTATCGACTCCGCCCTCGTCCTCGCGTGCACGACGCCGTCCCCTCCCACCTGGACGTCGTCCAGTCGTGCGGCGAGGACTGTGTGATGACACGCCGCGTCTTGAGCGCAGGCAGCACGTCTGCCGGCCTCAGAGCAGGGAAGGGGGAAACGAGGCTTGAATCCGAACAGCACCACGAGGAAATTGATGTCGAATCGAACCCGAAGGGCGTGCAAACTCCGAGAGATATACTTGGAAAATATGGATGGAACGAAAATCTGCATGGAGGGGATAAGGCCGACAGCGATCCATCGAGGCAATACTAAACATCCCGATATGAGGCATAGAACGTAGAGAGAAAATTCCTCACGCCCGACTGTTATGTTCCTCACACCTAGATGGTCATACGCGCCCTGTGCCGCAATCTCCAGCACCAGCTCATGCTCTTCCAAATCAAGCCAGCTCTCCCTCACCATCGTGAGCACCCGTCGCATGTACTCCACGCCGAAGGATGTTCTCAGCTGCATGAAAGGGGTGCATTGGTCTAGAGATACTGCGAGTCTGGCACGGAAAGTCAAGCGTTCAGCCTGACTTCAATGTAGCCCCGGTTGACGGTGGAAGTGCACGATCTGTGCCCGCAGGCCCCGGTTTCTGTGCGGGCCTCCGTCGGGAGCTCTTCAAATTAATGTTGCGCTGTATCGACTGGCTGAGAGTGGCTAATATGGGGTCGCTCTCTGGTGATCCTCCTGTCGATGACGATGATGTATCAGAAATTCGCGTAGTGGGGGTCGGTTTTGATAGATGTTTTGGCGGCTTGTCTTGAGGTTTGCGTTTACCCACAAGCTCCTCGAATGTGCAACCTTTACTGATCATGGCAGCCGCTCGCCGACACTCGGCTTGGAACAATAACAAGTTGTTCCAAGAAACGTTTGACGCGAGATTCTAAGGCATAGAACTTAAGCATGCAAGAGTATCGGAGAGAAGCATTGACACACCTTCGTGATGATGAAAGGGTCGGCGATGCACAACGGCCCTGTCCAAGACTTGAATTCGTCTGCGAATGGAGGTAGTGCATTAGATACCACCGAGTTGTCAGGCTCATCCCCATCTGATAGAGAAAGCACAGGATCAGTTGGGCCAAGGACAGGTGGGTCAGGGTTCCGTCTAGCCGCTAATCCACCATCCCGAATGCTCAATACATGATTTTGGTAATCATGTTCGTGCCCCCAGTAACTGGCAGGAGCGAATAAGTGTGGGTACAATTGTTCAAGCAATCTGCAGAGTAAGGGTACTCACTGGAACCAGTCTTGAAGTGCCTGGTCAGCAGTAATAGAGCTGCCCGGCATCCAATCCTCAGCAAGGGAGTATCGCACGTCGCAGCACACCGTTTGAATCTTCGAACGGAACCAGACGCCATCTCTCGAACTTCGGACAGTGGTGTCACGGAAACTGTCCTGCAGGTTCGGAAGTAGTCCCCACCTCTGAAAAACTCAATGTAAGCGATACGAGCTAGACAACATGGAGTCAAACTTGTGTGGCTTCACTAACTTGGAAAAGCCCGATGGTCATGTTTGCAAATGCATAGCTGCTGAACGACCCATCGGCAGGACTGTTCAATCTCAGATGTTTCGCCCATTGCTTGATGGCGAACAGCACCAGTCGAAGAGGCGGCGCAAGTTCACAGTAGCATTGGATCAGCGCAGTGTTGGTGATGCCAAGGCGGTCATTGACATTAATATCACAAGAAATATTAGTCTCGGGATCAATGAACTTCACTGCATCGTTCGAAGTCTGCGTAAGCGTCTATAGGAAGCGGAGTATCAAAAGACGGACCAATAGGCACTGATGCTGTAGGAATACTGCTAACGTTCCGGAAACCAGCACTGTGGAAGATGCGATGTAGTAGTCTGTCAAGGAAGTACGTTCAGCAATAAACGACAACACTAATTCAGTTCTTCACCTGATATTATATATTCCTGGATGTTTGTACGTCAACACAAACATAGATGACAGAACAAGGGAATACACTTACGCGGTAATTTATTTGTTGAAATATGTGGTGATAGGCCCGCAGGTCGTTGGGGATCCTGCGGGACAACAGTGAAATTGATAATCTGGGGTGACATGAACGAAGATGCACTTACCAGAATGACAAAGTCAAGATCACTCTTCGCGGAATCAGTGCCGTAGCATGTGCTGCCGAATGGCACCACCGAATATTCTTTCCCAAACTTCGACTTGATGAGTTCATTGACGCGACGCCTCGTCTTCTCACGCTGGCGTATAACGTCTGGTGGAACGTCTGCGAGCTGCAGAAACATCCTTCAATAGGACGAACTGGAATCAGAGAACCGGGGGTCAAACCTTGAGGCCTAATCTGCTTTCGGAGTGAAGAACACTCGACGTGTGATGCATTCGCTTCCCGAGATCAGGGAGATCTGTGCGTCTCCTGGGCCCAACGTCCGGTGGATCGTAAAATTTACCCTCTGTGTATGCTGCAGGAGCACGGTAAGGACCGAAAATATGTTCGAAGCGGTGACCCCTGCGCAGAATCTCCTTGGCGTGCCAGCAACGAGCTTCAAATTCCCGAAATGAAGCCTGAGTCACTGTCTGCGCGTGATTCTAGAAAAAGGAAACGAACGCAGGAATGAGTTTCACGGTGCAGACGAGGATGATTTCAACCGAATATGACACTAACATGGGTGAACACAAACGGGTCTTGTACTACAAGCGCATGGTACCACCACCTCGTAGGTGAATACTCCGGTGTTATAATACCTTTGTTATTCTCGAACGCCTTTGGTTCTACCCAACCGTAGGGTCTTATCACAGGATCTGGGCGCTCAAGTGGCCTTCCATCCCGCACAGATTGTACATCAGGCAAGCAACGCGGAGCCCCGGTGCCGTCATAAACCCAAAAGCTGGATTCCGTCAAAACGATTATTATGACAAAGGGCAGAAAGTGTGAGCTGAACGTACTCACCTGAAGAACTTGTACATGAGGGAAGGCAGTTTGTTCTCCCCTGCCCAATTATTCTTCAAGGGAGGCAGCGCTACGTTGCCGAATTCGAGAGATATCCTGAAGAGCGATCTCTGCCATGATGTGCTTCTAGCCTCAGGGGTCGTATCCTCACGAAGATATTCGCCAGGTATCCATGCATAACCATCTTCCTCGATTCCAGACCTCGGAATGGAAAAAGACCCATCTTCCGACAAAACAATGGGCGGATTCTCCACTTTTGGCGTGCTCGATTTTTGGAGATTTAGCAGGCGCGTCCTGCACTGGTACGGCGGGACAATGTAATTGAACAAGCGCAGATGCCCCCAGCACGGACGCTACTCACTTGGAGACAATGGATGACCATCAAAGTGAGACAAACAGGCGTAAAATCATCCAAGCGCCAAGATCGTGCCCAGTGACATACAATTGAAACAAGATCAAAGATCGAGGTCGATTCCTTGCAGTATGCACGGAGCAAGCGCATCAATGGGAGGAGTGTAGGGTGTGGCAGGGTGATATTGAAAGGTTGCGGCGATGTCACCTCCAGGGTAGCAGGATACACGAGCTCCTTCATGCGTTTGGGCCGATACTGGGGCCATGAGATTAAATGTTTCATCGGCGGGCGTTTATGGTCCAGCTTCTTGGTGTTCGTGAAGTCCTGCCAGACTAAAGACTCTCCCCTGAAAATGCCTTGAAATCCTGCCTTTGAGAGCGTTTTTGCCACATCGCTATTCTCGCGCACTTGTCAGCGTCCATTACACAATCAGGTAGAACGGCCGTACACAGGATCATACACTTCCGGCAAGACGTCTACTTTCTCATTCTTGAAGCCTTGCCCTCGTCCTGGGTCCTATAACTATTACATGAGCGGGGAACGCAGAGAAATATGACTTTCATATACCCACTACAAGCGCGATTTCTATTGGGGCTGTATGAAGATCCATTGCATAACGTCTGATGCTGACGTCCATGATCTCGATATCCCTGCCATAGTGCCGACGCATAATCGCTGTGACATCGTTGAGTAGTTCATCCCTGTGGGCAATCCTGTCATGATCACTTTCGAGTAACTGTGCTTGCTAATGAGCACATTCACAACACAGCGAGCTACTGGAGGCATACTGGAAGCACGTCCTCGACGTCCCGGTTAAAATGAGGATGGTAGATGGGGTTTAGCTTTAGACACTCCTTGTGAATTGCCTTCTTCTGTTCTGAGTTCAAGGGACGAACGTAGGGCGTGTAGAGCTGCTGCGTGGTGCTTCGACAGGTAGAGGAGAAGCAGCGAACACGCCGCATGGGTTTAGCGTTGAGCAAGAGTAAAACTGCTACTAGTCTGATAAGTAGCGGACTTTCCCGTCCCAGTCCCCGGCAAAGGAATGGGTCCCGAACCGGAGTTCATGCAAACCTCAAGAAGGAAATCAGGATGAAATGACTGCCCGCCAGTCTAGTGCGACTCACTGCAGAAACTTCACCGCTCGCATCGCTGACGAATTTACCAGTCTCTTTATCTTCATGTCGCAGCAACGCAAAGCTTTGTGGGAGGCTGAACTTGACGAAGACCTTCAGGATGTCGACCTCAGCTTGGCCATAGGGAACTATGGCCAAGATGGACTGTACGACGACGGTATGTACATGCACGCAGATATTGCGGGATACTCAATAGCGCCGCAGCCCAGTCCAGGATAGATGAGGTCACTCTACTTGCAGTGCAACAGCAGATGGCCCAACAAGCGGCGTTTGCGCAGATCCCGGATGTCGTCAAAAGAGTGAGTGGACCTACACGTCTTATATGTGGTTTCTCGTGCTGAAAACCGATGTGCAAGTTCATCGTGCATTTCCATCAAGCCGTACTCGACAACAACTTGGCAGAGATTACCGTTGCGTACGAAAGCGGATGGAACCGATTGACAGAGCAGTTCTATTCGAAGACGGAATGGCCAGAGGCAGAGGTGATCGCACCGCTCGTGAACGACGGTGGGTCCTGTGCTCTACTGTTGGATCTCATAGTTGCATATCGAAATACACCATGCCACATAGAGGAATACTGAGAGTCCCTTCTTGGCCCGCATTAGATTTCTATGTCGCTTACCCGTTCACTGACATCCAACTGACAGACCAGATCTTCCTCATCCTATACCGTGAACTTTATTACCGTCACGTCTACTCACGCCTACAGCCGGACATCGACGATCGCTTCCATTCATACGAGAATAGCTGCGAGCTATTTAACTATCTGCTCAGTGCGCAGCGCGTTCACTCCCGATGCGCGTCTTTCCCCTCATCGCTTGTATGCTAGACTCCGACGGCCCCGTCTCTCTCGAGTTACCAGAGCAATGGCTTTGGGACATCATTGACGAGTTCATTTACCAGTATCAGTCTTTCTGCGTGTGGAGGTCAAAGGCCAAGTCGAAGACGGACGAGGAACTGATACTCCTGGCTGACGCGAGCCAAGTGTGGAGCTCGTACAGTGTCCTAAACGTGCTATACTCACTCATCCAAAAATCGAAAATCAACGAGCACATTGTTGCGCTGCAAGAGGGCAAGTCAACCGAGGAGATTGCGTGAGTTTTCCCACTCAGAATGTGTTGTGTGGGGTCATACTTACCGTGAGTGTCGTCAGCGAAATTGTCGGCGAGTATGGTGTCCGCCCATTGTACCGCATGCTCGGATACTTTAGCATCATTGGACTCCTCCGCGTGCATAGCTTGCTCGGCGATTTCACACTAGCGCTGAAGGTGATGGAAAACGTGGAACTCAACCAAAAGGTGCAGTATATAGGTGATCCTCAATTACCGCTATCCCACTGACCTCTCACAGTCACCATTTACCCGGGTCACGGCCTGCCATGTGACGACGTACTACTACGTCGGGTTCTGCTACATTATGCTGCGACGCTACCCAGACGCGATCCGTGCCTTCGTGTCGATCCTCAATTTCATCTTGCGCATGCGGCAATACCACACACGGAGCTACCAGTATGATCAAGTGCGTTTCCTGTCCTTCGTTCTCGATCGACAGGCTGAGCGCAGTGCAGATAAACAAAACTGCGGACCGCATGTACGCGTTATTCGCGATCTGCAATGCCCTTTCGCCCACACGACTGGACGACAATATATCCAACATCGTCAAGGAGCGATACGGGGAGCAGTTCTCGAAAATGTCACGTGGGTGCGTAGCGATCGTTGCGCACACTTCTCAACGGTATTGACAATATGCCCAGTGAGGAAGGCATCCCCGCTTTCGAGGAGCTTTTCTTATACGCCTGCCCGAAGTTCATCTCCGCGAACCCTCCGCCATACGAAGACTCGGAGCTGATAGCTGCGTACATCGAGGACCCGCCCGTAGAGCCCGCACAGCGGCACCTCGCGCTCTTCCTCTCCGAGGTGCGTGCGCAGGCGCCCGTGCCGACGCTGCGCAGCTTCCTGAAGCTGTACACGTCGCTCGACGCGAAGAAGCTCGCGAACTTCCTTGATGCGGACGAGGAGGAGATGGTGCAGCAGATGATGGTCATGAAGCAGGCGAGCCGCAGCGTCAGCAGGGTTGAGCATGAAAAGGGACTCCTGGACGGCCAGACGATCTCGACGAGTGACCTCGACTTCGTTATTAACGAAGTCAGTGCTATTTATTGCCACATGGTTACTGTACTCATTCCCTCTTCTCGTTGACAGAATATGGTCCATATCGCGGAGTCGACCGTGGGCCGGCGTTATGCCGGATGGTTCATTAGGAATACGGAACACGCGCAGCGTGTCTTTGATATGCTTCGCAACAGTCCCTTACCTGCACCTCCTCCAAAACCAGTGCAGGCAGCCGCAGCCAACGGTGCGGCTGAGCCACCAGCTACGCCTGCTCCCTCCGCACCGAGAACCGGCGGGCAAAAGGTTGCATGGGGAGGTGTCAAGGTAGCGTAGTCTCGCGTCAGCATGCAGCAGATTGTAGAGTGGCCTTGTCTGTATCAACAAGTGTCTGTAATGATGTCTTTTGTCTTTGTTTGAACATGCACTTCGCAATCGAATTCCGTCGTCTGAGCACAGGATTGGGGAATTTTGTTCCAGGAGACCTTCCATATTCAGAACACGACTGCGGCGCGCGATCATCCCGCCTGAGCTGCGATCCTCACTTTCTTTCAATACTCTCTCGTCACTGTCGCCGTCGACGACCAGGATGTCTTCACTGGCGAAGCTCACGTCCCTATCCACACAAACACTGTCTCTACTTCTCGAACGCCAGCGATTACAGTCTCTCCCGTCGAATGTAGGCTCGAATACATCGCTACATATTCCACAAATCACACGCAACCTGCAGCAATTGCGGACAGGCATCCTGGAGGCGGAAGAGAAGGAGGGATCCACTGAAGCTCTTAAATTGCTCAGGAACCAGCACGAGCGGATGAGAAGTATGCTTGGGCCGGATGGTGAAGTTGCGGGTGTGCAGAGGTGCGTTCCATTCAAGTTCCGCAGAAGACATGAGTCTTATCTCGTAGGAAACAGAATAGAAGAACCGGAGCTTCTGCACTCTAGCACATCATCCTCGTCGGCGTCGTCCTTCCCTTCACAATCGCCGTCACCATCCCTTGTACCCCCGCCGTTACCTCCCAAGACGAGCGAACCTGAGTATGCCCCGTACACCGACGACCCAGAGGCCGGGTACACCTCCCATGAGGTAGTACAGCAGCAGCAACGACAGTTGATGGACGAGCAGGATGTACATCTCGACCACCTCTCGCACTCTATCAACCGGCAGCGCGATATCTCGCTTCAAATTAACGAGGAGCTCGACGTGCATACGGGACTGTTAGAGGGCCTCGATGTCGACTTGGATAGAACGGATAGTCGGATGACTCGAGCAAGGCGGCGCCTTGGCCGTGTTGCAAAAGGGGCGAAGGACAATGGTGAGATACGGCGAAATGACTTGTTAATTCTCATTGCTGCCCTCGTTCTCTATGGCTAATCATCATCCTTTTCGCAGGCTCAACTGTGATGATAGGCTTGCTCATCCTTGTGCTCCTCATTCTGATCATTGTCTTCAAGACGTGATCTTCACCGCTCTCCGGATTCATACTCAGTGCTTGCTTCGGCTATTCTGCCCTTCATCCGCATGTACTCTACGGAATATTCTCACAGATGCGTTAATGTTCCACCTGCGCACTTTACTGTCTTCTCCACAATAATACCCCATTGTCTTCGCTGTGACTAATGGGGAACAGATAGTGAATTGCGCCAATCCAATCTCAAGTGCAAACAATTCCAAAAATATTCGTGGATGCAATCCTGCTCCTGCTGTGTATTGGTGAGTCTTCCATCAACGAAGAGAGGCGGGGTACTTGCAGTCACTCTCGAACCCAAGGGCATTATCCGGCGTATTCGCGATCGGTCCAAGGGAACGCATGCGGTCACCACTCACACTTTTCGCTTCGATTCCTTGATAGTTTCCGTGTTGTCGCTTTCCCATTACTCAGTGCCAGTTCAGACACGGATATCCTGAGGAACGAAGGTTGAAGCTGAGTGTCTACCGTCTGCCTTCGGGATACGAAGCGCCAGCTCCGGTAATTACATTTTGCTTGAAGACGGTGCAGAACCATGTCAGCGAAGAACATGAGGTAGTGCCGATAATGGTGCCTATGTATCTTGATTTCTTCCTAGAGGGGATCCAGAGCTATGAAGGCCCGAGAATGCATTTTTGAGTGTCGGATTCGTGGATTATCGATGAATTTACTTTTAAGCAGAGGGTGTTACTCCGCGAGGACCGTATCCTTTGCAGTTTAACGTGTATACAATAGCCTGCTGGCAAGGGCAGTGGGTCGAGGATTTTACGTGAACAAAACAATATCAACGAAGCCTTCACGCATAGGTGCGTCGGGAACTCGGAGGAGTGGACTTGAGCCGTGCCATGAACATCATCGAGTGCATTAAAACAACCAATCGGATTATGCAACTGTTCACTACTATCCTTTCCGTACAGGCCCAACCAACACGACCTAGCTGTTCCGCCACATACATCTACCCATTTTGAGGATGTGCACTACGGACGGACCATATGGCATTCTCGACCTCCAGCTCGTCCTGATACTGTGGAACTAAAGGGTGTCGGCCCATAGCAATATAGCACCCTCCGACAGCATCCCAGTACTCCGGAAACCATCCAGCGGCGCCCCAGTCAATTAAACCAGACAGCCTGCCGTTCGACAACAAAAGGTTTGCGCGACGCAGTTCACCGTGGGTGAGGCAAATTCGATGAGGTTTCACGTAGGACTTTCGCGACAAGGACAGGACTTCATCTCGCTCGTCGCCCCAAACGCGGCTGAGTAAAAATTGGTGCAGAGCATCTATACTGGCGAACGGGCCGATAGGATTGTCCGCCGATACGCGATACTGCCAACAGGGTCCTCCCAAATAACCCGAGACTACCGGGAATGGGGGACAGAGGCTCCGAAGTTGGAACAGCCAGTTACGAAGGTCTGCCTCGAAGAGCGCGAGACCTGACGCATCTAAGTGGCGAAATGAGAGGCTAGCGGGGGTTCTAGGAATCCGGGACATCACAACGAACAGGCTATCATCATGACCAACGACGTCCAATATCTTCAAGACAGGGATAATAATATTAACTGCAACAAACATGGTCGCCAACACTTCGCCCTTGTCAATCCGCTTGAATTTGCAGTACATGTTGAAAGGAAGCCTTTGGGTCCAGAGATCCGGGCCAGAAGAAGGTGACGATCATCACGATGGACATAGAGCTTTTTGCCCATCCACAGCAACACACGATATGCCGCCATCCGGAAGGACGAAGGCAAAGCCCGCCAGAGTGCGCCCACGTAAGATGTGTTCTGCAATGGCAAGGTCGGGAGTTTAAGCACGCGTTGTTGAAATCCGGAGTCCGAGGAGTTGCTGAAGCACGTTCGTTGAACGTGCGTTATACCTTTGGTTCGGCTTTACTATTTTCTCTCGTAACTACTCAACGCCTCGGCTCTACCGCTAGCTAGATTAGGTAGTGTCGATTGGCTTATATACCATACGTTCGCTCGCCGGATGCCCCAGAGAATTGTGCTCCTGGTGCATCCGTGTACGTACTCCCTTCCTATTATATTCACTCGAATACAGCACCTGCAGTGACCGTCGCGTCACTGACGGGTATGAACAGAGAATTGTACTCCTGGTGCATCCGTTGACCGTCGCGTCACTGACAGGTATCTCTCCGGTCTGTCTGCCCCTCCGCCGTGCCCGCTGCGCTTACCCGGCTTTGCCGTTTCGACCCTGAGTGGGTCGCCCCGTTGCTACTCGCATTTCAATACGCGTTTTGAATGAAAAGTGTCTTCAACTCGACATGGCCTGGGCATACTGGAGGACATCAACGGCGAGTCACGATAGGGACATATACTTCGCAATGTACCTATTCATTGTGTTCCAGTCTGCAGCATCGTTTTGGATGGCAGTCTAGCTATAGTGGTAGCTTCGCTAGAAATTAAATAAATTAAATGAAATTAATTCGAGTGCACAAGGAAGAATTCACTCTACAGGTCTGCACAGAGCTCAGTGTATCCTCGACTCCTGCACACAGCTTCACTGGGAGATAAATATTTGTTTGTATGTCACTTAGGCACAATCTTTAGTGATTTCGTAGTGTCATATTCAAAGTTTGCACTGTGGTTCGAAGTGTGAATAGCACTCCGAAGATAACTCTTCTTGTAGTGCAACCATAGATGTATAGATCTGGTAGACCTTATAGGTTGATGGCATGGAAAAGTCCTTCAAATTTTCTTCCCGCCCTTCGGGTGAGACTGCATGTAGCTGTTCCATTAAAATAAAAGTTGCACCTGGTGCAAAGTATGTAGCTGTGCTCCCTGGAAGTGTCTGAATCCAACAACATTCTATGTCAGCCTGAAAAAATCACCATGATGTCACTAGTGTTGTTGGGTATAATTTCCACTAATAGGTCATGCATTGGGTAGAAGAAATGTCCCCGTGCATGAACTTGATCACGTACAGTGTTGCTAAGAATGTGCACCTCTGCCTGACACCAAACTTGTGCAATCTTCTTGTGCAGTCAGAGCTCATGTGTAGTGATCAGAAACAGGCACTAATACTTATGAAAACATGCAACAGAGCACGAAATTTGAGTTGCAGTAGCATGGTGCCCGAGCCATGGAGAATGCTTATGTCAGGAATGCCATTTGTGGCAGTCATTTGCCATATTGGGTAGGCACATGACGCGGGGCCGCCCGCGCCGGTAGGTTAGGTTTTTCAAACTCCGCTAGGACCTAACTGCTACCACTATAGCTAGACTGCCTTTTGGATTGTATATATAAGTGTCTAATAGCTAGTGACGCGCTAGTCTCCCGTAGGCAGACTACGAAATAATCCCTATGAGTGAGGGAGGGGACGGAATCATATAGGTCTGCTTCAATACGCGCTAGTGTTGCGTAAGAAACTCAAGGCATGTTATTAACGTTAGGTTTATAACATGTTAGGTCCCAGAGGTATTTGACACCATGTTTTTAACGTTTAAAACATGTGGTCACATGACCTATTTTTGCGTACTATAAACTGTAGATTTCTCCATTTTTGCGTCTGTTCTGGAGGCTGCAGAAAAGATCGGAGGGCCCGTACGTATTCCTGGTCTCGTACCCCGACGTGAGCGAGTAACGCACCCCACCGCCGCCCTTGCTCTGACGTCTGAGGCATTTCAACCGTGACACCCCCCCTTGCTCTTATCAGCTCTAAGCGAGATTATCTGAGCCTTCACCATCAATCATCCTGCCTTTTCGGGAAGGCGCAGAGACTCGATGTTGAGATTCATACTCAACTTTTGAGAGTGTTGCTGGCGAGGAGGCCATGTGATCATGCAGAAATATAAAAGTGATGCAATATGAGCTTCCTCGCAAGAGGAATAAGTAGGATTGAGACACCTCTGTGAGAAACCAAGGAAAGTAGAGTCTGCAGTTAGTTCATGTTTTCTGCGGCCGCAATCACTCATATAATTCATTAAACCACATGTACGTTGTCAAGATAGTATTTCTATGCTAATTACAAAGAATGAATACTACAACAGTGGGTGTACGCGGTGATATCATGGCTCCAAAGGAAGCATAGAGGAATTGCCAATTTAGGCAGGACAATTGATGGCACGGGCTCAGATAATCTCGCTTAGGGCTGATAAGAGCAAGGGGGGGTGTCACGGTTGAAATGCCCCAGACGTCAGAGCGAGGGCGGTGGTGGGGTGCGTTACTCGCTCACGTCGGGGTACGAGACCAGATATTCCTACTCTACTACTCGATGATCCCATATCCTACCAGTGGAACTGTCAGCCTACATTTGAAGACCTGTTTGTTACCTGTTCTCTTAAGCCCCACTCGACCAAAAGGACATGAAATCTGAGAACTGTTAGTGGCTGTCAAGTTGTAGTAGAGCACTCGACCTCAATTAGTAATAAAGTCGCAATATGCAGACCTTGTAGGGAACTCAAATAACAGGACAGAAGAGCTGGGCAACACAGCTAGAGTCCAGAAGTGAGTCACTAAATAATATTGAGGACAAAGTACTCTACTCACCTAGAGTCCAGAAGTGAGTCACTGAGGACTCAGAGTGGACTCTAGGGGGTTTATATCTACCTAGAGTGTGGCTATACAAACCTGTGAGTAACACAGGATTGTGGCTATGAACATAGGCAGGCATAGCTATGCATAGCTTCTACATAGCAGTGCATAGCACAGCCTGATCAATAGGTATCTAGGTGTACAGCATCTTGCATTGCTTTGAGTCTAGACACTTAAGAGACTGATGGATTATCTAATTTAACACTCCCCCTTAATCCAACGAGTCTTCCCTCTTCAACAGAATGCAAGAGCTCCACATACCTCCCCCTGAACCCACTCATTCCACTACATCCCAATGTTCCTCGTCGCACAATTTAGACTTGAATGGATGTTCGGCTTCCATCTCGCTCTCACGCAGCATCATAGATGCAAGGTCGTCCAACTCATCGAACTGCTGAGTGGTGAAGTGCAGTGAGTGTCGCCGAATGTGAGCGCGAGGTGGCATAGCTGGGTGAACAAGCATGTGATGAGTCGGTTGATTGGATGCCGGAATGGTAATGCGTTCCAATTCGATGTCGAGTGGGGGTGGTGCTGGCCAGATACGGGTGATGGCATAATAAAAAGAAAGAAGGAGAATGGCAGGGAAGAGCGCCCCTGCAGTAATAAGAAGGGCAATGGCGAAGGTTTTCATAGTGGTGGAAGGGGCAAAGAGATGATTTGAACCGCAGCAGTGAGAGTGGTATATGTGGCAGACAGATGATCCGAGAAAACACCGATCCGACAATGTCCGAGTTATATGCTCTATCCGGCAAGATCCGGGTTTTTGACGATTAGATCCTCAAGCCCATCATCTCGTGGCAGTAGATAATCTTTGCCGCTGGCAAGGGCTTTGTCAAAATGTCCGCTATCATCTCTGCAGTAGGAATATATACTGGTGCAATTCGACCTGCCTCCACGGTGTCTCGAAGCCAGAAGAAGCGCAGATCCAAGTGCTTCATTCTGCCATGATGTTCTGGATTTTTAGAGACACTGATTGCAGACTGATTGTCCATGTAAAGTGTAGAGGCTTTGGACACTGTATACCACAGTTCTGTGAGAAGATTACACATCCAGAGGATTTCCTTTCCTGCTTCAACTGCAGCAATGTACTCGGCTTCTGTGGTGGATTGGGCAATAAGGGACTGAAGCTTGCTACTCCAGCTAATAGCACCTGTGCCCACTTTTACAAGGTAACCACCAGTGGAGCGACGGTTATCCCTCTCACCACCAAAGTCTGAGTCCGTGTAGGTTAGGAAGAACTCCTTTACATCACTAGGACCATAGTGCAGCCTTAAGTCCATTGTGCCCTTCAGATAGTGGAAGACATGCTTCACAGCAATCCAATGTGCAGGACCAGGATTGGCACTAAAACGCGCAAGACATCCAATGGCAAACATGATGTCTGGACGAGTGGTGATGGCCAAATACATCAGTGCCCCTACAGCACTGAGATAAGGCACTTTGTGCATATATTCTGCCTCTTCCTGTGTCTGAGGTGCAAGGGCCTTTGAAAGCTCTGCTCCAGGATCCATAGGAGTGCTGACAGACTTGCAGTCAGAGAGACCATAACGCTCCAGCATATCCACTATATACTGGCGCTGTGAGAGTGAAATGGTATGCTTTGCACGGTCTCTTTTGATGTCTATGCCCAGCAGAAACTGGGTAGATCCAAGGTCTCGGAGTTTAAAATATGACTTTAACTCCTTGACAGTGTCATCAAGTGCCTTCTTGGACTTTGAAGCAAGTGTCATATTGTCTATAAAGACTGGGACAATAATGCGCACATCTCCCCTAATGTACACATAGATGCTTCTGTCAGACTGAAGACGAGTGAAGCCCATTTTGGTGAGCACCTCATGAAGCTTCTTGTTCCACTGGCGTGCACCTTGCTTCAAGCCATAGAGTGACTTATTTAGCCTGCAGACCATTTCTGGACTATCCTGGTGAAACCCCTCAGGTTGTTGCATGTAGATCTCTTCCTCCAAGTCTCCATTTAGGAAGGCAGATGAGATATCCACAGAGTGAAGTTCTAGATCCTCTGCTGCAGCAAGAGCTAGAATAAGGCGCAATGCAGGTTGACGGAATGTGGGAGCA